CACATTGTAAAGAATACAGTTATGTGCAGAAAACAATTTAGAACATACCATTGTTTTGGACGTGCAACTTCTGCAATGGATTCTATAAAGATACGCATCAAGGGACTTTGTAAACACCCTGTACTGTCTAGGTCGGTGATTCTCAAAGTGGGGTCCGTGAAAAGTTTTTGAGAAATAGTGCGATTCCAATTCGCAGGATATTTTGGATTTGGGTTGAAATGAACAAATGCTTTGGACTATGATTTATTCTTTGATTATTGACAATATTTGTATGCGTCATGGTATATAAGGGGTCCTTGGTTGAAAAAAGTTTGAGAACCCCTGGTCTAGGTAACTCGGTATTTCTCATATTTTCTTGGTGTAGTACTATTACTGTACAGTTATTGACTATGAGACAAGGGAAATCTAATCATGTTTGTGTATTAGTCAGTCACATTCTCCATCTGGAGCAGTTGTATTTTCAGTCATAAAGTTAACTTAATTTAGTATATTATATTATAAAGCCAAGCCCTGTCACCTATACTGTAGTCTAATATTTACTGTAGAACAAATAGCAGATAATTTATGTTTTTAAGGTGTAAATTAGATTAGTTTTGTAAACTGTGAAGTGTGAAATTACATCAGTTAGTTATTTACTCCTCATACAATACATGCATTATTTAATAAAGTATGTACATACAGGTAAATGGCATTTCCTGTGTATCTCACCGGGAAGCTTTCATTTCTATCGCACATTCCAGTTATATTCATTTTGCATGTGTCTGCCTACTCTGCACAATAATCTAGTACATAATTGACTGTTTAAGGTTGATATCAGTACAGTACTTCTCTTCACCTATTGTATGCGGGGTCCCCTCTGTGCTGAATATAGTTGTCTGATACAGTATTAGACAAATAAAGTATTAAAAGTGGCATCCCTGTTATGAAGAGGTTAAGGAGTTTGAAATACAGTTGTAAAGTACTTTAGTTTATCCCAATATGTATAGTGTTTTTAATGTTCTCTGTATGGTATGTAGAAGCTGGTTAATGTATGCAGGTCATGGGTATTAAACTCCTATTAGTGTATGGTTCCCCAAAAGGTGTCATTACTTTTTCCTTCATTACAATTTGAAATGCTTTGATATATTCTCCAGTGCATCATCATTTGTTGGTACACCCAGGGGCAGATCAATGGGGGGGGGTCTGGACCCCCTCCTTTTCATCAGAAAACTCAAATACTTTTTCTTTAATGCATTATTGTACTCAGGCATTTTTGTATAGTAAAAAGCAATTATTATTGACCTCAGAATATCAAGTGCATACGGCCACAAAATGCCCCCACCCCCAAAAACTCTCCAGTTGAGTGGGCTCACTGCTCTTGCCATGTAACACCCCCAAACCCACAACTTCTTGGTCCCAAGTTTTGATATTCCTGGATCTGCTCCTGATGCCTACTCCCCATAATTAAATATACACAGTTTAGTTATTTATAAAGTACCAACAGGAATAAAACTTATATCACTGGTAATTCTGAAATTCTGGCAGTTCTTTGCATGAAAGTGTTATCATATAATTTGGTGTGTGCCAATACTGTGGTCAACTGTACAAACTGTTCCTAAACTAGTGAATTAACACTGCTCACAAAACCACGAACCATATTGACCCCATCGGTAATGATGCTTTTTTGGGGACTGTACCTGTATTGTCTTACTAGTTGATGCAGAGCTTTGAAATTGAGGATTATTGATAACTCAAAGTATAGCAATGTATATTAGATATATGAATGTTGTTTGGTTTTTCTGTGTTTCAAAATTTAAGGTGTTTAAGCACAGCCACAAATCTGGCAATAAAAAAAAAGAACTTTGATCTGCCTGGTTCTAAGGATCAGTATTTTATACACTGGAGTATCATTTAGATAAGGAAAGGAAGAAATGTCAAAGGTTGTCATAGGTAGCTACAGTATTTAGTTGATACCAGAGAAATTCATTTGTGTTACTCAGTGCATTGGGGAGAAAGAGCAAACCACTTTGAATGTTAGTCATATTCTCACATCTTACACACAACAGACCACAGGAGTGATGATAATACCTGAAACTTTAACAATCATGAATCTGTGTTATCATCACTGATAAATCAAAGTATTGCATATAACATAATATATAGTTAATATTATAAATTACTATAGTACAGTACAACCAACATAACTTCCTCTTTTAGGCATAAAGTTACTATACTCAATACTAAGCCAGTGATAAAATCCTACTCCACCGTCTGATCATGATTATAAACACAACTGCCACCTGATAAGATTCAATCACCACAATATAGTTAATTGTTGCTTTTAAACATTCTCCAATGCTCACTACTCTATGGTGATGTAAGCTTGAAAGCTGTCTCTCCCCTCTTAGAAAAGCCTAGATCCTTGCTGTATGTTGTGGTAATGTTGGTTAAAAAACTTGCATTTTTTTTTAACTTATCAATAAGGCTACCTACTCACAGGTTACAAGTACAGTGTCAGGGAATATGCCATTTGTCATGTGAATCAGGGTAGTATTTGTACAATATATTCAGTCTTAAAACATCCAAAGGTCTCTTCATGTGTTGTATATATAGAGTTATACGTACTGTAGTGTAGTTTGTAAACCTACTGTTCTGTCTAAGTTATACATGTGACACCAAATCTACCTCAGTGTTTTGTGAATATATGTAACATTTAATAGATATGGCATGAATAAAAAGGTCACTTCTCTTGTGCATTTTCTAACCTTTGTGTCTGGTCCTTAGTGTTGACCAAGCCTATGGGTGAGGGACTTGTGGTGGAAAGTGGAAAATGACCATGTGTTGTCTGCAAGAAAGGTATTGGCAGAAACTCAATTATGTGTAATGAGTGTGTAAGGTGGGTACACAAAAGAAGAGCAGTGGGGTAGATGGCAGACTGCAGGATGATGCTGAAGTTTAACTGTTCTGTATGTGCAGGTAACCATGTGCCCACATTAATGCTGGAGAAACTCAAAATTAGGGATATGACCCTGGATTGTATAGATGAGTTGTGTTACCTGGGTGACATGATCAGTGCCAGTGGGGGTGCTGAAACCTGCTCAGTTGCAAGAACCATAAGTGGATGGAAGAAGTTCAGGGAGTTGCTGCCTTTAATGACAGTTAAGAGGACCTTCCCTCTGCATAAAAGGAAAAATGTCTATGGCTGATGTGAGAATTGTGTTGTATGGCAGTTAAAGAAGACTTGAGTAAGCTAAATGAGAGTGGTGAGGTGAATGTGTAATGTGACTCCGAAAGACTGGAGGCCCCATTTTCAGGTGTCTGCCGTACCACCATGGTGTCCCTCCTGTTGTGATAAAGGTATATTTTTCTTTAATACTCCCTGTACCTCCTTTCCCGGCATTCATAAACCATAGTCCCTACCTTTCTTATGCTATTACAATTGTGTTATTTTAAACATTTAAATACATCTAAATAAAAAATATGCATCTAAAACCAATAGACACTGGCTGCTTGGCCATAGCAGTACAACCTAGCTAGGATGCTATCTCTGCTAACTCCCCCTTCCCATAATCCAAGCCCCCTCCTCCTACACACCCTGATGCAACCAGCTAAATTGTGTGCAAAGAAATGTTTACTGTATTCCCTTGATGTGTTTGACCTATTGGTAAATATTTATTTTACCTTTTTTTTGCACAATTATGTATGTACATGTGACTGAGAAAAAAAAATTACGCACGGTACAGTATATCTACACAAAATTACGAATTGAAAAATAACCATAACATAACTCCCCCTCGGCCCGCTATGTAGGATTGTGTTTGCATGTAACTGAGTAAAAATAATAAGAAGAAAACGATTTTTTAAAGCAATTATTTTGGTTACGTTACGATGGGTTGGGTTATTTTAAGCTTACCATTAAAAAAAATTCCTAGGGTTTTTAGTGTGAATTATTTTATTCTAACATCCATTTCTGTCGCAAATCACCCATTTTTGCGTGTTTCCCCTCCCTGAAAACTCGGAGTTAGGTGTTAATTAGGAAATTTACCCCTAATGGAAGCTGACCTAACCAATCAAAGAAACCTACCTAACTTCCTAGCCGGGAAGCAGACCTCCCCGTCATATTATACAGAAAATACTTAGCAAATCAAAGCGCACTCACGGTAAAATAACGTTAGTAGGAACTTAGCCGGTCACGGCAAAAATATCCTCTCCGGTTTACGTATTTTACCACACATTTTCCCTCTACTTTAGAGCCTGCCCACTTTGAACAACTAAAATTGTGGGTAATTTTATCGGTTAAAATACTAAAAAAAATATACAATTCCGACGCAACGTTACAGATTAAACGAACCTAACTTAACCTAGCCACAGAAACCAGGAACTATAACTAACTTAACCTAAGGTTAAAATTGGTTCATTGGCTGTCCACAGGTTCCCCCCGTGTTTACCTGAGGTTACACTCCTCCTCCTTGTAGGTTAGGTTAAGTAGGTTCCTTTGGTGTGAGAATAAGGGTTTTTTTGTGTGTGTGTTTGTTTTACTAAAATTTTACCTTCATTATTGTGTAAATTAGCAATTTTTGTTAAAAATAAAAATTTTCATTTTTTACAAAAAACGCTAATTTACAGAAAAAAATGAATGTCAGATTTGAGTAAAACACTGAAAAACGTAAAATAATACTATTATCGTATCAAAACCTGAGGCCAACCAATGGACGAACATTCACTGTAGTTACAATGAGAATAATAGGCAAGAAATAGTGATGGGTTACATTATCATCACCCACTTGTTGTTTGTTAACATTAATGATTGAGGAAACTACCGCAGTGTGTCGCCCTATAACACTGTTCAGCCAACAGGGCGCCATGTTGTTACTCAGTAGGTGGGAACTCGTCTCGGGCTGTCTCCCACATAGTTTATAAACATGCTTATATAATTGTACACCTGTATCTTTATGATAAATTTTACTGAATAAGCATCATCATTTTCTACAGTACGAACGCAAACTTCATCATCAGCTGAGTAACAACATGGTGCCCGCATATCACTGAGTTGACCGACGACTCCAAGGAGTATATAGACCCCGCTCACGCCTCCTGCAGGGAGCATTACGCCAACTTTACACTAGTGCCGCCATTTTGTATACCAGTTGGTTGCTGCTGGCTGCTTGTGTGAGCTTTATTTGTTCACATTCATCCTTTTTGCATTCTTTTCTTGTCTTTTGTTTTTATACAATGCCGTGTTGCGCAGCGTGGAGGTGCTCAACCCGACCTGGACACGGGAAAATGCTACACAGATTCCCAAGGAACGCTCGGAGAAGGAGGGAATGGGAAGTCAAAGTCAGACGAGAAAACTGGAGAGCAAAAGATCATTCATTTCTCTGTTCAGTAAGTATTGGCCTACCTGCTTAATACTATTCTTTCTATCATTTTACATAAACAAGAGGTCAAAGATATGGGATGAAAATCTCCATTGTTCTTTGGTATTGGTATAATTACTGCTTTCTTCCCTTAAGAGGGATACAACCTCCATTATAAGACATTAAACAAGTCTAACAGGGGCCCTTCTCTCATACCAGCCAGACAGTTAAGGATATCATATGTTATTTCATCATCACCGGGTGCCGTAGACTTTCCCCTTTTAAACGCATATAATAACTCGCCTCGTTATAGGAACACATGTATCATCCTCCAGTGTACACTGACTTTATACTAACTCACGCCTAAGTCTACTCTTACTTTGTGAACGTGAAAAATCTAAATATTAAATTTTACCCAACTTATTAATTTGACATCTTATTTTTTGGGTTGAAACTGGTTACTTCGCTTGATTACAGTTCTCATATTTTTCAGGATCATTTTGAGGAGGAGCAATACGAATCACATCGAACAGACAACCGACGACAACTGAAGCCCAATGCCATACCGACTCTGTTTGCCTTCAATGCCAATACTCGTAGGAGAAAGCTACGCAAGCCACCTCCCAAAAGATGTAGAGATGAAAATGATGAACCACCGTATCCATCCAAGGTGTTGTGTATTGACCACTCATACGCCTCCACATCAGAGCATCATCCTGTAGATACTTCCGTTGAGAATGGTAAGCTATCATTACACTCAATCGTGAGCTTTATTGGGCTGCCGGTTAATTCAGCCTTCATTGGACTTCAAGAAAAGAGATGTTTTCTCACAGATACTCACAGATGATCTTCTGGAAGAGGCTGTGACTCCAGCTCAATAGCCTCTTCTCTACTCAGACGGTGGCTGTGTGGCGGATATTTGTGCCCTATAATTATATACTTGTTCTTGATTTTTCCAGTATTTATCTAATTTTGCTTCAAACTTTTCCACCGTCTCCACATTCACTACCCACTCAGGTAACCCATTCCAGTTGTTGACAACCCTACTCGTGAACGAATGTCTTCTGAGATTTAGCCTCACTCTTGTTTTGTAGATCTTCTTTGGTTCCCCCGGGTAGTGTCAGCCTCCCTCATCTGGAATATTCCTGCTGTGCCTATATTTTTATTCACTGATTTAGAAGAAAAAAAAATATGTACAGTAGACCTACAGTACTTCTGTAGAGAAATGGTAAGACAGTTCTGAATTTTTTTTAAATTTCTTTGTTAATCTTCACGGAATATAGAAATAAAAATGGGTACCCAAATTATTTAACAGTGGTTTTTGACAACTTAATCCCATGAAGAGTAGGTACACTTTTTGCAATCCTCAAACCTAAGCTAACCTAACCTATGAATCAATAATAAAACTTTAAATAAAATTTTCATTAATGTACGTTCCGGTCGTTTCTACAAAGAAAGAAAATATTTGCACATTAAACTACAAAAGAATAAATTATTTTTATTAACAATTAACAGGACATTATACCCAGAAGACCCAAGGAAGCTTTCCTAAAGCCCCATTATCACAATAATACGTGGCTTCTTATAACAAGACTGTTTTTACATAGTGATTAAAGTAGACTCAAATAATTAATACCCGGTAGTTAATAATGATAATGAAAATAGTCTAATTCAGTGATTGTATTTCTCTCATATATATTATGATGTCTCTTTTCTTGCTCCTGTAATGGACATGAAATTGTGACAATGATCGAGGTTTGCAAATCTCTGTCATATTTTTCAGGTTATTCAGACGAGAAAGATGAGTGTCAACTACCGATCCAAGAGGTCAGACCAGTCCATGAAGAAGTTACACAAGTAAAGGGGAAAACGCCTGCAATATCTTCAAGTCTTATGACCTCTGTGAAGAAGAATCTCAACTTGACTGAGTCGATGTTACTGCAACGTATTATTTATCTCCAGAAGAAACTGGCAGAAGAAAGGCGTGAGAAGTGGAAAATGATGCAGCAGAAGAAAGTACAGCAATTAAATATGGCAAAAGTCTTCAACCAAGACCAGCTAGCTAAACTGGGCCATAAGAACACGCGAGGATCGAAGTGGTCAGATGAAACTATCCAAAAAGGACTTCAGCTTTTATCTGCTTGTGGAACCACTGGGTATTCACTGTTATTGTCTCAACATCAGCCACTTCCCTCTCTCAGATCGTTACGGAGGAAACTTGAAGTTGCCCGTTTAGAGCCTGGGGCACCAGAGCCTAGGATGCTAGAGCCTGAGAAACCAGAGCCTGGGATACCAGATCTTATGAAAACACAGCCTGAGATAATCGAGTCTGAGATACCAGAGCTTGGGATACCAGAGCCTGGGATTCAAGAGTCTACGAAAACACAGTCTGAGATACCAGAGCCTGGGAAACCAGAGCCGGGGGCACCAGATCCTATGAAAACACACCCTGGGATACTACAGTCTGAGATACCAGATTGTATGAAAACACTGCCTGAAATAATAGAGCCTGGGATACTAGAGCCTGAGAAACCAGAGCCTGGGATGCTAAAGCCTGAGATACCAGAGCTTGTCATACCAGAGCCTGGGATTGAAGAGTCTATGAAAAGACAGCCTGAGATAATAGAGTCTGGGATACAGGAGCTTGGGACATCAGAGCCTATGAAAACAGCCTGGGACACAAGAGCCTGAGATGCCAGGGTTTGGGATAATAGAGTCTGGGATACCAGAGCTTGGGACGTCAGAGTCCATAAAAGCAGAACCTGGGACACCAGAGTCTATAAAAGAAGAGTCTGAGACACCAGAGCTTATCAAAACAGAGCCTGGGATACCAGGTCTATACTCGTACTAAGGGTATTAATCTTCCCCTTCCATGTCGTGGAAAACTCCCCTGGTACAGTAGTCTGCTGCAGACTACTGTACCAGGGGAGTTTTCCACGACGCGGTTGCAAATCTTAACTGACAAAAAAGTAGCATAATCCAGCGTAAAGCAGAGGCCAAAACAATTGTGATTTGATCTTGGGACGTATCATCACTGGGTATGACTTTGCTTGGGAGATTGGTATCCCCGCATCCCCTGAGCAACGCTCTTGTGCATTATGCAGTAGACCCGACAGCAGCACCCTTATCCACTACCTCCTAAGATGTCCCCACACACAACGCTTCCGTGACGCCTGCTGGACCACCACTCCACGACCCCCTGACGGAGACACGATGATCCTCCCCATACTGGCCAGATATTTTGTAAATAACATTGATTATGTGTTAAAGGAATATCCTTCCTTCCTTAGGCTTTAGTAAGCCCCTTTATAATATTTATACTGTATATACTTGTCACAGGGGTACCTAGTGACAGCACTAGGATCCCGCTTCCTCTATCAAGGAATAAACAATTGAAATTGAATTGATCTTGGGAGCAACAGTATGGGGATGTGGACAGCTATCGGAATTTGAAGTACTGTAATTTTATATTGGACCATGTAATTAGATTAAAAAATGTAATTTGTATAATGTTTTGTACCATCTGTATTATCACGATTTTGTGTAGTTATATAGTTTGTGAATCTAATTTAAGGTAATTTTTCATTTTTATAGCTTATAAAGTTTATGTATCCACACTAACTGCATATCTTGGCCATCATTGTATTGAGATTTTTGCTCAGTCTCATTATTTATAAGGTTATTTGAATTATTATGATTTGGTTACGTTGTTTGTGAATAAAAATAAAATTAAGTTTCAAACATATTTGCTTATAATATTCTTGTAACCTGTACCGATCCTGTATCCACACTACCTCTGAGGAGCATAACTGAGGAGGGGGGGGGTGTTGGGTTGTCAAAGGCCAATCAAATTAGGAATACACTTTACATAGAGGCAATTTAATTACTTAATTAATTTATCAGAGGTTGCAATATTAAATTCTGGCAACCAACATATTGTTATATCGCAACACGGTGTAAAGGACTAATATCTATTGAGACTACTTGTTATGCAGAACGGTTTACGGCGCGATGGACTGTATACAAAAGGCATCAAGTGTAAAGTTGGTGGGACGCCACTGTTGAGAGTTAGAAAGGCGTAAAGATACATGGGCTAGTATAGATAAAGAGGTATGTAAATATGATAGGTATGTACTGCACATGATCAGATTAAAGGGGGCAACCGGGGCTACACGCTACAACCCTGGGGTCCTCCATAAAACAAATCGACTTCTGGGCTCGCTCGCCTGGCAAGTATATTTTTGGATGCCCTAGGACTTGAGCTGCAGAGTACAGAGCTGTAGTTGAGCGAAATCATGGTCCTCCTGCCTGGTGGTTTGCTGCCGGATATGAGGGACGACTCGTGTTATTATTGGAACCTCATGTGACTGTCAAAAACAGCTGATCACTACTCCACCGCTGACCTCGGGGTCCTCAAGTCGGTGAGGTGTGAACAGAGATACTGACAGAACGTATGCTAGCACTTTGTAAAACCTGAGTTAAGTACAGTACTGCAAATGTGATACGTATATGTTCCCCGCTCGGTCCAGATGTCCAGTGTATAACCAAATAAGCTTATGCAATGTACATTAATGACATTATTGGAGTGACAATAAACGGGAGATTGTTTATGTATTATGTAATGAGGACATTCGTGTGTGTTCTTCGTTCCTGCCACTCTAGTCCCATAGCTTCCTGTCTATGCATATCATAATTCTAACATTATTCAATGAATTTTTATGTACTACAAATCTCACCTGCAAGTAATCTTCCTTGAGTACTTCATACATGGCTTGACACGTTGCAGGTATTATGGGAGACAAACTTTATCTTGATATCCTCGTTCTATACTGAAGTGACGTGTAGGTGCACCCAGTTGAAGGATACATGAGCGAGCCTCTAGACGAGCCTCTGCAGGTATACTCTCCCTCATATAGGTATCCTGTTTTTTATATATATGGTTCCACTTTCGTTAGAAGTTTGTAAAAGGTGTTGGGGTCCATTCTCATGTAATTGGTGGAGTCTTGCTCATGTCCATCTTGCAGTTCACTAAAATCGTGGCATGACTACCCAATACTTTTCTTCGACCTAATCACTCTTTGCACCATTCCCTTTTCTGAATTTGGTTCTTCTTCTAGCACATAGCAGCAATTATTATAGTACACAACGCTAAGCTCTTCGCTTTAACTGCCGTCCACCTACTGGCTAAGGCGGTCGACTATGACTGCCGCCAACCAACCCGCCTGGTACTGCTCACCGTGTGGACAGGGCTTTATTAATTGGCGCCACATCTGGAAACAATGAGCTGCAGATGTAGCAGTTAAAAGTGAAGCGGTCATTCTACACTCCATCGAATTTACTATTTAACTTTAAAAAAAATGATGGACTTTTATGTTTACCAGTTAATTAAATTTAAAAACTCAATCAATTAATTGTATTATCAGAGTTTACTAGCCTCTTATACCACTTATGCATTGGACTGGTATTTATTTATTTCCTTTCATTTTTACCAAAGATACTCTACTCAAGATAGGAAAGCTCTAGCTAAAATATATATGAACTGTAACTTCACTTTAAAGTGGTACACCTGGCCAGTAGAGGGCGGACTCCTCGGAGACTCCCTTCCTCCTGTATACTTCCCTTGGTGGCACCAACACAACACAACACAACAAACGTCAGTGCTGAGATACAAGGTTGGAGTTATCACACACCCGGGAGGATGTAACTACATCAGGTGAGTTTATTCATTACTTTATTTAGGTTGATAGATAGATAGTTTATTGAGAGATATTGATTATAGACTAGGTAAACCTCACATTTCCAGGGTCTTGTAGATGATCTCCTGTAGAGGGTTTACGCCATGACTCGGCTTCTGTCTTACATTGTGTTGAAATTGTTAAAATTGCCTGTTAAAATTTAAGATAAATTAGCATTTTCGGTAAATATTCGTCCATTGGCTGTCCTCACGTTTTGATTATATATATATATATATATTTATTCTCCTCTAACCTTATTCTCCTCTAACTCTACCTTAGACTATTCCAACTCTATCCTTCCTACTCCTCCTACTGATCCCATGCACTTTCCTATAATCTCCACTTTTTAGGGTTGCTGGTGTGTTATCCAGGTTGGTTGTGAGTAAGGTGCATGGACCGGACGGAATACCCCCTCGTGTTCTGTGGGAATGTGCTGAAGTTCTGGCCCCTGTGCTTGCTCGACTTTTTCACCTTTGCCTCAAAACCCAAACTTTTCCTTCTTCTTGGAAGCATGCCTTGGTTCAGCCCATCCCAGAGAAGGGTGACCATTCCAATCCCTCTATCTATCGCTCCATTGCCCTAACTTCATCCCTCTCTAAGATTTTTGAAACTATCTCAAACTCTCATTTTCTTCGTCACCTTGAACGCCATTCTCTTTTCTCGGATCACCAGTATGGCCTTCGCCTGGTGAGATGTACTGGTGATCTGCTATCCTACTGTACTCATCTTTGGTGATCCTCTCTTAGGGATTATGGAGAAACTTTCGTTTTGACCTTCAACATCTCCAAAGCATTTCACAGGGTATGGCACAAGTCTTTGCTTTCTAAACTTCCCTCTTATAGTTTCTCTCCCCCACTTTGTTCTCTAATTTCTAGTTCCTTGAGAACCGATCCATGGCAGTTCTTGTCGAGGGATCGATATCTCACTCTTTCTCTGCTAATAGTTGTGTCCCACAGGGTTCTGTTCTTTCACCTACTCTTTTCCTTCTTTTTATCAATGATTTATTTCACACTACGACTAATTCTATCCATTCTTACGCTGATGATTCTACTCTTCACTCTTCTTCACATTTTTCCCTTCCCCCTAATTCTCAAACTAGATCTGTTTTTAGAGCTGATATCATTACATCTATCAATGCGGATCCATGCAGCATCTCTGAATGGGGAGGTAAAAACTTGGTTAAATTCAATACTGTAGTAATAAAACTTAGTATTTACCAATTACACTTTCCAAATTAGATGATCTCCCACCAATCACATTTCAGGATGTACTGGTAATAATTCTGCCAAATTCTAAAATAGATATGCTAGGCCTCACCATTTCATCTAATATGTCATGGAAGCCACACATCCTCAACATTGCTAAAGTTGCCTCCCGAAAGCTGGGAATGCTGTACAGATGCCGTAGCTACTTCACTCCTGAGCAGTTGCTTCAAGTATACCTGTATAAGGGATTCATTTGTCCTAATTTGGAGCACTGCTTTCATATCTGGGGTGGCCCTTCTGTCCAACTGTTAGATAGGGTGGAATCAAAGGCATTTCATCTAAATAACTCCTCCTTTAGTTGATAATCTCTCTTCCCTTTCTCTTTGCTGCAACGTTGCTTCACTCTCTCTCTCTCTTTTACAGGTACTTTAACGGGCAATGTTCGGTGGATTTGGCATTTTTCTGGAGACTACAAAATAAATGCCATTTTCACACATTTACTTTTATCCTCTTCGCCACTGATCGGCTTGTTAGCCGCTTGGGCGATTGGTCACGTCTCTGATTACTTTTCCTTTTCATTTATCTTCTTCACCAAGTGAGGTACAGTACTGTATGTGCAAAGAAAAATACAAACTATACCTAAACTATTTATTTCAGATATAAAGATGTGAGTGGATGGATGAAAGAAAGGAACACAATGGTAGCATGAGGAGACCATCCCACACAAACATCTCCCACCACAACCTACAAAACAGGAGGTAGAACTAGTCAAGAACAATTCCTCAGAACTGTACAGTAAGTCAGTAAGATAATTAGTGAACATCTTCAGGAAAACATTGTAAGAATCATTAAGGTAAACTGTCAACTATCCAAGTCTTAAGATACAAATATGGAAGTCAAGTTGGTGCTTTAGGAAACAGTGAGAATGAAAAGGTTTATACAAGTGAATATTTCTCCTGAAAATACCAGTGAAGTGCTGCACTGTGTTAAATACTGTATAGGTATTGTCTAAATACAGTATGATGAGAGTTACAATGTTTCTATTAACTTGTGACTCTTGTGATTGTGTTCACTTGTAATGAAAGTCCCAATATATAAATGTGACAAGTGTTTGTCTGCTGTGCTTATATACTGTTGAGACAAAGTTCACATGTAAATATATTTCATACAAGAGTAACTCAAGAAGCACATACATGCACAGAACTATGAAGGGGAAGTATTTATTTGTAAAGAGTAGAGATTTTTTGTTACACAGAATGATCATTTCAAATGTCCGTCCACTGATGAACAAAATTTACTTGTCCAAAGTGTTGTGAAGTGAGCATAAAAATGGCTGACTTTGGGGATCAACTGGCTGGACCTAATGATGAGGAAAACTGTGTGTGTGTAGATTGCTGTAATTTTTTCCCCAGCAATGATGCTTTACAGATGCATACCTGTATGTCTGAACACATTGATGTGAAGGACATTAAATGTGAAGAGTTTAATGAAAGTTTCAACAGTAACTATGATGTGACACATGTTACTCTTGGTGAGAAAATTATGAAATGTGAAGAGTTTGATGAAAGTTGTAACAGTAAATGTGATGTGACTCAACATATGACAGTTGATGAGAAAATGATAAAGTGTGAAGAATTTAAAGAACATTGTGAGAGTATATGTGATGTATCACAACAAGTGGCTGTTGATGAAAACAGTTTTAAATGTCATTACTGTAGTAACATTTATTACACAGAGAAACATCTGAATGAACACATGGTTGTACACACTGATAAGAAAACTTTTAAGTGTGATGTGTGTGGTAAAAGTTACAACAGAAAGCATCATCTGAAGGATCATATGGTATTACACACTGGTGAGAAAAATTTTAAGTGTGAAGAGTGTGGTAAATGTTACTTCAGAGATAGTACACTGAAACTCCATATGGTTGTACACACCGGTGAGAAGAATTTTAAGTGTGACGAGTGTGGTAAATGTTACTATATAAAGGATCATCTTACGAGGCATAAAGTTGTGCACACTGGTGAGAAAAAATTTAAGTGTGAAGAGTGTGGTAAAAGTTATTACAGAAAGATTCATTTGAAACAGCATGTAGTTGTACACACTAGTGAGAAAAAATTTAAGTGTAATGAGTGTGGTAAAAGTTTTAAATGGAAAGCCCATCTACTGAGGCACGTGAGTGTGCACACTGCTTAGGTAGATATACAGTACAGTGATATCCCCGTTAGCCAGAACAATTGGTGCAGAGCACTTCCGGGGATTAGAGATTTCCAGCTAACCAAATGACTTTCTCAAACCCAGCATATTTATAAGCTATGTGGGAGACAGCCTGAGAAGACTTCCTACCCGCTAAGTAACAACACGGCTCTGTGGGAACGGAACGGACTCACCCATTGGTGTTAGTTAGCCATCTCGATTGTCGATCCTCCTCTACCAGTTTTACCCTAAATTCCTACCTTTTACCCAAGACATGTACTTGCCCATATTTGGCATTATATATCATGTATTAAAAGAATGAATATAACAATATATTTCTTTTAGCAAATACTATTACAGTATCATAAAATCAACATCTACACAAAAATCAAGATTTTCATAATCAAACCAGTTTGCAGTAAATGCTGTAGCACTTTATTGAAACAAATGAACAATACAGTAACTTTATACACTGGCAACTAAGAAGGTACCTTTTCTTAGGAAATAAAAGCAACAAATTTTATTGATTTTTCCTTCAAAATACTGTACTGCTTACTACTCCTCAAACTGCACAAAAAGTTGGATTTTACAAATACTGTATGTGAAATAAAAATAATTTCATAATATAACTCTCATAAGAAAAATGCTAATGAATGACTTAATATTTCAGCAATATATTTTAAATGATTACATTATACATACTGTATACAAGTAATCACTAGCCCAAATAATTATGTCTAGGAATTAACAATGTAGGGTCTTCTTACTGAACAGTAATTTATTGTTAGCTACTTCAGAATAGGAGGCATCACTTTTAACTGATTTGATAGTTTTAAGTAGCTGCTCATAGATATTCATATAAGCTGATGTAATGTTTTCTTCATGTGGTATACAGCATGCATAAGACCATGCAGTGTTTCATTTTTCAAAGAGGATCTTTGAGAGGTTTTGGTGAGATTGAGCTAGCTGAAGAACCTTTTAACTGATGAACTGGAGAAAGGCAATGAAAGGAGGGTAGAGACTGGCTTTAATTTTTTTCTGCTGAACACTTTACAGTATTCCAGTAATTTGTGATAAGTAACTGACAAGACAGGTCCTTGTCCAGGTAGTGTTTTCTCCACTCTTCATCAAGCAGCTTCTTAACTACAAAACTCTTAAGTTGTGGCAGCTCATGCAAAAAAAAGATAATGATGGGGTATTCAGAGTTGAAGCAGCATGAGGATTTACACAAACAACTAACTTATTCAGGGGGGCTCCTGGGGGTCGGGACCCCCCACTCCTCCTTTTTCACCAGAAAATTCCAATATTTTTTCTTTATAATGCAATATTGTACTCAGGCATTTTTGTGCTGTCTAGTATAATCATATTTACTATTGACTTCAGAAAATCTCTTAATATTAAGTGCACATGGCCTCAAAATGCCCATGATATTGGTGAGATTTAAAAAAATTTATGGGGGCTTACAGCGCCCCCACCCCCCCCCGACACAACTTCTTGGACTCCCTCTTGATATTCCTGTATTTGTGAAACTGCCTCTACTATAAATGAATGACATGACTGAAAATATACTGAGAGTTCCTCATTTGTCACATTTCCCAATTTTTTCAACTCCGTATTGTTTCTGTTTCATTTACTCCAACATAAGTTCTCTCAAGAGAGACTAAAGCACTTGAGAAGGTTCCATGTCTTGTGTTTAGCATATAAATTAAAACATTTTTGACAAATGCAACTTCCATGATATCAGAGCGCAAACTTCAAATAAGTTTGTAAGTTTCAGTTTTGAGGCTAAAAATTTTTGGTACTCTGACTGGAAAAGAGTGTTGAAACTGTTAAATTTGGCTAAGTTACCTTCTTACTAAAAGCATCAACAATCATGTTACTCACTTGAGTGGGATCACTAAATAATAGTTCTGTAAAATACAGTTCTAAGACACTCCACTGTCCTAATAGCCTCTTTTCACAAGCCTTAAAAGACATCCATCTTGTGTGACCAGGGGCAAGGATTTTATGAGGCTTAATATCAACACATTTTGGGAACTCTCAAATGCATCCTGCCTGTTAGAGCTGAGGCTAAAGTGTGAAAATATGTTGCCACATAAGTCTTCAATGTGTTGTTGAAGTTTGAAGCATGCTGCTCATGCACTGAGATGAATCATGTGGCATGAGCATTTAACAATGACAACATGGGGAAGAACTGATTTTAATGAGTGGCCACTGAATGGTTAGCTCCCATCATTACATTAGTAGTGTCAACAAAACCAACAATATTTTCAAAGGGAAATTTTTTTATATACTGGAAAACATTCTTTGAGAGAGTTAAATAGACCATTTGCAGAATGATCATTTACCTCAATAAGATGAACAAATTTTTTTTGCAATTTTCCATCTTGAAAATACTGTAATAAAAGAGAAGCTCCTGCACGCCTACGCCCACGAGGGCCGGCCAGTAGACCATTGTAGAAAGGAACATCAGAACTGACTGGGATGCTTATAGTGCCATCAAACAAAATGACCCAAATTCGTCACCCTCTCAAGGGAAAACAGATGACGGCTTATATCAAGTGCCATGAAGGTAACTCCGCCCAGTGACTAATGTAACTATGCCCATATCGTGAACTAGCCAATCAGTGAAAGAAGGGCCAAAAGAACCTTTGAAAAACGGGCTCTGATTGGACACTCAGAATGTGCTTCCGGCAGCTAGTGAACAATGTTAGATGTATGGACTCAGTTTAGCATTGGGTGTTATATAGTGTGGCAGTTTCTGGATGGGCCAGCGGTGATCTTACTGGGCATGGTAAAGTGGATTCAATGTTTTTTTTGTATTCTTATGGGTGTATGGTGAATTCCTTTCCCCTCCAGTACCTCTAGTTAGAAATAGGATGAACACATATAACTTCATATCACGTCTTTGTTGAATAAATTTAACTTGGGAAATATCTCTTTCCATTTCTTCCTTAACTAATGTGTTAACCTTTAAAGCCCCCCTAGTAACAGATGGAGGAGTAGAAGGAAATACAGAATCAAGTGAACCACATTTAATTAACTCCAGTGCCAACACACAGCTGAATAGAGTAAGTAGAACACGACTTACCATGTTATAATACTGAACAATGTTAAGTTACAGTGACTTAAGTCTATTCCATCATCTTAAGTATTTGTACAGATAGTATGGTAAAATTTCAGTTGCCACTATACGAAATCGAAGTTGAAACTGTTTTTCCGATGATCTTTGGTGTGATATGAACGAATTTGACTTAAATTTCTGGCGCAAATCAATAGTTTGAGATTAGCCCGCGCATCTCAGAATCTAGAGATTTACTATAAAAATCAAGGTAAAAAGTGTTCAAACACATCGAATATCATCGGGAAAACAAAACCTTACCCTAACCTAACCACACCCCACAAATCACAAGGGCTACAGTAAATGAGGCAGCTGCAGAGAATAGAGGAGGGCCGGAGTCAGTACCAAGACCAGAGACATTACAGAAAGTCATGTACACTAATACTGACACGTTCCTTGACGAGAACTGAGGGGGCATCAACACGATTTAGTAAGGTGTTGAAGAACTGTTGTACAAAAACAGGAGAATCGAACCTGAGAAATGTGAGTTCAATATAGATGGATATGACTCATTTATGAACCTTTTCCAAGAAACTTGCAAGAGGGGTGTGGTTATCTGTGCTAGACAAGACCTTAGAGCCAGCCAGGTGAGGGTACAGCAAGAGGATGTTTTTGAAGACTCAAAGTGGTGTTAAATTAAACTGAAGGGGAGAGACTTACTCATTGTTGGATGTATCTACAGATCCCCAAACTGGGTGGAATAACTCATTCTGTACACTCATTGGTCACCCCCACCCAAGCATCTGGACTGTGATCGAGGCCTTGCGATGCTCCAGGACCAGATTGGGGAACGACGCAGAGCACAGAAGACCTTCGAAGAGCGTCTTGTGAACCTGTGTTCTGACCGTCAAGTCAGATTCTAAGAGTGTGGAGGAGTTCCTGCAGGGTGTTGGTTTATGTATTCGATTCAAATAAACTAATATATTTTCATAAGTGGAGCATATATTGAAAGTGTCAATTCCCAACAAATGTAAAAGGGTTTTGTGGAGTGTGAAAAATAAAATGTATATATAATGGGTGTTTGTAATCATAAAAGTGTTTTATTTTATATTTTATATATGAAACGGGTTTTGTCCACTTCATATAATGGGTTGGGGTTTTGTCCTTAGACCCCTCCTGTGGCATGGCCACCTCAAGTGGGTGGCCATTAGGCCTATATACGCTAAAATATTCGCTTAAATTTGCATATTTGTTTGCTCCATTATGGCAGGACGTGCAATGTTCTGCCACGTGACAAACTGTGGATGAGCTGATGATTAACACACAAGCGGCTAACGAGTCGATGAGTGGAGAAGCGGTAAATAAATATGGGTAGTAGACCTATGGGACAGTGTACCAGACCAGGCTGTGGAACTGATAAAATGGGATAAAGAATAACATTGGTATTTTTCCCACGGCATGACCACTTGTAGTTTGTGTGACCATTAGGTGAATAAAGTAAAAAGGTAAATGAGGAAATATATCTACTGTAGGGATCACCGTAAAGAGGGATACAAAAATTAATAGGATACAATACATTATTGAAATATGGCAAGATAAAAAAACACTGAATAATATTTACTGTTTATACAATGGGAATAATGATACAAATATATTTACGGTGCCACTGAAAAGAATTATGTATCTTCCTGCCTGTAGTCCCCCGTGGGTCATTGATCAGCTGGGACAGACGCTCTCCTGTCAACAACATGGTGAGCCACACACTGTCACCCTCACTCTCTGTCACCCTCACCCTTATCTCATGAGCTAATTAACTGGCAACACACGATTCACAATAGTTATTTTTAGGGACAAATTTAGAGTAAGTTTTTTTTATTTCAAGTTTATATTTAAATAAAAACTGTCGCTGGTATTAGTTATTTAGCTAATGTCACGCGGGGAAAGGTTGTTTTATATTAATGTAATCACATTTGAACGTAGTTTATTATTTGTATTGGTTTACACGCTATTGTCGTTTACAACCACTGGTTATTTCACTTACAACTCATAAAATTTGTTGATCAAGATCCTGTGAAGTTATTGTATGGAATCCCTAGTGGATATTTTGCCAAGACCGGCTGAGTTCCTACTAACGCTATTTTACCGTGATTGTGCTCTGATTGGCTAAGTATTTTCCATTTAAAATGATGGGGCGGGGGGGTTGCCCCCCCTGGCTAGGAAGTGACTTTTTACTTTTATCCTCTTCGCCACTGATCGGCTCATTAGCCGCTTGGGCGATCGGTCACGTTTGGCAAGTACTGGGCATGCACCGGCTCCTGAATGTACCTGAACCTGCTCCAGTGTTGGTCAAGTCTGGTCTTGAAAGAGCTCGCACTCGGTGCCGGTGTCGTGCGACAAACCTTTCGGGGTAAATGCTTAGTTTTGGGTATTAAATTTAATTATAAAATTAGTAAAATTTACACAACTTTGGTGGTTCTCCAGTTCGCTTAAGTGTTTATTGTTTACTTCTTCACGCGGTGCACACATGATCAGCCTCCACCATCGGTTAAGTAGGGTAAGATTTTGTAATGTTAGGTTAGGTCAGGATTTCTTGGGTTTGATTGGTTCATTTTTTGTGTTCTTACCCCACAATTTCCATCGACTTCAAAGCACTGCCCACTTTGTGCTTTCATTGTCTTTGGTAGTGAGTGTTTCATATCATTCTTATAATTGATGAGCCCGGAAGGTTTATCTCACCGGAAAATTTGTCGCATGACACCGGCACAACACTCTCTGGCAGACTGTTCCGAGAGTTCACAACTCTCACTCCGAAAAAGTTTACCCTCACAGTTTTCTGGACTTACGGCTTCTTCAACCTTGAGCTGTGACTCCCTGTTGGGCGAGCGTCCGCCAGCTTCAAGTAAGGGCACTCAACTGAGTAGTGCCCTTTGAGATGCTTATACACCTCAGTTAGGTCGCCCCTTGCCCTTCTGTGGTATAAGCTGTTTACGTGAGCAGGAATCGGAACAGTTCATAGACATTAATAACTCTATTTCATTTCACACTCGCCAAGAAACAACAGCAGCGGCAGCAACTCTGGAATAGTTTCGGTCATCCGGGGAATCTTAGGAAGTTAACTATTGGAATTAGTAGGGGTTTGGGGGGTGATACAGAAGCCTTTATTTAAAAAAAATCAATCTTGTATATTCTCAATAAGTTTCTCAGACTTACGGTTGGTGGGTTAGTGGTTATGAGAGCCGTTGTTACCAGCCAACACACATAATATATATACTGTACTGCAGTGGAATAAGGCTTTAAAAGAGCACACAAAAATTGGTTGCTATTTTTATTTTACCTGTATTACAGTTTTATGATTTTTTTTCTTCTCAGATATCGTGCACAGGCCAGAGTAATTGACTCACTAAAGAGCCTTCAAGATGATGAGTGGAGAATCGTGTGGGCGGTGAGTTATTTTAATTAAGGTCTATGATATTTCTTGCCATTACTGTACTGTACATTTGGAATCATTTTGTGGAGAGTTTTTCATTAGGTAATTGTTTGCTTTGTTGTTGGGTTTGGTGTTAGTGTTCCTCCTCTCACACTAGTAAGGGAGGCTGGGTACCTACACTATTTATCTTAAAGTATTTATTGTTAATTTTCAGTTATTTATTTACTGTCTACAGTACAGTACTGGTAGCCATCTTGCACTGTTATTATAATTGTTTCATCAGTAACATGGAACTTCCAGTTCACCGACATGTCATATTTTACTATACAGTACTGTAAATAATGGTACTAAATAATAAAGCAACCTGAATTTCTTGAAAAATCTATCAATTATTATAAACTATAAGAAAACTTGTTTTGTATTTAGGTACACAAGGTGTAAAAGTCCTTAAATTGAAAAGAACATCTTAAAAAATTGTGAGAATATTATCCCCGGAAAGACTCTGGTGCGTGTGTGTGCGTGCGTGTGTTTACAGTATTGTAATGAGGTGAGCCTTACTAAACCTGGTCCAGCCAACTTCAGGGGCCAGTTGTCAGTCCATGAGGAAGCTGTATCACACCAGAGGGAGGTGTAATGTATATGCTCTTGGGTCACAGATAGTGACCATAATATTTAAGGCTCGCTGCATTACTGTACCACAACCACTGCTCCTAATTACAGTATCTTAGATATTATTATGATATATTTTCAGAGCTGGGGTGTTTAGCCTCCCTGAGACCCAAGGCCATTATTCACCATTGTACTTTTATTAGTTACTTTTAATCCATAAACATTTGCTGATTTTCATCATGCCAAACAGCATTGTTTCAATATAAAGTCATTTAATAATTAGGGAACAATATTTTTTTAAGTTACTGATCTCTGATATAACCAAGGGTGTCCGCTGGAACATTTCCAGGAGGAGGAGGAGGGAAATAAGCAAGCCCCACTGTCAGGCTTGGTGGGCTAACAATTTAGTGGTTTGTTTGATGTGATTTGCAGGTTTATCACAACCCATGTACTGCATACATCAAGTTTAGGTAAATACAGTATGTGAAGATGGAATTACTGCAAAAATAATTTATTGTGTATGGTAATTATACACAGCCATGCAGATTCTAATACTGTATAACATTAGTACTGTACATTTTCTGTATACAAAATCATACTTTATGACAACCCTGCTGACAGCTGGGCGAGGTGGTGTGAGGGAGGCCTCCCTCTGCTCGCTGCAGTCTCCCTCTCAGCCACACAATTAAATTTCCTTGCACTTTGCTTCATAGTTCGAATGGAGCTCTCATTGGCCCCGTGCTGACGAGCATTAACAGTTGTACTTCCCTCGCATTCAAGTTCTTCACTAATTTTTACTTTTTCCTCTAAAGTAGACCTCTCGCGTAACATCTTGGCAGGAATTTCAGGGTATGGCGATGAAGCATCTTGGGGGTTCACCAGGGGCTGGGGTACTTTGAAGAACATGATAAATGGATAGTTAAAGACCTTCCTGACCCTGCCGTGGGTCTGCTCACATGACACAGGTGTAAAGGCAAAGTTTGCCCCTCGGAGTGTCGCTGCACGTGGTCCACTGCCTCTTTATTACAAAATGGGTGTCCTTACTGTAAAATATTGAGGCAATTTAGGTTGCTGCATTATTGCAAAATCCTTAATATAATGCACATTTTTCTGACTACTGTACAAGTATAGCAATATTTTTGTGAGGTTAATTGATATCATAATAATTTTGGTGGTTTGTGTTGTTACTTGGCAGGTTTGGACAGGATGACGACGATGATGATGAGCACGATGGTCCTGGGCGTCACATGTCTCCACCAGAAGATCCTTGGAACTTGATATATCTGGCTCTGGTGATGGCTGGTATTGGCTTCCTATTGCCATATAACAGGTAATGTTGATAATTAGGTACAGGTGTTGACTGTTATACGATCAATTGACATATGATCGATTAATTTTATAATGTTTAGAAATTACTGTAACACCAAGTACAGTACTGCTATGTGATGGTTAAGATCAGATTTACGATGGTTGTTACCCGATGGCAACCTGAATGCTTTTCCTGCATTGTCACTGCTTTGGAAAAGTGATGTGTAATAACTTGCAATAGACCAAGATATGATGACACAACCTCGGAATGGAGTAACACACGTGACCCACGCAGGATTTGTGGGTGGCTCTGCCTGCCCCGGTGGCTGCATGGCTGAGTAGCTGAACTGTCATGTCGCCCAGAGGATGGTTTGCATATGGAAGAAGCTATTCTTTATACATAAAATAATATATACTCGGTAAAGTGCTAGTAAATGTGAGGAATAGATAAAAGTAATACTAATAAATAAAAAATAATAAAGAAAATATTCCATTGCTATTTGATAATCATATCACTACACACAGGACAGAAACAGAGAACATCTGAGAACCCCCACACCCCTCTCTGTGATAACTCCCACGCATATAAGAAATGTTTATTCCCTTTATAATTTTGACCTTATGATAATTATTTTTGGCATATTATGTATGAAAGATTGTGTGTGCATGTAAGAGTAAAAAAAAAAGAAGAAAATTATGTATACAGTTTGTCTACCCAAAATTACGAGTTAAAAAATAACTGCTCTTGGTGATAACTCTTGCTCTTCAGGGTCTCAGGAACAGAACCTATTTTCCCATAAGTTATTAATATTGATATACGATCTATCACCTTACGACGGCCTTTCAAAGTCCCTAACTCCATCATATAATGGTCAACACCTGTATTACTGTTTCTGTTTCATGAAATTGCATTCCACTTAAAAAAAAATTCAAGCAAAAATTAAGCAAATATGGGAGTTGGCAGATACCACTTTCTGATGGAAAGTTTATGGAGATAGTGAAATATAATTTATTTGGGTTGGGTGATTGTACCCTAGACCACACATACCTGTTATAAAACACACTGTACAGGTACAGTATAGTAAGAGTTGTGGGAGGATTGTTATGGATGTTGTCTAGGACTCACTGTAGCACACTCATCATGCCTTTAAGATACTGAGGCGCTACTGTACAAGGTATCACTTCTTTACTGGCTCACTAAAGTTTTATATGTATTTTAGATTCTTGCATTGACTAGGATCTACTGTGTGTAAAACTGTGATAGCCATTACTTCAGTAATAATGGCCTGAATTTCTTAGTTCTTCCTTTCTTGGTTTGTCACAAAAGAATAAAAATAAATATACATAGGAATTTTTGGCCGTTTTCCGAAGATAATGTCAATAGGACCGTTTGCATGAGTGTTATTATTTCTATGGTTTATTTTCAGTTTCACCATTGCTGTTGATTATTTCCAAGAACGTTATCCTGAGACCACGATCGTCTTTGACATTTCTATCGTTTACATCTTCGTTGCGTTTGGCGCTGTGCTGCTCAACAACCTCGTGGTGGAGCTGGTGCCTCTTAACATCAGAATTATATTTGGTAAGTTATAATTTATTATCTTTTTAAGGCTACACTATAATGAGAATTTCAAGGAAGTTTATATGTTTATACTTTTTATTGAGTCTTGGGCCCCATAAGCTGCATTAAAATTCTTTAATGTCTTCTTATATAGGCACCGCTCGAGGTATCATTGTAACTTGTATTTACCTGGTATAATCCTTGATGAATGGTCTTGGAGGTACAACGTTGTTGGTAATGTAGAATTACCGTATTTTACGGCATATAAGACGCTCTTTTTTGTCTGAAAAATGGCTAAAAAATCAGCCAGCATCCTACAGTATATGTAAAGTTGTGTTCTCCCACAAGATTAATGAATCCCCTGTTGCTGTCTCCATTAGGCTAAATTCTACCTAATCCAACTTCAGATTTAAAAATATGTTATTGCTTACTTAAACACATTCTGGTTTTACCCAAAAGCTGCCATCAGGTAATTGCAGCTAACTCACCCAAGCATGGAAAATGGCTGTAAAACATTGTTGATGATGATGATGGTGTCAGTACTCAGATGACACTTCCTCATGTACTGTGTTGTAGGGTATTGTATTAGAACATAAATGCTGTACCAATATATTCATTATTTGTCAATAGACTTTTTCATCTTTTACTCCTAACACCACTGGATGCCTTGGGACTGTGTTGTTGAAGTGGCTGCCCTGTATCACATAGTGAGGAAAGGCTTGCAAAACTCTTGTCACTTGAGCCAGGTGTAACTGATCTGTATATATTAATCTTGGATATATTTTACATAATATCAACAACTTTATGAATAGCACACCTGATTGACTGACTCACAGCCTGACTGATTCACTAAATGACTCACTCACTGCCTGACTGACCCATTGAATGACTCACTGACTAGAAGAAGAACTAATAATCACATCTTGGTCAACTCATGTACTGTGTGTGTGCGTGTCTTTCAGGATATGTCGTTTCTCTGGTCATGCTCATCTTCGTCAGTTTCTTTGAGATTTGGTGGCCCAACGCCTTCATGGCCAGCATCTCCTACAAAGTCACACTCTTCTCTGTCTCCGTGGTGGCCTTCGGTTGTACAGGTATGTTACAAGGTATCAGATGGCCTTAATCTTCACTGTCCACTTGGACTGTAGGGAGGGGGGGGGGGCTTCTGTTGCTTCTCTTCCACACTCCTTCATGACCTCGGCACATTTCTATGGACTTGGTCGTCGAGCCTCTTCTATCATTCAAGTAATTGTTCACCTTTACCCTCTACCTTGTCCTTGGTCTTCATATTTTACAATACTCACTCACTTACACTGTCATACTGAAGATATGTATAGTTCTTCTCCAACTTACACTGTCATACTGGAGATACTTCTTTATAACGCTGTACAGCATTACCTCGCTATACATATCACGTGCATTCTTGAAGTTACAACGTACAGTACAGTACTGTATAGTGAACATGAGTTTACCATAGACCTAATGATACAAATAGGAGTTATGTACCTAAGGGACATTTCTGGTAAAAATTTTATTACCAAAATAATAATTAAATACATTATCTATACTAGATAACTGTAAGTTGAAATATACAGTACAAAATGTTAATAAGATAACACTTACCCAAGATGGTTGAGGTTACTGCTTGGTAGAGGCTGGCTGGGGTAGGAAGTGGTGCAGTTAGTGAGACAAAGTGTTATGATTGCCTACCTCTTCATCTAGGAGTGAATGTTTAAATATGGTTCAAAGATTGCTGGACAGTTGTCTTCTTATGTTTGTGCAGCTCCTTATAACAGTTAATGCTGTTGCGTAGGATCTTGTTAACTGTAGAGGTGCATATTATGTGTGGGGTTCACACTCACCAGCAAGGGTTTAAGCATAGAATGCACTGAAGCTTTTCCTATCAAGCAGAAGAGTTAACTGATCTTTGGCTGCTTTAAAACTTGGCACAGTCTTCTCTTCCATTGACATGAAGGTCCTACTGGCATACACTTCCAGTGAAGCTCCATCTCATCCACATTAAACAACTGGTGAGCTTATAGCCACTTTCTTCAATTAATGCTCTCAAAATTTGTAGATTAGTTCTAGCCACTTCTGTGTCAGCACTTGCAGATTCACTTTCCTCATCCCGTGGTGAGGCTGCCTCACAGACCCCGGCTACTGAGTGTGGGCCACTCCTGCCTGCGCACTCCCACCCACCTATGTGGAGAGTAAAAAAGTTTACGAACATTTTAAGTTTTTAACTTTGTTTTCAGTCATACAGTTATCTATTTACCTTGTATTTGTATGTAAGTGAGTGTTCCATAATATATTGTTTTTTATAATAAAAAGAGAAAATCATCTACATGACCATTTATGAAACTAGTTTGTTGACCCCAAAAAAGAAAATTAAAATATTTAATATTTTAATTTCTGAATAACATAAGTGTCTCATTTCTTTCAGTGCAATTTCCCTTTCCTATCCATCTTGATAAGGGTAGCAGTAACACCATAAACCTTTTGAACAATTCTTACATCTACAGCAACCTTGGACAGTGGATCACCAAGTGGGTGGAAAAGTTGCCTGCCACTCACCAACACTCACAAGCACTACCACAAAAAATGGCATGCTCTGGCATTCTAGTTAAGCCAAAATCCAAGCAAATTGACCTATTTTTCGATTTTGTACAAATTTTTAAATTGGATGGCCAAATACTCGGCAAAGGAACCTTCATATAACTTTTTAGGTACAGTACTGGAAAGTGTTGCTGCTGTGTTCGTCAAAATGTTCAAATCACCCTCGAGCAGCCACAAAGGTTTCCAAGTCTGATCTCTCGCCATAATCTGACTCTGATCTTCCATCCCAATTTTTTAAAGTCTTTCAATATTTTCCCTAACTCCACTTCTGTTTTGAGTTATTTTAGTAGCCGTTAAATGTGTCACAATTTAAGCACATTATTAAATTTGGTCAGGTTTCTCACTGGTTGTTCTCACAGGTAGGCCAAGCATCCTGGCAATATCAATGGTTGTTCACCAACTTTAAAACTCCTTATGAAACTTTTCTTTAGTTTTTTTCTTGCCAGAGGCACAAATATCACTTGCTGGGTCTTTCCCACTCGCTGTAAACAGGTGAAGTGAATGTGGTAGTAAACTGACTTACACTAGGCAGGAGTCGTAGCAGAAGAGCATGGTGGTTGAATGGCACTCTACAGTAAGGCTACTCTTAAGTGGTCTGCCACTGTTACATAAACCTTTTTAAAAATCGTTTGAAAAAAGTGTTATTTTTCTGTAATTCATGAACAGTGTATAAATGAAACAACATAAAGCAAAGCAACATATAGCGAGGTATGCCTGTACGGTATCTTGCTGTGCTATCTTTAATATCTATTCTGTTTGGATTTATTCTTTAATTTTAACAAAACTGCAGTCAATTTTTCTCCTTCACCTTCCTCCTTTTTACTCTTTTTCTGTACAAATGATCTAGTAAGTATTCTCTATTTGTATTTTATGGAACCTGTTCATCATCCTTCTCTTAACGTTATCATAGAATGTAACATTGTGAGCAGTAACCCCAAGACGGACAGTTAACATTTTTTTTAAGAGTCGTTATAATTTACATGTAGTGGAATGAATCCTTCTTTTTTTTTTAAGGGTTTTCTCTTCTTAAGTCTATTGTATCTGTCTCTCATTTTTTGCCACAAGTGTTGCCTCAAAATATAAAAGCTTTAACTCCCCTGTTACTTATTACAGTAATCTGCTTTAGTAAACACTTCTAATTCATTAATACATAAGACAATTTGAATTTTATATAGCTAGTCTTGTGTTATGTGATACTGTACATAATTTGTAGCAGTTATAAAATGTGTATTTAGTGTATTTAACTGGTTCTTCATAAGTCTGCCATTAATATTACAGGAAAGGTTTACAAAACATGAATGGACAGATTTTCTTGCACTAGTTGTCTGTTACATCTATATTACGGTATTCTAGCTTATGTCCTTTAGTGAGGCAGCTCTCATAACTCTGGGTCTTCCTGTCCTCACACAACCCCTCATTATGTCAGTCATGGTTGGTATAATAGCCTTCCCTCCTCATCACAATCACTAACCCAAAGGAGGTGATAAGGTACAGTTGTCCTTGGGAATCTGAAGGTCTTTAGAGGAGTGGCTGTCTTCTCAGCACGTGGGGATTGTTTTAGGACATGGAGCTCCCGGTAAGGAGTTTACATTACGAGAGTTGCCTCGTTACAAGCTGTGACAGACAACGGGATTTCAAGTTCGGTCTTCCATTTGTTATTTATTTTCCATTTTTATTCTCGGAATTCTATATATGTCATGGTAAGTAAAATTAACCATGTAGTTTTCATCTCTTAGCATGATGCCTTCATATACCCTGGACCTTAACCTGGACCAACCCAATGTGACCTAACCTAAACTAACCAAACCTAGCCTAATCTAACCTAACCCAACCTAACTTAATCTAACCTAACCTAACATAACCCAACCCTGTATGTACTTATCCTTCCTCCAAAAACAGGGCATCACATCCAGGATCATTTCCAAATATTCTACTCTGTGTCTTCAAGGAAAACCAAACAACATTGTCTTAATTATTTGTTGAAACAATTCTCGAATTTTAACAAGTGTTTATGTTAAACTGTAAAGTATTAACTTCGAATATAATGAGGATGGTGGTCATAGAGGGGGAGAGTGAGGATGGTGGTCATAGAGGGGGGGAGTGAGGATGGTGGTCATAGAGGGGGGGAGTGAGGATGGTGGTCATAGAGAGGGGGAGTGAGGATGGTGGCCAAAGATGGAGAGAGTGAAAGATATACATAACAAATTTGATGCCATGGTTGACACAAGACAGTACGTAGAAACAGTCAGGCAAGAGAAGATCTACACAAGTACTGTATTATTAACTAAGAAGGTTTTCTAGAACATTGGGAATGGTTTAGGATGGAGGGATCATTATAAATTTTGGGAGTGTGTAGAAAAACTTCATGCCATCATTACTGGGAATATGGGTCATGGTAGACAACCTTAATGGGACAAAGAGCAAATACTTATCTCTCTTTGCTGGTTAGGTTAGAATAGACTAGGTTAAGTTAGGTTAGACTAATTTTGGTTTGGTTAGGTTGGGTTAGATTAGGTTAAGTTTGACATTGTTTTCATGGGTGACTGAATTCAGTTAATGTATTGCCTTGATAATTTCATGTATTCTGTGATTAGTACAGTACGTTTATCAGCATCCTAGAATGGTTTTATTTTTGTTTTGTTTTTCAGGACAGATGACAGGACAGGTTAATAGAAGAGCCTATATAATATTTGGTTCTAATTCTCTGTGTTTAACTGTGTTGAGAGGTATATAGGGACGGATTTGCTGTTGTGTGAAGTAGCAGGAGTAAACCAGATGCAGTATTTGGGTTCTTGTTGAAGGGGAACACCATAGCAATACAGTGCACCTCTTCTACAGCATTAGTAAGAGGCTGATTATTATTGGTTCCTGCTACATTGCATTATGTTGAGAAAATTGTTGGTGTGAACAAAAGAGTGTGCGGTGTGTGTTTTGGCAGTAACTTGAATAATTATTAAGACAAGTTCTAGTTGAGTGCACATGATTTAAAGTTTTTCTTATGTACTGTATTTTGAAATATGAAAAAACTTACCGGTATATTTCTAAGGGAACCTTCATTATTTCACTAAACAACACCAATACAGGTATGTGAACAATTTTATACAAAAAATCAGGAAGTTTCCTTTTGCCTTTTCACATCAAGTACTGTAGATGAAACAACCTTATATTTATCACATAGTTATCATACTATAGTTTGTGTGTCTGTGTGTGTGCGTGCGTGAGAGAAGACCTTTAGCCAGGAATATATGTTTAATGGCCACTTACACAATATTAGCTCCTGTAAATTTTGGTGAAAATAATAATTAAATACTGTACTGTACCTACATCACCAGCAGCAGGATCATGCTTGTCCCATTGTGTTTGGGGTCAAATGTGAGAGAGGTGTTATTCAGTGTGACCTAACCAAACATTGTAGATTTACTCTGCATACGCCAGTGTCCTCCTGTACTAACACTGGACAATGAAACTCATAACAAAGGGCAGACTGATCACTGAACGAGTAAGAAGTGGACAAGTGGTGGAAATGATAAATTGGAAAATAAATGTCCAACTGTCAACTGTGGAACAAACTGTTGCCATGACTGGCAAACCTGTGCTACAGTTGTAAGATATCACTTCCAGTATGTGGGCATCATTAAGGAAAATTGGAGTGTGTTTTCATCTTTTTTTATTAGAAATATTGTACTGTACTCTGTACAATTATTTTTTTCTTATTTTGTTCTGAAAGCAACAAAAACAAATAGTTTGTGCTTATGAGTTGACACGGCTCTTTTCAGGTAAGGCACCAACCATATATTTACCAGTATATACTGTACATTGTAAGCTTCAGTCTAAATAGATGAGTCACAACTAAACTTGAGGAAGCAATGTTTGGAAGTGTCATACTGGATAACACCCTTCTCACGTGTGTCCTTGGCCAGGACCCAAACCCACAACATGGTGGTGAGCGATACATGTGTTACCACTGTACCACCAACACCCTATATACTTTCAGGGAGGAATTACTTATCTTTATACAGCAAATGATGTACACATAGGAAAAGTTATTTGTCTCGGTAAATTCTTTCTTTGAAGTAAGTGAATGATCATTAATGTGGAGCCCTGTTATACCCCTGCATTTTTCTGTAAATATTTAACAAATATTTCTCTGGGCACTGTGGGTGAGACCAAGTGGTGACTCAGGTTTACTTAAACTTTCTTCCCTTTGAAAATCTCTCTCTATTACAGTCCAGCAGTCAAGCTTCTATGGTTATACCAGCATGCTACCAAAGAGATATACTCAAGCTGTTATGACTGGAGAGAGTGAGTATAACAAGGGACATATCATGGATATTGGCTCACACAATATCTCCAACTAGTTGTGATGTAACAAGTAATGTTTTTTACCATTCTATGTATATGACAGTTGGTCTATATACTTTGCTGAAAAGTAATTTATACTATATACTGTGCTGTATGGCATGTGCTGTGTTTAAAGTACTCTTTCATATATTATGTACTATTTTGTCTTTGTCAAGATCTTATGTACACTGACAGTTTTTGTTTAACTTTGAACACCTTTTTTTTATGGGTTGGCTTTGCTACAACACCGTACTTTATGCTAATGAACACCTGCCATGCATGCAGTGCTTGTAACAGGCTAACAGTAGCTGTTTCTGTGCCCAGTTTTATACAGCTAATACTAGAAAAGTGCTAAAACTGTGTATTCTTCTTTGTCGTAACTACAATGAACAGAACATTTTTTAGAAGTGTTTTCTCTGTGAATATTGATAACTAAATCATAGTTTGTTGTTATATTTATTACTGTTAGAGTGTTAGGTTAGTGTTAGCTTGGTGCATTATTGTTAAGGTAGTGTTAACTTGGTGTATTAGTGTTAACGTGGTGTAGTAGTGTTAGAATAGTGTTGGCATGGTGTAGTAGTGTTAGCATGGTCTATTAGTTTAGGCTATGACTCAGTGAGGTAGGGGTTGGGGACCAGGAGCTTGATACTGTATACTGTGTTACCCTAAGGTATTATGCGTGATATCAACTCAGGATGTGTGCTTACATGGGGGTAACAGGTTGAGAAACATATCAGCCTGTATCTCAAGATGAAATTTCCAACACTAAGATTGTAATTTTTCAGCCAGGTTTTGACCGATTTTATGAATAAAAAATTCAGCACAAGAAGCTTCTTTCGTCAATGTAATATCATTTTGCAATTTGTTGCTTTGCAGGATCTATTTTTAGTTTCTTGATATTTGATAAAAATTTTTACAGAGTTTGAAAAATTCATATCCCTAAAACCAAAGCCAAAAACAGACATTATCTTGTAATGTTCAAGGACAATAATAGATCTTTTAGCAATATCTTCAAAAAGAGTAAAAAAATGAAAATTCGAGGAGAAAAAGGCTATGAAGATGCCGGAAAATGAGCTTATTAAAGTGAGACAGATTGTATGAGTATGGAAACACAGAAGAAGGCAGAGCATTCTACAGTTTAGCTGTGTGAGGAAAGAAGGATGTACTATAACGGGTTATTCTAGTGTGACCGACATCCACAGAGAAACGGTGGGCACTGCGGGCAAGACGAGTGTTACGAGCCCACGGCCTTGCCGGCGGTACACAGGATGCCAAATCCACCAAACATTGCCCGTTTAAGTACCTGTAAAAGAGAGAGAGTGAAGCAACATTGCGGCGAAGAGAAAGTGAAGAAAGATTATAAACTAAAGGAGGAGAGTTAATATGATGAAGTGCCTTTGATTCCACCCTATGTAACAGCTGGACAGAAAAAGAGCCACCCTAGATATGAGAGCAGTACTCCAAGTTAGGACGAATGAATCCCTTATAAACTTGAAGTAACTACGGCATCTGCACAGCATTCCCAGCTTTCAGGAGACAGCTTTAGCAATGTTGTGGATGTGTGGCTTCCATGACATATTGAAGGACATGATGAGGCATAGCATATCTATTTTAGAATTTGGCAAAGTGGTTGCATCCTGAAATGTGATTGGTGGGAGATCTATTTTGGAAAGTGTAATTGGTTAATACAGGGGGGCCCCCCCATGTTCGCGGATTTTTACTTCGCAGCTCTCGGTTATTTGCGGATGACACCCTGGTTGTACCCAAGAATGTCTGTGGGTAGTTTTAAAGTTGTTGGCATTTTCACGGCTGGGACAGGGAGCCATTCGTTCTAGAGACAGTAATTTCCTTTACCTGTACGGTATTGCAATTATGTTTGTGTGTGTGTAGAGACACACACACAAAACACATACAAATAAATAATAATTGGAAAATCCTCTCACAAATAATCAGAAACAAATTTATTAAAAATGTGAGTCTACCCTCCATCCGCTACACACACACGCAAATTAATGAACAAATTAGACTAGAACAGTGGTTCCCAAATTGGGGGGTGTGGGGCCATCTGAAAAACATTCAGTAGACAGCTCCTCCCGACTTACGACTGGGTTAGGGACCCAAATCCAGGTCGTAAGTCGAAAATGCTTAAATAATACATATAAAATCTAAAATAGGTGTCTCTTTCTTCTCAGCACCACAAAACTCTCACTTTTAAGCTTGCCAGCCATTTTAAAGCGAATTACAAACAAAAATTTTGTCAGTACACAGCGCAATCACTGACGTTGGGACTCAAAAATACGTAATTTGACAAAATTTTGGTATGACTGAGGTGGTCGTATGTCCGGATGGTAGTAAGTCGGGGAGGAGGTGTACTGTACTGTATATTGACTATCTTTTTTCTTTATTAAAAATTTTTTTCAATAAAATTGTGTGATAATTATTGTTCTTAGTACAGTACAGTACAGTATATTTCATTCTTCTCCATATGCATGAGATACATGGATAAATAATTATGAGTTAGTTGATCTTAAAAAGGTAGTGTTCTGTATAAATATTAGTAAAATATGTAATATTTATTAAAAATTAATTGAATTTATTTATTAATAAATGTTGCGAGGGGGGGGGGGGGTTAAAGAGCAAAAGGGAGGCACCAAGTGAAAAAGTTTAAGAACTACTATAGAGGATTAATGAGACTTGGACAAAAGGGGACAACAATCAGAGGAGCGATGAGAGTACAGTATGTGTGTTGGTGGTGAGAGTATGTGTGTTGGTGTCTGGTTATACAGAGGATTAAGCTTGAGTCACTTTAGTACATAATGGGAATACAGAGCAGTACAGTACGGTATATATAAAGAGAGGTAGAACAATTAGCATAGTAATGTATTTTGAAGTTTTGTAGAGTCAGTGGCTGTATGTACAGTACTGTAGTGTGTAGATGTAAAGTTTATGCCATATATTCTTATCAAATGCTAAGAAGTTGCTTAATTAGTGAATGTATTTAGAGTTAATTCATTCCTTATGTATGTTTTTGAAGCACTGTTTTAATTAGTGAATTTATTTGTTATCCCTGACCATGTTACTATTAGTTTATACAGTGATATCCCCATTAGCCGGAACAATTGGTGCAGAGCAGAACACTTCCCCGGAATCGTTACTGGTTACTGGGAAAAGTTTCCGAGTATCTAAATTACACATCTTCCTCGAGTCTATACTACCGGAGTCTGTAAATTTAGTTCTAATTAAGTTAGAAACTCCATTTCCTTACAATAATAGGTAATCCAAAATAGTTTAACTAAAGTTTGGTTAAATAATATATTTAAAAACTAATAATCTATATGATACAGGCATGAATGAAGCTGTGTGTCACCTCCAACCTCATCCCGTCGTAATTTCCCCATGTAATATTTGAACCTTGGCCTGGTTTTGTCATGAACCAAGTAACAGTTTAATCTGAATGACAACACTATATGGTGACTGGTGCCAACTGGGGCTAGGTGTTTCAGCTTGACCACCATACCCTCCTCGTTTGTTATGATGAGGAGGTCAAGTGGCTTGGGTGTTTGCTCCCCTCTGTCATGCGTCGGGTCCTGAACATGGTGGAACAGAAAATTATCTCTGAGGGTTTCTACGAATAGAGTAGCAAGGTTATTTAAGTCATTTGGCATGAACTCGTTTTTCCAGTCGATGTCGCCATAGTTAAAGTCCCCCATGATAAGGAGGTGGCTAGGGTTGAGTATCGCTGCATTGTCTATTAAGGCTCTTAAGGTCATTTGGTTTAGTAAGCTACAGTTTGGGGATCTGTAAAGACCCACTAATCCCCCACCCAAGAAAGGGTGACCGTACATTCCAGCAGAAGGGCAATGATATGAGATCACTAAATCCCCCACCCTACCTCCACTTGACATTTAGTCAGTTCAGGTCAGGTCCTCCCTCAAATACTTTAGCTTTCGTTTTTATTCAAGATATTTTCAGAAAATGCTCTTGATTTTCAACTCTGGAATTTGTTCCTAAAGCCGGAATTTTTTGGCTTTGGGAACAACTTTCCGAGAAAATGTTTATTTCCGGCTATCGTAGAGTTTTGCCTTTGAGAGATTCTGGCTAACGGAGATATTACTTATAATACCTTTAGAAGCCGTTAAAGTGAAGTGTACAGTACAGTAGCCTCTATTGGAACCTTCTGTCATATATTGTTTGTATGAGTAGTTACTGGGAAGCTTGTTAACACTACACCAAGCTACATTTTAGTCTTATATACAGTAGTGAGACTACATAGGTATATCTTGAGGCTAATCATTATAAGATTAAAGATAACATTTTAAGAGTTCCTCGCTCTCCATAAAGTTATCTCATTGTGCTGACTGTATAGATTAGATACATTTAAATAAGCATGTTGTTGAGTGTATTGTACAGTAGGTACTCTCATAAACCCATAGTGGAATATTACAATTTCTAGATTCTTAATTAGTTTTTCATACCTATTTTGGAATCATTCGAATTGTTATTAAATATATAACATATTTATTCCATCACCAACCAGGTACAGCGGGACTAATCATCTCTGGGAATCGTATAGTGACAAAATTGCTGTTGGATGACCAGCGGACCAACACCATGATCTTCTTCGTCATCTCCATTGCCTTTGTCTTCCTCTGCCTCGTCACTCATGTTGTTGTTCAGAAGACAACGTTCATACAGGTTCTACTCTCTCTCTCTCCCTTACAAACATCACAATATTTATTATTACTGTCCGGTACTGTTTTGTTATTGTTATTACTGATATTATTATTATTATTATTATTATTATTATTATTATTATTATTATTATTATTATCATAATAACAATCTCTTTGTCATTGGACAAATTGGGGAGAGAAACATGGTCATGCACTGGAACTTTTCCAGTGTTTCTCAAGGTTAGGTTAGGTTTGATGCTGTATTTGTGGATTGCATCATACGTCAGTTTTACACAATAAGGTTGGAACTTCGAGACTTAGTATATACAAAATATTACTGTATAACAAAATTCATTGAAATTGCTATAGAAAAACAGGGAAGTGTAAAGGTAAATGTCTCATTCTTTACATCATTTTTCTGCTTCTTGTATTTCCCAAGAACAACTGTGGAATAACTGCAAGCATCCTGGATCTTGTCAGAATTTATTAATTACTTTTTGAATGAGTTCTTGTTTACTCTCACAAATCGTTGTTCGATGAACACTCATCATACAGGGTCCAGATAAATGATCTGCCATCATTGATCTTGACCAGATTTTTGCCCTTATTGTCCCGAATGATCTCTCCACTGTGCATGTTGTCACAGGTAATGTCAGAGCAATAATAATTGCTTGTGTAATAGAAGGAAACAGATCAGTGTGTTTGAGTAACTCCTAAAATCCATCATCTTGGGTCTTCTTTTGAGACCAAATTTCAAACCAGGTGGCTGCTTCCCTTTCTAAGTTTTCATTTCCAGTGAAGATGTGGTGGAGTCCATATATAGTCTGCTGACCACTCTGTCTGGGAAGGGTTAGCTTAGTGTCCATCTCTGCTGTTAATTGTGATGATCCATCATCATGGTATCATGACATTGGTGTGCTGTTTTGGTATGAAATCACAGAGCTGTGACACATAAAACTTGATATAAAATCATGGTACCATGGCAAGATCACATCAAAGTCTTTTAAACAAATGCTGTACCCAACTTTTCGTACCTTATAAACTCATATACTGTATTCGAATGGAGTAAATGATTAAATCCAAAACAGAAGTGGTCATTATCACAATGAAGTCTTGTACAAAACTGAAGTTCGTAGCTGGGTAATTGGTTTGCTCTATGTATGACCTGATCTAACTTTACTGTTATTATTAAACCTCTGAACTGAGGATCAGGAGAGCTTATACTATACTTCAGTTACCTCAGGGAGTTATGTCCTCTCTGTCCTCTCGTGTTGGTGGAGCCTGACATCACAAAGATTTGTCCCGGGTTCACGTTTTCCATCCCTGTCAGCATTTTGAATGTTTCAATGAGATCTGCCCTATTGTGCCTTGTCTGAAGGTTTGTTAGGCTTAAGGCCTTTAGTCTACTTGGATAATTGAGATGACATAGTTCTGCAATCATCTTAGTCACTCTGTGTTGCACCTTTTCAAGGTATGTTAGCTCTTTCTTGAGGTAGGGTTTTCATGCTTGTATACAGTAATTCAGACTGGGATGTACTGTACTTGAAATTTGTGCAGTTGTACTGTTGTACAGATTTCCTTTGATATAATATAACAAAATACTGAAGTCAAGTTGTATCTTTGACTCTCTCACTTTGGTTGGACTATTGCACCAGGCAGAACCCATCTCAGTTTTGTTGCTGCCATAAGTCATCCCCACTCCTTTCTCAGTCACAGGCTGGACACTGCTCACACATGACCGTTTTTTCCAGTTTTATCTTAATCTGTGCCGCACCACCGAGGATACGGACGACCTCAAGAGAATTACCTTGGAGCCGTCGGAGGATGCTATACTGGTACACTATCTACAAATGCTAGTTCATGTTTATAAGGACAGAAACTTAAGAGTAATTTATAGATGATATTTACCAGGTCTCATTGTTGTAGACATAGATGAAGAAAACTTTACATGTCAGGTTTTTGAAGAGCAGGCAGTATAGTACTGTGTAAGAATAATGATTGTTGTCATTGATGATGGAAACTTAGTTCATCAGGTTGTAGTTGAATTACTTTTCAAATAATTTGAATTAAATGATTGAAGGGGAAAATTCCAGTCTCCATGTAAAACTGTAGATGTATTAAGTCCCAGCAGTTAAAAGAGAATCAGCTTTAGGAATATAAATTAGGAAACTTAATGAAGATATGGATGTTTGCGATGACAAAGATCTTAACTCGCTCAGGGTTTTATGTGTATGAAATTCATGCCTGTATACCCATTTGGAGCTTCATACGCTTTTCACATATGAAGTAAAGGGGGTAGTGCAAAAATTTGGGCTTTCATTAATCTGATTTAGGTTCCTGTGCATCATACACCAGGCATTGAGGAGCATGAATCACTGGTAGACCAGGCAATGTGAGTACAGGATATTTCACTGGGGTGAGCAACCAGGAACCCTGAGAGAGTGTTTTAGGAAATTGTGTGGTACAGCCATGTAGTTTTACTTCATAAGTGTTCATATGTTGTGGTGTCAACTACAGTCAGTTAAGACAAAGTTGAAGGAACATCAATACCCAGGACAGTGTGCATTTACTACTGGAGTTTTAAGATGAGGTACAGTACTGTTTTTGTAGATTTGAGGGAAGGAAGGTCAGGGAAAAGCAGATTTGGATGGATGAACAAAATTAGATATGAATCTGGGGAGATAAATAAAATATGGTATGATTGGTAAAGACAGCCAGCCACCAACCCTTACACATGATGATAGTATCATATTGTATTGTGATAATTTGACTGGTTGTGGATTATGAGCAGGAAAAGAGATGTTTATATTTTAGTGAAACGTCTGTTTCATATACAGTAATTCTACTTTTTGTTGATCTCCAGGTTGATGTAGCGGCAGGGTTTGGGGGTGGAAGTGTGAACAGTTCATACGGTGGAACAGTGACACCCTCTGACTCCACTGCCACCTTCCAATCTGCGGCCACTCTCCCCATCTCGGCGTCTATAGATCCCATTGACTCGTCGGCTCCCAGCTACAGAGTCGAGCATGTTATTATGGGGAGAGTGAGAGGAGGCTACACATCCACATACACCAGATCCATCAGACTCTGGTCAGCTATTAAGAGTAAGTTACTTGGTCTGGCTGTGGCGGTAGATATGTTATGTATTAAGTAGATAATGGGAGTACTGTACAGTCTTGAATAAATGAGTTAATTAACAGTCTTTAGAGCTCTGTGGATGAGTGTTTTTTGACAGGTTGTGCATCAGACTACTGTAATTCTCATCCATCAACAGGGGGAGTAATAGCCCGGTGGCAGGTGGGCCGCAACGTATGGCAGTATATGTTTTCCATCGCCCTGGCATATTTTGTGACTCTGTGCCTCTACCCTGGCATAGAGACTGAGGTCGTGTCGTGTCGTCTACATTCATGGATGCCGGTGGTTATGATGGCCACCTTTAATCTTTTTGATTTTATTGGCAAGGTAATGATGCTTCACTATTATAAACAAATGAATAAGGAGAGAAATATGTGGAGTGATGAGATTTATAGATGAATCTCAATGATTAATTTACAAAAAGTGTGAATGATGCAAGTGAGTATGGATAGTTGTTATGAGTGAGTGTGGATAATTATGTTATGAGTGAGTGTGGATAATTATGTTATGAGTGAGTGTGGATAATTATGTTATGAGTGAGTGTGGATGATTATGTTATGAGTGAGTGTGGATGATTATGTTATGAGTGAGTGTGGATGATTATGTTAAGTAATGACTTGCATTTGTTCTTGATGGCTCATATATCAGGTGTACAATCCAGTGTACGTAATTCAATAGCACCTAGACTTTTTTACCTGTGTTAAAATTTCCTCCAGGATTTTGCCACTGATTGACTCGATGAGCTCATTTTGAATTATTTTACCAAGATAGGTGACTCTCAATGTGTTGTTTCAAAATAGGATCAAATTTAGCTATAAGCTCAACTTCTTTCAGGAAATTCCCATTGTCTGGCTGACATAGTGTGTCAGTGGACTCACTCAAGGCAAGATTTCTCTCAGCTAATGATTGTATGATACACACTTAATGTGTGAGAAAATTCCTCCACCATCTTCTCTCTGCCTCTATGAGAGAAATTTCTGTCTTATCAATAGTTTTCTCCATTTTAAGGCGCTACTCCAAATCTTTCCACATTCTCATGTGTTTAATGTGCTCTGGGTTATTTTCGTGTCCTTTAAGTAAATAGCCAATATTCTTCCAATCAGTTAGTCCCTCTTTTATTAACGTGTAATCTTTCACAGAAACAGTTTGCAACAAAAGCAGTAGGTGGCATTGTTTTACTTGGAGTAAACCAACCCGCTTCGCTTAATCTTTTCTCCATTCACTAAAATTATCTGCATGTGGTGGTGATGAAAGCTTCTATCATCCTGACTTTCTGGAAAAAGAAAATCTGGGTCTATCTGAAATGGACCTCTCATAATCAGATCTGTTCTGATAGAAGCAGTAATTACAGATGACCAGTCAGCTGGATCCAGTGGTTGTGCATAACTTGTGTCTGGTGAGGGTCTTTCCTCTTGTGTGGGCTGAGCTGTCCCTGTGGGTCCTTCCTCTTATGTTATTGTATGTAGAAAATATAAAGAACACAGTAATAATTAATGTATTGTAATGCTTTTTAAGGTTCAGAGTTTCATTATAAGGGTTCTTAACTCGGCAGATAACTTGAAAAATTTACACTCGGCCTCAGAAATTTTGAACTTAATTCCTGAATAAGGCATCAGGGAGCCCCTTATGGACTGGGGGCCCTAGTCCGCCTATGCTTCGAACTGGCTCTGCCACCACCACCATCAACAAAAACAACACCACTCACCACCACCAACTACACTCTTCATCACCACAAATAACAACACTCACTACCAACAACAGCAACACTCACCACCACCAACAACAACAACAACAACAACAAAGACAACACTCACCACCACCAACTACACTCTTCATCACCACAAATAACAACACTCACTACCAACTACAGTAACACTCACCACCACCATTACGTCTGCCTTTACATAGGCCAAGTTCACACGAGCATTACCTCACACCACTCGCACCCACCACACCACTCCCGCTCTCCACACCTCCTTCCTGCTCCCCACACCTCCCTCCTGCTCCCCACACCTCCCTCCCGCTCTCCACACCTCCCTCCTGCCTCCCCACACCTCCCTCCTGCTCCCCACTCCCTCCCCGCCCCCACTCCCTCCCCTCCCCCCACCTCCCTCCCGCTCCCCACACCTCCCTCCTGCTCCCACACCTCCCTCCTGCTCCCCACACCTCCCTCCCTCTCCTCCCCGCTCCCCACCTCCCTCCTGCTCCCCCACACCTCCTCCCTCCCCCCACACCCCCACCCTCCCCACCTCCTCCTCCCCTCCCCCACCCCTCCCTCCCCACACCTCCCTCCCGCCCCCACCCTCCCCCCCACACCTCCCTCCTCCCCACCCCTCCTGCTCCCCACACCTCCCTCCCCTGCTCCCCCACACCTCCTCCTGCTCCCCCACACCTCCCTCCTCCCCCCGCTCCCCCACACCTCCCCTCCCCTCCCTCCCTCCCCTCCCCCTCCTGCTCCTCCCTCCTGCCCCCACACCTCCCTCCTGCTCCCCACACCTCGCTCCCTCCCTCCCCACTCCCCTGCTCCTCTGCTTCCCCTCCCACTCCTCCTCCCACACCTCCCTCCCGCTCCCTGCTTCCCCTCCCAAGATCACATACTAACTACTGTGCACATATTTGTTTATAATGTTTATATTTATGTTTTTAACCTTATGGTAATAAATTTTTTGGGCACATTCTGTATAAACAATTGTGTGCATGCAACAGAGTAAAAGAATTTTAATAAAAATAACAGCGGCACAACTGAAAGGTTGGTCCAATATGGAAGCTGTGGCTAGCCTACCAGGTTTGAAATATTACTGTAGGGCAGGGGTACTCAATTGGCGGACCGTGGTCTAGAGCTTTGATGCGGACCCCAGCATCTCTCTCTCACATTCTGGATACAGAAGGTGTCTCAAGCTAGTTCCCCTCATTTTCACAAAGTCGTATTGTATATCCTCACAATGTTTGGCTCCACTTACCAGTTTGAGTCTGCTTTCTCTGCCATGAATTTAGTAAAGAACAAATAACTTTCCAGCATCACCAATGAACACCATCATTGTCTTAAACAAGCTATCACATCATTTGTGCCAGAGTTCAGGGAATTAGCAAGAAGCACGAAGTGTCACTTTTCACACTGATGATGATTAATCACTCAAAGGCCCACAGTCATAATTACATGTACACTTTTCATTTGTTTGTTATTGCCTCATATTAAATTATTAAATGAAGTCTCATCCGGACCTTGGCCATCAAGAAAATTTGTGTGACTGGACCTTCACACATATAGTAATTGAGTGCCCCTACTGTAGGGTATCATAATTTTTCATTTGTGAATAAGCAGGGTATGCTTTGCAAATATCGAATTGGGGTGTTAAAATAAAAATTGCAGATAAGTGGGGTTGCGGTTATCGAGGTTGTGAATAGCGAGGTATTCCTGTATATACTGTACAGTATATACATAAACCTCGATAACCGACACCTGTGCGGACTGTGAAATGTCAATGGACAGGAAATTAACAGTTCTCGAAGCAATAAATCCCATGAGAATATTAACAAATTTATAACAAATTCAGGAGGCTAGGAACCAGCCCTCCCCTCTCCTAAAGAACACTCCCATCCACTGGCTTTAGCCTTAAAAAGCAAGCAAGTTTTTTTTTTGTTGAATGGGGATAACTTTATGTTTTATTGCTCTAAATTAATGGAAATTAATTTGTACAGGTAGTCCCCGACTTACGACCGACTCAACTTATGTCCACCCGCACTTACGACCGCCTCAGTCGTACTAAAATGTGGTCAAATTATGTATTTTTGAGTCCCAAAGTCAGTACACACAAAATTTTCATCTGTAATTCACTTTAAAATGGCCGGCAAGCTTAAAAGTGAGTGTTTTGTGGTGCTGAGAAGAAAAAGAGGCCCAAATTTTTTATTTTCTATGTGTTATTTTAGCATTTTCGACTTACGACCTTTTCGACTTATGACCTGGATGTCAGTCCCTAACCCCGTTGTAAGTCGGGGAGTACCTGTATATGGCAAAAAATTTTCTGTTTCATTTAAGGCATCAATTACCATCATAATATAAAAAAGTTGTACCTAAAGTAGGTTAAGCTAGGTCAGGTCAGGTCAGGTTTTGCATGAAACTAATCATTTACATGTATTTTTATACATGTACAGTACATAGAAGTTATTGCTAATAGGCGATTATTCTTATTTAATGTGTGACTATATATGCAGTGTATATAATTGGTTTAAAATTTATTTATAATTTGTTTCAAAACTTTTTGTATCTGGTTTTTATTTATTAATTTAGTAACATCAACAGATTCTTGCATCAATACCTTATGACTGGACTCGCCGACAACTGGTGAGCGGATCTATAGTCCGTATAATATTAGTGCCCTTCATGATGCTTTGTGCTGGACCTCGGCCAACTCCTATCATCTCTGGTGAAACCGCCCCTCTCATCCTCTCTGCCCTCCTGGGGCTGTCCAATGGCGTCCTCGGTTCTGTCCCCATGATCCTTGCTCCCACCAAGGTGCAGGACGAACATCGAGAACTCACCGGTAATATCATGACGCTCTCGTACTACGTGGGACTGACGTTCGGTGCCAGCGTCGCTTATGGTCTGGACGACATTTTGGGTTCACCATCAATTCATACTTGCCAGGATAAGGTACTCGGTCCCAGCCTAAAAAATATCAAATTAAACCCAACGGCTCTGACAGAATTAACTTCTGCATCACATCTTCCCGAGCAGAACCTATATAATACCTCAAGAGAAGGGACAATGTATGTGTTCTGAGGAAGTTAATGTCTATATTGTGTGTGTGTTAAGAGTAGTGACCTTCATAGAAACTGCCAAATTATAGGATACTGTAATGTACTGTATTACCTTCTCTGTCGGTGACTTATATGTTGTAGTATATTTAGGGTTAGTAGTAAGGAAATTAAATTTTAATTTTATTATTTTGGATTTTAGAAAAATTAGTCATCAGTAACCAGTATTTTGTGAAATTTAATTATTTTGAATTGGATCTTCTATATATATTTCAAGTAATGGTTTAATGTTAATTCATTATGGCTTACAGCTGGTCACTGGTTGAGATATTTAGGGAAGATGCCACACGTGGACCCGTCAGCTCCCAGATAGAATGGGGTGTTAGAAATATAGATGGATATAAGATTATTACAAATTTGGGAATTAGAGTTATGATGGCATTTCAGCGAGCTTTTGTAAGAAGATAACAATCATAGGTGAATATAAGGTGTTAGATATGTAGATGTGAAAGTTGCAGTGATTTTGAAAAGTGGAATTGCTTTTTCAGAGTACTTTTATAAAGTGATGATAATGATGAATTAAAACTTATGGGGAAGTTAAGGGAGTAGTGAGAGAGTCATTGTACTGTAGTCATTGTAATAAGACTTATCCCCACGGGTCGCCTTTAGAATGTGTGATAACATTTTAATACTCTTTTTAATATGCATAATAGGCTAGTTTTTTATGATAATACAGGAAGTTGCTTCTTCACTTAGTTGTTATTTAGAGAAAACTTTATTTATTTACTTTCATTTAGTATTTTATTGTAGTTTATTAATGTAGCAATTTGTTAGATCATTGCATGCTTTTCTTTTTGGTTAAAGGAAGTAACAGAATATGAATCTCATATCACTCTAGATTATTTAAGATTTTACTAATTAGTGGTAAGATTTATATATACAGTACAATAGTAATTAGTATACTTTAGTGCATATAATGTAATTTTTGCTTCAGTTCACAAGGTTGTATAAGAAAACTACAGTGTACACCAATACAGTAGTCTATTTATTTGTGTATTAATTTATTATATTTGTTACGTTTTTGTTTGTCTGAAGTCAGTCAGAGTCTTATTAGTTTTATTTTTAACATCAGGGTCTCAACACAACACCTTCACGTGTTAGTATACTGTACCTATTAGAACTTAATACAACCCATGGGTGATATATATATCTACTATATATATATATATATTTAATTTTTTTTTTCCCCTGGTAGATCGTGGTCATGTACAGATGGGGAAATTTCAGAGTGCTACACCAACCCACGAATTCAAACCATACAAATGGGATACCAATGAGCTCGAAGCACCTGATAAAGTTCCATTATTCGGGTAACATTGTGTAAGGGGGATGGGAGGTGGATGGCTAGGGGTTAGAGTCACTGAGTTTTGTGCAGGAGGAAGTTGCTCACAATTCTTTCTCACGAAGCTAGTTGTCCCTCCTGTGAGAGGTCTGAGCTCATAATAAGATTTAATACTTATGTGATCCTGACAATACCTTGGCTGCAATGTGATTGGCTGCTGACATTGTTAACGTGATGTCACCACTGCGTGGAAAGCTTTAATATTTTACATTATGTTCTTCTTTCCTCCCTTACTTATATATACAGTATTTTCATGTATTTACAGAATATGTAAACACATATCTCTTGAGTCATAATATCCCCTTCTACCTATATCCATAATTAACCAGCAGAAATGATTAGCATGACAACTGTATGCTGCACACTCACAACCCTACCACCTCCTCCCACCCAACCCCCTACCCACTGTTATCAGATGATGGACTCTACCAGGTGGTTTTTGATTCACTGGTCTCACACTGACCAAAGCACATTTGTGGGAGAGTGTAGCACTGGGAACTTTCCCCAGCTGTACAGGGTAGGTCAGTCATTTATTCTGGAATGGCCAAGACTTTTAATTTGTCTCAAGGCTTTAAGAGAATCAGCCTTGTTGACTTGTTATTTAATTATTTACTTACAGTGAACAAGATGATAGAACACCACATTGAATTATCACAATACACATATATGTTTCTTAATTATAGGGAATAGTATGGTGTGGTGCCCTTCTCTCTCACTCTTTCTCTTATATTATTTCTTAAACATTTTTATTTTCATTCATTATTTTAAGTTTACAATGAGAATATATTTTCATATTTTGAATAAATATAATGTGGACAAAGTTCTCACGTGGTGGTTATGGATCTCGCCCTTGTTGCCTAATTAGGCCTTTAATTTAAGTGTATCATGTACTGGTGTATCATACACTCTTACTGGTGGTGTAACATACATTATACTGGTGGTGTATCATACATCATACTGGTGGTGTATCATACATCATACTGGTGGTGTATCATACATTATACTGGTGGTGTATCATACATGCTTACTGGTGGTATATCATACATCATACTGGTGGTATATCATACACTGGTAACTTAATCTCATCAGACAGTTTTAATAGATGAAGTATGTCTTAACTCCAGGCTCATAATATATGCCAGTCTTCCTTACAAATTTTGATGAGTGAAACCTTTGGAGGACTTACTTGTGCTGTATCTCAACATACAGTAACAAATAACAAGAATGCTCAGTTGCTCATGTTGTGGGGTAAAATTTCATACCTGAACTTTTTACTGTCAGTTATCATTTGATAACTTATTGACTTGGCAGTATGAATCTCGTCATAAGTTATCGGTCACAGATGTTTGTGACATTTGTAACAATTATGTAGGTTGTCTAATTTTCGAAAACCAAAGTTTTTGTTTTATAAAAGTTTGTCTTCTTTTTTGGGGGGGGGAGGGGGGAGGAGGTTATATTATAAATCATGAGGACATCCATTATAAAGAAACCATCTCTTGACAACCATTATGCATTCATTAATAATCCATTGATCAGTACAGTAACCCAACCGAGACAATATTGTCACATAGACTTTCTTAATTCTAAATATAGATCCATTTGTAAATAAAGATTTTTTCAATATATGAAAGATTTTATCACTATATATTTATGCTGTCACTTTGTAGTTGACAGTCGGGAAAACTAATATTTGTAATGATGTTTTCTGAGGTAGTTGTTCCATCAGGTACGTTTCTCCCTTTGTAACCATAACAGTATGGCCACTTGGGTTGCCATAATGGTTTACCCTCTTACATTTGAGTATGGTCAGCCTTAAGGTTTTTAGATGGGACTTTGTTGAAGTTGTAGAAGTTGCGACCATCTTTTATCCATAGTTGTGGTGGGGTTACCAGAGCTCAGCTGATAAAACTCTGGCCTCCCTGCATGTAAGACCCCAGTTCATACCGAGAATGGTCCCAGATGTACAATTTGATCAACCTTAAATCTCACTACCAGACTCCAGTCCCCTGTGTAGTCAACAAAGCCTCCTTGTTTCTTATTGATGAAACCTGACTTGTCTGATACTTAATATTAATACAGTACTGATTATTTATTATTAACATACAAAAAGGTATAAATATATTGTTTTTATATGTGAATAAGAATTATAGTAAATAATATAAATACGGTGGTCCCTCCATTAACGAGTGGTTCAATTTACGAAATTTCGGTTAACGAATTAGCTCCCATGAGGATTTTCAATTCTATTAACGAGTACAACTTACATTAACGACAGCCTTACGAGAAACACGCTTTGGTGCGCGCATCGGCTGATCAGCTAGTCCGCCAATACAGTAATCGGTTCTATGTTTACATTTGTTTACAGTGGAGTAAATATCGAGAAAGTTGTGCTCTTGAATATTTTTGCATTTTTTATATTAAAGTTATTGGTCATTCTGAAATTTAGTAAACATAATGATAATATACAGTGCAGAAATTATTAAGAAATATGAAGAAGGCATTAGAACCAATGCACGCTGTAAAGAATATGGCATGTCATCATCGACTGCCTCTACAATCAGCTGTTTGCTATGTAAACAAAGCCGCCGGGGATACGACATATACACCTCAAAGGAAGTTAAAATACAGTATTCTAGTGTTTTTATTTATTATTGTACAGTACACTGTACAGTACAGTACTGTATTTTGTTTATATTTAATGTTTTGTTAATTCTATTACCGGTATACAGTACAGTACTTTTTATGTACTTTTTCTGTGAGTTGGAACCAATTACCCAATATCCCATTTAAATACAGCAATAGATTCAGTTAACGATATTTTCAGTTAACGACTGACTCTTTGGAACCAATTGTGCTCGTTAATAGAGGGACCACTGTATCGTAAAGTATCCCAGAAATTAGGTTTCATCACTTGTAAATGTGTCCTTTATCTTCTTGGGTGTTTGGTGTTCAACACTAGGTTGTAAACATTACTGTGAACATACAGTACACATCTTAAAGGCTCAAGATGATAAATGGCATCAAACAAGGACCTGTAAGTTCACTGAGATTGTGTCCTGTGAGGTGTGCACACTTTACTGTCCTGTCATGATGAAGCTCATGACCAAGCTTATCTTTGGGCTGACCAAGCTAACCCTTCTTGCCTTTGGGCTGTCACATTATATAACTTATTAACGACCTAAAGTATTCATACTATTGGTGTGAATTGGTTGTAAATGGGGAATATAAAATAGGGAACAGCTAGCCAGGAAAACATAGACAACAAGCACTCTCGTAGCTTTGTAATTTTGTAAAAAAAAAATGCATAAACAGAAATTGACTTAGTTTTCTGAACTATAGAATAATTATAGCCAACCTTAATGTTGATGCAGGGAATGGCTAAGTGAAAATAGATGGATATTATATATATGACACATAGATTACTTAATTCTGTGATTTTAGTAATGATATACCGGTACTCTATATTAATTTTTTGGAAAAGTTAATAAGATTTGTATAAAATAATTGATTTTTACTGTGGAAGTAAACTTTACAATAAACTGATTATAAGGAGATATCAGGTCTTGAACCAGACAGATTTAACGACCCCGTTGGTGTGACTTTGAAATTTTAAGTTTCTCTCGTGTAGTGACACTATATCCAACGGCTTTAATTTTCCACATCTAGTCATAATTATAATTGTGTTTTGTATGTGTTGCACTGTTAGTATGCTTGAGTCATAGTGAATATATTTAAGATTCTCAATTACAGAACCTCTGGTTATACTTTACACATGGCACCCTCGCTTGAAAGATGGCAGGACACTGCTTCATTAGTTAGATAATTAAGCATTGATTGTGTGTTTATATGTGCCAGATATTAGGGAGGAGTGGAAACATACAGTGCCTCTTTCTCTTATTCTTTTACTGTACTTGTGTGGTGCCAGACACCCTTTATTTTATTAGTTAAAACTTAATTACTTGTATGTTTCTGCTGTATAACTTAATATTGTTTGAAATATTTTTTATAAACAGGTAGAGTACAGTATTATGTTGGTGTGCCACAGCAGCAGCTGTCTGTACACAGCAGCTCCACTTGTCACTCCTTTAAACACAAAATGCTCATATAGTTTATATATCATTTTGTTTGTGTTCATACCCACCTTTTTCACTACATGTTTTTATTGAACACATTAATGATGATATAATAATGTAGTTTTTAAGGTTATTTACACTCAATAGTGGTTTTTAGTACAAAAGAACAGTTGTAAAGGATTAACCATTATAAAGCACATGTTTCTTACAGAAGTTGTGGTCTTAGTAGGTTTTCTTACCTCTAATCTCCCTTATAGAGTCGATCCTCATCCTTTTTACACATATTTTCCAACTGTTAGGTTCTTTTTTCTCACTACAAGTGGAGTCTGCTTTAGTATTCATCCATTATTCAAAATTCTCACCAAAATACTGTATGTATGGTATACAGTACTTGAAGCACTGCTGTTTGGTGTACAACATGTTCAATCAGATTTTGAACCTCGTTTTAAAAATTTTTAAAATAGGTTTCTCAGATTGTCAATTTAAGAAACCAGAGCAATGTCTAAAATAAGATTCTAACCGTGATCAGTAAAGCGTAATGTGCCTCATTGTTGAGTTAGTGACACTTGAAGGAAATGAAGATAGTATTCAGTTATCAAAGTGTTTGGGGGGTCAGTTTTCATTCACCACCTTCCTGTGGGTGTAGAAACAACACACAAAATGTAGATGATTTTTTATTTTATTTTTTATTTATGTAAAAATCAAGCTGGAGCTACACTTATTATTTTTTATTGTTAACCAATTCAATAACATACAGACTTAATGGGTATCAATCTTTAAGTCTTCTTTTCAATACTTTATCTCAAGTGTGGCCTTATATACAGCACTATGACTTTACAGGAATCTATCTGTATTAATTGATGTTGTTTCTTTCATTCAAAGGAAGGTCAAGTTTGGTGTAATATTTAAAAAAAACAGATTTTAGACTATCAAGGATCCACACATTAATTTTTGCACATTCACGAACAATAGTCCATTCACGCTCATGTTTGAAACTAATCTAAACCCATATGAGACACCATCTTGCCATCTGTTTTGTAGACACAGTTCAGGGAATCATTCCAACAGTTTGGAGTCTTGGTGTTCAGAAGGACTTTTGTTCACGACTGTACAGTACCTTCACTGGAGATAAGATGAAAACATTTATGTATGATTAAATCACAGTGCAATTTTGATAACATTTTTGACTGCCATCTTTGTGCCATAAGTACACTGGTTAGGTACATTTTCACATCTCCAGTTCAAGGGAAAATTTGGCACGGAAACTTACAAGAATCCAACTCCAGTACAATAAGGTATCTCCATGTCTTAAGGATAGTTTTCTTAAGTTATTCTGATATGAGTTTTGGTAGTTTAACACTATTATGTATAACATTCATGTGACTGTTCCTCTTACTCTTAATTGTCAGTAAACATGTTTAGGACAAAGGTATTAAAGACAAAGATATTATAATATAAGATGATTGCTGCCTTGCAATCATTGTTGAGTACACTAGATTAGACGTAAGAAATAAAACTATTTGAGAATTCTCTATTGCCTTTGACTATCACTACAGTAATATACTGATGTTAGGTCTTAATTTAAAAACCAATTTTATCACAAGGCGCTGTAGATTCTGAGCATCATTTCTCTACTGTTAATATTGGACCTTCAACAGATGGAAAATATAGAATATGAAGACCATTAAGGTAAGTGGTAACACTGCTGTGCTACTGTCTTTCAAATGATGTCATCCAGAAACAAAACCATATACAGGTATCACTCGTGATACAAATATTCAAGATACGAACATCTGCTTAAGCTAATTTCGTAAATTACCACCTCTTTTATGTGTTACGAAATCTTTCCCCGTTTATAAGAATTTGGGTCAGCTGGGGCGGCCATTTAATGGAATTGAAAAATTCGCACATCTTGTGCTGATCTGCATGTTTTTGTGTTTCACATGCTTTATTTTTAAGCCAGTCATTCTTTAGAATGCGAAGTTCCCACTGGGCTGCCGCTTTCTTTTTACGGAAGATATCAGCTTTGGTCCGAGATTGAGGGTTGTTCTGTCAGTCAGCAAAAGCAGCACGTTTATCACCGATGAGTAGTTTGATTGCCGGGTCATTTTCATCAAACCAGTCCTGGTGTATTCTTTTGATCTGGCCAAGGGTCTCTCTGTAAGTATTTTGTCATAACAGTGTTGAGAGTATCCCATTCGGCACTGGGATTCGCATTGTTTGCTGTTGGGTTATTTATAAGCCCATGTTCGAGCTGCTTTCTGAAAGCATGTGCTACTGCTGGGTTCTCCAGACGCTTAGTATTAAAACCTCTTCTGGAGGCTTGCTGCCTTCTCCGTTTTGGGGCGACGTGAAGTGAGAGCTTGGCTCTGACAAGTAGATAATCAGTGCCACAGTGGTTTGAGCCACGCATGGCACGGGTGATGAGGACATCTCGGCGATCTTTTTCTCTGACAATGATGTAGTCAATGAGATGCCAGTGTTTGGATCGTGGGTGTTGCCACGAACCCTTGAACTTGTCGGCCTGCCGAAACAAGGTATTGGTGATAGTGAGGCTGTGTACAGTACACATGCTGAGGAGGAGTAGGCCATTGGCTTTACACTTGCTTAGTCCATTTCTCTCTGCCAACTCTGGCATTGAAGTCACCAAGGAACACAGCCTTGTCTTCACTGGGGATAGAGGTTAGCATTCTGTCAAGGTCGGCATAAAAGGCCTCCTTGATGTCATCCTCTGCATCCAGTGTTGGGGTGTATGCACTGATGAAAAGCATGATGTGAGTGATTCAGTGGGACTCGAAGCGTCATGAGGTGCTCGTTGATCCCAATAGGCATTTCAGTTAGCCTGTGTAGGGTGCTTTGGCGGATGGCAAAGCCAACTCCGTAAATGCGGTTTCTCTCTGCAGAAGGCTTACCCTTCCAGAAGAAGACATTGATGATGATGGTGAGAGGTATGATGAACTGGATGATGGGTGTATGTGAGTTGATTTATGTGGTAAGGCAGGAGCACAGGCTGCAACCACACATCTTGGCTCTCCCTCTTCCTGATCCAGTGGTACAAGTGTTGCACAACTGGGAAGAGGGAGAGTTGCAATGGACTGCCGATAGCCCAGTTTATTGGTTTTCGCCTAGTAGCCTGTCCATCAGGCATTGTCTTCGTCTGCCGGTGTAGTCATTGGGTTTCCACGGTGGTCACCTCTTCCGCCTATACCGCCGATGGGGGTCCTGTTGGAGCTCTGCAAGCATGTCTGCCTGATGCGGGGCTCCACCGCAGATTTTTCGTTTGGGTTTTACTCCCATAGCCTTATACCTGCCAGGGTTAATTTGCAAGGCAGTGGGGCAATGGCTGGTAGGCGCCAGAACGTGTCCACATGCCAGTGAGTCTATGCGCCGTCCCTCTGGGGCCCACTGCTACTCCGAGATCCTGTGCTGTTCTAGCCTGGGGCCACAAGGCACCCAATTACCGTGTGTTGCCACGAGGAGGCACACCAGGAGTCTTGATGGTGAGGAGGCTGTGTACTGGCAGGGGAAGACTTATGCAAGTTGCTTCCCTGTTCGCCACGAGGGCTAGCCAGCAGTGGTAGCTGAAAGCGAGAGGGAGCAAGCAGTGGTATATAGGCTAGTAGGCAGCTATCAAACAGGGAGGTACTACCGCCTGGGAAGATATTGGAAGCATTATGTGTTGTCTAATGGTAGACTGCTGCCATATGGCATCACAAAAATAATGACCAAGTCTCGGTAGCTGATCTGACTTTCTGCCTCATTTACTCACAATTGCTTCTCTTACTATTGGCAACACAACATGCTGTATATCGTTTCTCACTCTGATTTATTTTTTCGTTTGTGTATTTATTTATGGTTATTATTAGTATTTTAATATTTTGGTTATAATTTTTCTATAATATTAATTATCGTTAAATATTATTATTATTATTATTATTATTATTATTATATTATTATTATTAGTAGTAGTAGTAGTATGTATTAGGATATTTAATATTAAGGTATGTAATTAAATGGTGGCGAAGGTGTGGCTATTGGGGGAGACTGGAGGCCAACTAGAAAAAAAAAAAAAGTAGTAGTAGTATTACTATATTTTCGTGCCCCAGGTCCTGATGTGGTCAGTGACCTGTGCTCGGGTGGGCTAATCCCCGTATTGGCCAACAGTGCCTAACAGACCTGACCGGACGCCCAAGCGATCAGTGGTGAAGATAAAGGTAAAAGTAATTCAATTAATAAATTTAGTTTCTAAAAATTTATTTACTCGTAAGCATAAAAGTCCATCTTTTTTGTGAAAGTTAAATAGTAAATTCGATGGTGAGATCAATGAAGCATTCAGACAAGACAGAAGTGTGCAGAATGAACTTGGTGGAGGTGTGGTTATATTAGTGAGGAAGTCTCTTTATTTCTCTTGTGGACAATGTAAATTTCTTGAATGTTCATTTGTATGATAAAGCGATATGGTGCGAGATCATTATAAAGAGGAAAAATATACTAATTGGTGCTGTGTGTAGGGCTCCCATTACAAATGAAAAAACCCTTTTATTGAATTACCTAATCAAGTTGTTTCCTATCACATTTTTTTTCAGTTTCCTGACATCAATTTCGGCCGCAGGTTAGTCCTGAGAAATTGCCTTATTATTATTATTAACTTAAAATTAGTGAGTTATGGGACTTGTGTTATACTGAGGATCCTTGGTTATTCTTTACCCCCGCTGAGACGTCACGATAAGAACACAAGATGAGTGAAGATCATCACAGACGGTCCCGTGTTGTGGGTGACGACGACGATGACGAGGACCCTGTGGAGGCCATGATCTCCAAGACGGGGTGCTTAGAGAAACATTATGCTGTCCAGGTAACTATAGTACGCTACACCGAGATTACAGTAAAACTTGTAGTAGAATGCCACAGGTCTCATAGAGCTGGCTGCATCAGGTGCGGGTCCAGGATATTATGAGGGAAGGTTCTGATATTGAGTGAACGGAGGGTAATGCTGGAGGAGATGGTTAGAGCCAGGAGTAATGTATGAGCGCGTTGTGACGACACCGAGTGTCACCTCATTCAAGGCCTCACTGGTGCAGGTTCAGATATAACAACTTAAGGTCAGTTTATAGTATCACACCGGTCTTTAGTGCGATATTAAAAATACGTTTTTCTGATGTTACTTGATGAGTTTCGAACGAATTTGATATTTATTTCAGCCGGAAATTAATAGTTTTTGAGATACCCCCCCCTCCCTCCCTCCCCACTCTACCCATCAATCTTAACGACATTGTATTTTTTTTAGTAAATCGCATAAATAAAAAAACAACAAAACCATACCTGACCTAACTTAACTTAACTATTTTTCTGTTGAAACTGCAATTGACGTAAAATAATCTGTCACAATGTTGGCACAGCTCTTTCCACCTGTTCAGCCGTATCTGGTTATTCTGGTACTGAAAAATAAAATCTCCGCTCCCGACGCACCCACGCATTGTTCATTGGCTAAGACTAAAACATTGCGAAAAACATATTAATAACAGCGAGACAAAGACCGGTTCATGACTTAAATTTCACCGAATTTTATATTCATTTCCACCGGAAATCAAGTGTTTTTCAAATAAATTATATTACCAACCAACCAAGAAAACCTAACCTAACCAGGATTACACCTGTGAACGAATGTAATAATCTTGAAAAATTAATATCTCGGTTATCCTATTTTCCGGTGGATATTTGCAAGATAATAAACAAGAAAATGGAAATAAGTGCACAAAACCTAACAGAACCTGACCTAACCAACCTAACCTTATCTAACTAATACATTTTCCCTCATCTACAAAGTCCTGCCTTCTTTGGAAGGATTCAGTGTCATTGCTAGTGTTAAAGAGGTCATATAACATTAAATATATATTAGCCTTAAAAAAAGTAAAGGCCTTATTCATTCAAACCACAATGAAAAACATAAGAAAAAATTATTTTAGTAATGAAATTCCCACAAGGGCATAAAACAAATCTTTACCTATTGTATTTCCACGCTCACCTGGCCTGTAAGCCCCGCCCCTCTTCTATAAAAATAGCTGATTGGTTCATAGTAAATGTTCTTATAGCTGTCCATTTATTCAAACAAAATATGTTCACAATTAGTAAACAGACTTTACCTGTTATTATCTAAAATAATGTTAAATATCTGGACTATCAAAATGTAAATTATTTCAAGGCATTAGCACATCAAAGAGGATGTTAGAAAATTTTAAATATTTATCATAAAAGGTCAAAGGCAAAGATGAAATTCACTTTTGAATGAAGTCTTTTCATTACTTCTTTGTTTTGTACCAAACATGAAGCAAATAGAAACAGATTATACCAAACATATAGCACAATAGGTAATGAACTACAGTTTGTATGGTTGGATATATCCCAAACCATTTATATAACTGATCAAACTCGATAAAAATACGTGCAGTCCGGGAAGGGGGTAAAACGCTCGGGAAGAGCCACTGGACTTGGCAGAAATTTTGATTGGACGTCAACTGTCAACAGATGTCATCACTGTAGTACTTAACCAACAAAAACATTTCTCACACCCACGAGCAGATTATTAAATACTTTATCCACTAACTTGGCATCTCCCCATCTTAAATGTTGCGTTGTGACAAGATTTAATTACTGTAATAATATGTGCTAAGAAGTGATGTAGAGGTTTAACATTTTCATCCTCTGTCATCAAGTCTCATGAAATTTGGTGCAAATGAACGAAAACCTCGGCCAATGATGGACGAGGTTAGCCGGGATTCCTCAAACCTGGAACTTTCCAATAGCCGGAATTGAAGTTTTCTCACAAAATCAATCCCAAACCTGGAATTTTCCAGAAAATTTTGGCTTTGGGAACAAATTCCGAGGTTGGAAATCAAGAGAATTTTCTGAAAATCCTAAAAAATCTGAAAATATTCTCCAAATTTGCTTTCCAAATTCTGATTATGAGATAATGCGCAGTATTTTAATTGGGTAGGGGATTAGTGGGTCTCATGACCTAAAGGTGTCTTCAATAAAGACGAAAGCTAAAGTATTTTGGGGGGGGAGACCTGACCTGACCTAACTCAGTGTCAGGTGGAGGTAGGGTGGGGGATTAGTGGTCTCATATGACTGACCTGATGGCATGTCAGGTAACCCTTTCTTGGCTGTGGTATTAGTGGGTCTCATGACCTGAAGATGTCTTGAGTAAAGACAAAACCTAAAGTATTTTCAGGGAGATTGTGATAAATATAAGTATAAACGAGCAAAGTTGTATCCCTTCAACGTTACATTACATAACATTTTAAAATGTGGAGTGAAAAAGTAGAAAGGTGTGGGTGATTAGAGAGATGAAGTGGTAACATGCACCGGTGTTGCCAAGCGCTTCTCAACAGCTGATGTTTATCTCTCCTCCAGGCAGTCACACAACAAGACCCTCACTTATTTTGCTGTCTCAATTCCCGTGTGTGTGCGGAGTCGCACACCAGCAGAGTTGAGAGTATGTCAGTGCGACGACAGTCATGTACAAAGTGAACGACAGGTGTTGTTGATTGATTGTCCGCTCTCTGCACATCGTCGTAATAATAATAATAATTAACGGTTTATTGAAAGAGCTTGGCAGCCAGAAGGCTGAAAATATACAGTTACATATTTGGGGAATGGGTTTCGAATTACAAATAATATACAAGTAACATAAGTGATACAAATAAGATATATAATAACTAGATGGGGAAAAGCTCAAACTACAGTGCATTTCAACATAGTGACAGTGCAAGAAGTAGTATTTACTGGGAGTGAATACACTGGTTTATTACAAGTTATTGATAATTTTTACAATGGTTGGGACTGGGCTGTTCTTATAGCGGTCAGTTCGCACGTATGGGCTGGATGCGGTTGTGGTGTCGAACAGCAATTCTTTGGCTGGGGAACTCAGGTGGTAGTAGGAGCCGGTGTCGAGGATGGTGTAGAAGCTTCTTACCAAATTTGCAGATGAGGTCGTGGTGATGGTCAGTGAGAGTCGAAAGGGTCAGTGTGTTGAGCGCTTCTTGATATGTGGAGTATGAAGGGGAGAGAATAATCTTGCATGCCCTCTTTTGCACTTTTTCTAGGTGTTTACGTTGTGTGGCATTTAGGGAGGAAGACCAGGTGGGGGAGGCATAGGTGAGCTTGGGAAGTATGAATGTTGTGTAAACACTGAGGAGCTCGGGTGCAGGAACTCCGAGGGACTTGAGTCGGCGGAGGAGGTGGAGACGGAAACTGGAGGATTTGACAACTTCACTGACGTGTGGTTTCCAATTTAGTTTGTTGTCTATGGTGACGCCGAGGAGCTTCGTGGAATCTACAACCTGGAGTGTGTTCGGACCTAAAGTAATGGAAGGAGGTGGGACAATGTCGGAGGAGAGGTTGATGTGCATAACCATGGTCTTGGTATGGTTGATGGTGACATGGTTGTTGGTGGCCCAGTTTTGGAGACTGTTCAATAAATCCTGAAGGGCGGTATAGTTGGGAGCAGAATTGTTGACGCTGATCCCAATGGTGGAGTCGTCGACATATTTCCAGCGAGCAGGGGTTTCTCTTAGGGCATCATTGATGAGCATAAGGAAGCAGAGTGGTCCCATCTTGGTGCCTTGGGGGACGCCACAGGTGAGTGACTGAAAGGTGGAGACAGCCCCTCGGAAGCGTACAGCTTGGCGTCGGTCACTGAGGAAGTCTGTAATCCATGGTATAAGACTTCTCCGAAGCCCAAGGTCAATAGCTTTGTTGATGATTATATTGTGGTCGACTAGGTCGAATGCTTTAGTAAAACCAATGAAGGCGACAGCTACAGACGTTTTTCGTTTCTCGAGATGGCGGTATATGTAATCGAGAAAGCTGACAAGACAGTGAGTGGTGGTGGAAGTTTTCATATGCCAAATTGCTGAGGGTCTACGACTCCTGCAATATCAGCATAAGCCCAGTCGAACACAAAACTTTCACAGATTAGGCTGGGTATTGGGGTGATTGCAATAGGTCGTAGCTGATTTAAGGATTGTGGGCTGGTTGACTTGGGCACTGGTGATACATAAGAGGTCTTCCAGTCAGCTGGGCATCTGGCTTGACTGAGAGAAGCATTGATGATGGAGCATAGGGGTTTAGCAAGCTCCGGGGAGAACTCCTTGAAAAGTTTCATTGGTAAGTCAATGGGGGTGGTAGAGCGTTTTAATTTTAGTTTGTCCAGGCGTTTTGCTACTTCAAATTCTTCTACTAAGTCAGTGGGAAGGGGGGCTGGTAGGTAAGCAGGGAGAGTGGTTGTGTCAAGCCGGGGGAGCGTCTGGCATATAGTACGAAATGGTTATTTGTTTGCTCAGCTGCGTCAACATTAGTGAGATGGCTAAGGAAGGGGAGGGGGTGTGTCTTATTGTTTAGTCCACAGAGTTCTTTAAGCTTACCATACCATTGACTGATGTTGGTCTGCTTCAGGTGTTGTAATTTGGTTGGGTAGTGGGACTTCTTTGCAGTGCGTATTTCGCGGATGACTCGGTTGCGAAGGGACCTGTAGCGGATGTGGTCATTGAGATGAAAGGCTCTGTCTCTCTGTTGCATAAGTCTTTTGATCCGAGGTGTGATCCAGGGCAAGTCAGCTGGGTGAGATCTGACGGACTTCTCGGGGAAGAAGTGGTGGTGAGCTTCCGTGGTGGTGTTGGTATAATTTATCCATTTGGTTTCCACGTCATCCACGCTAAGTACTTCAGTCCAGGGATGGTGAACTATCCACTGCCCGAAGAGGCGCACTGCAGAGTCAGTAATCGGCCTGTAGGTCTTGATGTAGGGTCTCTGTACTTGAGTGGGAGTGGCAGCTGGGGACCAGAGCACTGATAAGTGTGTGCTACACCCGATAGGAGGCATTGGTTGAGGTGGTTGGTACTGGTCCGCTAAGTCAGTTAAGATAAGGTCAAGGGTATTTTGACCGTGTGTGGGGAAGGTCACAACTTGTGATAGTGATAGCTGGTCCTGGATATCAGTGGTGTCAATTTCATTATAATCCCCACATAATACTAACTTGGCACATGGGTACCTAACTCTGAGGTGGTCTGAGGTGGTAATGAGATGATTGATAAGAGTGTCTCTGGTGGGTGAGAAAGGCAGATGGTATGCCACACAGATTATGATGGAAGCAGTGTGGCGAGGGTGGGCCTGTGGCACAACACGTACCCATAATGCTTCCACATCTGCTGGGACTTAAACATCCAGGCGTGGCGGGCGTAGGTCATCTTGACAGAAGAGGGCAACGCCCCCTCCGCGTCTATGTGAACGAAGGCGATGAAAGAGTTGATATCCCTCAATATGACACGTTTCAGGCACAATTTGCCAAGCCTCACATATGGCAACGACGCTCGCGGCGGCTGACCTGACTGTAGTTGCCAGCTCGTCAAACTTGTTAGCTAGGGAAGTGACGTTGGATAGCAGTAGAGACGGGAGATCATACCATATCCGTGGAACTTCAGTGTAGTGGTACGGTCTGTCAGGGGGGGGTTTCTCCGGTTTCCTAGTGGAGGTTACGGTTCTGATGGGCTTATGTGTATGACGGCCTTGTCTACGGCTACGCGCGTGGAATATGTTCAGTGACTTGAGTCGCGCGATAACACTGCCATCAGGATAACCATTCCCACGCTTTAGATGGTACAGAGTGCGTCGGGAGTATGTGATTGGTGGCCATCTGTTGATATCTGTTGTGGGCAGACGGAAGTGTTTGTCACTGACTTTCTCCAGTATCAGTGAACTCTTAAATGAAAATATATATGTGCCTGAATTATGTACATGAGGTACTAGGAATCTATAGTTAAGTTTAAAATTGTCCCTGACATGTTGTGTTTGGATTTAAAATATTTTGCTGGACAAATGTATTTTGAATTCGATTAACATATTTACCGTGTACTGTATTTATACTTTTGTCAATAAACTACTGTGTGTGTGTGTGTGTGTGTGTGTGTGGAACACACCTCAACATCACATCACATGCACACACCCTCCAACACCACCAACACATCCCAGCCTCTTATGGTGTATTTTTTATAATTCATAATACTGTATAAAATATTAAATACCGTACTGCTATAGAAAATACAATATATAATTAATCAGTAATTTGCCTAAAAATTAAGTGACAAACCGAATAATAAGGTAAAAATACTGTGATAGATAGTTGGTTACATAAATAGTGGGTTATATAGATAGATAATTGGTTACATAAATAGTGGGTTATATAGATAGATAGTTGGTTACATAGATACTGTAGTTGGTTACATACTGTATAGAGTTGCTTTATCTTCTTGTCCCAGAAGGGAAAAGTGGGAGACATAATTGTCCTGTATTTGAGTGGCTTCTTTGTCAAGGTCATATTACAGTATTTTGTAATGCAAACTTTTATGATGTACTGTACTAGAGTTTACTTATTACAGCACATGGAACAGTCATGTCTACCTTATATAATCAAAGACACAAGTTGTACCTTTTAAGCTTAACTGTGTGTAGCAGCTGTACTTAAGAAGATTATTACATATTGTACTTTTCTTTTATTCCAGTTCTGCATGGCTGACCACAAGGACTGGCGCAAGTGTCAAGCTGAAGTGAAGGATTTCCAGTCGTGCATTACTGACTATAACAGAAATAAACATAAAGACTAAGGGTTATATTACTGTAGTGAAGAACAAATATTATTACCTCTTTTAATCACAGTGTATAGTACTGGAACCGCTAGTAATTTTTACTCTTAAGTCCTGTAAACCATCATTAAATAAAGGTGTGATGGAAGTTATACTGTCACGTTTGTTAGAAAAACAATAAAAGTTCTCTGCAGAAATATTGCTTTTGTGTTTATTGTATTTCTAAAACTAGGAAGATTACCACCTTGAAGAGAACTTAACTCTGAAGACCACCAACAGTTATGGTTATGTCAGACACAGATGTACCTTTCTGGTCCCGCCAGTCCTTCATGACAGTAACTCCCGCCATCGCTTGTTTCCTGGCTGGCATTATTATTGGCCGCAAGTTGAGCAACACCATGCGGAGAGTGGCATCTCTTGCATCAGTGGGACCCACTAAATTGGCACTAGTAGTAAGAGCTGACTTGAAAATGGGCAAAGGTTGGTGTTTTGTTTAAATTCTTTATAACTTGAGCATTAATGAGACAGCTCATGTACAGTCAGTCATTTATACTGTATTTACACTGAAGAATTTTTATTGTGAGTGACTCATGATGTTTGTCTAGCGTCACAGTAAAACTGATCAAACTTAAAACATCATTTATGTTTCAGGAAAAGTAGCTGCACAATGCAGCCATGGCACCTTAGCAGCCTACAAACAAATCCAGAAAAGTAACCCTCGTGTGTTGCAGGCATGGGAGGATGCAGGCCAGCCTAAAATAGTGGTCAGTGCCAAAGACTTGGACCACTTCAATACATTAATGGAGGTTTGTATTATTGAATGATAAACAGTATACAGTACAGCAGTATTAATCAGTTGTATATAATTAAGAGTTCCTCCGCACAGCCTCTAGTCCCTCCACGCAGTCTCCAGTCCCTCCACACAGTCTCCAGTCCCTCCACACAGTCTCCAGTCCCTCCACACGGTCTCCAGCCCCTCCACACGGTCTCCAGCCCCTCCACACGGTCTCCAGTCCCTCCACACAGTCTCCAGTCCCTCCACACAGTCTCCAGAGCCTCCACACAGTCTCCAGAGCCTCCACACAGTCTCCAATCCCTCCACACAGTGTACAGTCCCTCTACACAGTCTCTAGTTCCTCCACACAGTCTCTAGTTCCTCCACACAGTCTCCAGCCCCTCCACACAGTCTCTAGTTCCTCCACACGGTCTCCAGTCCCTCCACACACTCTCCAGTCCCTCCACACAGTCTCTAGTTCCTCCACGTCTCCAGTCCCTACACAGTCTCTAGTTCCTCCACACACACACTCCAGTCCCTCTACAGTTTCCTGTTCGTTCCACATAGCCTCTAGTCCCTCCACACTGAAAAAGGTTGTTTATAGTAACAAAATTATCAGGGTTTTACTTTATTACCGCAAAAATATTATTTTGTATGGGTAAGATAGTTCCAGTAAATGTCATAACATACGTATTCTTTTGGTTTCAATGTCTTTAAATATGACTGTTATTTCCAGAAGGGGTTCTGGAGTGACTCAGTCTCCACTGATTCTAAATACAGTATGTTTAGTCCGTGGTTCTTCTTGTGTGTTGTTACAGATGGCAGCAGTAGCAGGAGTACCAACAGCAACTGTACAGGATGCTGGAAGAACTCAAGTAGTTATTGGTTCACAGACAGTCTTGGCTGTTGGACCAGCACCTATAGCAGATGTTGATAAGATTACTGGTAACCTAAGACTTCTATAAACCTTGTGTGACCACTTTATTTATTTATTTTTTCATAGATTTAGGATGTTCTATGAATTCATACATATTAAATTTTTCTTCAGTGTAAATATGCAAACTAAAATAATGAAATACTTTTTATTGAAAAAATCATTGACAAAGCTTTGAATCTCCAAATATTGTAAGCATGAATCCTTTGTTTAAATATGTAGGAGACAAACACTTCTTGGCATTATAATTAGTATTCCTGGTGCAATATGATGATCATAAAACAAACACTAGCAGTGCATTAATCCCTCCGCAGTTTCACAGTTTCCTCTGTCTTGCCATCCTTGGTGATGGTGTGAATAAGGATACCATCGCCGGTGTTAATGTCACGCTCAGCCGCAGAAACAAAGGCATCGTGAATTAGTTGCCGAGCAAGTTCCTGAAAATTTTATCAAGTGAACAAACAATGCAATGTAGATGTGCACCACACAAAATACTATTATTCAAAAACTTTTGTCTCAATAATCTGGTCACTCAATAAAGATCACACCACTCATGGACATTACTTAGAAGAGCATTATTACAAAATGTCCTAAAAAATGTACAGTACTAAATTAAGACAAAGGACTTACTTAATTAATTAAACCCCTTAAATTTCAATTCTGAGAAAAAAGTATATTTTGGTCAAAAATTTTGTAAGGCATTATTCTTACGTTTTTGGCCCAAAATTAGATTTTGCTGAAAATCACAAGTAGTAATTAGTTGGTCAAAAATTTTGTAAGGCATTAGACTTACGTTATTTTGGCCCTAAAATTAGATTTTGCTGAAAGTACTTAATTAGTTAAACCCCTTAAATTTCAATTCTGAGAAAAAAGTATATTTTGGTCAAAAATTTTGTAAGGCATTAGACTTACGTTTTTGGCCCAAAATTAGATTTTGCTGAAAATCACAGTGTGGGTACTCCTGAGCTTGTTAATTATTCATATGTGGTCAACAATTCGATTGCAGAGTAATTAGTGGCTAATTAAGTACTTTCAGAATAACACACAAACCCTAAATTACACCTTGGAAACCCATAGTTGATGAGTAATTAGCATTGAAAAATGTCCCTAAAATCTTTCAAGGGTCACTTTGGCCACTAATTACTCTGCAATCGAACTGTTGACCACATATGAATAATCAACAAGCTCAGGAGTACCCACACTGTGATTTTCAGCAAAATCTAATTTTGGGCCAAAAACGTAAGTCTAATGCCTTACAAAATTTTTGACCAAAACATACTTTTTTCTCAGAATTGAAATTTAAGGGGTTTAACTAATTAAGTACTTTTAGAATAACACACAAACCCTAAATTACACCTTAGAAACCCATAGTTGATGAGTAATTAGCATTGAAAAATGTCCTTAAAATTTTTCAAGGGTCATATTGGCCACTAATTACTCAGCAATCGAATTGGTGACCACATATGAATAATCAACAAGCTCAGGAGTACCCACACTGTGATTTTCAGCAAAATCTAATTTTGGGCCAAAAACGTAAGTCTAATGCCTTACAAAATTTTTGACCAAAATATACTTTTTTCTCAGAATTGAAATTTAAGGGGTTTAACTAATTAAGTACTTTCAGAATAACACACAAACCCTAAATTACAAAAACGTAAGTCTAATGCCTTACAAAATTTTTGACCAAAATATACTTTTTTCTCAGAATTGAAATTTAAGGGGTTTAACTAATTAAGTACTTTCAGAATAACACACAAACCCTAAATTACACCTTGGAAACCCATAGTTGATGAGTAATTAGCATTGAAAAATGTCTGAAAAATCTTTCAAGGGTCATTTTGGCCACTAATTACTCTGCAATCGAACTGTTGACCACATATGAATAATCAACAAGCTCAGGAGTACCCACACTGTGATTTTCAGCAAAATCTAATTTTGGGCCAAAAACGTAAGTCTAATGCCTTACAAAATTTTTGACCAAAACATACTTTCTTCTCAGAATTGAAATTTAAGGGGTTTAACTAATTAAGTACTTTCAGAATAACACACAAACCCTAAATTACACCTTGGAAACCCATAGTTGATGAGTAATTAGCATTGAAAATTGTCTGAAAAATCTTTCAAGGGTCACTTTGGCCACTAATTACTCTGCAATCGAACTGTTGACCACATATGAATAATCAACAAGCTCAGGAGTACCCACACTGTGATTTTCAGCAAAATCTAATTTTGGGCCAAAAACGTAAGTCTAATGCCTTACAAAATTTTTGACCAAAACATACTTTTTTCTCAGAATTGAAATTTAAGGGGTTTAACTAATTAAGTACTTTTAGAATAACACACAAACCCTAAATTACACCTTAGAAACCCATAGTTGATGAGTAATTAGCATTGAAAAATGTCCTTAAAATTTTTCAAGGGTCATATTGGCCACTAATTACTCAGCAATCGAATTGGTGACCACATATGAATAATCAACAAGCTCAGGAGTACCCACACTGTGATTTTCAGCAAAATCTAATTTTGGGCCAAAAACGTAAGTCTAATGCCTTACAAAATTTTTGACCAAAATATACTTTTTTCTCAGAATTGAAATTTAAGGGGTTTAACTAATTAAGTACTTTCAGAATAACACACAAACCCTAAATCACACCTTGGAAACCCATAGTTGATGAGTAATTAGCATTGAAAAATGTCTGTAAAATCTTTCAAGGGTCATTTTGGCCACTAATTACTCTGCAATCGAATCGTGGACCACATGAATAATCAACAAGCTCAGGAGTACCCAACTGTGATTTTCAGCAAAATCTAATTTTTGGGCCAAAAATGTAAGTCTAATGCCTTACAAAATTTTTGGCCAAAATATACTTTTTTCTCAGAATTGAAATTTAAGGGGTTTAACTAATTAAGTACTTTCAGAATAACACACAAACCCTAAATCACACCTTGGAAACCCATAGTTGATGAGTAATTAGCATTGAAAAATGTCCAGTAAAATCTTTCAAGGGTCATTTTGGCCACTAATTACTCTGCAATCGAATCGTGGACCACATATGATAATCAGCAAGCTCAGGAGTACCCATACTGTGATTTTCAGCAAAATCTAATTTTGGCCAAAAACCACCAAAACGTAAGTCTAATGCCTTACAAAATTTTTGACCAAAATATACTTTTTTCTCAGAATTGAAATTTAAGGGGTTTAACTAATTAAGTACTTTCAGAATAACACACAAACCCTAAATTACACCTTGGAAACCCATAGTTGATGAGTAATTAGCATTGAAAAATGTCTGAAAAATCTTTCAAGGGTCATTTTGGCCACTAATTACTCTGCAATCGAATGTTGACCACATATGAATAATCAACAAGCTCAGGAGTACCCACACTGTGATTTTCAGCAAAATCTAATTTTGGGCCAAAAACGTAAGTCTAATGCCTTACAAAATTTTTGACCAAAATATACTTTTTTCTCAGAATTGAAATTTAAGGGGTTTAACTAATTAAGTACTTTCAGAATAACACACAAACCCTAAATTACACCTTGGAAACCCATAGTTGATGAGTAATTAGCATTGAAAATTGTCTGAAAAATCTTTCAAGGGTCACTTTGGCCACTAATTACTCTGCAATCGAACTGTTGACCACATATGAATAATCAACAAGCTCAGGAGTACCCACACTGTGATTTTCAGCAAAATCTAATTTTGGGCCAAAAACGTAAGTCTAATTAATGCCTTACAAAATTTTTGACCAAAATATACTTTTTTCTCAGAATTGAAATTTAAGGGGTTTAACTAATTAAGTACTTTCAGAATAACACACAAACCCTAAATTACACCTTGGAAACCCATAGTTGATGAGTAATTAGCAGTGAAAAATGTCAGTAAAATCTTTCAAGGGTCATTTTGGCCACTAATTACTCTGCAGTCGAATCGTGGACCATATATTCATAATCAGAACAGTAACCTACCCACCTAAAACCAAATGTCCTCTTACACCACCAATGATGAGATACCACTGGTATTATTAACTGATGCTTTCTCAACATAAAACTAAATACTATAGCTCTATGGTTTTTAAATATTGCACTGCACCTTAGTCATTTTGGGAGGTTGAACATCCAGCATGTTTAGTCCTCCAATCTGGTTGTCTAACAGGGGTTGAATCTGTGACACTGATGCACCAGTGGCACTGAACGTCAGTTTTTCCATGTGTCCAACAGGGTCGTAATGGTACACCACACCCTTACCTGAACAACAATAAAAAAAATTCATATGTTAAGTAAAAATAAGTCTTAGATCTAACCAAAACCAGACCCCATACAGAACCTTAAAAAAAACTTTGCCAAATATTGAACTGATTTATGGTATTATACCCACTACTCGTACTACTGCCCACAGCAGCCATGTAATAATGATAATGTTCTCCTTTTACAAGTACTGTAAGTCTGACAGTGTTTGTAAGTGTAACTAGTGATCCAAAGTAGCAGTATTCATTCATTACACTTTATGAGTACAGTACCTGTACAGGAATGATGTCTTAGGCAAATAACGTTTATTGAAGGTGTGAAGCTGGTGTTGTATAAATATATATTTACAGTACATCACAGAGACAATTCTCTTCAAGCTCTACATATTGTTTATTTTCTCTTGCAATCATAAAATATTTTCTGGTGAAGATTTAGAACCAAACCACCTTACCAATTACAATGCAACATTATGACATGCTCATTGTTAATAGTGAACAACATTAGGTATCCTGAATACTTCTCAGTTTAAGTGATTGGTTAACTCACTCAACAATCAATTATTTATTACTCTTCAGTGATTGTTTTGGTATATTTGTGTAAAATTAAGCCCCCATCTTTATGAAACTCAATAATCCTTCACTCAATTTCATAATCACATAAAGAACTCCAAATAGTGAATAAATAGAGTAACCTGGAACAGAATACAAAAGACAAGCTGGACAAATGTGGTTTTGTTTAACTCAGCCCACCTCCTGGGGGTTCCGCGAGCTAACTCAAGTGCACGAAGAAAAGTTTACTCCCTTTATATTTTTTAGATTATAGTACAGTAATTTTTTTCCCACATTCTGCATGTGGGATTGTGTGTGCATGTAACTGAGTAACAAAAAAAGTGTAGAGTATCACAAGCATCTCCCAAAAATTTGAAGTTGAAAAATATATATATTTTTTTAAATAAACATACTTCTTATTTACTTCTCGGTGCCTGTATATTTTTCTTAATAAAATACTGTACTGCACTGCACTGTACAATGATTCAAGCAATTCTAGTAAAAGTTTCAGCCTCTTATGTTTAAGGGAAGTGGCTGCAAATTTGTTTCAAACTTAAGGAGTGAGGCTCCGTGACTGGATGACTAAAGATTGGCCATTAGGTAATGAACAGTTGGAAAATGCATGACAAATATTTCGTTATCAGATAGCGAGCGGTTGGAAATTTCCCAACATGGCGTGGAAGCAAGAAGGTTATTATGCAGTTGTACACCACTCTGAGGACAAGAAAACACAAGCAACACTAAGGTCTGCCTTACCCTCTTCATCAATGCCTGCCAGTATATTGGAGACATAATATGGGAAAAATCTCCTCCAATAAAGCATCGTTGACAACAGCTGGGCAACGGCTGTGGTTGACATTTGGTCATGGTGTTCATGAGAGTACATCTGGAAAGTTCAGATTCATTATTACAGTACACAAGCTCTTTTTTTTATACTGGCCAGATTAAAAGTAACCAAAGATAAAGTTCCTTAGTGTCCATAACTGAGACATCTAAGCTACACTAAAGATAACCAGTTCCTAACCAAAGTGTGTTGCTACACTAATGAACATTTTGCCCAAAACATGTTATTGACAAGAAGAAAAGAAGCACAGGGTTTTGACTGTTATTGCGGCCTGTGCTTCATTTTTTCTTGTTGATCACATGTTTCAGGTAAAATGTACGTTGGTGTGGCCAGACCCTAACATAAAATAAATGAGAAATCAAAGCTACACGAAAGATAGCCAGGTCATTACCTTTATCATTTAAGGAGCCTTGATGTGGTGGTTATGAATTAGTATCACACACAAAAATAATAACTTAATAATACTATAAGCATAATTCATCTGCTCTGAGATACCTTAACACACACATAGAGCTACACTCCTGGAGCTTGTACACCAGCCCCACCTCTCCATCCTTGACTGGTTGTGCAAATAAATGTGTGGCTCATGGAATTGAAAATTCAAATCATCATACAGTAAGTTTCTGATAAAGATTTTCTCACACCTTCCATATACATTATTATGTTTTCTAAAACTACAGTGATTATGATCTTTAACTTTACACTAACACAATTTTTTTTTTCAAGAGTAACTTGTCAACAATACCGTACTGTTAACATAACCAAGATATATGAAAGTCACCAAACTATAATTAATTAGTGTGATCTACAGTATGGCATATCCCTCACTAACTGCTATGGATATGAGAGTACAGTACAGACACTACCCGGGTTACTGATGGGTTACGTTCCTGGAGGCTATCCACATGCCAAATTTTCCATAAGCCGGAAGTGACCCCTCCATAGGTAATCATTGAGCACACAAAGTACACATAATGTAGTACAGGTTGGACCTCACTAATCCGGGAAGTTTGGTACCAGACTGGTTCCAGGTTAGCGAAAATTCCAAACCATGGAGGCTGGGGTTAAAAAAGGGCAAAATAATGCATAAAATGTATTACACTGGTACCAATACAACTTACATCAGTATAAATCTAGCCCAGATTTACTGGACCCCTATGACAAAGTGTTGGCACAAGTTTACTGTACTGTGACACAGAAATAAGTAGATTAGCAGAAAAAGCAGAGAGAAATTTGTATATTATAGGCCTACTGGCCAAGCAGCAGTCTTGGAAACTAACGACAGCCAGATTCAAACACCGTCCCAAACCATTGAAGCTGCCGGACAATCAGGTCCAAGATTAGCGGGGTTCAACCTGTACTGTACGTATATACCAATACCATACTGTACAGGTATGAGACCTTTTATCAAGCATGCGTAGGACTTGGGGGGTTACCAGATAGTGACAATGGAATTTGAAGTGCCAACCTAAAATGTACAAAATGCAAGTAACCCTCTGTAACTGCCTGTGAAAACTTTGTTCAGATCACTTGATTCACCCCTAAAAGTTGCTTTAACCCTTCAAAGGCAGCAGACATCATGATATGTTTGAGAGAAAAATATGTAAAGGACAGTGGCCATCAAATGAGGACTTTGGTGAACTGACATGTCAATCAACCATGGGGAAATGAGAATCTTGTCTTGACAATTTGCCCAGGCGATTCTGTGTAATGTTAACCAAGCGAGCAAGGCTGTGGTGTCACTTCCTCAGCCAATGAGAGCCCAAAATGTGATGGTGTGTGCGGTCACCGATGACCACTTGACAAATCTCCTAATGGTCCAGTTGCAGCCAGAATGTGTTAACAACTTCAATCCAGAGGAAGCCATCAACAGATTTTAACAACTGGGGCCTGCCGTGTTGATGGCTACAATCACACAGATGGCTGCAGCACAGAGGACGTGCTGGACAGTATCGATGAATTGGACGAGGAGCACACAGTATACAGAAACTTATTGACCAATTCCAGTGAAGAAGAAAGCCCTCAGTTACTTGCAGTTACATATGCATACAGTGCAATAGTTTTTTAAGAGGATCTAAAATTTGTTATAAATTTCAGCTAATGATATAAAGTAAAAAAGGAAACAAATTATCCATATTATAATACTGTACAGTAATATGTTTTGAATGCCAGTGTTTGCAATTTCAATATAATTTACCTTTTGTTATCAAGTTAAATAAAGTGTAAAAGTAAACAACTTTATATGTATGTAATTAACCCAAATTTATATAAATGTCTTCTAAAATTTTGGAAGGGTTAACAAGCTTTGGGAAGGGCTAGTAACTATTCAATTCCACTAGCCCGGCTGGTTACCTGAAAAAAGGGCAAATTTCTACCCGTTTATGATAATTAATTATTTATTTTAACTATTTCTGAATTTTCTGTATGTAGGATTGTGTGTATGTAACTGAGTAAAAAAGAATGAAGATTAGGTATGTACAGTAGATCTACCCAAAACTAAGAGTTAAATATACAGTACTTTATACCTTATGATAATTACCGGCATTTCTTTTATAATACTATTACCTGTATTGTTTTATGGTGGTAATTTTTTAGTGTGAATGTAACTAAATAAAAAAAAATGAAGAAAATTACATACGTACAGTACAGTATACCTACCCAAAATTATGAGTTAGATAATAACCATAACCTACAGCTCACAGGTGGGGTATGGGTGGAAATATACTCACTAAGTCCAGGAATTACTCGGTGCCCAAATTAAATAGGACTTATGGGAGAGTATCTGTAGTCACAAATCCGTAACCTGAGTCATCAGTAACCTGGAAAGTGTCTATATAAGACGAACTCAATGCTCACTCTCGTACTGTGCAGTGACAGTGGCAGACACACGGTAAGGAGGGGGAAGTACGGTTACTTTTTAACTACCACTGCCTACAGGTTACAGTTCACCAACCTCAAGTTCTTCCTAACCATTAGTGCATTTTTACAGATTTGTTTTCTTTTTATAAATATTAAGGCGTGAACATAAGAGCAAATTAATACTTTTAAATTTTAGCTTACCATATCGAGGTTTATAAAATAAAGATGAATCTCTTACTAACTCTTCTGTTACCGACTCGTATCTTACCGTAAGTCTGGCCTGTAACACCTTATTGAGGGTGAGCACATCGGCCCAGCAACCTGACGAGGCCATCATGGTCGTGGGGGTCAACCCGAACACTTTCCCCTGGTCACGCGAAAATATGTTGAAGCCCCGAGACAATCGGGTGTCGCTGGCTATCATCACAAAGTCGTCACCGGCGATGGCCACAGATGTGCTATTGATAACAAAATTGATCATGAATACAACTACCAAATAAAAAGTTAACATTGAGTACAAACAATGAAGGTGTTCTATAGCAAATATAAGCTAAATCTATCCAATATATATACGAGTACAGAAAGCAAATCAGAGAAACACACAAAAATGACACTACACAGTTCACTTCTATAACAGCAAATTTTACAGCAACAGCAGAAAGGTCACTGGTTATATAACAGTGACACATTTGGTTCTCAGCATTGCATACCGGGTTTAATCCCTCAGTCAGCTGTAAGAAAGACATTATCCAGTGTAACCAAACATTGCACCTACTGTATTTGGAAGTTATTCAAAACACATAAAAAAACCATCAGAAAAACAATTTCCACTTAACTTAACCTAACCTACCCAACCCAACCTAAACTTAAAATCCTAAAATTCGCTGGAAGACCGAAATGATGATAATTCCACCAAAAGTACATAAAAGCTATTCTAGAAATAAATATCTGGTAAGTATTGAAAATTTTCCCATTATGGCATAAAACAGTAAATTTTCATTTGTTGCCAATAAACGAAATCGAAGTGGAAACTGTTTTTTTATGGTTTTGATTTGTTATGAAAGAATTTAACCTTCATTTCTGACGCAAATCAATACTTTCTGACATTAGCCCCCTCCTATCTCAAAATATAGAGATTTGCTATAAAAAGTCAAGGTAAAAAGTGTTCAAACACATAATAAAAAAATATCCGGAAAACAGTTTTCAACCAAACCTAACTTAATCCAGCCTAACCGGGAGAGCTCCACAGTACTGCCACATATGAACGTGCATAATAAAATGTTAAATATCTCTCTTACATGTAATTAGTGCCAGAAATACCATTGAAGTGTCTTAGAATTGTTAAATTGCTGATTGCAACTATAAATTAGAGATTCCTTTTTTGTAACAAGTGAAATAATTCTCATAAAATGAATCTGGATAACACCCCATTTGGAAGTTCGTCTGTTTAGTGAGATACGTTACTTACGTAACCTAACCTGATCATTTAACTAAGTTGGTAAAAATATAATAAAACAGATGATCATCCAAGTACAATGACACCCGTCCCTGTGCTTCTCACCCGCCATTGTCAGCGTAAGGGTAGAAATGGTGCTTCCTGGGGTCTCGCATGTAGTCTGGGCTGCTCATTACCTCCAAGGACATGCTTAACACTTCTTTAGTCTCTTAATTCACTTGGTATGAAACAAGTCTGTGGCAGAGTCACTCGCCGCTCTTCCTCTAATGATACACACCAAGTAATGCTGTGAAACGACCACGAACAAAACTGGCTACTCATTTATTATATTTTCAGTTAATATTAAATAATAAAATATAAAACCCTAACTAATAAATTATTAGTTAATTTATTAAGGTCATCTACGTCATAATATAATACTGATAATGATTGATAATTGTTTTACATGTTACTTCTGAGGTATTTTATTAACATTAATGACCTAGCTATGGTGACCACAGACTCTCGACTTATTGTCACTCTTGTACAATACATTAATAGTCAAAGAGTTTGTATACAAATTAAGTAATGAGTATTTGTTAATGAAAAAAGTTATGCTGGCTAAAGATATTAAACATTTACAACTACTGCATTCAGTAAATATTTTGAGTATACCTGTACAGTATCTAGAGAAGCTAAAGTTATCATTATTAAAAACTGTGATAGAAAATACCAAGACGGTTTTACATATGTTTATATCCAAAATTTATCACATCTTTATAGTTGTAACTAATATTATTATTCAGAATATATAATGCCTAATAGTAGACTTGGTAAGAGCTAAAAAAAAAAAGGGTAATCACTGCATTTCATAGTGCAAAGGTCCCACTTGGCATAGGTGTTGCATGGGACAAGAGGAAAAATATTATCCAGACACTTTGTTTCTATGCATAGAACCCACTAATTAGCATAACTTATGCAAACTAGCACCGAAAGAAGGCAAATTCTAAATTTTAAACCATTTCACCTCGAAACGTGATTACTTTTTTTTTTTTACTTTACTTTTATCCTCTTTACCAGTGTTCGGCGCATTAGCCGTTTGGTTAGTTGAACCTGGCTAACTTTATGGTCAGGGCCTCTGGCTGCCATCTTGAATGTATGCTTACTTTTTTTATCATATTCGCCACTTATTAGCTTACTAGCTGTTTGAGCAGTTTATCCAGTGTTAGTACAGGAAGAAACCTGTGGTGTTTGGTAGTGAGGGTCACACTGGATAACACCCTTCTCACGTGTGTCCTGGCCGAGGATCGAACCCTTGACACATTGGGGAGAGCTATGCGTGTTACCACTGTACCACCAACTGTGCGAGTCACACAGGAGTCCCAAGTGCTTCCCCGTCTGGAGTACTGTCACCCTGACTGGTCCTCAAGATATGCTAGGGACTGTCAGTAAATTGAAAATGTCCAAAAGAGGGCCATCAGGCTGGTGCCTGCACTCCGGCACCTCAGTTATTCAGAGAGGTTAGAGCACCTGCAACTGCCTAGCTTATACTACAGATGGGTGAGGGGTGACCTAAATGAGGTGTATAAACATCTCAAAGGGCACTACTCAGTTGAGTGTCCTTACCTGGAGCTGGCAGACGCTCGCTCCACAAGGGGTCACAGCTCAAAGTTGAAGAAGCCGCAGGTCCAGAAAACTGCGATGGCAAACTTTTTCGGAGTGAGAGATGTGAACTCTTGGAACAGTCTGCCAGAGTGTTGTGATGGCACCGAGTGTAAGCTTGTAGCCTACTGTATGTGGCCAGTTGTCAATTCTCTTAGTATGGGCACACAAACGTACGTACATGAAGATATCTCACACTCAGGAATGAGGTAGAATAGAAACTCACAATGCGCTTTCTGTATATATATTGTTGTACAGCGCAGTGCTTAGGAGTGACTAGGTGAGGAGAAACTTGCTCAGAGGTCCTGTAGGGCGAGGAGGTTTCTGAGGAAGCTGAGTGGTGAGGATCTGTGAGAGATGTTGCTGGTCCGGTAGCCGAGTGTAGAATGGTCTCCCTGGCCAGGCATGGCCGTATTTATACAATTTACGAGGATCAGGATTTGGGGTGAGCGTAGCGAGAGGGCCGATCACAGCGGCTTAAGCGTAAGGTGTGAAACCCTCTGATCCTGAGCTGGAGGTTGAAGGTCGAGACTAGGTTGGTGATCGTACCCCTACGTCCACTGCATAGACCTAGTCTCTCGGCGTAGCTGGCTGTACGCTGATTGGCTGGTAGGCGCGCGGCTGGAGCTCAGTTGGGAGTTGTAGGGGAGAGGAGCCACTACAAGCTCTTTCAAGACCAGACTTGGCCAGCACTGGAGCTAGCGAGCCGATCAGTGGTGAAGTCATAGTTCCATATATTTCATAAAAAATCTTATGAAATGAACCACTTACTGAATACTGTACAGTGGTCTAATCAGATTTGGTATAAGCCTACTGAGAACTAACACTTGAGTATGTAAGCAGGCTGGGGCTGATCAGGTGTTGCAGCATTCGTCAGGTTTATTTATTCATTGATTCAGTATTATATTCCCATATGATTGGTCTCTTATGGTTAATCATGATTAATATAACATCTTCAGTAATAGAGAAAAAATACAATACTGTATGTAATTTGTAATATGACTTGAAAATAAAAGGATAAGCTGTATCAGAAGGTCATTTACTCAAGATGCTTCGTGTGACAGCTTTCGGTAGACCAGCTTACAACAGGAAAGCTGATTCTTTTAGGATAATATTTTATCAACCTGGCACTAAATGATGCTAAATTATATAAGAATTGTAGTGGGATTGCATATATAAGTGTTAAAGGAATCATGTGGGAGTTAAGGGGAAGGAGCCACCCAGCCATGCTAACCCCCCCTCTCCCCTCAGGTAAACATTCGTCTTCCACATACAATATACTCCTACACTTATGTTCTTATTTTTATCTTTATAGCACTGTACTGTACAGTTTACAGTTTTCTCTTTATTCATAAGGCAAATTCTGTGTTTACTTACGTATAACACTTTACAGTAAATGACAATCATCTCAGTGACAACCAGACTTATATGTCTGGTTTTCAACCCAGAGTTCTGTTTCATATTTTTTTTTATTGTTGATGTAATATTCTTTTAATACCCTTGTTATACACTTCAAGACCTTAGTTGTTTAATTGCAGTAATAACATAACTGATTTTCTTTAAACAGTTAAGATAAGTTGTGTTATCTCCACCCCCCTCCCCCATATATTCGCTTTTTTCGGAGTGGGGTCTGCCCCAATTAGTCCGATTTATCCTCTATATTTATACAAATCTATCAATAAATTACATACCCCCAAATCCCCTGAAAAAAAAAAAAAGAGTATGGTCACAGGCTACCCTAAGACCCTTGGTGGACCGAAAATGGCCCATGGGCCAGAGTTTCCCCATCCCTAGTATGCAGTAACCATGATGTTCAGAGAAAGACCAGAGGAACACTATCCACCTTGTTTCTAGTGAAAAAAATAATTTGATATTTTTGGGTGAACTGGCCATGTGGGAGCGTGTTCTGGTTTCAGGATAATGATGTGCTATTCTTGAGATTATTTTCATATTGTAGTGTATTTAGTATGTCAACAAAGTGAAGGAATCTTCTTAAGAACTTAACTTTATTTGATGATGTATATAAATATACAATTGCTTGCACTTTGTGTATATTATTCAGTTTTAAATAAAAATTATAGCATTCAATATATATGAAATATAATCTTCTTAACCTAAGAACATATTGATAAAGGAAGTTTAGTAAAGCAAGCCGAGACAAATAATGACTAAAGGCTAATAATTAACAGTTGTGGTTTTGTTTATATGCACACACACAGTAGAGTAGCTAATACTTGTAAATATTATGTCTATAAGTAATTTTTCCTTTAAATGATAATGTTATATGAAAAAGAAGGGGTAGGAGGTCCTCCACTGAAAAAGGTTCAGTCCAGTAGTGAATGGCTAACAATAGTGTACTGTACTGTACTTAATACATTATCCCTCCATCTTCAACACTTACCATGTAATCAAACTGCCTCTCTTTTAAAAGTTCAGTTATCCATTCACTAAAAATAAGTTAAAAACACTATAGTCAATACACACAAATTCAAGTCAGATGCCAAGTTATTTAGGAAAATTAAGAACCAAACAGACTGCCAAGAGTTGAAGAAAGATCTCTGAGCTTCAAGAATTGTCGAAGAAATGGCTGCTAAGATTCAATGTCACAAAATATAAGAGGATGCACCTGGGAAGTACTAAGTGTAAGGAGGCGTATCAAATGTCCCAAAGAAACGAAGAAAATGCATTATTTGAGACTGAATGTAAAAAGGACCTGGGTGTGTATGTTGACAATGAACTGAAGTTCGCAGGCCATTATGAGAAGGTGAATCAAGCAACTAAATTATTAGGTCTTATAAGGTCGTTCAGATATCTAGATGGTTCTTCCCATATAATGATCCTCAAAGAGTGAGGTGCTTCCCCGCCTGAAGTAGTCACCCTGCCTAGTCCCCAAGATATGCTAGGGACTGTCAGTTAATTGAAAATGTCCAAAGGAGGGCCACCAGGCTGGTGCCTGCACTTTGGCACCTCACCTATCCAGAGAGATTAGTGCAACTGCAACTGCTTAGCTTATACTACAGACTGGCAAGTGGGGGACCTAATTGAGGTGTATAAACATCTCAAAGTCACTACTCAATTGAGAGTCCATACCTGGAGCTGGCAGACGCCTGCCCCACAAGGGGTCACAGCTCAAAGTTGAAGAAGCCGCAAGTCCAGACAACTGTGAGGACGAACTTTTTCGGAGTGAGAGTTGTGAAATCTTGGAACAATCTGCCAGAGAGTGTTGTGATGGCACAGAGTGTGAGCTCTTTCAATACCAGACTTGACCATCACTGGAGCAGGTTCAGATACGTTCAGAAGCCAGTGCATGCCCAGTACTTGCCAACAGTGCGTAACAGAGACCTGACCGACCTCCCAAGCGGCTAACAAGCCGATCAGTGGCAAGGAGCATAAAAGTAAAAGAACAAAAGAGTTTTTCAAATCAAAGTTTATCTTTTCTAATAAAACAATGAATAACCATCAACTGCAACAGCTTCTCTGGAGAGAGAAAACTATTACAGATGACATTTGCCCTTGCCTATATTTCTAAATTAAATTGGGGTCATAACTGATTAGTGAAAATTGAAAACACTGATTAATAAATTATTCCTGGATTATTTATGATGTATACTTATGTACTGTACCAAATTTACTTTTGATTTGTTGTCTTTCACTCAAGTCATTAAACAGAAAGGATATTTCCTACAGACAGATGAACAGGGATAAAAGTAGGTACTGTACCCAGTCCACATTCTATGGCAGGGGCATTTTAAAGACACTAATTTCACTTAGCTAAACAATAAACACTATTTAGCATTATTTCACATAAAGAAGAAAAATGCCAAACAAACCATCAGCAGAACACTAGTGAGCAGGAGGGTGCTCTGCATGTTACTCTAATATACTGTAAATCCTTAGCTCCCAAACTGAGCCACCTTTGAAGACTATTTCCTCATTATTGTACCATATTGTTCTACTAAATATGCACTTCCAGTTGCAATGCACTTTTCATACCCTATTGCCATGTACGTAAACCCTGATAATCCTGTATTTTGAGGGCATCATCTGTAACAGCAATTAACATTATTTTTAAGTTTTAAGGTTTCATTAAAAGAGGCTAGCTCAGCTTATACAGGTACTGTACTGTAAAGGTAAGGCAAACACAAGTCAAATACTGTAGACTCTCAGGTTGTATGGTGTAAAACTGATTCAAATGGTTTAGATTATGAGACCCAAGTGATCACTTACTGTACTAAAGAACTGTTAATATCCATTATATACAAAGAATAATATCTGTCACATCAAGGCCCTGATTTTAACCAAGTCTTAACTGGAGTTGTCACACTAAAAATTTGTGGCATAGCTACATCATCAGTGCTTTCAGTAAATCTCTCTCGCAGACTCTCGGTGAAGAACACCACCCGACACCTCTGTAAACTACCACTACAACTGCTCTAGCAGTGTTGATATTCTTCACAAATACAAATACTATACCATTCAATTATAAATAAACTTTTCTAAAGCAATGAGTGGTTCTCTATTAGAAAGATTTTAAAGAAAGGAAACAATGTCAGGTAAATTTTTTTTAAAGAAAAGTACCAAATAGTGTATTTCAGCACCATTTGGTAGCCTAGGTATATGTGAAGTGCAGATGAAAGAAGAATATCATTAATATTTACATCAGGAACATAACTGGGTGTTCTTTATTCCCAAAAAATTTTGGAATTTGTTTATTTGTGGGACGCAAACCTGTCCCACGTAATTTGATGCTGAGGCACGGCTGAGAGGCCACTCGTCGCAGTGAACTCCCAAAAGCAGATGTTCTACAAACAAATGGTGGAATCTTCCCTCTGTGCTGTCCCTTGACTGGGGAGGCAAGATGCAAGGTATCCCGCAGTCTTCTCTCTCGTAACTGATCAAATGCAGGGAAGTAGCTTGGCGAGGGTGTGGCTGATTCCAGAACAGAGGAGTGGATAATTTCATCTTGACATCTCTCACCAATACCAGCCTATTTGTGAACAAGGAGAAATAGTCCTGTGATAGAAGTAACTATCAATCACAAGAAGCTTGAATTGTATTATCAATATGCAACTTATTTTTTTCATTGAAAAGATAATTGTAAACTATTTGAATAATTGTAAAAAAAAGACATTATTTGGAATAACACAAATAATAATATTATGTGTACCCATCTCCATGCATTAGTGTGCTCTGAAAAGTGTGGGCAAAAAGAGAAATGTGGTGAGTACAGTACAGTACTACTGAAGTGAAGGGTGATGCTTTTCATTCTGTTAATAAACCGCAGAGAGAATACTGTGGACTACAGGATGATGATGTGGAGTACATGATGATGATGTGGACTACAGGATAATGAGGTGGACTACATGATGATGATAATAATAATGTATACATGATGATGATAATAATGTGTACATGATGATGAGGTGGACTACAGGATGACAATGTGGACTACAGGATGATGATGTGGAGTACATGATGATGATGTGGACTACAGGATAATGAGGTGGACTACATGATGATGATAATAATGTGTACATGATGATGGGGTGGACTACAGGATGATGATGTGGAGTACATGATGATGATGTGGACTACAGGATGATGATGTGGAGTACATGATGATGATGTGGACTACAGGATGACAATGTGTACTACAAATTATATGCAAAATCAAAGTTTAAAACACAAGTAAGAAAAGATGGAGACAAATAAGTTTTTGTCCTGTCCATCAACTATGTCAATATCTGTAAATATAAACTGCAACTGTTTTATGATCTCATTTCCTACCTCAAAAATCTAATTTAAAGATATTTGCAAAACAAAAGTAGACTTATATGTAATACCCTTTAAAACTGACTTAAAACTTTATGCTAATATTTAATGGCACTTCTTTATAACTGACAAGCACAAAACTTACATACATTAAACCTTAAAGATTTATATACTGTATCAGGGTCCAATAATATGTACATGGCAGATTTACATACATGCATCATTAAACACTTTACTGTACATTAGGGTCCAATATGTAAAGTATCTCAAAAAAGTATAGGTCCACACATTATGAGACCATGGATGATAGATATTGGGACATGTATTTACTTTAGTACTGTATATAGTTTTAACACAAGTAGTGCAATGTGTATTTATTCAGGCATACTTAATATGATGTTCGGTTACCAAATTTATAGTAGGATCAGTATGCCACAGAGCCAAGCATACCAACCCTCCCGGGACACAGTGCCATTGCATACCAACCCTCCCGGGACATCACGAGTTGCCCGTAGCATGTCAGAAGCCATTGGATCCATCCTGGCAGATACTTTTTTGAGATATTGTACATGACAGATTTAAATCAGAATACTGTACAGTACATGCAGAAAAATTAAATAAAAATGAGAGACACAGAAACAAGAATTGAGTGCTTGACGTACTGTACAATAAAACCACACACCTCAAGATTTTTTGAAGACAGGAAGACATTTTGTGTGTTAGGACAACAAGGAACATTAACATGAATTTTTCTGTATTTCTGATCCAGGTAAGTCAAATCCAGTGCTGTTGAGACATTCTCTGCTACTTCTTAGGTTATTCTGGAAGTTAACAAACCCGTGAGCTGCATACTAAACACCTAAAGCATAAAACTACTTAATCCCTTCCTTACCACATGCATTGGTAACTACATTTAACATACTTAGAAAGATTCACAATATGATTGTCGACTCGGGATATCAAGCCCACATTAAATGACAGAAATGTACACCAAACAGTAATGTACAATTAGCATCAAAACAGCATTATTTCAAAATAGGTTTTGCCTTCCATTTAACATGTACCACTGCTATCCTCCATGTATATTCTGGTTCAAGTCATGAGGTAAGGAAGAGGATTAAACATGAAAACAGCTAAACACAAAGCTGCCTACCTCTAAATGGGGTTTTGGGCAGAATTCAGTACTGTATTATGGAATTTCTGAGTAGGACACAGCAAAACTGAAGACTGTATAGAGTTCCAGGGAGCCCCTTCCCACCACCCCAAAAACTTTTAATAATAACGGTAAAAGAAAATACATATTGGAGCAAAAGAGAGCACTATGATAATGCTGTTGTAATGATGTGATTTCTTCACTACACATTATCTGTTCTGGTAATATTGTGTTAAACTCACCACCGAGGGCCAAGCTTTAGTACAAGGGCATCACTTTTGGGGCGGGGGGGGGCAAAGCTACTGTTCTGTCTGGAGGTAAAAACAACACACTTACTTTGTTTCTGTCATTGAAATTACACAATTTACAGGTGAGCAGCTCTACAAGTAGCATCTTGTCCATCACCAAGTGTATAACTGTACACACATAACACAAGCAAAAGAACACCACCAGTGCATCCCCAGGCATAAGCTTTAATAAGCAGGAATAAAAAAAAAGATCACTTACTTCTTAATAAGGATATACAGTACAGGTAAACCTCTATTTATGATAACCCAATCCACGATAATTTGCATTAACGATGCTAACATATTAAGACCACTTCCCCGTTTGCCATGTAAACAAACTCTCAACAACAGTGATATCTCCATTAGCTGGAACAATTGGTGCAAAGCGCTTCCGGGTAGGAGAGATTTCCAGGAAATGAGAGGACTCTCTCAAAGCCGGAAAAAATCCCCCATCCCCAGAATTTTTAGGGTACCATGAAAATTTTTCGCGGAATTTTCCAGAAAATCTTTCCCAAACCTGGAATTTATTCTTTTTTTATTTAATACAAAATTTTTGCTCGTGTTTTGTTAAAGAAAGTCACTAGTTATATGTTTTGTACATTTTAAAATTAATAAGAAAAAATAAGAACGGTGTAAATTTTATTAATACAATAGACTGTCTATAGCAAATCTCAACCCACCGTACTGTGGATTCTCAGACACTCTCTGTCGTCCCACTTTCGATAACAAATACGTTGTCGCTGTAGAGAACTTGAGGAGTTTGGTGAAAAATCAATGCAATGGTGGATTTATTCTTGTGTGACCACAGCTTAAGACATGGAGCTCAATGTTTATCTGTCATCATTAGTGTTGTTTTTTGACCTTACAGTGAGAGGATATAACTAAAATTAACATTGTACAAGTCTTGTTAAATGAACTGCTTTCGCTCAGACTATGAAGTGCATCAGAAGGTCAGTAATATGAGACCACTAATTAATCACCCACCCCATTTCCACTGCAAATGAGAGAAGAGTTTATATACAATAGGTGGAAATGACATGTGACCCACTAATCCCCCACCACCCCTCCATCACAAGTGTTAAAATATGGAAAATTGATAACAGCTACGTATTACATTCAGGAGATTGGACAGTACTATACTCCTACTGCAGGCTGAAGATGACAGTACTGTAGTAATATACATTATTTTGTTTCTTTATAATATATCTTACAGTTGCAGTCAAAAGTAATCACCCACTCCACCACTTAACCCCTGCACCTTTCTGCATGGTAAGTCACATAGGGTGGAGAGGGGGAATGGTTGATTTAGGGGAAGGCTATTTGTTAGGAGGGGGGGGAGGGAGTGGTATGCTAAGGGTTGGAAGGCCAGGGAAAGCAGAGACTGGGATAAATGAATGAAATTAAAAATTGGGTCCCCAGAGATAAAACCTTAAGAGGATTAGTAAAAATAGCCTGAGAACGTTTAGATTGGAGGACTGTGGTTGCCAACCCTCAGATTTGAGGATGGTACTCTGATTGATCTATGGAGTCCAAATATGATAACAAAACAGTAAATACAACACACGATATTAGTCATTAAACAATTACTGTTTTTCAATCAGTTCCAACAACTCCTGAGAGGAGATCCCAGCTTTATTTTCAAGTGTAAGACTAGATTGGGAGGAAAGTTACTGCATGGGGTCCTATTAATATTAGAAAAAACATATACGGTATAAAGGAGATAAAACATAACACAGTACAAGGCTTACTTCAAACTTGTCATAACTAAGTGTGGAGTGTAGGGAAGCATCGGTTGTGGTTGAAGTGACAAGGTTCAAGACCCTCTGGCCATTATACTCCATCAGTGGCTTGCCTTGTGGGGTCTGCCAGAGTATACACACACAAAGTCATGAGCACCATCCTCATCTTACTAATATATATATATATATATATATATATATTGTCTGTAAATAATTCTGCAAGGGTTATTCTTGTAGCTTAAACCTTATTTCAAACCTGGAAATCAGTTCCTACATTGTAACATTTTCATTCTACAACAAACATGCCAAGGCCTAAGACTGGTGGGGTATACAGGACATGCTGTTAAGTAAAATAATTAGAAAATATTAATATTCAGAGTATTTGGGAGCATAAAATATTTTTATATCTAGAATCCCTGATCTATATTAACCAGGATTCTAACTTGAAGTTTGGGATTCATCAAGTTTTTACTTCTTTTCAATAAGGTTAGTTTTGTGACACAGAACTGCTAATAAAAAAAGTGAGTAAAATACTTGTTTTTAAAATAATTTTCAGAAAACAGTAACATCAATACATATACAGTATAAACATGTTGAATAAATCTCACAAGATGAGCTACAGAACTTTGTCAGGACACACCACACTGCTCCTCATATCCTTTTAATAACGGTTTCTATTGTCACTTGTGGATTCTGTTTTGGCAATGTTCTATTGAGAGAAGTTGAGAAATGACCAGTGCACTTCACTACCATTTATAATTATAGTTAGCAGTCCTTCACCCTACATATCCTCTTGGTGTAGAAAGCTGACTGGCTTATTTGGCAACTGATCAAATGATTACCTTGTTTTGAGATGATGCAATGATAAATAGACTTTTCTAAATCTGGTCAAGTAGGGATCTGTAGCCAACAGCCCTGATGACCATCTCCCACCACACACTGCACCAGGAAACAACTTTCTCAGGCCCAGCTTAGCTTTATAATGTTTCCTATTAACCCATTTGTGATCTTGTGGCAGTGACACCCCCATGATGCTAAGTCAAGAGGGTCAGCTAAGAAAAAAATTCTGATACTGTTAAAATGACCTTTATCATATGGTCATAGAGGATTCACATGGTTGAGTGCATATGCCCCTTTCCTTGGCCATGAGTTCATCAATGCTAAATTCTCAGACTTATCATTTCCAAGCAATCCTCTGAAAAATTTCCACACATCCCATGTGATGCTTGAACCTCTTACATTATATATCTTAGATCAAAATTGTGTGTGAGGAACCAAAACCCCTGATTCAGTTAAAAGATAACCACCTACCTATTTTTCAAGATACTGTACAGTAATGACAAAATGACTCAATCAGGTGGCATCTGTCCAAAACTCCTAGTAGCCATTATATTTGGGTGTTACTAATCTGAATGATAATACATCTTTATCATCAAGCACATAAGGATCAGCTACACAAATCAGGTAGCAATGTTAATTCAGACTTCAGTCATTTGAAATTTTTACCACTATTTATAAAGGAACACAAAGGCTGTTCAAGTTACCGTCAAGGGTGTTTGAACTGCAGATTTTGAGGGGGATTTAAATATGACTCCTCCTACAGAAGGTGTTAAGTGTTTGGATCTCTTGCTGCTAGCAGGGTCATCCCCTTCATGCCCTCTCTTCTTAGTGGAGGCCAGTGGTCCAGGGGTCCTAATGTGTGATGCAACAAGATTTGTCCCACGTTTGTTATCTGCAACCTTTGCTTGTTGCTGCTCAAAATAAATAAATAAACAAGATATTACCTATATTGAAACACTGACTCTCATACACTAACACTAACAGTATATTTACAAATCCATAATCATTCAAAAAGAAATATCACATGAATACTGTCAGTAGGTTTTCCAAACATTCAGGAGACAAGGCAGTAACATAACAGTACAGTATATATCCACCAGGTACTGTAGTTCTTTGTGTATATATATATATATATATATATATATATATATATATATATATATATATATATATATATATATATATATATATATATATATATATATATATATATATATATATATATATATATATATATCCAGCAAGCCATCTTCCACAATTTGTCAAGTCTACCCCATATAATTTTATCCTCATTCAAACTTAGCACTGACCCCCTCAGGCTCACAGGTACATACAAGATTACATACTGTAGATATAAGTAAGAGAGGGTGACTAAGGAACCCTCAACTTAGCCAGTGACATGTAATAAATCATACAACCAACCTGCTTCATAATCGTTGGAAACAAAAAGTACTAATTTATACCCCCTATACCCTTCTCCTTCTTTGTTGATGTCTTGTCTCTCCTCCTCTAACACTACATTTATACAGGGAATGCAAGTTCACACAGATCCATATGTTACCAGATAATAAACTCAGGCTTTCATATTTGTATTAGATTTATCAGGAACTTATGAAAAGATACAATTATTCTTTGCGCTCCTCCTTACATACATACACAAACATACTCATACATGCTTATACACACTCTCATACATACATACATACATCCCATTCCTAATCACTGTAAAAATTATCAACAACTCGTAGTTAACCAGTGTGCTCACTCCCTGCCAATCTCATTTTTGTACTGTTACTATGCTGAAATTCCCGGTTGAATGACCTCCCCCTCCCCCCCACCTTGATATTATATATCATATTTGTACCATTTAAGTTACTTGTGTATAATTTGTCAATCAAGTGACCCATCCCCCAATACGTAACTTTCATCATCTTTGTTGATTTTATATTTTCAACCTTTGGGCTGCCATGTTCTCTCAATAAACCATTAATTATTATTATTATTATTATTATTATTATTATTATTATTATATACATGCACACATAGTTACTGTACATACACACACAAACATACATAAACACTCATATACATGCACACACAACTGATACACACCCTCTTAGTCTTCTCAACCTCCTTCTTCACATTGTGGGACTGCCAGAGTTCCTCCAGATACTGGGTGATCTCCATACCATATATCATAAAAGGCCGACCCTCCTGTTCCTCTAAGGCCAGAGTACTGGCAATAATTCGCTCTTCCACACGTGGCAGCTCCTGGGAAGTGAAATATTACCATTAACAAATAATAAATGAAAGAAATGTAAGTGCAGTATTGGACCAACTTAGCTGTCATAATAACATCTTATAATTATTCAGATGAGATTTAAAACAAGGAAATTATACATTTTTAATATCACACAACTAGATTATGATGTTTAAATTAACAGCCTTTAAACCATCTCCGAGAGTTTGTAAGATGGCAACCCTATTATAATGGGGAGGTTACAGTTAGAATACAACAAATTTAAACTTAAGCCAGACTAGCTTGGCTTAGGTTTCACTCATCAAGATTAGGTCGGTGAATAGTTCTATACATGTTAGTATTTTTAAGTGAATTACAACCACACCTGATGAAAATACCAGAATGACACTCACAGCTGCTTCCTACACAGAGGAGTTTCTTCTTCAGGGTGGGTAGCAGACACACTGTTTAACACTCACTCTCAAGCCTTATTCTAAGTGAAGTTTTGAAAGTAACTCAGGATTTTCTTTAAGCTTGGTCTACTCTATACACCTATTTCAGATAATCAAGGTAACAGGGATTTATTCCCTCCTCAATAAGCAACACAATTGTCAATTCTTGTACAGTACATCAATTTTATTAACTGAATCAGCTTGCTCTATGAATAATAATCCTCCCTGACTGGTTGGTCAGAAAGAACTCTTGATCACCAGTTTGTTACTTTAAAAAATGCTGTTACTCTCCCCCCATGATAGTTCCGTACTCCTCATTCACAAAACCAATACAGGTACTGTACTGTATTTAGCACCTGCCTTACTCTGATCACACTGTTTCATCTTTTAAGTAACATTATCATAAAAATTTAATATGAAAAATATCTGTAAGTAACAGAAAATGTATAAATAAACCAATTAGATCTTTCTGCTGGACTGTGAAGCTGTAGATAAGCTAGTAGTCCCTTAAAAAGTACTGTACTGTCAACTGCATGAAGCTGTGATCATATGAAGATGGCTGACTCACCTTAACAAAAAATATAAGACAAATGACAAAAAAAAGTGAAAGTAGAGTTATAAAGAGAAAAATATTGCAGTTTATTGTGTAAAAAAGATAATGTATACAACTTACAGCTTTTACTTTTTTCTTGGCCTTCTCCTCCTGTAGCAGAGCTCCTCCTCTTGTGTTGAACAGCCGACTGGGATCCTTAGCTCTCTCCTCTAGCTCAAGCATGTTGCCAAATAAAGTGAGGAAGGTTGCAACCATTCCCAGTAATTCACTATTTTCCATGTAATATTTTTTCCACTTCTTTATCTCTCTTTCATAGGCAGACAGTTTGTCTTCATTAGCTTCATCTGTACAGTGTAATACAAAAATAAAATAAAATAAAAACATGGACTAAAGGCCACATGATGGGTAACACAATATGTCTTCCAAAATAAAATTACAATATATTGTCTACAAATGAATTCTTAATTGGTGTCCATTTCCTTTGAGACTTTGATAAGGTAACTTAAAGACTTAAAAAAAAATTATTGCTGGTGCTACCATAATTTACTAAACACCTACTGCTTTGTCTGAATAACAAAAATAATGCTTCATGCTCACATGTGAACAGAAATCGCTTCCACGGTACCACAAGGGCGACAAAAGCAACCCTAGGCTTGTATTTCACACAAAGCCCGTTCCTCCGTCTTATTATTAAGCAATGTGAACCTCCACCAGGGATTACCCATGCCAACTATGTGGTCGAGTAGCATTTTACAGACTCCAGCTAGAAAGCATGAGACACAAGACCTAGGGTTGCCTTTGTTGCCCTTGTGGTACCGTGGTAGCGATCCCTGCTCACACATAAAGGTCCCAGGTTCGATTCCTACTAGTAGGGTATTGTTTGTATATTGAAGTCCACGTATATATTAACTGTTGAGATATAATAGTAGTCTCTTGTTTTCTAGCTGATACTGGACTTGATATCAGGTAAAACTTTACCCATAAATAACTTGCTTTATATCAATTTATACTGTACTGTAATGACATGAAATTGGACTGAAAACCTTAAGAGAATCATCCCTTTAAAAAACTGGAAATGCCCCACCAGCATCCCGCAGCATTACCCCCATGCCTAACATGGGTGAGCAACATAGACCAACCTGAAAACATTGTTAAGAATGAGTCCCTCTCTTTGATGTCAACATAACACTTGTCCCACCACAAGCTCAGCTCCTTCTGGAGCTTTTCCACAAGCAGGGACAAATTCTGATGACGTAGAAGCAGCAGCCTTTCAAGTTCTTCGTTCAGCTGCAAATCAACAGCAGAATGACAGACATATCCAAGAAAAATTTTGATATTAAGGTTTCTGGCAACCCTCTGTTGTAGTGGAAAGGGTTTAAGAGAAACAGAAAAGGGGAACAAGTCATGACACATTACTTTAGGAAATAAGAGTGTCGTAAATGAAAGAATACAGTGATTGATTATGAATACGATCTTAGCGCCACAACAGCCAAGGTCATTTGGCGCCAGAGAAAATTAATGTTAAAAGATTAAACTAAAATCAAAATGATGAAAAAAGAAAAGAAAACTGATAAGAAAAACAACCCAAAAGGAAACAAGAATAAACCTATAAAAGAGAGAGGAGACCAGCCTCCTCTAAAGAAAAAACACACCACACACACAAAATCATGAACCAAAACTTTACCTTTGCTATGTTTGAAGGTGTATGTTTAGGAGCAGTGGCCAAGAATGCTTGCTGCTCTTCACGAGGGACTTCAAGCATACTCCAAATATTGGCAATCTTTTCTCGCAGCTCCTCTGATTTTGCCTTATTCTCCTGAACACGGAACTCAAGGTCACTGTGGACAGTCTGAGGAAATTCTGACAGGATTAACTTTAGTAGAAGTACTTGTTGTTTCCATTCTCCTAAACCTCCTGGGTAGACCCTGACATGCTCTCTGTCCCTCACTTCTTGCACTCCCACATCTCCTTAATTCAATATTTCTATTTCTTTCCCCCTATTTACCCTCTTCTAGGCTACATTAGGTCAGATGAACTTAGATCAGGTTAGGATGTTGAACATAATAAGTTTACATCATGGGAAGTTAGGTCACATAAGCATAAAGACTAGATAAAAAATAAGGTACCTAAAAATAGATCATATCTTGTTAAGCAAAGAATTTACAATACAGTACAGTATAGGATTATCAAGAGTAACAAACCAAGATAACTGAAACAAGAAAATATACATTGAGGAAATGCATGTATGACACAACATTATTTGCCTGTGATGACTGTTAATGCATATTAAAAATAAAATGAAAAAATAGAACACTAAGATCTAAAGCAAACTAAGCTAAATTAGGCTGAGCTAAGTTAGGTCAGTTTATCTTGGTGAGGGAAAGTTGGGTTTAATTAAGTTAGGTCAGGTTAGGATAAATGAATTCTGTTTAGGTTAAATTAGATAATATTACGTCAGATAAGGTGAAAACAGTTTAGATTAGGTCAGATTTGATTGTGTGTGTGTGTGTGTGTGTGGTTCATGAAAATAATCAGGGAATCGACATACTCATCAATGGTAAATGTGCTGCTTTCACTGACTGGAGGAACACTCCTCAGTCTTGAACCACAGCTGATACATTCCACTAGAAGCTGACTTACACAATAGATATAAGAACAATTGAGGAGTTTGGGGCCAAAAAACTTATACACGAGATCGACTAATGGACGAGTACTACTGTATATATACAGTAGTTCTGTACATCAGACAAGTGTAGTATGGGAATCACTGAGACTAGTGAATGACTAAGATTCACCAGTATAAAGGTCCACAAGAAACAAGACAATGAAAGAGGAACTCATCTTTGGGCAACCTACCTTAAGATACTGTAAGTCAACCTTGCTAAGAGGAATGTCTTCATTATCACAGCAGATAACTTCCTGTGAGATGGTGTCTTCAGGTGACTGCTCCAACTGTTCTAAAAACTTCAATAATCCTGCCTTTAGTGATCTGAATGTTTTCTCTCGTTCCACCTAGAAAATGGTAATGAATCATACTGCATTATCTATTTACTGTACTGTACATGCTGTTGATGGGAAATGCTTTCTTGTGTGGACTAACAGAGTTAATCTACATGGATATATATAAGGCCCCACTGATACACATCTATTACAATGATAAGATTAAATGAATGAAGGAAAAATATATCCATGTACAGGGGGTCCTCAGGTTACGTTCCTGAAGAATCTCTTATGTCAAATTTGTACATAAGTCGGAACACATGCTATGTGCATACTGCACTTACAGAACAATGTTTAAAATCCCACTGTATCATAGCCCAAGTCCTTATATACATCTAAAATCACTTAATTTAAGACAAAAGGAGAAATAGAATGATAAAATACAGTAAATGAAAGTATAATAAGTCATTAGGTAAATAAAATACTGTACGTATATTTAAAGTTTAACAGTTCGTATCGGTAGGCGTTCGTAAGTCGGGGACCCCCAGTACTGTATTTGCTCTTATATCTGGCTATCCTGCATTATGTGGGAAAGAATTTGAACGAGTAAAAAAAATCATATAAGGCTTTCAAAATGTTTTATACTGTACCGGGACGCCTGTGGTGGCTGTCCTACTTATGGATGGCTGTGGGTACTGGGTAGCCAAGGCCAATGGAAAAAAAACTTTAACAACTTCAAAGTATCATAAAAATTATGTTTTATTTTCCTATCAATATAATTTGTTTTTCATTTAGCTCAGTTGCATTATAAATATAATCATTTGCATATAGGTAAACCTCAAGATACGATGGGGTTACGTTCCTGAAAAACCCATTGCGAGGTGAATTATTGTAGGTAGGGAGCATTATAACATGGGGTTCAGTGGGATACCTTCCCAGTCAGTCCCCAAACATACATGTATCACCGACAAAAAATTCCTACAATGCTACTATCAGTACAAACCAAGTAAACAACACTCACCACATCGTGAAGAATAAGTCTGGTCATCATCACATGTCCCCTTCGAGGCTAAGGGGACTCTTGTAGGTGGAGTGGAAGCGTCACTAAGACTCCCACACAGCCTCTGGGGAGTCTCATGCTACTTAACAATGTCAAGCTTCACCTCAGAGACACAGTTGTCATGGATGCCTTGGCCTTCCCAGACATTTTCAAAGTTACACTGTTCACTTCAGTCACAAAAACAGAGCGAACAATGATAACAAAAACAATGATAGAGGTCGACACTGCTCACATTTTCAAAACAAGTCAACACACCTTACAATCACAAAAACAAAAAATAACATGACACAGTTCATTCTAAATGTTTGTGCTGTCCTCTCTCTAAATAAGAAAAAACACTGATGATAAGTAAAATGTTGGCCAATAATTATGGAGCTATGCGATGGCAGGTTTACGATTAACAAAGTCCCAGCACGGTTGTGGTGCACGGGTTGGCCGCGTGGCGACACATGGGTAGGCTTACAGGTGAAGGTAGAGATGCGTCATACATAGGGTTAAATATCATTCCCTTATAAAATGTCACTGACTTGACATAGAAAAATATAAGTTGCATGCCTGGAATCCATGCAAGACAACGATTAATTTCAGTATAAACAACCCATAGTTTGCATAGTGAAAAAATTTCCAACCAACGGATAACGATGGCTATTCGATGGATATCGCTAAAGCAATTTGTTTTGATCGTATATAGCGAGATGGTTTTAATTTATAACCATCGTTAAAGTGGAATATTGCATCCTGGGATATAGTATCTCGAGGTTTACCTGTGCAGGAGTATTTGTTTTATAATGTACCTTTTCCTTCTCCATGGACCTGACGTGCTCTTCCACCGCCTTCAAATCATCTGTGGACGGCACAAAACCAGATGGAATGTAATATGGAGTCTCATTCAGCACCTCACACAGACCCTGCAAGAACACAATCATTTAATAATAACAAATCTGGTAAAGCTGTGAACATGGAATGAATATCAGCTTATAGAGCGTGTGAGTGTGTGTCCTCCCCTACTCACCACTGGAAACCCAGGTACATATTAACAAGTTGCCTAAGTGTGCTGCCAACCCAGAAAATGCAGCAGAGAACAGAAGATGGACAGAACTCTGGTGACTTAGATGCCTTCAGGCATGTTGAAGCAAAGTTTTACAGCTCGATGATCTTCCTAACACCAACCCACAGGGTGAGAACAGCTAGCAAGGTAGGGTCACAACTGCCTGAGGTAATCAGAAACTACCTGCCTACACTATGGACTAAACTAATATCTAAGCTAGCCTAGGCAAGGCTAGGAAGTGCCCCAGTATTAAATGGATGAGTAATCTGTCCTGGTACTCGGGTTGCCAATGAAAATACTACAGCATTAACCTCATCCTTCTCCTGTAGGTGTCTCAGAGTCTCCAGTCTCTCATTCATTATTTGCTGTAGTTTCTCCACACGCTCCTGCATCAGGGCGTCCAACTCCAGCAAGGTGAGGCCCTCCACATCCTCTTCAGGCTTCATACACAGCTCCTGTATATACGAAACATTTCTATTAAGTGTCTAACCACTTCTTGGTGTAAACAAGATTAATTTAAGGGAAATTCAATATGAAAAACATACAATGAAGTGGTAAGGTTATAAATGCCAATGGGCTGAGGAAAGAGAATGTAGCTAAGGGATATAAAAAAAAAAAAAAAAAAGCTGGACATACAAAAAAAGAGGTGAAAGGGAAGAACTGAAGAAAAATGACAAGAAGTCCAGATGAGATGTGTGGGTACAAAATAGGTTGACAGTGCTCATTAAAAAGAGCATAAGTGCCTGATAACTAATTACAGTACAAGGGTGGGACAACTACACTCATAGGTAAAGAAAAAACAAAACATAGTTGGTGAAACTCACTTCACACAGTTTCAATACATCTCGAGTGTTTTGCTCAATACTGTTGGTGAGTTGATTCTTCAGTGCTCTTTCACCATCAACAACTTTATCACACAAATTCTGAAAAAAATAAATAAATAAATAAAATTGTATATATATATATATATAATCATAAAAAAAATTTTGAATGACCTAAAAGCACTTAATATAACAAAGGCCTCTTTTTAAGCATGAATAAATATTGAATATTACTTAAATGCAAAATAAACGAGAATTGAGATTATAGAGTACAGTACAGTATAGTACTGTACTGTATACTGTATGTGTATCCAGAGACAACCTTTACTTACAATAAACTAAAACAAAACATTTTACCACTTATATCATTCACGACCAGAACAACATTTGAACCTACAGCAATGTGACCAAAGAAATGTCCTCTTCTAATCTCCCGTTGTTCGTCTGGCATACCAATGTCATCCCAGATGACCTCTAGTCTAGTCAATGTGCTCTCTAACTCTCTCGGTGTTGCTGATCGTAGACTGTAAAGTAATACATCAAGAAACATCAATAAATAACACACACACACACACAAGGTTGTGCCAAATGAAAAGTTGATATGACCTCTCAATGACATTGAATGACTGGAGAGTTTGCATTGCTTTTGATAATTCATTACATCCATTCTGCAGTGTAACGTGAAAGAGCGTAAAACAATATAAACTTTCAATTATTAATACCACCCATCTCCTCTCTGTAAGCTGAGTAAGACTGACTCTGTAGTGGTAAACTGTTTATTATCTCTTCTCATTAAAAAACGGTAAATAGTGTACAAATATTAGATTTCTTCGAGTACAAAGTACATTGACATACACTTTATTTTAGTGTCACATTATCAGTTTTTTTGCAATGCTTTACCCTGCAATTCCCATCATTCTTCATGCCCTGCCCGCTACAGGCAACTTATGATTGAAGATAGAGAGAGAGAAAAATAAATAAAAATTATGATAAACGTAATGGGTTTTTGCCGTGACCGGCTAAGTTCCTAACACTATTTTACCGTGAGTGCACTCTGATTGGGTAAGTACTTTCTGTTTAATATGATAGGTGGGGGTCCGCCCCCCTCGGTTAGGAAGTTAGGTAAGATTAGGTATGTTTTTTTGGTTGGTTAGGTCAGGTTCTATTAGGTTCCAGTAAATGTCGCCTCTTTTATAAAGATAAGTTTCCATGCACAACAGAAATAAGGTTAAGTATGTTTGTATCTACACAATGAGTGACTCACGGCAAAATACCAGGTACAGTAAATGCCAAATCCCACCAGTCATAGTCAAACATAGTTCTCGCACTGCTTGCCGGTAATGAACGATTAGCCAATTAGATCACACTCACTGTAAAATAGCGTCAGCAGGAGCTTAGCCGGTCACGGCAAAATATCCACTGCCTATAATAAAAAGTTGTCATATCGATTTTATTAGTTAATATTGATATTATTACAGTTTCTGCCACAACTCAGTTAGAGCAATCTTGTGTTTACAATTAGTTATATCTTGTCAATAGGAACAACTGCTAATTATTGACAACTGACCAGCGGTCAATTTTTCATAGAAAATGTTTATAAAAATGACACAATTTCACCGTTTTATAGTGGACACTCATACGTACTTTGTGTAAATGTGTTAAAAAATGGCTATTTATAAATTAAACCTAAGCTAACCTTAGTTGATATGAAAAACATGCAGAAGCATTTGAAGACCTCACCAACCTAACCAAACAAACCTATCTAACATTACCCAACATCCAAGCCACACCCCTCGCACCGCCCTGTACAATAAACTGATACAACTTTCTATGATAAGGTGTAATTTTTATTTTTGTGGTTGTGAGAGCAGCCGCCCGTACTAAATGGTTTATAAGGATACACTGAGCATCACAGTTGATCTTGCCCGGGTGGCAGAGTGTTCTGAAATAGGTAAAGTTAGGTAGGTTTGTTTGGTTAGGTCTGTTTTTCAAAACCACAAATGCTAAGTAATGTTCATTTTTAAAATATCCATTTTTAACATATTTCCACAAACTACAACAGTGACCACTATAATATAACAGTGAAAATCCGGTGTTTTTATAATTGTTTTCAACCAATCCAAATCAAACCCAGCCTGACCTGACCTAACCTTAACCTAGCCTAACCAAACCCAGCCTGACCTGACCTAACCTTAACCTAGCCTAACCAAACCCAGCCTGACCTGACCTAACCTTAACCTAGCCTAACCAAACCCAGCCTGACCTAACCAAACCTTAACATTAACCCTAGCATAACTTAACACCTGCCGTATAAATGCCAAGAAGACACATTAGTACACACCTTCGGCGCCTAAATATCTACCAATCAAAGCATTTGCACAATAAATGATTATCATATCAGTACTCACTGATGAAATATATTAAGTAAATATACACAAATAACTCGTCAGCAGGTCAGTCAGTCAATATTAACCGAGTCACACTAAAAACCTTAGGAAGACAGTTTTAAGCTTCAATGGGAGTTAAATGTTAATCAGGGGCGTCTGTATTAGATACTCCTATTTACACCCGACAAGCTTCTTTACCACTACCAAATGGACTGAATTATACGGAACTGAGGGTAGTTTATGAAGCTGTTATTAGTAAAAGAGAAAATAAAGCCTTACCTTGCGTCAGCCATCAGGAAACACACACACAGGAATCTTAACTTTTGAAATGGTGGGAAGGTTTACTGTCAGTGTGGCCAAGTCCTCATGAGCTGTACCCGCTAACATGAACATTAATTTGGTTTAGTGAAGTCTTTATACAAGTTCTCATCGATTCATCATGTACATAAAACTGCGGTATAAAAATAATAATAACTAATTTAACGGGTAATTTAAAGCTCTGGAGAAACAATAGAAGATTATCTCGATTACTCAATCATATATTCGCTTAAAATCATTAATATCATTATTATTTATATTTGTTAATTCAAAAGTATCTTAACCTCATTAAAATCATCGAAAAGATTAAAACAATTTACAAAGATCCACTATATACAAAAGGCTAAAAACCTTCAAACTTTAAAGCTTGTAACGTTTCCCTTAACTTGACACCACTGTATTAGGTTTGTAATGGACGTGTTGCCAGCTTGAAGAGTTGTTAAAAAATATATATTATTTTATCCATATGCAAACTTCATTCAGATAACACTACAAAACTTTCATATTCTTTTATATAACCATTTATTAAACTATGGCTGAAATCAAGAATTAAATCACTGTGACTCCTTGAGGGGCGAGCGTCCGCCATGTCCAACACTAAGGGTACTTGACTCAGTAGTGCCCCCTGAGATGCTTGTACACCTCAACTAGGTCGCCCCTTGCCCGTCTGTAGTATAAGCTAGGCAAGTTCAGGCGCTCCAATCTCTCAGGGTAGCTGAGGTGCAGACACCAGTTTGGTGGCCCTCCTTTAAACATTTTCAACCAACTGACAGTCCCTAGCATATCTCGGGGACCAGACGGGGTGACAGTACTCCAGATGGGGAAGCACTTCACTCTTGAAGATCGTCACGAGGACGGACCGTCTAGATATCTGAACGACCTTCTTATAAGACCTAATAATTTATTTGCCTGATTTACCTTCTTCTCACAATGGCCCGAGAACTTCAGCTCATTGTCAACATACACACCTAGGTCCTTCTCACACACAGTCTCAACTAGTACATTTTCTTCATCCCGTTGGGACATATGATACGCCTCCTTACCGTTGGTACGCCCCAGGTGCATCCTCTTACACTTCGTGACCTACAGTGATTTATATATATATATATATATATATATATATATATATATATATATATATATATATATATATATATATAGAAAAGGTGGGTATATCCCACTGTGATATTATACAATAAGAAAACTAATGATATGCAAAATTATCAACAAACAAGGAAATGAGGATATGCTCAGATATGTAAGTCTAGAAATAGTTTCTATTTATATGTGCTCTTTCAATACAGTATTGCCGTTGATATGGGGTTCTTCCGGGATGGGATATTGAATCATCAGGATCCTCCGGGTTCTCAACAAGGTCTTGGCCATCAATTTCATCCGGTGTCATGCGACAAACCTTCTGGAAGAACTCACTATGCATGTGCAACAAGTTTATTAATACCTGATATTAATAATATTTCTTGCGATACTCCTTCTGCCTTGGTTAGGTCAGGTTAGGTTAAGTCGCACTGGAATGAATATCGCATGGTAACGTGCGATAGAACATCCTGGCAAAACTCGTGCATGTACGTACAGTATTACAACTGGAAGGTTTGTCGCATGACTCCGGCATTGGGTCATTTTGTTGAATGACCTTAATATGTTGGACTGCAGCAGCAACACTTTTCCAAAAAGATACACAGTACAAATATCACAGGGTGGTGTAAATTTAAACCCATTTTAATAAGCCAACTTTATATAATAAAATCATTGCTGTTACCACAACTTTAGATAGTTTCTTATCTACTCTGAGAGAAAATTTGTGCACCTGGAGTAAATTAGAACCTTTTTTATGTTTTGATTCTTTCTTCATAGTAGAAAAAGGTTCAAGTATTATGATAATCTAATATGCCATCCACCTAACTTAATGCTGCAATGCCTAAACTAACCTTTGTGAACTATAGCTGAATAAAATATAAATAACATTATTCCATGTAGGATTTAAACAAGAGCTGTGATTGTTGGTAAAAAATAATGAAAGATATGTGATTCTAAAAATGTTTGATCATAGTAAATGGTCAGTAAAGCTTTTCTTGGGTTAACCTATCTAATTAATATGTGTATATCATCTACGATTAAGTTTTTGTCAAAGTTTTGAGTATGAAATAATGGAAAAATGTTGAGATATAAACATTCATCTAGCTTGGCCAGAGCAATTCACATTTTGGCCAACCTCAATACACATCAACAAGACTATAAACTCTTTCCTACTTTACTTGACTACATCACAGCTATAATAAAACAAATATATATAAACTTTCCACTTTACACACATTATAGTATCAAAGCTATGATGGAAATTATCTATTACATGGTCAGAATCATCCACCAACAGGTCTGAACGCACCAAATTTTGTGATTACATAATAACTTTTAGCAGACTGGGGTCTGCCCCAATTAGTCCAATTTATCGAGGTTCTACTGTATACCAACGTATAAACGGTAAGTGATCAGGAATAAGAGAAATAATCTTTTAAGCTATTTTAATATATTCAAAGAAATTTATTTTTACATACAACCAAAAGATTTAACAAAAGCCATTACAGTACTGTGTATTAGATATATAAAAAATAAAATAAAATTTGTTTGTTTGACACTTGTACAGTGTAATCATACAATAATAATTACCTTAAAGCTATAAACCCAATTAAGTAAAAAAATATTAAATGCATATTTGAACAAAATATGTTAATTATGGGCACTGAAATATGACTCAAGGATACTTCTAAAAGTGCAAAATAACTCCTGACAATGACTTACACCAATTATGTAATAATTCCAAAAATTCTTAAATAATAAAACTGATTATGAAACTGAAAGTTATGATTCGTAAGACCAAAACAAACAAACTTGAGGAAATATATACGATATTGTGTTTGTAGTGTCTGTATCCATGTCAATGTGTGCATCTTGCTTGAGACTGTATATATTTTTTCATGTTTGTGTATAAATTCAAAAGTATACTTGTATGTTTGGTTATTTAAATTACTTCTATATACTATTCTCAAGAAAAAAACAAATTCTATAAAGGAATTTTCTGAATATTTCAGAGGATTATAAGGACAATAATTCTCTACTCAGTTATTACACTGATTAACTACTTGTACTGTATATTAAAAAAGAAAAAATCTGTGGAAAAACATATTCAATCCATCTAATTTTACGAAATGATCTATTCTGACGGCCAATATTAAACATCTCTTTCATAAATCTGTTCAAAATTAAACATTTATTTCATCAAAGTGATTAGAAGGCTACACTGGTTTTACTTGTGTGTTACTAAATACTGTACTGTATAAGGTAGTCATTCAAGGGTGTGACGGCACATAAGTGGTCGTTTGCTACCTTTCAACTTATGTTTGACTTTGGGTGTACTCCAACGACCATTCCTATTCCTAGGGACTTGGGCGCCACCCAGAGCTCCCATTTTCTTGTTTAAAAAACTTTCGTCACAACCAGGCAAAACTAAATCTTTCCTTGTCTTTTTCTCCATTTCACTCCTAATAGTTGGCAAATGAGTCTTGCCACTTCCATCACCATATGCACTTCTACCAAGAGGTATCATCTCATTTCTGGTATCTGAAACATTAATTTGCGGTTTTATGAATCTTGATTCAATGTGAACTGAACGTGTTTCTTCAAACGTGGAAGTGTGCGTCTTACTGTAGCTGGGGGCACCAGGATCACTTCTACCTCCTTCCTCTGGTCCTTTGAGAGTCAACCAATAAGTGTTTGTCCACTTCTGGTGTGAAAGGTCTGACATCCTCCTGTTTCGTGATGCTGTGCTAGCTGCATGGGTCTTCTGCACAACAGGAAAATAAAATTGTTATTCTTCCAATATCAAACGAAGATATAGGCATCCCCCAATTTACGATGGGGGTTAGGCCCCTGAAAAACCCATCGTAAATCAGAAAAAAATATCTAAGACTATTACTAGCACTGCAAAACAATTTAAAAATACTCACTACATCATTAAGAACACTGCTCACTTCGGTCACAAAAATAGAAAAAACTTGTCACAAAACGCCGTTTTGGGGCAACGTGAAGTAAGAGATTGGCTCTGACGCGCCGATGATCAGTGGCGCAGTGGTCTGAGCCACGCATGGCACAGGTGATGAGGACATCTCGGCGATCTGACAATGATGTAGTCAATGAGATGCCAGTGTTTGGATCGTGGGTGTTGCCACGAACCCTTGAACTTGTCGTCCTGCCTAAACAAGGTATTGGTGATAGTAAGGTTGTGAGCAGCACACTTACTGAGGAGGAGTAGGCCGTTGGGATTACACTTGCCTAGTCCATTTTCCTTATGATTCCCAGCCCTATGTTAGCATCTCTGCCAACTCTGTCATTGAAGTCACCAAAGAGCACAACCTTATCTTCTCTGGGGATAGAGGTTAGCACTCTGTCGAGGTCAGAATAAAAGGCCTCCTTGATGTCATCCTCTGCATCCAGTGTTGGGGCGTATGCACTGAGGAAGAAGGTATGACCTGAGTGATTCATTGGGACTCGAAGCGTCATGAAGCATTTGTTGATCCCAATAGGCATTTCAGTTAGCCTTTGTAGGATGCATTGGCGGATGGCAAAGCCAACCCCATAAATGCAGTTTCTCTCCGCAGCAAGCTTACCCTTCCAGAAGAAAGTATGGCCAGACCCCCATTCTGTGATTCGACCTTCATCTGGGGGCCGGGAATCACTAATGGCTGCTATGCCGATGTTATACCTAGCCAGCTCCTTTGCCACAAGGGAGGTTCTTCTTTCAGGATGCGCATTTGTGCCAGTATTGAGAAGGGTCCTGACATTCCATGCAGCGACCGTAAGAGGTTGTATAGTTTGTTTTTGCTTTCACCTGGGATTATAATTGTGTTTTCAACCGCTTAAAGATGATCTTACTGGGGGCGGTTGCCCAGTCAGGTTGGTTCTTTAGGCAGGATCTTACTGGGGGCGGTTGCCCAGTCAGGTTGGTTCTTTAGGCAGGCTATGTTTAGGGCACCTTTTATACCCCGCTCCCCATGTGGGGTGAGTAGAGTGGCTCCCCGAAAGGGCTGCTCAGTCAGACGGACAGGACCGGATTACACTGCTGCCTAGATCCCAGTGCATAAACGACCATCTTATCTGTGCTATCCATGTGCTGAGTTGTGACTAGAGACTGCTGACAGTCATCTCTGCCTGTCCCCTTCACCATAGGACTTTTGAGGTATAACGGTTTGATAATGAAGAGTATGATGAGCTGGATGATGGCTGCACGCAAGTTGATTTATGTGGCGAGGCAGGAGCGCAGACTACAACCACACATCTTGGCTCTCCCTTATCCTGATCCAATGGTGCAAGGACTGGGGAGAGGGAGAGTTGCAATAGTCTGCCGATAGCCCAGTTTGTTGGGTTTCGCCTTCGTAGCCTCTCTATCAGACATTCCCTTCGTCCACCGGTGTAGTCGTTGAGTTCCAGTGGTGGTCACCTCTTCTACCTATACCGCCGTTGGGGGTCTTGTTGGAGCTCTGCAAGCATGTCTGCCTGATGCGGGGCTCCACCGCAGATTTTTCATTCGGGGTTTACTCTCGTAGCCTTATATCTACCAAGGTTAATCCACAAGGCAGTGTGGCAATGGTTGGTAGGAGCCAGGACATGTCTACGTGCCAGTGAGTCTATGTGCCGTCCCTGTGGGGCCCACTGCTACTCCGAGATCCCCTGCTGTTCTAGCCTGGGCCCACGAGGCACCCAGTTACAGTGTGTTGCCAGGAGGAGGCACAACAGGGGTCTTGATGGTGAGGAGGCTGTGTACTGGCAGGGGAAGACTTATCCAAGTTGCTTGCCTGTTTGCCTCGAAGGTTAGCCAGCGGCGGCAGCTGAAAACGAGAGGGAGCAAGCAGTGCTTGCACATTACCACTAACATAATTCTGCCACACTAGATGCATTACACCACCCTGTGTGCACACGCACACACACACACACACACTCTCCAGCACCGTTTGAGACACAGTGCCTTGCCTCAGTGCCAGTGTTTTTATATTTGCCTGTAAACCTGTATTCGTTATTATATATTCTTGAATGATCAGCTTTTTATGGTGTATGTTTTATTATTGATGATATAAAATATTAAATATACTATAGAAAAAATACAATATACATAATCAGTTATTTGACATCAAGATTAATGAACATGAGTGTGTGGACTTGGCAGGTCACCAACCACCGCCGGTACATCACCTTACCTCTCCCTTTTGAGTCGAGTTGTTATACTGTAATTAAATATTTCTTGACTGCAAAATGATTTGAGGTAAGGTATTTTAATTTTAGTATAGTTTCTTAGGTGTTTCTAAAAGCTTGACAACCCATATTTAGAGAAAGGCCATATCCTACTTGATATTTGATTTAATAACTGATACATGTGAGTGTTCTGCATGACTCATCAGTGCAACCACGGTACACCACTGCCCTGGGGTGTGTGTGGGTGGTGTTGGGGTGTGGGTGGGTGGGTGGGTGGTGTTGGGGTGGTGTGTGGGTGGTGTTGGGGTGGTGTTGGGGTGTGTGGGTGGTGTGTGGGTGGTGTTGGGGTGGGGGCTAATGAGTGGCTGCTTAGTGCACAGTGGCCCCCAGACCCCCAAAGTAAAAGCCCAGATATCGACAAATCCAGACGCCCTTTCCCCCAAATATGTGGTGAATTTGCTGGCTAGGAATGCATGCCCCTTACCGGGTATTTACATCAATTCTTATGGGGAAAATTGCCCCAACATTCGCAATTACATTTAGGAACGCGTCCCTTATGACAACCGGGGTATTCTTGTATAATCCTTTAAAAGCTTAATTATGAATTCCAGGCAATTTCAATGAAAATAACACTTTCATTTTGGGGAGGAAAATTGAAATTTTTGTGAATGTTTTGCAAATCATAGGCGGTGCTCAAAAGGTTAATACAATTATTTATATTAAAAAGTTCTGGAAGAGATATGTAATTAATACATTTGTGCTTATAATAACTAGCACAACAGGTGCAGAAATAAATAAAAGAATAGAATGACGAAAAATAAATTGTTACCTTAATTCTGAGAAGCTCAAAGTTGAGAGCAAATGCATGAGGCAAGTGAACACCAGAGGCCATAGAGGAGCAGATGACAGAACTGAGCTGTGATGAGAGCTTTGGGTTCCCACACTCCTGTGCCTCCTCCCATGACCTTATAAGTATATTAGGTAAATCTGGAATATAGATTTATATATCAGGGTTGGCAAAAACCATTGTTAAAAAATAAACAATTGTTTTAATGCTATTATGTTGGGTTTAATAAGTTTCAAATATTTGTAGCCCTTTTTATAATGTTTTAATATGCTATTAATCATAAACATTACATTCAGGGGGATTTAGCAATTGTTTATACTCTTTTCTATCTCAAATAATTACCGTAAAAAAGCCAAATTTGAAAAACACACTTTGAACAGTCATCCAGACTCATTCTACATACTTAAAGGCAAAAACTAAGTTTAAGATCATCTTACCCCGTAACTGGTCATTAACGTTCAGGTACGTGATCACCAATGTTACTATTTTTGGTCATTCACGTACTACATCGTTTTCTAAATATACTTTTCCCGTGCCTTTGAAAATGAGCCTAGCTACCATAATCTGGTGGTGTCTGGTATTTGTGTAAACATTTCCTGCCACTCAGCCTTGAGGAACCTCCCCTCCAGGGAGGCTCCACCATCCCGTCTCTTCCACAGTCAAGGCTCCGGGATTACGCAGTAGAGCCTCGATAGCCATGGCACGTGAACGTAACTCAATCAGAATGAGATATACGGTACTCTGAATTATTTGGTAGGGGTGAAGATGAACATGATATTGACAGAGAGGCATGTATTGATAGTAATACTGAAGATGATAGTGATAGTGACCCAGACTACATGTTTGAACAAGAGGAAAGCAATAATGACTGATGAGTGGCAAGTGGAGGAGAGAGGGCTGCTGCCCTCCCCATCTCCAGGAACATCCAGTACTCCCTCCACTTCACTGACCCCATTCCCACTGCATGGTTACATCTACCCACAGTCCTCCCTCCCTCCTACACTGCTCCCTCCATCCCACACAGTTCTCTCCCTCCTGCACTGCTCCCTCCCTCCCACACTCCTTCCTTCCTCCTACACTGCACATTGTCATAATAATCTAAGTACATTATAAGCAAAGAACTTCAATCCTTTAGATTCTTCCCCAAACTTTATAGGCATATCTGAACAATTACAATACCAAAAACTATACACAACTTACCTAATATTTTATGGTAATCAAGTTTAATGATGTGGTAGTCATGATGATAATATTTGGCAAGAGAAACCAAAATCTTGGTCATCCATCTTAAAGTTTTCTCTCTAACTTTGTAAGCTCCAGTTGTTAATGCTTCAAAAAGGGTATCCAACACCTTGGCGATGATTCTCAATCGAATTTTAATATCACCTGTGCCTCCAGACCAGTATACTTCTGCAAGCATTAGGGGATTTCTTAAAAAGAGAACATTATATATTCTACTGCATATAAACCACAATACAACTGTGCTCATGAAACACTTTTGTCCCATCTGGTTCCTATATGATGTACACTGATGATTATTATCTTTGAACAGTGCATTTGTTTACATGTACAGTAGTATTTGTTATCAGTATATAAACAGCCATGGGTGTGTGAGGGGCAGTATAAAGACAGCCATGGGTGTGTGAGGGGCAGTGTAAAGACAGCCATGGGTGTGTGAGCGGCAGTATAAAGACAGACATGGGTGTGTGAGGGGCAGTATAAAGACAGACATGGGTGTGTGTGAGGGGCAGCATATACACAGCCATGGGTGTGTGAAGGGCAGTGTAAAGACAGCCATGGGTGTGTGTGTGAGGGGCAGCATTTAGACAGCCATGAGTGTGCATGAGGGGCAGTATAAAGACAGACATGGGTGTGTGTGTGTGAGGGACAAGTTCACAAGCTAACACTACAGAAACAAGAGAATACAATGCGGCATAACCAAACTATTTAGGTAAAAAATGGAGTACCCATAAGACTGTACAGTACAGAGAAGGGGGTTTGCATCTGAAGTATGAGTAAAAAAAGAACAATACGTATACACAAAAATTTAAATATCTTTACCATCCAAAATTTGATTGAAAACCTCAAAGTTGTGCACCCGAGAAAGGACTTCCAAGGCCATCAGTGCTAATCTCTGATCAGAGAAGTGCTCATATCTTGTGTCAGTGATGGGCTGTGAAAGAAGAAGTGTTTTCAAGTGAGAGGTTGTCACCCTAAACACACACACACAATATATATATATATATATATATATATATATATATATATATATATATATATATATATATATATATATATATATATATATATATATATATATATATATATATATATATATATATATATATATATATATATATATATATATATATATATATATATATATATATATATATATATATATATATATATATATATATATATATAAAATTATCATAGTATTGAATATAAATAGATCCATTTAGTATTTAATGACTTAATGCAAAATAGTTTTCAAGTTAAATTACATTAGAAGAAATTTTCAAGCTAAATTACATTAGAAGAAACACTAAGTTAGTGGCTCAACATTGAGAATTACTTTAGCTGACAAGAAAGCTATCATTCATATTACTTGGCTGAGTGCAATAAAGTTCTAGAATGAACTAGATTTGGACAGAAAACTTCTGTCTTCTGGTAGTGAATGGAGACTTCATCAAAACTTTGTCAGAGATGCATCAATTGTATTTTTTTTTGACTGTCTAATGATCCATTCCTGAGACTTTCAATGAAAGTCATTTCCAGGAGGATCCTTTCAACAAAACAGAGAGTAAGCCAGAGTTGGTACAGGTGTTTTACCTGAAAGCTTTACAACTATTCATTTTGTTCATTAGGTTTATTTACTGGTGAGTCACCTAAAATCTCCTCCAATCTATTCCACTTCCACCATAATTTTATTTCTTCACAAGTGAAAAGTGGGTCACAAAGACATGATTGCCCATTAGGGACAGTGTGGATACAGCACACTGTATATATACTAAGCCTTCGGTACACAAGGAGGCAGCATGGCCGGTACTGCATTTGACTGCATTCATTTCCCCAAATTGTAAATGTAGGTACCCATTTACACATGTAGCCTTGTGTTATTCCCAGAATATTCCTACATATTTAGTACTCTCCTTCTCCCTCTTCTACGAGCCTTTGTATGACCTTAATTCCACTGACCGTGTGACTGTAGAAGAATATATTGCGGTTATGAAGGGTGTTGATGACAGATGCAGCTTCAGTCAGGATATTACGCTTGATACACTTAACAAAGATGGTCACACCCAGCTGCCCGATCCACTCTCTTTCAGCATCAGAAATTGGCCTTCTTCTCCAGTTTCTTGATCCTTCACCCAGTATTTATTTAAGCATTAGTGGGGACAATAACAATGTCTTTTATCAACTATATTATTTATGTTCAGTTGCAGTCAATAGTAATTATCCACCCCACCTACTAACATACCTGCGAGCTCAAGGTCTTTCTACGTGACGGGTCATAAGTGGGTGGGGAAGGTACTGATAGGGGGAAGCAAATGATCAATTGATTTTGATAATTACATCCCTGGCAATGGAACAACTTAGGTTACTTGCCAGTGCATTAAAATTTAAGCTTAAAAGACTAAATCAAATACTGCAAGGTAAAAAACGTAAGTAACAAATATCACAGAACTTTCAAAATAACATTTAAACATTAATAGATAAAATTCAAAGTTTGTGTATTTGTATAGCTTTCTCCACGAAAAAGAGGATGTCCCCTCTCACGCTACCCCCCCCAGCACCAAAAAGAGATGGCAAGACCCCACCCCACCCCCTCCCCCCAGCATTGGAAGAGATGCTTACTACAAAGATCTCTGAGACGGGCACTTCACCAGGAGGTGTTCAGCAATCAATGGGACCAGGCAGTTATCACAATGGGGAGGGGGACGCTCTCTCCATTAAAAAACCATGAGTCAGCCATGTGTGGCCATTATGGAGGCGTGCCAAAGCAGTCTCCAGGCGGTGCGACAATCCCTGATATCCCCAGTCACCCAATAGAGGGTGGATAGTGTGTACGTTATTTGCTCCAACAGCATCTCACCAGTATTGCCAACTCAAGCAGATGGCAGCTCTTTTTACTGGGTTCATATCAGAGACAAGTAGAGGGGAATGATGTGCCACAGGGTAAGAAGCAGCTGCTTTTGCCACAGCATTAGCACGCTCATTCCCTTTCTCCCCACCTGAGCCAGAGCCCGGCAAAAACTTATTTTCCATCCCCGATGATCAACAGCCACTGTAAAACATCTATAACTATAGGATGGTTGATGAGACACCAGCTAAGGCCTGAAAGCACTACGAGAATCACTAAAAATTTTAAAATCTGTATTAGGTTGGATAAAAATACCGAGGATAAGAAAAGGAGAAGGAATTTGACAAATTTATGAAACTAAATCCTCCCTGGCAATTGGTGTACTGGGTGTGAGGTAAATGGAGCATATGGTATGGGTACATTGGAGGTCAATCTTGCAAGTTGTTGCCTGCAACAGGGAAGTGATGGGTAATAGACTACAGCTGCTCCTCGACTTATGACGGGGTTAGGGACCCAAATCCAGGTCGTAAGTCGAAAATGCTTAAATAATACACAGAAAATCTAAAATGGGTGTCTCTTTTTCTTCTCAGCACCACAAAACTCTCACTTTTAAGCTTGCCAGCCATTTTAAAGTGAATTACAAACGAAAATTTTGTCAGTACACAGCGCAATCACTAACGCTGGGACTCGAAAATACGTAATTTGACAAAATTTTGGTACGACTGAGGCGGTCGTAGGTCGAGTATGTCTTAAGTCGAGGAGTAGCTGTGTAAGGTACAACACAATTGTCTGTGACAAGGATGGCTGTGCCCCCATGATGTGTCTGTTCTGGATTTTGGGGAGAATAAAAAGCCTAATAATCTCTGGGAGGGGGATGATCATTGGCACCCAACATCGTCTCCTGGAGGCAAATGCATATAGGGGAGAATTATCTCAGGAGCAACTGGAGCTCCTCCCAGTTGGCCCAAAAGCCTCAACAATTCCACTGGACTATGGTAGCCATGATTATTGGGGATTCAGTAGAGGTAGGCAAGTGTGCGGCCCCCAACAGGCATTTAGGCTTAAGCTTAGTCTAGGTGTTTAAGCTTGGAGGATGCACTGGTAGTGTACCATGACATGCCCCTCCTCCAGTTTTCCTGTTGAGGGGGAAGACTTGTGTGGGACTGAGCCTTTCTCTTACAGACAGAGGATCTGTAGAGGTAACCCCCATGCTAGGGGTCCCAGCTGCCTCCTCAATTTAGCTGGAGTCTTGTCATCAGAGGCTTCCAGAAGAGGATCAGTTGGCATCAATGAGGAGGAGGTGCCAGTCTGAGCTGACATCTGTTAAGAGTGTCTGGGACTTAGAATTTGGTTCTGAAGTTACCTTAGCCGGAGGATCCTCTACCTCGAGAGACTCTGAGGACCCTCAGTAGTGTTAAGCTGAAATTTTTGTAGTACCAGGACGGCGGGTGGAGGCAAGATGAGGAGTAGCACATGTGCCTGCCTCCTCCAAATGGACCTCAGCCACTACAATTGAAGTCTGAGGACTGAGGATTGATGGCATAGAGTAGGGTGTGTGAGCTGAATTCAATACAGGTACAGATGATTCTCGGGGCGGTGTCGCGGCAACAATTTGCCGAGCTTTGTCTGGTTAGAACTTGTGCATAGGAATCCCCATGCCTTGAGGCACATTTAAGTGCTGTGCTTCTGGCTTCAGCAAAGCTCACTTTGTATCTTGTGTGGATCTTTAGTACATTATCTCTTTTTCAATTTGGAACCTGTCACATTCACTAGAACAGGCCGAGTGCACCTCACTACAGAGAAAACAGCACACCAGACCCGGACATTTCTGACCCTCATAAGCCTTACTACAGTTAAAACATACTGCAGGAACACCCTGCTGTAACTTATGACAAGTGCAGTTGACATGGCCATACAACTGACTATGGAAGCATCGTCTAGGGTTTGGGATGCATGGCTTCACCTTAAGGGAAAGAGATCCAAGCAACCTGCTCTTTTCAATCCATTTCCACTTTGATGAACAATTTGCATTGCATATCATCCTCCCACCCCCGAAGTCGACCATTCCCACTCTCCACCCCACCTGATTTACCGTGCAGAAAGGACCCTGCCAGGTGCAGGGGTTAAGTGGTGGTTTACTTTTCACTGCAACTGTACATGGTATACAACTAGTGCACAATGTTTATGCAAAAATAAATGTGGATAAAATAATCCTAAGCTATATAACAGGTACAGCACAAACTATTATGTAAATAATACAAATAAGATTCTGTGAATCAAACTCACCAATGAAGAATTTTAAGATTGCTGCAACTTTCTTCCCCACTGAATAAATGGCGTCGCCTTCAGTCAGCATAGTGACAATCTGCATAAGCTGCAGTCTCCTTTGACTTAAAGAATGTGAGCCAGCAATCATGTTTTGTATCAGACTAACAGTGGTGATTAAACTTTCACGTGAATTTACATCAAACTCGCCCATCCATTCTTCAAACTGCAATGAGAAATTTCTAACATATATCATGGCTGCAGACAGGGCTATTTATGTACTTATTATTTTCACCACTTACCAGCAAGCTAGCCATTAGGGTAGTTGGTTTGTTGTCTGTTATGATCTTTATTGTCCAGTGATATTACAGGAGGAAACCGGAGTAGTGTACCAGGAGAAAAATAAAGACATGCACATTAATACTGGATGAGCCAGAACCCTCACCATCTCTCATCAATTAGAATAACAACACTTAATCACTTCAACTACTAATTACTGTCCAACTGCAGTATATATTAACAGAGCCACTCCACACTAACACGGCCTCTCCACACTAACATGGCCTGGATCTACACATTTACACAAAAGCAATTTAACTGACCTGCCTATAATTGGTCCTGTAATTATTTGGAGAAAATGAATGTCCAGCAATATCAATTTTCAGATAGTGAGGCAAGGTTGAGGATGAGGTGTGTGAGACTGGTGGTCGTAGCTCCTCAGTAAGCCTCTGCTCAACACCCATTTGTGAGAAATTACTCCCTTGTATGACACCTAGTTGTTTGGGCCTGAAGAAATATGTAATTATTCAATATCATGTACTGTAAAAAAGATAAAATGTAGGGAAGGGATAGGATTAAAAAGAGAGAGACACACAAAGAAAGTTTAGGTTATTGAAGGTGTTGCCCTACAATATTCACCATAGAGTAAACATCCTATATAACCGAGGGAAGGCTGGTCTGTCAAGGCTTTAAGTTCATTACTGTACATGGGTATACGGATCTGGAACATTAACAGACTTGGTCCATTAAAAAGTTTATGCTTAGATTTAACAGCAACCCATATAACGGAAACTCACATGTTTATGTTTATCCCAACAGAATGCAACAACTGCTGCACGTTTTGGGTGTGTAGCAGTGGAGAGGAGATGGTGGAGGAGGGAGGGATAAATAAAAATAATACCAATAGATAAGTCACAAAAAAAAATATTGTATTGCCAAACCAGTACAGTATATAAAAGCCAAATGGAAGTTTGACACTATCACCATTTGCATATACATCTGGATTCTGTTTATCATAGCAAAAGCGAAGCTAACTCCGCCGATTCCCTTGCAAAGCTCCCCTCCCCCCCCACCAACCGCCCAGCCATCCTCCCGCTCGTCCACTAAGCCAGATAACTCGAGTGCAAAGAAATGTACATTCCTTTTGTGATACAGTAATGTGTTTGCCCTTAGGACAATTTTTCTTTTACCTTTTTCGCACATAGGATGGTGTGTACATGTATATCAGTATTAAAAATAAATGAAGAAAGTTACGTACATCTACCCGAAAATACAAGTTGAAAAACAACAGCTTGGTCCAGTAGCCTGGTGGTTATAGTGACGAGCCTAACATGGCTACGATGCCGCCAGAGATGGTAACAGATGTACGAGTAAATGTGAAAAGAAAGTTATCTGTAAATCCTCATTTGTGTCAGGTATTTGTAGAATGAAAAATAAATGTTGCAGGTATGGCATTAATAGATTGTAATGCTTGTAAAAGTTCAGAAATGGTTACTGCTTAGCTACCTTTGAAGAGTTGGGTGTCTGCCGTACGGACGTTAACCATCTCGGGTTACAGTATCATCAGTAGTACAGTAGAGTAGTTATAAATCGACCTAGTATATTTAAAATAATAATTTCTTAATTAATTAAAAATTACAATCATGTTTAAGTAAGCAAGAACATATTTTTAATTCTGGCATTGGGTTAGGTAGACGTTAGCCTACTGAAGACAGCAACGGGGGGAATCATTTGCTTTCGGGAGACTGCAACTTCACATAAAGGACGCTGGCTGATTTTTTTGCCATTTTTCAGACAAAAAAGTGCGTCTTATATGCTGCAAAATACGGTGCTTCAAAATTCATCAGTTTCAAAGCAGAATAAACCAGTTGTTGTTGGTAATTGTCACTTTATTTTCCTAATACTGTATACTGAATTTCATTAACAAAATAAATGAACACTTATCCCCCGTATTTGTGAATTCACTTATTCGCGAAAAATTATTAGTAACCCTTTATTCAAGATTAGTGATCTAAATTCACCTGTCTGTGAGGGTAATTTATTTTTATTGACCATTGGCAGATGAGCATCTCACACACATAATCCATGGTTAGTCAGCTTTTGTTTGCGCTGGGCATGCAACGGTTCTTGAATGTATCTGAACCTGCTCCAGTGTTGGTCAAGTCTGGTCTTGAAACAGCTCACACTCGGTGCCGGCACAACACTCTTTGGCAGGTTGTTCCACGAGTTCACAATTCTCACTCCCCAAAAAGTTTGCCCGCACAGTTATCTGGACTTTGGCTTTTTCATCCGTGAGCTGTGACCCCTTGTGGGACAGACGTCTGCCAGCTCCAGGTATGGACAATCAACTGAGTAGTGCCCTTTAAGTAGTTTATACACCTCATCTAGGTCGCCCCTCGCCTATTTGTAGTATAAGCAAGGCAGTTGCAGGTGCTCTAACCTCTCTGAATAACTGAGGTGCCAGAGTGCAGGCACCAGCCTGGTGGCCTTCCTTTGGACATTTTCAATTAACTGACAGTCCCTAGCATATCTTAGGGACCAGTCAGGGTGACAGTACACTGTATATTTGGATGCATTTGGGGATGATCTACGACATGCTTAATAAGTATAGCTACTTAAACAAGAACTGGCAAAGATATAACACCCAATTAATTTCTGAAGAAGACATGTGTAATGTTTAGAGAAGTTTTGTTTACTTGATTAATGACACAAGACTTACTAAATATACAAGTACAGGTAGTGAATAGAAAAAATTGCACTCTGCATAATTGAATGACGATTATCCTTTCTTACCTGACACTATAATATCCTTGACTATGTTCAGAATTAGAGTCCAAGTAAGGCAGGGACTTATGTATCTCCTCTGACTGCAGCATCTTGTGACCACTCGTTAAACTGATACTTGGTTGGCTCATACAGCACATATCCGCTTGCTCTTTCCTCTGATCTAATTGGTCCAACTTGCCTCTACTGCATGATGAAAGTTCAGAAGATGTTTTACTTTCTTTCCTTGGGTAACAAGGTTCCTCATGTTTCCTTTTCAACGAAACAGTATTATTATTATTATTATTATTATTATTATCAGGTTTAGGTTTCCTTTTCAACATATGAACATTATTAATAACTGACTGATTAATACAACTACCTCGAGGTGTCGTGTCTTTTACTGGCTCAGAACCTACACCTTCTGTTACTTCAGAAGATAACGGTATGAACAACTGTGTCTGTTGATGTTGAGTAAGTTCCATGTTATCTGTCTTCTCTCCAGCTTCCACTGTAGAAATACCATTGGCTACCCTGCCCACAAGTTCTTCTTGCTTGTAAGTGTTACTACAGGACCCTGAAGCAAGTGACATAGAATTGGAGGGGGCTGATGGATGCCTAGGAGCAACAACTGTGGCATCAACTAATGGCGAACGTCGACAAAATTCCGACACAGATTTAAAGTAATCCCCCCGAGTTGAAGTTTGCCCGTGGCACTCTGGCTGTGGATACTGTGGGATATCATGTCCTTTCCTATTTTGTCTCTGTTCATTAAATTCTCCAGTTCTTATGTTCCTAACACCTTGCCTATATCCTTGTGTATTGTCGCCAAGATTTTCCAAGGAGTTCCCAATGACAGCAGAAGGCCTAGTTTTGTACCTTACACTCACCATATGTGGCCAATTATGATCGGATGACAATGATGCTGACATTGTCTGATAATGATCAAAACACGTAGATGGTGTTGTCCAGTTTTGAAAGTCGGAACCAGAAAGTGAAATTGGTTGACTTTGGTAATCTAAGGCTGATGATGATATTGGTTGAGCTTGGGAACCAGGACCTGTTGATAATGTTTGGTGTCTGTAAGGACCTACAGAGGACGACACGTTACATTGATAACTAAAGTCTATTAAGGTTCTGCTTTCTCTCATGTGTGAATCAGAGTATCTCATACCAAAGGCAATGTCTCTGCAGTTTTTAGACGATCTATACTCAGTGCTATTACTTGGTGGTATGTAATTTTTGTAACTTCCACTGGAGTAATTATAATATGCTTTTAAATTTTTGTTTTCTGCATCATAGCTGTCGTTACAACCTGAGCCAGGGCCCAATAATGGCTTTCTGTTACTTTCAATATAATCACTATGGTAACCAAGTTTAACTGCTGACCTCGAGTTTTCTAAACTTTGATCATTTTGATAACCAAATGACATATCTGATACAACCTGTACAGTTTGTCTGCCACGACCCCTTGATAAGTTACCACTTGTTAAGAGAGAACTTTTTTTATGATGCATTTCAACCAGAGGGCAAACTCGCTTCTCTGCATTGTTGCTGAAAACACCCTTTTTCTGCATCACATTGGGTGAGACTTTTGCATGTGGTTGGAGGTTAATTCCCTGTGCCTGGCAGTGACGGATGATGTTGTCTGTAGCTTGTGGTGCAGGAGGTGGAGCGCCTGCCAGTAAGTTTATCAGGGAATGCAGTGTTGGTCTCAGCCTCATAAGATACTCTGCAGATAATCCACATATGACGATTGATAATGAATGCATCAGGAGAGAACCGCCTTGGCTGCAGTCAAGCAACAGCTCTTCCAAAACACCAATATCTGGCTTGTAGGAGTTGATCTGGAACACAAGAACTGTTGTTAGATGGCAACAAAACTAGTCAACAAATATCTATCTATGTTCAGGTGTATCTTAAAATTTCTAATATTTCTAAATACAGAAATAATAGTATAATCAGTGGCAGATCCAGGTGTGTGTGTGTGTGTGGGGGTGCTTCGGTCAAACCCCCTCTATTTCTCCTGAGACTCATCTGGCTAAATCATCTCAGGTCAAGTGTCAGTTCATGTCAAAACCAACTCCACCTTACTGATTCATGCACACATACAAAATTAGTTACTGACACACACACAGACTGATGTGCATTCAATCAATTTATGTTTTCTTTCTGTTAAAGTCATTGACAAATCATGGGCAATTTTTCTATTTATGCTCCATAGTTTTAATGCCAACACTTTTTCATCAAACAGCACCATGATCTCCACTGTGCCATGAGCATAACCCATGGTAAACCAATTTCACTAACGCATGGTCTGTTCTTGAGCAATCGTCTGACTTTCAATGGGAATATTTGCTGCTAAGCTTTCCCTAAACCCCTCATGAGTGGAAAACAACCAGCAAACTCTCCAGTACATACTACAGCCATTTATTTCAATAAGAAAATGGATGTGGTGAAGCAATACAAAGGTGGGTAGTTTGATAAACATTGCTCGCACATTTGGATACCACCCTCCAAAAGTCTGCTGCGTCGACACATGCCTTGTTTTGGTGAACACAATATGCAGTAAAGTACAGTACAATAATTTGAATTGAATTGAAACATTTTATTTAGCCAGAAAAATACAGATACAGAGTGGATAATAATAACAATATTAACATGGCTGAGCCAGTTGAGAACCTGAGCTCTCTTTGAGGCACCTGATATATACTATACATTTATCTCAAGGAAGTATTATGTAACATTTAGTTTCATCTGGAATAGTACAATAGCATGGTAGTAATAAGTACATCTCATAATGTTACCACGGTTATCACTTATATAAACAATTATCTATATTCTCCAATTATTTAAATATGTTTTGTATGAAATATTGAGACCATGGATGATACATATTGGGACATGCACTTACATTGGTATATAATTGAACATAAGTAATGCAATGTGTATTTATTTTGGTGTCCTTAATATGAAGCTCAGTTACTAAATGTACATGTAGTAGGATCAGTATGCCACAGAGCCACATATACCAACTCTCCCGAGACATCACAAGTTGCATGTAGCATTTTGGAAATCATCGGACATATCCTGGCAAATACGTCTTTGACATACTGTACTGTAGTTACCTAATGTGAATGTAAGTTTTTCAATGAGTGATTTTTGTAAGAGCTATACATGAAGGAAATGTAATAAAATGGTGGAGGGACTGGAGAAGTTCTCGGTGCAGTTCATTCATTCTTCTAACCATAATCTTACCTTCATGGCACATATAAGAAGACTGATGCTGAGGGTCAAGTTTCTGGTAGACATGATGAGTGTCAATAATAAGTCCCAGGAGCACGTAGGCAGCGGTACAAGCAGTTCACACACCAGGTTTCCCATCTCGGACAGTTCAGGGAGAACTGCCATGGCACTTTCCTGATTATGATGGTATTAGTAAGGATTGTGGGATGTGAATATTCTCAAGAGCTATTGGAACACACAAATAGATATGGAAATCTAATTGCAGACACAGTAGAAAAAATAAGAATAAATAAATAAATACATTATATTCTTTACCTTGTCTGTAGGTATGAGAGCAATAAATATAGAGGAATCATTTGCTCTTAGCCTTCGTACCTCCTTTAATATATGGAAACTCATCTTTCTATTACCTGCAGAATAAACATTCATAAAAACATATTAATACAATGTAATAATCTCTGCCCAACACTGTTCAGTAAGTTTTCTCCCACCAGCCAGTACATTGGCTCATGTAAATTCTCTTGCATGCACATTTGTTCTTATAAATCTCCCTCACCTAACCTACCTCTCCAGCACACTTTTCCATGCTAACACCCTTTTACTTTTTATTTTTATCCTCTTCGCCACTCATCAGCTCTTTAGCTGCTTGGGCGGTCGGTAGCGTCTCTGTTACGCATGGTTGGCAAGTACTTGCTCCAGGAAGAATCTGCACCTACACCAGTGTTGGTCACATCTGGTCTTAAGAGCTCACACTTGGTACTGTCAGAATACTCTCAGACATATTATTCCAAGACTATACACTTCTCAATCCCAAAGAATTTGCCCTGACAATTTTCTGTATTGGTGGTTTCTTCAACCTTGAGCTGTGACCTCTAGTGGGGCAGGCATCCGCCAGGTCCAGGTATGAACACTCAACTGAATAATGCCCTCAAGAGTTGTTTGTAAACTTCAATTAAGTCACACACACACACACACATCCACGTACACAGACAAAGTCAACCTACAAGAATGTGGCATTTGCTCTGTTCATCTTTAATGCAAGAACCTTAAACAGAACAGTTATTATATTAGACAAATGAACAGCACATCCTACAGCATTGCATCAAAACTTTAATGCACAAGTACACAGTTGTCAAGAGAACCTTTCTGATGACTCACAAGAACTGTAATATATATGATCACCAGAGGAAAAAAAACTTCCTTAGTTACAACCTATACATTTTTAGTCTACCTGACACCAGTACAGTATTGCTTATAAATGCTATCTTGATTCTATTATCCAATATCATAGAGTTATATATATATCAAATGTACTGGTTTCTTTCTATGGCTTTCCATCAACATGCCATTTAATAATCTTACAAGTCTCTTACTATCATGCAGGATGGTTACATTAGACAACATACATTCTTTCTTCATTCAGTTAACATTCTCTAAATGATGTGAAGTGATGGGTTCTGCTATGGTGTTCACCTTCCACATAAGGCCCAAAATGTCCATTGTCACACATAATCTAGCATCACTTATCAATAAGACATCTACTCTCAAAATCCACTCAGTGCTGTGTTTTCTGCCATTCTCTCGCACTGTTATTTACAGTTCTGCTAACATAAAAAATTATTCTAAGAACATAACTAAGACATTACCTGTATCATTCAAGAAGGTGATGACAGAACATGTTATGGAGGTAAAGAATGAAGAGGGAGCAGACAGCCGACTACTGAGGTAACCGTACACTTCACACACCTGTGGGATTAAACACTACAAGTAATAAACAACATTCCTATTAAAGAATCTAAGGGGTCCTGTGCTGACTAAAGAGCACACATGACTCTGAAAAAAGCAATAATGAAACAGTAATGATAACACAAAAAGAGTAACACAAATAAGTAGAAGGTAAAGACAGTGACAAACATGCACTTTCAAGAAAATTATTCAAGAATACTTTTGGGGAATTATGTAAATGATGATGATGCTGATTATTATTATTATTATTCAGACAAACTGTAGCAACACACACACACAATTACCCTATTAATTTTTCTGCACCCGATGTTGACCATTAACCATCCTATATCAAACATCTCCTTTATTTTATCTCCTCCTGGATGTCCTTCTTCCTCATACTTCCACAACAACACCTTCTCCCAGGGACTCTCAGCTTCCTCCTCTGGCCAACTCTCGCAATACCTGTCAATTTGAGTGATGGTTCTTATTAATCTCATAAAACCACATAATAACACATTTACCTTAAATAAACATAAGCAGGAGATATGCCCAATGCTTGAACCACTTTTGAAAGAACATTTACAATTACCTATACTGTACTGTGTATTTAATTATATAGTGCTCAGCCACTAGTACAGGGGGTCCTTGTTATATGTTGTACCGCCGCCTACCGATATACAGCCATCTCTCTTCCACCGCGGGGGTTAGGTTCCTCAAAAATGGTGTGTTGGGCAAACTTATCTTCTTATGGGTAAAATGAGGTGGCGTGATCGTGGCCTCGTAAGGACTCTATCACGTGAAATGCATACCTTTTAAACAATACATAATGCACAAATATGATGATAATAAAAGTAACATACCATAAAAAAATTAAAAATATTAATGATCAGCATTATGAAATCATATTACAGTACTGTACTCACTGATCCATGGTTAAATTATTGTAGCATAACCACGATGACAATATCGTAGTTGTTGTGAAGCCTTCTGATGATGGTGATTGACGAAGAAGACCAGTGATGATGAAACGAACGAGTTTTATTTCTTAAGCCGATGGATCATCAGGATTATTGGCTTCAGGCTCCAGATGATGATGATGATGGTTGGGGTGACCGCAGTCTCCAGAAGAAGTGTGTTATTGTCTGTTGTTTGCTTTTTCTATGCAAACTTTCAAATTTTCTCTGTATGCCACACAAAGATCAATCATTGAAGTGGCATTGGGGAGCAAGAACATAACTTCCACATGGGGATGCGAGAAATGAAATGTTTCTGCATCATGGCCTGGGGTATTATCCAACAATAGTAACACCTTTGAGTCAAAATTCTTCTTAATGAGATATTCCTTGACCTCATCCACAAAATGATGCTCTGACCAATCATTAAAGAGTACCCTAGTCACCCAAGCCTTTTTATTGGTCTTCTAAACAACAGGCAAATGAAGCTTATTTTTACCTTTTAACACCCGGGGATTTTCCGAACAGTACACAAGCATGGGTTTACACTTATAAATCCCCAGCTGCATTACCACAAAATAACAATGTAAGCCTGTCTTTGAAAGCTTTAAGCCCTGGAGCAACTTTTTGGGTCTTTGTAATGTAGGTTCTGTTACCCATACGTTTATAAAAGAGGCCAGTCTCATCAGCGTTAAACACTTGCTCCAGGACATATTCTTTGCCCTTGATTAATTCAAGCAGCATGGGCTTGAAGTGCTCAGCAGCTTAAGTGTTTATGCTATAAATACTGTACAGTATACTGTATCCATTCGAAATGGCTCCCAAGAGCCCATCAAATGTGAGTGATGCTAGTGCTGAGTGAGACCATTAGCCTTGCTGCAAAAATGGAAGTTTTAAACCCACCACACATTCGCTCCACCTCTGTCCATCAGTGAGTACAATACAAAATGATTTAGTTTATCTTTTTGGATGTATAATATATACTATTTTCTATAAAAATTCCATTGAATTTATGTGTATGTACAGTATTTTATGGGGCAAAGGGAGGCTGGGGAACATAACTCCCATATTTTATCTATTTCTTATGGGGAAAATTGGTTTCGTTAACGTTGTGTTTTTCAAGAACGTAACCACGATGTTAAGCGAAGACTTACTGTATTTATTTTTTATTATATATATAATTTATTTAAGTTAAGTGGTGAATTACCTTATAAATGTACCAATGAGTCTCTGGACACCAATCACAGAGGCATTGCCATAACAGGACCGAAGTAACTGGTAGGCCTCTGATCCACGGCAAGTCTCACACAGTGCACAGACCTTGGCAATGTCCAATGGAGACGTCAGATGAGCAGGAACCTGGAAAGAACAGTCACATACAGAAATTTACAATCCTAGTGACCCTGCACAGTGTGGGCACTCCTGGCAAGATGAGTGTTACAGCCCACTGCCTTGCCAGCTGTACACAGTCCAGTCATATTTCTGTTAGCCAGAATCCATCAAACCCGGAACTCTCCAATAGCCAGAATTGGAATTTGCTTGTAATTTTTCCGGAAAATTCCCTAAATTTTGGGTTTGGGAACAAATTCCGAGGTTAAAAATCAGGATCATTTTCCGATTTAAAAAAAAATCTGCCAAAATTATTATTTCTGGGTCTGGGAGGAAATATTGATTATATAATGCACAATTACCAGAAAATCTGAGAAAATTGCGAGAAAATCATTCCAAAACTTTCTGCTCAGGGCCTGGGGACAAGGGTTCCCGGCGTTATAAAAGGTTGAATCAAGTTTAGCCACATCCTCACATGGTTGGTGCGTGGGTGGGAAGACCAACTGCTTGGGTAATGCTGGATTTTTCTGTTCATGGTCTATTTATAATTACTGTGCAAATATAAATATTTATTTAAATGTACATACAATATTAAAAAGTAAAATAATACAGTAATAAATCAATTTAATTCCGAGCTGAGCTAACTAGGCAAAGGGTAAGGTGAAGGAGTTAGGTGGTGAGGCAACATGCCAACACACACACACACATTAACAGCACTACTAAACCATTGTCTTAGAACATTTTACTTTATAATTTTTATTTTAAAATTAATTGATACATGATGGTTCGATTTAGCTACTTTTGCACTTAGACAACTGATCAATGAATAAACCAGGACATACTGTACACTGTATAGAGACGCATTATACACTAGTGATGTCACGAAGCTTCGCAACTGCAACAACTGCTGAGCAACCGCATAAATTATCACAACCTGTACTCAAATGTACTAAGTCTATTACTGTACTTAAATTTTTATGTCTAGTGCAAATTATGGGATGTTTACACACTGATATATCCATTTGCCAGAACAATTGGTGTAGAGCACTTCTGGGAATGAGAGATTTCCGGGTAACTAGACAACTTTTGCAAACCCGGAAAAATTCCTTATCCCTGAAAGAATCTTTTCTTGATACTGTACTAGGAAAAGTTTCCATGTGTCTAAACTACGCATCTTGCACAGACAGACACCAGCCCACATCCCTAGACTGTATCTGAATGCTAGGGAATGTTTTTCGAGAGCCTAAACTACCGGAGTTTGTCTAAAAGTTTGGTTAAACAAATATACTGTACTATTTAAAAACAGAAAATCTACCAATGAAGACTGGTGTTTTCCACTCCCATGGAGCTGTGGGGGTATAGTGGGTTTCATTAACTGACCTAACCTGATGCAATGTCAGGTAGAGGTAGGGTAGAGGATTAGTGGTCTCATATTTCTGACTTTCTGATGCAATGCCAGGTCACCCTTTCTTGGGTGTGGGATTAGTGGGTCTCATGACCTAAAGATGCCTTGAATAAACAAGAATGCTAAAGTATTTTTGAGGGAGATTGTGTTAAGTATAAGTATAAATGAGCAAAGTTTTATCCCTTCAACATTATAAATAAGCAACATCATATCCCTCCAACATTAAATTACCTAACATTTTAAAATATGGAGTGAGAAAGCAGAAAGGTGTGGGTGATTAGAGATGGATGCTTGATGTCTGAATATATATACAGTATACATAATGCAACAGTCTATAAATTAATACATACCTTAATATTGGTCAACTTAAGCTGCTGAGACTCTTCCACAATATGCCTGGCAAGAGGCACGAGCAGGAAGATGGGTAGTAGTGGAATGTCAGGGCAGTTTCTAGTATGAATATCAATAAGTTCCCAAGCTTTTTGTGCCTTTCTAGCTGTTAAGTAGTGTAGGACAAGATGACCCACATAGTTTTCAACCTCCAAGCTCATCTAATGCATGGGATAAAACAACATATTAGAAAAGTGAAGTTATAAATAGTGTGATAATTTTAATGTTAAGAAGTTAACCATATTATGTATCCACATGCTTGGTCATGGCTTCATATTTAATTTCAAAATCTAACAGTGCCAGGCATTTTAGTCTCACTGGTGATGGAAATCTACTATAAATCACTAAAACCAACCGGAATAATACTAAAAAAATATCAAAACCAATGAAAAGGCAGAAAAAATGTTTTATATTTGGTTTTAACCATTGGTTTAAATAGACCAAAGCTGAAAGTTGCAATAAATACTTAAAAATCTTACCTGGTGTTTATAATGACAAGTAGGACGAAAGCATACACCATTATTGGCAAAAAAGCAGCAATATTTTGAGTTGCCCATTCTTGGTTTGGGGAAAAACTTGTCAAATCCCTTCTTCTGGTCCTCTAGACAAGATGACCCTTGGGGCTTTGAGGCTTCCCAATCTTGGTTCCTCTGTCTCGAATACGTCTTTTCCTCTACACACGCTTGTTCTGGTTGCTTCATCAAAAGACAATGTGATGGTGATGAGGAGTCTGCAAGAACACCATTTTCCTTACTCTCTTTTCCACTATTGATGTGCCCAGTCTTCTCCAGACCCATAACAGCTCCTGGTACACAAGGTGTGTCCACACTGCTCACACCACCCACCTTTACTGATAAGTGTTTTGTCATACTTACTATTGTGTATTCACCTTCAGACACACAAAGCCTGTATCTTTCACTTCCAAGATGTGAAGCATTTTCTTGGTAACTATTAGTTTGCATCGCCTGTTGGTCAAGACACACATTACTCTGCACAGGTTCTCTTTCTTTCCCTCCAGAGTGTTTTGCCAGTTCATCTGAACCAAGTAGTTTATGATAATCTCTCTGGTCATCTTTGTCCAGCTCCAAATCACTGCAACTAAAGGATTACAAGTTTACACTGATTTAGCATGTACTGTACGGTATTTTCTCGATTTAATGAACTAATTCGAGCCACCCCTTTCAGTTAAATCGAAATTTCTGCTAAATCGAATTTCCGTTATTTTCGCTCGATTTAGCAAAGTAGTTCATTAAATCAAGTGCAGCTATCAATTTGAAAAAAAGTTTGGAAACAATAGAACTTTTTTTAAAACAAACACTGAACCTCCTAGTTTACGGTAAGCCGTCAATAATGTTTCTATGTACATAATTATCATGTGTCTGAGGGGTCTCCGTAGGTGCGAGTGAATTAACGGAATTAATCTCAATTTAGTGAACTAGTTCCTAAATTTATTGAAAAATAACGGAAAAAATTCCGTCTTAAATTGATTCGAGATATATAAAAGGACTTACTGGTATGCTATGATATGGTGCACGTAGGGTATGTACAGTGATCCCTCGGTTAACGAATTACCTTCCATAAGATTCTCCACTTCGGTTAACGAGCAAACCCTCGGTTAACGAATTCCTTACGAATTTTTCCCAACATGTTTTCGCCTGCATTTGGCTGCCCACCAGCTATACTAATAGTCCGCCAATACAGTAATCGGTTTTAGGGCTTAAATTCCTTATCATTTTAGTAAATATCAAGAAGGTTGTACTACCGGTATTCAATAATTTTAAGTTTTATATTAATTTTTTTAGTCATTTTAACAATTATTGAACATAATTCAAGTACAGGAAACTAGTTTTTTGCGCGCCAAACAGCCACTCAACACACCAAGCTTGGCGTCAGTTTGTTTACCAGTTCAGAGGAAGGAACATCTTGTTTGAGACTCTCCAACATAAACGCTTTTTTTCTGTGTTTCCAGTCAAATTATTGGTCATTTTGAAATATATTTTACATATTAATAATATATAGCGCAGTGCAGTGTTGATTTAAAGAAAGTAATCTTCAATTACACCAAGTGAACTAAAATTTTATGGGTGAAATGGCGGCATGGGGTGACTTCTCTTCCACCCCAATGCCTTCTCTTCTCCCTTCTCCTCCACCCCCACTTCTAATTCCCATCATCATCATCATAAACCAGGAGCCTTCTACATGCACACCTCAAAGTAAGTGTACTTTACTGCATTTATTTTTAGTTTGTATGTAATTATCGGTGAGCTGGAACCAATTACCCAAAAACCCATTGAAACAGTGGTTTCGGTTAAAGAGCAACCTTCTGGAACGAATTGTGCTCGGTAACCGAGGGACCAATGTATTCCGACTTAAGAGCATTCTCAAGAACGGAATTCGTTCGTAACCCAGGAACCCCCGTGCGTGCGTGTGTGTGTGTGTGTGTGTGTGTATTCGAATCAAACTATATACTACGGTTGTGTATCGCCACCACTATCATTCTATTCCTGCGTGCTTCAGGCATTTAAGTCAATAAATGTATGTCTGTCAGGGGTGTGGAGCGGTGGTGTTAACGACTCGGCTGGCTAACTTCATGTGAGCTGTGTGGCTGGGTCTCGTGTGTCCAGTTACAAGTGGTGCCATGTACCCTACTTACAAATATATATGGCACTAGATGCAGCTAATAACTCTTGGTATTTATCATTAATACAAGCATATATTGTTTTCATGCATGTATGTTTTAAATTTCTGTACCCAAATTCAATAGCTGCATAAATTGCAAAAAATAGGTATGTACTGTACAGTACAAGCAAAGTAAATTTCTCCAATCACAGTCCATGCGGCTGGCTGCCTGCTGCAAAGTTGCCACATTTTTAATCTTACTTGTATCTACCACATAACTCAATAAAATAGTACTTCTAAACCTGAAAAAATTAATAGATGATGATAATGATACATGCTTGACTACTACCTGTATAATGTTATTTGCCAAGCCAACCGATATAAAGCAATCTATTACATTAATGTGTGTGTATACAGTATACAGTAGTTGTTCCCAGATTTGGAAGGTTTTCAATTTCTTCCTCTGAATGACATGAACTGTAGAGGGGGATGATTATATGTGATATCTCCATACCCAACTGTAGGGGGATGAATCTTTCCAGGACCTACAGTATACCCTTGTTAGGTAGAATGAATACAATTAGTGATAGCAATTCTGTGCGTGTGTGTACTTGCTAATTTTAAGATACAGGACATATTACCAACGTGTAAAAATAAATTGATGATAAATACAGTAACCGGTTAGCATCCACTTACAAACCATCCGACATGCTGGCACATATAGAAAGTACGTCTTCATGATCAGAGTCGTAAAAGTTGCCTGAAGTGTCTCCCTCAAATGTGCCTATGAAAGGGTAGCAGAAAATTATTACCCATATAATGCCACACCACACACTTAATACCCCACCACACTCAAGCCTCACTGTAAAGTCTGCTCAGTTTTTCCTCAAAGCTGCAAATATTAGGGGAAAGGTGCCTGTAAAAGGAAACAGACCTCTTACTATTGTGACCATTGCCTTGAAAAGCCACCTCTTTGCATAACACCCTGATTTGAGATCTACCACACACATAACAAGTATTGCCAGTGTGAGTAGGAGCCATGAGCAAGGTATGAAAAGATGACATTTTTATTTTGTATTCAATATACTTTGGCTGTGAACCTTTTAAGGATGATATTGTTTTATATGAAGCCATAGGACAGTATACAGGTATTTTTTATTTTAATATTCTTTTTTACAGGAAGTTTAGCTGAACTTTAGTTACTGTTTCTTTGAATTTGAGGTAGTTCTATATATTGATTTATTTTATGCTTCAGTATCTCTGGATGCTTTAAAAGTAAATCTGATAACTTCATAAGGAAATTTGTCTATTTTTGAGTCAATAGATGATTCAATAAATGCCCTGTTAATGTATGTACATTCACGCGCCATAGTTTCGATGCACCCTCTACCCATACTCCTGGCTCGAATGAAGTCGTAGTGAGGTTAAGTATAGTGATGGTAAAAAAAGTGTTGCGAAGACACTAAAAAACCCTGCATCATGCATATTCTCAAATATTACATCATGAATTGCTATTCGTACAATCCAGCGAAGCTTCGAGCTACCACATTGCATCACTGAACGATGGGTGTGTGTGTGTGGAGGGGGGAGCGGCGTTTGGTATGAAGCCAAGGCTACGACTTCCATCAAGTCAGGAGTAGGGGTAGAGGGTGCATCGAAACTATGGCGAGTGAATGTACTTATTAATCAATTTACATGCTAGAAACATACCCTGATAAAAATGTATGAGAAAACTACACCTGACCGTTTTCATTTTTTGTTGGTGAATTGACACATTTGAGAACCAAGCTGAAAATAAATAACACAGCAAAAGGGTTAAAGATTTTTTGCTGTTTAAAGCTGGGTGGCCACAAATGGGATCAAATACACTGACAAACAAAAAATCTCCCTCACTTCAATTGTTGCCATTTTCTCATTTTCACTTATGGAACATGAGTGTTCTGCTACAGTAAATAAGGTATTACCCTTTTACAAGACCCCCAAACCTGCTCATCTCCCCCTTGCTTCACAAACATTGGCATCTCATAAACACACACACACAATGGGATACAGAAAGCTACTTACTTTTAACAAAAGCAGATAGAGTTGTGTCAGGTGGGTCCACTGAACCTTCACTACCACTGGCTCCATCACCACCTCCCTTAAGTTTATCATTATCCTTCTCTTTTGGGAACTTAATACCTGCTCCATTTTGCACTGCTGTGTTGCCTAATTCATTACTGTGTAGTATTTCATTAAGTGGATCAGCCACACCCATAGTCTGTAAATCATACTGAGGTAGAGCCTTATCATTATCACAGCTGCTGTAGCTGAACTTTTGTGTATTTTTAATATGAAATATGTCATCACCTGTTACTATTTTGTTTAAGTGACCACCGGAACCAACATTATAGCCTTTAATACTGGTGTCACTGCTCAAAGCATACACAGCACTGTCCACTAGAGGTAAAGGACCAGAATTCTCGCATTTGTCAGATTCTGATATAAGAAATCCTTGCCTTTGTGGTAAACACCCAACACTAATATTCCCATTCTGGCTACATTCTGCCACAGTTCTGTGTCCTTGAGAGGATTCATCAACTTCATATTCCATTAAGTTTCCATCATTAAACCTATATTTAGGACCATTTAACGGTATTTGTATTGCATTATCTTCATGGAAATCTGCATCAGCTGTTAAAGATCCTTGTGACACAGTGTTGGCCAGACCCTTTGATGATGATCCTGAGTAGATAAATCCTTGAGCATCTTGACTAAAGTGACCTTCACCATGTGTGTATTTTGTTGTACCTTCAAGACCATTGTCTGCATACCAACAGTCAATTTCATAATGGTCTGTTCCATGCATCTCTTTCCTATTAATCAATGATGGATTTGTGTTATCTACACATCCAGTCTTCAAAAGAGCTTGTGATGATGCCTGAAAACCAGCCTGTCTCTTAGATGAACCAGGCCTTTCGTCAACACCACTTCGTGCCTTTTTTGCCTCTGAACAGAGAGCTGTTGCCACCGTCTGAGACTGTCTCTTCTTCCTCTTTTCTATTCCCCCAGTCTTTTCCAGAGGAATAACTTCTTTTTTATTCCTGCAGGCAGGACCTTTTGATACACATGTTTTACCAGTGCCACTTGTATGTGAAGAATTACTGTCAACTCTATCCTTTGTTTCAAACTGATAAAAATTTTTACACCCATCATTAGCTACTAAAAGCTTTGGATTACCTTCTGGAAACACACTCATTTCATCAACTTGCGTAACTATAGTTCCAATATCATCAAACATTGGATCTCTCACAACAAAATCCAAGTGTATATTTTCCTGTCTAAAAAGTTTTCTTGTGTGCCTATGGGAGTGTGATGTATTCCCTGTCTTCCTTGGAATACCTCTGTCTTCAGGTGAACTACAATGTGGGTTATCTAGCTCACACTTTAGTGAAGAGGAATTATTTTCTACTGTATTCTGCAAATTCCTTTTTCCTTGTAACTTCATGTTCTTTGGTGAAGATCGAATTTTGGTATCTGGAAAGTTCATGTGTGAGCCGGTTAATATAGGTGTTGTAGATGGAATGTTATCACTGCATACAACTGACACTCCAGACATTGATGCCCGAGTCTCATTGTCACATAACTGAATATTTAAATTCTCTAATTGAGAATATATACCTGAACATATGACTTCAAGCTCATTCACAGTGTCTTCTACTTGATCCACATAAAAAGGTGACGTGTCTTTTGTTATACTCAAAACAGGAGGTGAACTTTGAATCTTCTGTGAATATACTACTCTTTGGGACTTCTTCCATCCCTGTGGTGCAGTGAAAAGACGTTTTTTTAAATTTCCTGGCACCTTTTGTGATGCTCGTAGTGTTGGCTTGGTTGCTCTATTTGGCATCTTAAAGACATCGTCTGTGAGAAATAGGGACGTGGAAGATTTACTTGGCTGAGGCATGTTTGTTGTTACATCTATCTCACTCATGCTCCAGTTACCTGAGGTATCTTTTATTATGGTCCCTTTCTCTCTAGAGCTGGATGGTAATGAACAAGTTTCATGACTTCTAACATCACCGAAACTGGTGGCGACGGGTATGTCACAGTTGGCGGTGCCGGGTAAGTCGCAAGCGGTGTCCACTGAGCCATCTTTTACAGCTGGGAGATGTGATGTTTGCATTACTACAGTATACTGTTTATCCCCTTGGTCAATACTGGTTGTCAACCATATCCATTTCTAGATAAAAAAAAATATTTACAATAATTAGGAGGGAGCCAATCCTAATGATTTGGTTTGGTAAAGTTGGGGGCTATACAAACTAGGGTCCATAACACTAAAAACATTAGTAAAAAAAAATTACCTGACCTGACCCCAACAAAAACCCTTGGTTCCTACTTGGGTTGTCCCATTATAGTTGGATAAGGGAGGGGGTCTAAAAAAAATAGGGGTTAGCAGTGAAAATGGGTCTAAAAAAAATAGGGGTTAGCAGTGAAAATGAACATCAGATTCGTATTAAACACACAAAAAAACATTGGAAAAACACAATTTCAAATTCCAGCAACTTAGGAAAATTACAAAGATTTTGCAATTTTCTCTGAAAGTAATCATGAGCCAAAGAAATGCTATAGAAGAAAAGTGTCTTAAGAGTACTGATTACAAAATTTTAAATCCTAAAAATAACTAGATGACCGAAAGGATAATTTTACCCTAGTATCTAATAGAACCAGCGCTAACCAACCAAAGAAACCAACCTAACCTCCTAGCTGCAGGGTGGACCTCTTGTCATATTAAACAGAAAGTACTTAGCCAATCAGAATGCACTCACGGTACAATAGCGTTAGTAGGAACTCAGCCGGTCATTGCAAAATATCCACTACATTCTGTTTAATATGCCGGGGGGTCCAGAGGGTTGAGCCTTATGGCTAAGAAGTTATGTAAGTTTAGGTAGGTTTCTTTGGTTAGGTTGGTGAGGTCTTCTAACAACGATTCTGCCACTTGTTTTTTTATCAACTAGGTAGTGGATATTTTGCCGTGACCGGCTAAGTTCCTACTACTGCACTTTTATTTTGAGTGCATTCTGATTGGCTAATCGTTCATTACCGGCAAACAATGCGAGAACTATATTTAACCGTGACTCTGACTGCATTTGGCATTTATTGTATTTTGCCGTGAGTCAATCATTGTGTAGATACAAACATACTTAACCTTATTTCTGTTGTGCATGGAAACTTATCTTTATAAAACAGGCGACATTTACTGGAACCTAATAGAACCTGACCTAACCAACCAAAAAAACCTACCTAATCTTACCTAACTTCCTAGCCAGGGGGCATACCCCTCCTCCCCCCCCCATCATATTAAACAGAAAGTACTTAGCCAATCAGAGTGCACTCACGGTAAAATAGCGTTAGTAGGAACTTAACCAGTCACGGAAAAATGTCCAATACTGTACATATCAATTTAGGTTAAGTTAGGTTTAAGTGAAAAATAACCGCTTTTTAACAAATTTTCCAAAACTAAGATACTGTAGGTCCACAATAAAAGTGAAATAACAAAATTTTTAATTTAATTTACGATGAAAAAATCAGTGGCTGTGAAGTCGTAAATAATTACCGTTACAACCAGCTATTAGCTTCACTAGCAAAAAGTCACATTCTCCAGACAATCACTGCATGGCTGACTATCGCTATCAAGCCAAGCTGGTCCAAATAAGTGTCAAGTCAACAGGACAACCACAAGGCTGGTGCTTCTACATAATATTTATCATCTCTGCCGAACTGAACTATTTGATATGGTAAATTTTCACTCGTTGCCACTATACGAAATCAAAGTTGAAACTATGTCTTACAACTAAAAAATTCCCGAGATTCATTTAGTGATAACAAATGAAATACCTTTGTTACACCACAGTGACTTTGTTTATCGTGACTGTTTAAAGTTCAAACCAGTATAACTAGCCAGTGTTAAATGGAGTTCCTTTCAAACCAGACTTACTTGACCAACACTTACACGTTCAAGATACATTTTACGACCTGTATTTGGCCAATAATTAGTTACCAACTGTGTATAAAATAGAAATGACCAACCGGGTAATAAGCCGTGAAGTGACAAAATGATAAGTAGAGGTAGACCAATCTTACACTTCAAATAGCGTCGTTAACGGGTAACGAACAACAGTTGTTAAGGGTCAGCCAGTCACCGGTGTCCATCTCTAGCCTCTCCAAATAACACAAGCCGGTAAGATAATCGCTAAGACTCATTAAACTTCACCTAAATCAACCTAAACTCAGCTAAATTTTATATATGAATCTAATAACTGCATAATTTAATAATATAGTCATATAAATTAACAAAAGTCACTCAAATAAGTAAAAAAAAATTGCTATTGAAACCTGTAAATATGACGCAGTGTGATTATTTTCCACTAAGTTGGCAACACTGCTCCGCCTCTCCTGCTGGAGGTTGACCAAGACGAGAAACTATTAACACACACTACAAAAACGAAAATATAAATCAAGAGTGAAATAGATAGATATATTGACAAAATTTAGTTAGTAAAATTATCACACAAATTCACATAGGTTTACTTACTGTACAGTGCAACAATAAACAGCAACAGGACTCCTACTTAGGCTTTATGTTGGTATTACCTGGGGGTTCAAGCCTCGGCTCGGACACAAGTAAGAAGAGTGTTATCTGTGACACTACCAAACATCACAGGTTTCCCGGTTCCCTCCTGTACTTACTTTTGTCCTCTTCGCCACTGATCGGCTCGTTAGCCGCTTGGACGGTCGGTCACGTCTCTGTTACTCACTGTTGGCAAGTACTGGGCATGCACCGGCTCCTGAATATATCTGAATCTGCTCCAGTGTTGGTCAAGTCTGGTCTTGAACGAGCTCACACTCGGTGCCGTCACAACACTATCTGAGAAATTGCTCCAAAAGTTGAACTCTCACTCCGAAAAAGTTTGCCCTCACGGTTTCCTGGACTTGTGGCTTTGTGGCAATGAAAAAAAAGGAAATCCTGCAAAATCTGTAGATCCTTTGATAGGGAAAGAGCTTCTGCTTAAACGAAATAGTTGGACTTAGGTCAGGGGTGGGTCCAAGAATATTAAGAGGGGGGTGGGGATGGGGGGTGGTATATGGGAGAACATGTCGAACACAGCAAGCCCACCCAGCTGGGGGGTTTTGGGTGGGGCTTACAGCTGTATTTCAGTCTTGTAATTTTCTAATGAAAAGGGGGATCCGGACCCCCAGGATCCGCCCCTGCAAGTGAAAAAGAAACAGAGATAGGATAAATCAAACCAGAGCTTCTTAGAATGATTTATTTCGGAATTTGTACGTGGTTCGTACTGTAGCAATTGTGTGGTTTTGACGGCGTGAAGGCCAAAGGCGGGTCATCCTGTGTTTGGTAGGTCATCCGCTGCCTGTTTTGACCTAAGAGAATTTTGAGCTTATTTATTTTTTTTATTAAACAAAATCCATGTTTTGTTTTCAAGGACACTAAAGATTATCTGTTCTGTTAACCCCATCCAAAGAATGTGTCTTTTGTTTCATAAATCTGGGATATATGTTGGTACATATTAAAGACTAATGAAAAAAGTGTTTTCAATGTCACTTTCCCTTTCCGGTCGAACCCCATCCTAAATAAATGTTAAATATTTTCTGGTATTATACCTTACAGTACATATTTTATTCCATTAATTTATCACTTAATTTGAACAGGTACCCAGTCTCTATAAATAATGGAAGTAAAACCTTTAATAACTTTCATTGAATTAACTAAGAATATATTCTAAGTGTTAAAGTATCCCCACAGGGTCCACAGCACCAGGGGTCCAGAGGCTATAGTTGGAGGCGGGGACGGGCTGGAGGGCACTGGGGTGACTGGCAGTGTTGTCGAGAGGCGTCGTGTAGTACAAGGTGGCGTTGATATCGGGGTTGTGCAGATGATCCTTCAACCAGCGGTCAACCTGGGAGGACCACGTGCAACTCCAGGAATTAATACAGTATACACACGTACTGGGAGGACCACATGCAAGTATATTTTCAGTATCTCCCCACAGGATTAAAACCCCACACCATGGACACTTACATTAAGGGCATATCTATGGGTCTAGCAATCAGCGTCAAAATTTATTTGAAGCCTTTGAACTGATCCTTAGACATAAAGAATATTTATTTATCTGAAAAGATACATCAAATTTCCCCAACAGACCTGAATTTTTAGAGAGCTAGAGAGATAGATAGAGGGAGCGAGAGGTAACGAGACAACATCCATCATCACAACTGACCAAGGTAGTCGATATAGTTTGAAACTCGCTCTTCCTGTAGCCAAACTCAGGCCACAGCTGACCCAAGTAGAAGAAGTCGAGGCCGGGGTTGAGTCTTGGGTTGGCTTCGAAGATCTCGCCCCTCATGTAGGTCGCTAGAGGCCAGAAGTAGATGTAGGAGGCCAAGAGGGCGGAGACGGGCACCAGGAGCAGCGCTCCCAAGAACTCCTCACGGAGGTCATCTCTAACCTTCCTGGATAAAGTCTCGCAAATCCATGACAACAACACTCCTGGTGGAGGAGGAACACAGCTCCATCACAACACTGTATTACTGTGTGTCAATACTGTATTACTGTGTGTCAACACTGTATTACTGTGTGTCAACATTGTATTACTGTATGTCAACACTGTATTACTGTGTCAACACTGTATTACTGTGTGTCAACACTGTATCACTGTGTCAACACTGTATTACTGTGTGTCAACACTGTATTACTGTGTGTCAACACTGTATTAACTGCGCCTCACCAGTAATCATACAGGAGAAGAGGTAGGAGGGGCAGTAGTGGTGGTAGTAGAGGACACGACTCATAAAGAAGAAGGGCAGGTAGTGGATGGCCCAACACAACAACAACCACCAGCACGTCACCAAGGTCCTCCCTCGAGCTTCTGAACAAAACATTAAGGACTTTTTACATAATTTTCTTGTTAGTTTTTAAAAAAAAAGAAGAAAAAAAGAAGTTGGCTTACCCAATTTAGCCTGACCTGATCAATGGTAGACTAACACGTGTCCTAACCTTACCTGGTCTTGCCTAACTTAGCCTTACCTAAGAAATGGCAATCTGCCTTATTTACCTAATGCCCACCCACTAGAGGTGGCCATGCCAAGGGAAGGAGATCGGTGGCCTGTGTAGGATTCTTCCATTGTTCTTGATAATTTTGTCTATAGGACTATTTTGAAGTCCAGTCCTGCTCTCGATTCCACAGCTTGAGATGGTACACCGTTCCATAAGTCTACCACCCTCTCTCTGAAAAAGTATTTCATTATGTTCCTTTTAAAAAATAACTTGGCGAACTTCTACTCCATTTATGACCACCTTTTGTTGCCTGTCTTCGAGCCAGTTGTTAATTCACGTCAAACTCTTGCCTGTGATGCCATGTGCCTGGATCTTGGTCGTGCATGTGGGACTTTGTCAAACGCCCTGGAGAAATCCATGTACAACACCTCCATTGGTGAGCCTTGGTCCATGTAGTCTGTTACCTTTTCAAGGATCAGGAGTAAGTTTGTCAGTCTGGATTTTCTCTCTATGGAATCGTGTTGTACTGCGTTGATAAGACTGTGTTCGGTCAGGTGTTGGATGATGGCGTCCCTCAGAATTTCCCTCCAAGAGTTTGCATATATGTGATGTAAGGATGATCGACCTGTAGTTTTCTGCTACACTTTTTCTACCCTAGGCGCGTTACCTTGATCCAAGGATTTCCTGAATAATAGTCTTAGTGGGGAGCAAATCTCGTCTGCTACCTCCTTTATCACCTTGGTCTGTGCTCTGTCCACTCCAGGGCCTTGAATTGTTTCAACCTGACTACTTTCGTTTTGATATCTTCTGTAATTGTTATCTCTTTTAATTCAGTTTCCGCCCCTGAGGTATACGTTCTCTTAGGTACTGGCATGTTATACATCGTCTCTTGTGTGAGTACTGATACAAATAAATCATTTAAGATATCTGATGCTTCTCTGCCACCCTCCAGGGACACGTTGTTTTCGTCCTTTAGGGCTAGACCAACACGAACTAATGTTTCCTGGCCTAACCTGACCCAACTAAGGTCAATATAACTAAGTTCAACCTAAGCAAACGAACCCCAACCTAACCAAGTCTTCATTAACCTATGGCATAATACCCACCGAGATGCCACTTACCAACAAGGGCAGGATCCTGGTGTGGGCAGCGGGACTTGCAGTAGCTGTGGGCGAGGCTCAGCACTAAGACGCCTCCCAGACCCATCAGGTTGAGGTAGGTGAGTAAAGGGTTGGTCATGCCTACAGCGTATACGTCCTCACCTCCGCCTTCAGCAGTCTTGTTCTCCGGGAATGACCCCAACAGCTGGATCTGGATGATGGTAGAAGATGGTGGTGGTGGTCGATTGTGGTGGTTGGGTGGTAGATTGTAGTAGTAGATGGTGACTATACGACATGGATAGCGGTGGTAGATTGTGGTGATTGTCATGGATGGTTTGGCGGTAGATGGTGGTGACTGGGTGGTGCAGATAGTGGTAGTAGATTGTGGATGGTAATGGCTAATGGTATGGATAGTAGTGGTAGTAGGTTGTTGTAGGTAGGTGGCATAGATATTTGTAGTACATTGTAGTTAGTAAGTGCATGGGTAATGATTTAAGACAAGAAAATAAATAGAGGCCAGGTTTTTCAGTCTATCTTTGGTTAAATCGACTTATTATATACCATTATACACCGTCTATGTACACGATAAATCATCATGAAGACCTTACTGAATATCTGTCATCTCACCAAAGAAAACTCACCTGCCAATTTGTAGGCCACATCCAGGGTCTGGCGTTACGGTCATTGTCGTCACCAGTGATGAGGACGGCGTTCCCGATAAACATGTTAAGGTGTTGGAAGAAGATCTTGCCCCACAAACCCACCGTCTTGTCCCTCACCGATATCGTCTTGTTCACTATACACAAACACACAGTGGCATATATAAGGGGGAGGATCATGACCGAATGCCCTCCCCCCTTTTGCTTACAAGAAATAAACAGATAAGAGGATGGAAATAAAATAATGTTCATTTTTTTCGAGGCTTGGTCCTCCCTTTCTACTAAATTATATTTGCCACTGCACATACATTTTTGTCAGTGGAGGACGAAGATTTTGTTTCTGGGAGTTATACCTCAGTCATGTTAGGTTAGTTTGATTTATGTTTTAGGGGAAAAGATTTGTTTTAATTGCACCTCGGAAACCACTAACAAAAAAGGGTGTCCTAGTGTATTTCGTGTGTTCTTTTAAACAAATCTGACCTTCATTTCCGTCGCAAATGAACCTTTTTTCATCAAATTTACCCAACCTTACCTAACTTACCAAACCCTCCGCCATATTAAACAAAAAATGGTACCAATGAAAGCAACATTCTTGAGGTGTCATGATGAAATTTCACGGTTTTTGTGAACGTGAGAGCACGCTCCAAAATACTCGAAAAATATAAATTGGCGACTGAAACGTTATAGAATAAAGTATTTCCCCATTTTTTTTTTTTTGCTCTTTCTTCCTATATAAATAAAAATATGAAGTCCCGTGGTGAAACTAAAACGAATCTTAACCGTGTTAAGTATAAGATTAGATTCGGTTTACTTAAATGCGATATATCAAGTTTAGTATTATTGAAAAGATAATAATTATGTTTGGGTAGAAACAGCCAAAGAAAACCGTAGAAAAACTAAACTAAAGAAAATCTAGATACATTTAATGAATAACTCCTCGCGCTAAGGGACTGACGTTCCAACTTGGAGGGAGGCTTAACAAAGTTAACACTACCGACAATTGGCATTAATATTCCATTAAATTTATACCAAATAAAACTGAGATATATTTACACAGAGAAACTAAACGATATTGACTTAGATAATCATAATACTGACCCATGGGGCTGACGTTCCAGTTGATGTGCCACTCAATCCCGGGCTGCTCACGGTTCTTGGTACACGTCACCTCCTTCGCCCCTTTGAACGCCCTGAAAACTTACTTGCATGAGTATCAACTTATAATGAAGGTTGTAACAAAGAGCAGACCAGCCAACCAGACAGCTAAGTGGTAAAATTATAAATTGAAATTGAATTAAATGAAATTAAATGTCGCTAGAACTTCATAAATACGTTTCTCGTTATTGTTGCTTATTCTTGGTCCACTTCTTCTATACATACATCACGTATCAGGGTATTATCAACAAGAATTTCTTCGACCAATTTGTTTTTTCACTACGCTTTCAACTTGGTCATTTCTCTCAAGATTAGAGACTTTCTTAAGAGACAGAGAAACATACTAACCATGGGGGTAGCTTGACCTTCTCGTTGGCCTTGAGGTAACAGTTCATCTTGTAGTGTTTCAACAGGAAATCGTGACTAATGGTGGTGAGGGGCACCCCGACCTCCTCCCCGGGTATTAACAGTTGCCACGTCTCGAACGGCCCACCAGCACCGTCCTACATCATACAGCGATACAGGGGAACAAAGACGCAAAGATAGATAATTATAGCCTACAGAATATATTAATGTCATTTGAAGTATTCTTTTCTTGAATTTAATATAAAAAAGCAACATTTTAACGTCTCCATAACCTAATGCTTTGTTTGTATACCTGCAGTTCAGTGTTTATGTATATTGTTTGTATATCTACACTATGCACAGTGTTTGTCTACCTACACTCGATGTAAGTACATTGCATACTTACCTGCATTGTCTCTGTATATGCTGAGTCAGTGTGAACCTATAGGACGATTTTACTATACAAGTTTGTCTATCTATCCTGGTGAATATCTCAGGAAGAAGAATGCCTTACATCACCGTAACCACAGACTTGGAAGTGCCTCTTGGTGATGGGCGCCCGGTGGCCATGTGAGCGCAGGGAGCGGCCAGTCTCTGCGTGGGTCAGCATCACATAGTCACCATTACGCACCAATACCACCTCCTGCTGCGGGTCCTTCCCATCTATCACAGCCCCAGCATCTAAGTCTACCTTCTTGATTATCCTGAAACATGGAACAGGTAAATCCCAAATAAAATACGAGTAGATTAGAGTATGGCAAACAGTGTGTAACAGAAACCCTAACAATTTACATCCCAGAGTATTATGAGAGTTGTGTAACGAGCTTGCTGAGCTCTGTAAGATCCCATTCACCAGATACATGAACTAGCAAAAGATCACATGAAAGTCCTATATATTCAAACAGGGAGATCGTCACTACATGAATACTTATAGTCTGGTGAGATTGATCATCATAGTGTGTAAAATACTAGAGAGCATTGTATGGGATGCCATGATGTAATATTTGCTACGAGACAACCTGGTTTTATGCCGGGACGATCCTATTTGACACAATTGCTTAAGGTGCTGGATGTTTGGACTTAGATCCTGAAATGTGTTGGCATTATCGATAATATATACCTAGACTTTGCCAAGGCTTTCGACAGCGTACCCCACGAAAGACTGAAAATGTAAAAGGATATAATACGAGTAGATTACTGGCATACTGGTGCTGGAGTAGAATACAAATATAGTTCACAGGGCCCTTCTACAGCCAAAGCACAGTGCGAGTAAATTAGATTAGGCATTTGTGATGGATGAGCATAACAGAGAGAGAGAGAGAGAGAGAGAGAGAGAGAGAGACGCACCAGGAGAGGGCCTCGTGGTCCCTAAGAGTAGAGGTGGTCACTTGTTGGCAGGGGGCTGTCCACTCCGAGGGGAAGAGATCGAACCAAGACTCGAGGAAGCCACAGATGGGTCGGCTGCTCTGGATGGTCAAGTTGGCGCCATATTGCACATCTGAAAAGTAAACAAGCCACTGTTACCATCCTGGAGTGTTTAAAACAAGCCACTGTTACCATCCTGGAGTGTTTAAAACAAGCCACTGTTACCATCCTGGTGTTAAAACAACCCACTGTATTTATCCCCACCAGGTGTTTAAACAAGCCACTGTTACCATCCTGGAGTGTTTAAAAACAACCCTGTACCCATCCTGGAGTCATTTAAAACCAAAGCCGCTGTTACCATCCTGGGTCAAAAACAAGCCTGTTTTTCCATCACCAGGTAAAAACAAGCCTGTTACCCACATCCTGGAGTGTTTAAAACAAGCCACTGTTACCATCCTGGAGTGTTTAAAACAAGCCACTGTTACCATCCTGGAGTGTTTAAAACAAGCCACTGTTACCATCCTGGAGTGTTTAAAACAAGCCACTGACACTGTCTGGTGTTTTAAACAAACCTATTACCATCCTGAGTCTTGGCTCAAACCCACTGTTACCATCCTGGAGTGTTTAAAACAAGCCACTGTTACCATCCTGGAGTGTTTAAAACAAGCCACTGTTACCATCCTGGAGTGTTTAAAACAAGCCACTGTTACCATCCTGGAGTGTTTAAAGGGATGTAAGTTGAATGCAGCTTGTATTATATCACCAAGATCAAATAAGTTATGGAAATGTATAAATAAATACGTCAAACAAAATTTATATATATATATTTTTTTTATATAAACCATGACAACATTTGGAGTGGGGGAGCTGTGGTCACCAACCCTCAGAAGATGGTACTTTGACTGAAGACAATACTATACATACATTCAGGAAGGGTTAGGTTGTCGTACTCCGTGTTGTCAAACGCTGCGAAGAACTTGGTGTGATAAAACCCTCCTGCGTTGGGGTTCCTAAAGGGGAGGTGGGAGGAGAACTGTAAAATGTCTACCTTAGAAGATATCCATGTATGATAAACACACTGGATATCCAACATCTGAATATCCCGGTCCTCAAAATATAGAGATAAATAATTATTGGTCATTAAACTCGTCTCAGATCTTGTTGGGTTACGTCTACACCCAAGTTTTTTTTAACCAACATCCGCTACTATCCGGAAATATAGACGAGCGGCCTTAAATATATTATTCAACCGAGATATAAGAAAAATAATATTCATACAACTAAATAATTCCGACAACAACTAAACCTACCACATTATCGAAGAAATACCTTTAAACTTACCAAGATTTAAGAATCCAGAAGTGAACGACGAAGGATGAGATATAAACGAGGGTGGGAAGGATGATGAGAGCTACGGCCCGCGCTCCTGTATGAGGCAACACCTTCCACTGTAACAACACCAACATAACTTTACTCTCTCATTTTATTTTTTGTAGATTTATTGTTATTTAGTCTCGTTGATTCTACATAATGGTATAGTTGCTTACGGGTATTTTGGTTTCTTCTTGATTCAGTCGCTTACTATTCACATATACCTGTACTGATTAATTATACTGCATGGTGAACTAATGTGATATATCTATCTTGATATTAGTTAGTGTAGGTTAATGTGGTGAATTAGTTAGTGTAGGTTAATGTGATGAATTAGTTAGTGTAGGTTAATGTGGTAAATTAGTGTAGGTTAATGTGATGAATTAGTTAGTGTAGGTTAATGTGGTAAATTAGTGTAGGTTAATGTGTAGTTAGTGTAGGTTAATGTGGTGAATTAGTGTAGGTTAATGTGTAGTTAGTGTAGGTTAATGTGGTGAATTAGCGTAGGTTAATGTGGTGAATTAGTGTAGGTTAATGTGATGAATTAGTTAGTGTAGGTTAATGTGGTGAATTAGTTAGTGTAGGTTAATGTGGTGAATTAGTGTAGGTCAATGTGTAGTTAGTGTAGGTTAATGTGATGAATTAGTTAGTGTAGGTTAATGTGGTGAATTAGTGTAGGTTAATGTGTAGTTAGTGTAGGTTAACGTGTAGTTAGTGTAGGTTAATGTGTAGTTAGTGTAGGTTGCACATGACACCAGCGTGGTCGACCAGAGGGGTGTGGGGGTCCCCGGCGAGGCAGCATAGTTGATAGACCGTGTGGCAGCCGACGAATCCCACAGTAAACACGCCCACGTACTTGACACTCATCACCGTGCCCAGACAAACGCCCGTGAGACACAACCACGCCCACCACGCCCATCCCCACGCCCTGTTAGAGTGGGTTAATGTGTTGATTGATTATATTGTAGTTAAAATTATCCCTGGGTTAATATACTTAAATATATTTAACTTATACCACCTTAATCTGACCTATCTCGACGGAATCTAATTACTTTTACGTTATTTTGAGATGTAAGATAATTTAAATTGCTTTAACCTAACCTTATATAACCACTGTAAACTAACCTAACCTTACATAACCATTGTAAACTAACCTAAGCTAACCTCATATTTTATAACCAGACCTAATCATTCTAACTGAACCTATCTTAACCTAATCTCATCTATGCAAACCTAACCTAACCCTAATTATTTTATCACTCACTCTCTCCCTCTCTCCTCCTACGCACTCTCTTTATGAATCACACACACACACACACACACGCGCGCGACGTAAAGCAGTACCTGTGTCTCTGGTTATGGAACTTGGTGATGCAGTAGACTGAGGCCAAGATAGACGCCAGCAGTGGAGGGTCCAGCAGTATCAGGGTGTTGAGGCGGTGAATAAACGTGTCTAGCGAACAACAACAACAGCGACCATATTATTAACAAGAAATTATGATAAATATACAGTAGACTGTACTGTACATATAGATAAGTAGATAGATAGATACAATGTTAAGTAAAGAAAATGTAAACATGAAGACAAGAATAACAATGAGACGAAGAAAAGCAGGAGAATGAGATAATGGCAGACAGAAGAAGAAGAAGCAGAAGAAAATAATGACAGGGAGAGCAGTAGTAGTAATGCGTGTCCTTGCTGTGGGAGAAACAACATACGGTGTGTGGGTTGTAGGAAAGGGACCAGCTGTCTAAATCCCTCAGGCAGGGATCTGTCACCTGAGGACGACATTTTAGACGATAGTAATGAACCCAATCAGTCGGAAAATACTGTACATGAGGTGAATGACACAGTCAACACATTGAATGGGTCTGTCGGGGAACGGTGCAGAGAAGTGTGTCAAAGAAGTCTACTCAGAAGTTGTTAGGTGGTCCCCTTTTGATCTACCCAAGAAATGATCAAGGAGATGACTTACCTCAACAATTACACTCACGTCACCTTTCTGGTCCCATTAGCTCGTCAAATACTGGCAATAATACCCTCACCTATTCTGCCAGAGAACACAAGTGAGGAATAAGTGCAAGGAAAATGTAGCAGCGATGAAGGGAGAGATTAAAATTCATACGAGATGGAAAGCAAGTCACTGAGGATGATGCCAGAAAGTTGGGTAACAAGATGCGTGTGGGAAAAGCGTATCCTCGGTAAGATCTCTGGTGTTCACAACCTCTGGTGGAATGGGACCAAGTGCAAGATGCTTCTATGCATGACTGGCCGATGTGTTATTTGAACAAAAGCTGCAGCCCAGAAGCAACGTTACAGCCTGGATGAGATGTCGACTGTCCTTCTCTCTGCTTAGGTCTGCATTGCTTTGCCTTATGGGAACGAGATCTTCGGCCCCCAAAGCCGACAACAGTCGCAGATATTGACTATGAGGCAATAGTCACTGAATGCCGCATAAATCTGCGGCTCAACTAACTCAACACAGCTGGGGTAGCTACTTATGTATTAGGATATTTAATTTTAAGGTAATAAAATGGCGGCGAAGGTGTGGCTAGTAGTAGTAATAACTCACCCGTCAGGATACAGAGGGCGGCGAGGCTGGAGGCACCAAGGGAGGCAGACAGTTCCCACACCAGCAGGAAGCTTAATGGCACTAGTGACGACCCCAACACTGCCATCATCTGTAACGTACATATACCCTGTACACATACACACAAATATACGCACATACATACACACACATACATACTATTCAAAAGACAAAACTTAATAATCATAATGTAAAGTGCGGTTAATCTTGGCTTAAGTTTAAATATAGTTGATTAGTATAATGAATGTTTTCAGGTGTTGAGGGAGATATACACTGTATATTCTTACACGAGATAATGATGATTTTATATGAGAGAGAGAGAGAAAGAAAGAGAGAGAGAGAGAGAGAGAGAGAGAGAGAATGTATACTTACGGATCTCATGGCCACATAGTTTATATCAGGGGTGTATCTCTTGCCTTGGGTGAACTCAAAGCTCCCATTATACCCAGAGAGCCAAGCTGCCCCCGCGATCACCATCTGTAACACAACACCATCTGTTAGACCATCTGTAACACCACACACACTGTTAGACCACCTGAATCACTTTAACACTGGTTCCTGAAGTGTCTCACCTTGCCCAGGGGAGGGTGAACGTCATGGTAGAAGGTTCTGTTTATGTAGTGGTTAGCGAACGTACCAAAGTGAACCTCGTCCCACCTAGAGAGCAGGGGGTCACCAGCACACACACACACACAGCAGCGTCACCACAGCAGCGTCACCACAGCAGCGTCAATAAGGGGAAGATAAATAAACTGGCTATGGTCACTTGCGTCAGTAATAATTAAGTATATGACTTCCAAATTAATATTTACACACACAGTCCCTGAAGGCTAGCTGGTGTAGGTAAGGCTAGCTGGTGTACGTAGATGGGTAGGTAAGGCTAGCTGGTGTACGTACAGTGTTCCCGAGGGCTGGTCGAGGGAGGCCTGGCGGGTAGTGAGGGCCAGCATGGTGAGGGTGATGTAACAGACCCACCAACGCTCCTCACTCGTCAGCCTCCACCTGTAATGATAAACAAACACATAACTCACCTCACCTGTCAACTATAACAACTCACCTGTCACCATATATAATGATAAATAAATTATTACCAATGTATGGATAAACATTTATTTGGTAAAGTTTCGAGGTGGCAGACGAGTCGATCATCCTTACATCACATATATGCAAACTCTTGGAGGGAAATTCTGAGGGACGCCATCATCCAACACCTGACCGAACACAGTCTTATCAACGCAGTACAACACGATTCCATAGAGAGAAAATCCAGACTGACAAACTTACTCCTGATCCTTGAAAAGGTAACAGACTACATGGACCAAGGCTCACCAATGGAGGTGTTGTACATGGATTTCTCCAGGGCGTTTGGAGTACATTCTTCATGGGAAAATTTTCTCAGTAGAGTACCACAAGGCTCTATCCTTGGACCCACCTTGTTTGTGATCTATATAAGCGACATAGATGAAAATATGTCGAGTCACATTGTCAAGTTTGCGGACGACACGAAGATATTTGGGAAGGTATCAGACCAAGACGATGTGGTGGTAACAGTGCAGAAACACCTGCCGGAGCTGGTGATCTTTAATATTACGAAATGTACGACCCTACACTTAGGATACAGCAACCCTCATCACAACTGTTCTTTAATAACACTTTCCTGGATATTGCTGATAAGGAAAAAGATCTAAGCGTACCTTCGAATACAAACATAAGAAAATGCTCCTTCAACTGTACAAGCTCAAGTACGTCCCAGTCTGGATTACTGTATACAGGCATGGAAGCCCTACTTCCAGGAAGACCAAACATATCCCTAGAGAAGGTGTAACACGGAGCGACTAAGGTGATACCGGAACTATGTCATCTAGATTATACCAAGTAGACTGAAGGCCATAGGACTAACAACCCTTCAGACAAGACACAACAGGGCAGAGCTTACTGAAACATTCAAAATCCTGAAAAAGACAGAAAACGTGAACCCGAGCCATTTTTTATGAAGTGTCACGCACCACAACACGAGAGGACATAACTATAAACTCGCCAAGTTTTCATACAGAACTAATATAAGGAAATACTTTTTCACACTCAGACTGGTAGACTTATGGGACGGTCTACTGTACCAGGTCAAGCTGTGATCAAGAACAGTACTGGTCTTCATAACAATCCTTGACAAAACTATCAAGAACAATGGAAGGATCCTACACAGGTCACTGACCTCCTTCCCTTAGTGTGACCACCTCTAGTAGGTGCCCAGTGAGTGAGTAAGGTGTGTACTGTATGTACGTACATCTATGGGTGTATAGACAGTTTATGTTAATAATCATGATGCATTACTACATCTTGGTCAACTTTGTTCATGACATTTAAACAAATATTAATACGTACATTATAACATAATGTTCGCGATATTCATCCAACAAGTCTGGGTGAACATTAATGTTTTTGTTTGCATCCTTCCTGATGGGTAGGAAAATATTTATCATAACATTGCTCATATTCCGAGATAAATAATAACAGTACAGGTAACATTAATGTTGTATTAACGACAATCTCACCTTCTCTTATTAGTTTTCCATTTCTTAATAAGAGTTTCATCCGTCGTATTCTCTTCAATATTATGTATTTGCTCTTTACATGACATAATTGTTGTATAGAAGTGCAACACCTTCCACCACCGACTACTATCAGCCCCAACACCTGACTGCCCACGTTGTCATCACCACAGGCAAATCTCCCGCCGGGAAAAATATCTTACGGTAAAACTATAACAAATATTATTTATGTAATTGGCCTTTGCAATAAAATTTTTAATTCAGCAATACTCCGTAGCGGACTAGATAACTACATGAATATAATTTTAATTGTATTTTTTTCTCGTCTGTTAACGATAAATGCACTTCACAGAAAACTTGACTGTAATTATATATTAACCTTTGATACTTTTACTTTCTCTTTTCCTCAAATATAGATGATAAATATATTAATTGAGACCAAAGTAACAAATCTTGAAGAATAATGATGAATAGCAAAAGGAAAAAACAACAATACATGTGGATAAATACATCGTACGCCAGGCAGGAGAGTGGTACCAACGTGGCTGTGATTGGCCTGAGGCGACCCGTGACGTCACAGTGGCAGGTGTTGCCCAGGACGGCCACAAACACATAAAATGTTCAGCAAATAACTCTTCAATTAATGTTATATTGATCAGTAATGTGTCATTATTTAATATTATGATTAACCAAGGTCACAATCTTCTCTAATTCCTCCTTCATTTAATGTAATAAGGATCTTGAATAACGTCATCAGTGTCTTGGATAACGTCATCAGTGTCTTGGATAACATTGTCAGTGTCTTGGATAATAAACACCAACGCTCTCAATGTTTTTAAAAAACGTGAGAAGTAAAATAATGTAGTTAATCCCACTATATTTTTAACACGCACTATTATGTTCACACAATAAATACATTCTGATACATTGTACATTCTGATACATGATTCCTCTTGGATATATTTTATATCTCAAGTGATAAATATATATTATACTCTCTAACAATAACAATAATATACTGCACATATTTAAGTACATATTATAAGGCATCAAAGCACATGTTAAAGAGTGTCAAGGCACATATTAAGGCACATATTAAGGCACATATTACACAACAGGATCACCGAAAACTATAGTAAAATTACTGTGGTTAGGTTAAGTTAGGTGTTAATCATTAGGTGAAATAAACTGGGGTGTCAAATATAAGGTAATCCACTTATTATATGAGGGGTCATTGAGACACCCGTTTAAAGACTGTATAATAACGGTAATTATCTAATAATAGACAAAGTATAATTAGTGATGTTTACTATTAATTAAGCCATTAAATTGTCTGGATAACTCGAACTAAAATTTCATCTTAACTCACCACCTAAATATTTCCCATAAGAAACCTTCAATAAACTGTATTTGTTGTTTTCCACCATGAATGACAATGACTGGTCAAAGCTCAATACACAAAGCTGGTGCTGTATAGTTGAACATTTACTATCATACATTAGTGCTATACTGCATCTTCCTGAATGGTTAAAGCCACTGTTATTATGGTAGGTGTCTCTCAGGGGTACATGGTAGGTGTCTCACAGGGGGGTACATGGTCTGGTAGGTGTCTCACGGGGGGTACATGGTAGGTGTCTCTCAGGGGGGGGGGGTCTGGTAAGTGTCTCACAGGGGGTACATGGTCTGTGTGGGTGTCTCTCCCACAGGGGGTACATGGTAGGTGTCTCACAGGGTCTAGGGGGGTGGCACATGGTCTAGGGGGCATGGTCTTGTGGTGTCTGGGGTACATGGTGGTGTTCTCACAGGGGGCAAGGTCTGTAAGTGTCTCTCACAGGGGGGTACATGGTCTGGTAGGTGTCTCACAGGGGGCATGGTGGTGTTCTACAGGGGGGTACATGGCGGTCTGCAGGTGTCTGGGGGCATGTCTCCAGGGGAAAGGTCTAGGGGGGGTACATGGTCTGGTAGGTGTCTCAGGGGGTACATGGTAGGGTGTCTCACAGGGGGGGCATGGTCTGGTCTCACAGGGGGGGGTCTCTGGGGGTACATGGTCTGGTGTCTCACTAGCATGGTAGGTGTCTCAAGGCAGGTCTGTAGGTGTCTCACAGGGGGGTGCACATGGTAGGTGTCTCACAGGGGGCAAGTAGCATGGTAGGGTGTCTCACAGGGGGTACATGGTAGGTGTCTCACAGGGGGGGTACAGGGTCTGTGTGTCTCACAGGGGGTACATGGTCTGGTGGGTTCTCAAAGGGCATGGTCTGGTAGGTGTCTCACAGGGGGGGGTACATGTCTGGTAGGTGTCTCACAGGGGAAAGGCGGTAGGTGTCTCAAGTAGGGGGTACATGGTCTGGTAGGTGTCTCACAGGGGGTACATGGTAGGTGTCTCTGGGGTAGGGTAGTACACAGGGGGGTACATGGTCTGGTAGGTGTCTCACGCGGATATAGAGAAACCCAAACTTTTCAGGGCGAATAAGACAACACGGAACAGATCCACTACTGCCCATGACTTAACATCAAAACTACTGATAATAAGCTAATATGATACATAATGTCTTCAGTAGCCAGATTACAGTAATATCTAGAAATTTCCTTAGATAATCTAATGGTTAAGAAACTGATGTTATTACTGCCATACTGAATGACGAATGTCCAAAAATACTAAACATATTACACTCTTCACAACAACCTGACACAGCAATGTTAGTTTATTTATAAGTTCTTCTGATATTAATGATTTAACATAAGGATATTTCTATATATGCAAGAGTGAGTCGGGCCTTGGTGTGTGAGGGGCTGGCTGGCTGGCACTCCTCTTCGCATTACTATACTGTATCACTCAAGTCACTCTGAGGATCTGGAAAATAATGCAGAACTTTGATATAAAATCGCATGAGAGAGAGAGAGAGAGAGAGAGAGAGAGAGAGAGAGAGAGAGAGAGAGAGAATTAAGGTTGTTCGTTATCACTGTAAATACTGTATATTCCATCGACATCTTTCCATAAACAAAACAGTACAACTTAAAAGAAAATATTAAAATACTCTCCTTTATCATGAGTAACATTATATTCATATCATTACAGTTGAAACATTGATAAAAACCTAAATAATATGGTGTATGTTACCTAAAGTTTACGTTGTACCCTAACACTTACCTTGATTACCTGGTTAACCTATCACACAACTTATTAACCTGACCAACATGGTAATCACAGAAAGTTGTTGTGTTTTACCGCCTGTTTATCACCCATCCCTACTCCCACACTCCCAGACCACCGCTCCAGCCATCATTGTATATACCTGGTATTAAAGCGGCCACTTCCTTCACGGGTTCCTGGGTTTTTGTACATAGAGGACTTGAGGGCATCTTTCCTGCTCATATCAAGGGTGCCATCAAAGTAAGTTGTATTCAGATAGTCCAAGAACCTGTGGAGAGAGAGGTGAGGGTGTAAGGATATAAAATATTTTCATACTGTTCTGTGGCGTGGGTCAAAGGTTACAGAGCGTCAAGGGAGGGATGGAAGGAATGGTAACATTGGTGCAAGACTAACATATCAAGTGAACCGCAGGAAGGTATTATTTATGTTCCATTACACCTTTCATGGTTTCCTCTTATGAGTTCGAGGCTATACTGTATTGTACTGTACTGTAACTCACTTCAACAGCTGAGTCACTAAGTTAAGAAGGATCGTTCAGTCATATTTCAGCAACTAAATCTATAACACATATCTTATTTTTTTTATAATAAAATAATTCACATTTGAACTTTCTGAAGAGACTGGACTTGGTCCCCTTACACACTCTAGTTTTGTACACCAAAGCATTGTTTATAAAAGTAGCTGTGTCCTGCACCGGCAAACAGTTAATTTAAGAACTCTATATTTTTTTTACAAGTAACATCATTAGTAACACCCATAACACTTTAATGATAACAACAATATATTAGAATATAAAAAACAAAACAAAATTTGCTTCTGAAGTCTTGGATAAGAGAAAGTGCACCAGATGTCTTCAGGTGTACAGTACAATGGCTGTTGTCTGGGAACCTTACTTGTCAACTTTGTTTGGGAATTCTTGGACATTCTTGTTCTCTTGTGCTTCCTCTTCTTTGGCCTTTTTAGTAGTGTTGAGGACAGGAGACACCTGGGACGGGCCTCCCATGCCCAGGAAGGTCTGGAAGCGACCCCACACAAATGCCACCATCTCGTACTCATTGGGCTGCTTCAGGAGATCGTGCTTAACCTGAGGAATGAGATGAACACTGTTGCATTCTATACGTGTGTGTGTGTATGTGGTGGGGGGGGGGGGGTTCTCTAGGGTCAAGCTAGAGCTGATTGTGTGGGAGTAGCCATGAAGATTTTACCTACAATTTTGGTGTTATTCAAACACTAATATTTTCATTTGTAGGAAAAAAAAAGTTAATGAAATCAGTTGTAGTTTCATTTAGGGTGTTTCAGTAAACTGTAGTGATGACATTGTGACAGCTGTAGAGTGAGTCAAAATTTGTGAGTGTTCAGATGAAGAAGTGTCAGTTACCCCTCAAGTCCTAATTTAAATGAAGCTTTTTTTCAAGGACAACTCAGTATGAATGAAACTCCATCAATACAACGACGTAATGGTGAAATGTCCGTTTTGAGGTCTGTCTCATACTCAGTTATGATGTTCCGAAACACTTCCAGGTAATGTACATTTCAGTGTTATTGTATTCAGTCAGTGGCTTCTTTACATATGCCTTGTTTCTACCCAGCACGAGACATACATTAATATAGCTTTATGGATTTCTTGTTGTATTGAAGAATCTAGTACGCCATATAGGACGACTCCCTCCCCCGATCCAACCTCCATCTCTGTCTGTTGTTGATATGGTGAGCAGGCGTGTCAACTTATGATGATGCACTGAGGATCATATCAAAGCATTTCGTCTACTTATCAAAACGTCGTGACGGAAAATCTACCGATACATTTTAGGGGGACTGTATATGTCATAATACACATACAAATACAGCATTTTAGAAGTTCCCGCCTGCTGCGTGTGGACAACTACCCCCGCACACCACATTTAACAGCTAAAACCCCCAACAGTTGCGTCAAGAGACCTGTGTGAAGGACTTGATGATGACGGTCAGCAGCAGGTTGATGAGCACCCATGAGTTGAACAGCACGAAGATGAAGAACATGAAGGGGACCACGTATGACGCTTGCTTCATCTCCTCAAACTGGAACTTGCCTGAAGGTAAAGAATAATGATGACTATTATACACTTTCTTATACACATCTGTTATTGTTCAACTGTGCCTTGTTTATTTTATTTTAGTTTGAATGTATTTTTATTTCTATAAGGGATACCACACATCAGACTCTTTAGCTAGACTATATTTCCGGCGGCAGTTTAAAGCAGGGGTTCTCAAACTTTTTTCAACCAAGGACCCCTTAAATACCATGACTCATACACATATTGTCAATAATAATCAAAGAATAAATCATAGTCCAAAGTATTTGTTCATTTCAACCCAAATCCAAAATATCCTGCGAATTGGAGTCGCCAAATCTCTCCCAAACGTTAAACGCTCTATTTCTCAAAAGCTTTTCGCTGACCCCAGTTTGAGAATCACTGGTTTAAAGGAAGGTTGTGTTTCATCCATGGTCACTGGATTATGTCTGTATGGTGTTTCCTTTCACTCTAACCTAACCTAACCAAACCTAAACTTACCTAACCTACTACTCAACGTATATATTTAACACAGGTCCTTAACTTCCAAGGTAATGAATTCACAAAAGTAAATTGCATGATATAATGGCGATGTATCAAAGGATAAACAACACACAAAGATAATGTCCCTCACACACACACTCACCAAGCATCATACTGAAGGAGGTCTCGATGGCACTGAGGAAGTTATAAAAGCCCAACATGTATTGGTTGAGCAGCAGGAAGAACAAGGCGACGAAGGAGAAGAAACAGAGGAAGAACGCCATCAGGAAACCACTGAGGTCATCCCAGCACTGACGAAGAGTAGCCGAGAGGACACCTGGCAAGAAAACACACAGAAGACATTATTAAACGAAGGAACACAGCTGCTCCAGGTTGTGTGAGAGAGAACAACTGATTGACTGTGTTGATCTTGGCGTCTACAGTTGTGTACTCGTGAAACAAATGTCATGGTACAGTAAGGAAAAAAAATGGTTTATCTTTTCTTAACGTATAATTTTTGTGTGGGATGATCAAAGAAAATAGAAGCTTCAGGCTCATTTGGGTCAACAAGCACGAGGGTTAATGACATCGTTGACCTTCAGCCGTTTGCTACTGATGACAATAATGGCTAATGAATTGTTACTTAATAAAAAATAATAAAACTCACACAAACGGATCTTACCCATTCTCTTGTTGAACCTCAGAAGCTTGATGAATTTAAGTGTGCCTACGAAGACAATGAAGGCTATGATATAGCCATACATCTCATCCAGCGAGGCAGCATATTGAAGCTTCACGTAACCATTCCCAAAGGTCCTGTCAAACGTCGTGAGGACATCGTTTGTGGCCATATACCTGTAGGAGAGGAAGAACAAAATACATCGAATTAATCACTGGCGGCGTAAAGGAAAGGGTAAGAAACAAGCCAGGGAGGGTAAGCTGACAGGGAGGGTAAGCTGACAGGGAGGGTAAGCTGACAGGGAGGGTGAGCTGACAGGGAGGGTGAGCTGACAGGGAGGGTGAGCTGACAGGGAGGGTGAGAGGTTGCCAGGGAGAACATCAATGAAGGTAGGAAGTCAGATAAAAAATATTCTGAGAGTGACTTCCTTGACATCACACTTCGTCAGCAGCCACAACTTTTACCCTGCCATGCACACGTGATGCTACACCCTTCACCTGTCCCCAGCATATATCTGAATTATTTTTGGAGGGTGGTAAGGGTGTGGGAGAGTGAGGGAGGATGTGAGGAGGGTGTGGGAAGGGTGTGGGAGAGTGAGGGAGGATGTGGGGAGGGTGTGGGAAGGGTGTGGGAGAGTGAGGGAGGATGTGGGGAGGGTGTGGGAAGGGTGTGGGAGAGTGAGGGAGGACGTGAGAGGATGTGGGGGGTGGGGGTGTGGGAAGGGTGTGGGAGAGTGAGGGAGGATGTGGGGAGGGTGTGGGAAGGGTGTGGGAGAGTGAGGGAGGACGTGAGAGGATGTGGGAGGGTGTGGGGGGGTGTGGGAAGGGTGTGGGAGAGTGGGAAAGGTTGTGGAATAGTGTGAGAGGGTCGGGTAAGAGGATAATTAATAGTAAATACTTTAGGCACTCCTCCTACAATATAATCGTTCTGTACTGACTGATTCATCACGAGTGAGACTGTAACCTTTCACTCAATTCCAATGGGACTAATTCTGCATTTGTGTAGGCCGTCTCTCTCTCTCTCTCTCTCTCTCTCTCTCTCTCTCTCTCTTTCCCTTTGTTGTTGTTTTTCTCTCTTTTTTCCTCTTATTGTTTTATCTTTTTTCTCTTTCGTTCGATTTTTTTTTTACCTGATGCCATATACGATCATGGCAGAGTAGCTGGCCACGATGATAGAAATCTCAGCATAGGACCAATAATTATTGAAGTACTCGAGCCTTTGTTTGTAGAAGCGGAACGTCTCTAACACGGTGAAGTAGATGACGAAGAGGATGAACACAACCTCACAAGCGATGATAAAAATACCGAAGTTGTCGTGGTGTTGTAGTAGTCGTATACCCTCAAACCTGGCCAAGAGAGTTTAGTATTAAGGAATGATTTTAAGTCAAGTGTAAATGAATTATAACCAATACTTATATGAATTACCTGCTATCAATATTTAAGAGTACTAGTTTAGTGTAAGTAACTCATATGGGTTTCTTGAAAGATGTGTGACTGGTTTGTTTATATTAAGATAAGTTAGGTCAGATAAGGATAGGTTAAGTTAGGTTAGGTTATATTCAGGTATTTTTCACTGACAACTATGCTGGAGAAAACCTTGGTGTGATGGACGGGTAGTCAGGAGCAGAGGCTGTAGGAATGTGTAAATAAAGATTAAACAAAAGAGATCATGAGAATGTATATACTCGACTTACCTGAAGTTGGGTGTGATGCCTCCCCCTGGGGTGAACTCTGCTATGATCAGCGACATCCCAAACAAGTTAACCTGTTGTAACACATAACAGTTAACAGGAGATAAGAGGAACAACATGTTTAACAGTTTACACACATTAATCTCTGATGTACTCTACTGTACTCTATCACACTTAAGATCAAATAAATCTATTGATTCTCTACAAATAGAAAAAAAAACAGATTAGTGTAATGAAAATGTTATCAACACATGTCAGGCAAGAACAAGGAAGGGAAGGATTACTCTATTGTATTGCTTTATGACCTATTAACTACATGACAAACTTCAAGGCTAAATTAATAATAACCTTTGATCTTTGAACTAAATCATATCAAGTCCCAGTTTTAACAAACCTGAGTGTTGTAGGCCGAGAATTCAATTATGACAGCTCGAGTCTTCTCGTCAATCCAGTGGTTTCTTTGTAGTTGCCTAAATTTCCTCATAATATCTGGTGTTTTGCCTTTAAGGTGGATGACGTACCCACCACCACTGTACCAATCTCTTTGTCCCCAGATTGGAAGACTTTGCATTTGCGCTGCAGTTGAGTACCTGTGAAAATCATACATGGATGGGGTGATGCTAGGGAAAATATCAAGCATCTTTACTCCTCTCCTTCTCTTGTGAGGGATGGATCACTGGGCAAAGACACCTTAAAGAAGAGAGGAAATTATAGGGAGACCGACGCAAGATAAATATAAATGGTGACAGGAAAGTAGAAATATCCACACGTATATGTTAACATCTTTAACTTACTTACATTCATAGTGTTCAAAGTACCTGTACCTTAACAATGTGGTCCTGTATATCAAGAACTTATGAGTCAGCCATTGGTGTCAGTCATAAGGTGTTACATATCATATACCGGTTAGATGTAGGATGGAATATCTATCAATATTTGTCTGGATATGTTGTAAACTAGTTGGGTATTTTCACAGCTTTGATGGAGGTACAATGCAGTCTTTTATTTTCTTACTTCCTCGTGGTATTCCCATTACACTGCAGCGTGGACAGAGTTAAGTGAAAAAACCCAGACCAACTTGTCATCATACAATCACCCTTATTTCTAAAGCATCCTCATAAATCACTAATAATAATAATAATGATGAAGATGATGATACTATTATTACTACTACTGTAGCCTACTATTACTACTACTACTGTACTATTACTACTACTAATAATAATATCCACACACACACACGAACACTGGGTTACAGAACACACTCCTTAATACCAATCAAACTTCTTAACTCCACACAACTTATATCTTCCAGTGATACCAACTAATATTACCTGCACTCAGCATCAAAACATATCATTTAACATAACTTTAATTACACTCATATATTCATCTCTTGTACCCATCATGGTAATCCTTAGTACTTTCTAACTAATCTTGTATTCCTCATGACATTATTGAATACTTCCTAGTCCCTAATTACTCCTCAGTACTTTCCAGCCTACCTTGTCTTCATCATATTCCTGAGTACTTCCTAACTTACCTTGTCCACTATCACCTATCCAGCACTGTGATTATTACCTGAACTCTTCTATAGAACACATGGGAGAGTTGGCAGTGTATTTATTAGGTAGTTGCCAGCCAGCGCAGTAGTGCCGAGATTCTTCATTGAATATAGTTGTATAGCCGCTGCAGTTCCGCCCAAAGTAGCTCAGCGCACTTGGTACCCTGCAGGCGGTGAGTATTATACACAATGGAGAATTACCGATTTTAAGATATACAGTAATCATATTCATTGGGCTCGTTAACCTTACAACAAATGTTAATCATTTATCAAAGATAACCAAATTAAGGATTATATCAGGAGGCATAATGTTATAATACCGATATTGGAACCTGTGTGTCATTGGGTCTAAGAGAAGTGCCATGTCAGCTTGAATTTAAAGTCAGGGGTTCAAGGTTGATATGTCACAAAAAGAATCTTCTTTACAAGCATGAATATGATGTGATTTTAGCCAATACTTCCGTCTCGTTACCTGCAGCTGTATAGTTCATTAGGAAATACCGTACCTGCAAGTTTTATCCTTAATACGTATCTGTCTGATGGTGGCGTAACCCATGATGCGATTACATTGGTCGTTGAGGAAGCCCCGCAGGCCATATGGAGGCTTGTCATTGTACGTACGCTGGGCTCTCAGAGGATTGAGGAGTCCATGAAATAAGTAGTACCATAAACGATCAGTGTTGGTCACCTGAGAACCATGATAATGTTAATGACTTCATGATATATGGCAAAGTGTGTGTGTATTAACTTTATACAGTGAGGGAGACGATGCCGTTCACTTACCTTCGTAAAATCTAGACCATCCAGGTTACCCTCGTGTAAGAAAGAATGTCTCAAGTTCATCTGCAGGAGGTATGCATTAGGGTCTCTGAAACAACAAACAGAACACACACATTACTTTTTCTTTTAACACTTCATCATTTCCATCTTTGTTACTTTATGACCTTCACTCTCATATGAATTAAAGTTAAGTCTGTTATTGTTTCTTACGATGATAAACACATTGACAGAGTGATACTTACGAACACTATGAGATTATATAATAAATTTGCTTCGTCCCCCCCCCAAAAAAACCCCCCCACTGAATTGGAAAATAAACCAAAATATATAAAAAATAAGCGAAAATGATTTAATATTATTATTTTTTGAACCAAGGAACAAGTGTATGTAATTTGTTGCTACACACAGATAACTAACCTGTTGCCATATGTAATAATGAGGAAGACCCACAGGAAACAGGAGTAGGCAAAGATCTCCTTCAGGATGACCCACATTTCTATCTCCTTCTTCCTGGCTTTCCTCAACTTCTCCAAGATATCCTCGTCCACTTTGTTGTGGTGGAGAGTTTGTTTGTTTCTTTCTCCTACAGAACGGAACATTACACTGTGGTACAAGAGTGAAGGTAGTATGGAGAGAGAAAATTACAATACTGTACTTTGACATATCTTCCCCAAATACAGGTGTGTGTGTGTGTCCATAAGAGATCTGAAATATTCTAATACTTTCAATAATCTCACGTTGGTTTTATTCTCCTCGTCTCAGTTGTTGCTTGACGTTGTTTGAGGATATCAAGTTTTAAAATGGTTCAGCTAATTTATGGTCGTCCAGTATTAATATAAGTCTGAAGGTATATTTTTGGTTTAGTCTTGCAAGTCCAATCTCACTACATCTCAGGGGGCCGGGGGGGAGTCAAGACCAACATACTCTGACTGCATGTGTTCCTCCTCCACCTAAAGCTCTCTCTATCTGGTTAGGTTAGGTTAAACTACGTTGATTTTGATTAGGTTAAGTTGCACTAGATTAGATAAGCTTAGGTTTGGTTTGATTAGGATATGTCAATTTCAGGTCAGGGCAAGTTAGGTTAGACTAGCTTGAGGTCTATTAACCAAGGTCGACCATTTGGTAGGTCAACACCCCCACACACACACAACCCACCCCACCCCCCACACACACAACCCACCCCCACACAACCCACCCCACACAGAAACACACACACCCCACACACACACACACACCCACCCCACACACACCCCCACACACACACACACAACCCACCCCACACACACACAACCCACCCCCCACACACACACAGAAACACACACACACACATAAGCACCTTTGTGTAGCCAGGCTTCATCCTGCTCCAACAGCGGGTCTTCTTCGTCTTCGTCAGCGTCATCCTCGTCCAGGTTACCAGACTTAAAGATGGCGCTCATGAGAATTGCCATCAAGAAGATCTAAGGAGTCAACATGAATGAGTGTAAGACATGGAGTAAGACATATTAAGACAGATTTAAAACAGAATTTGACATATTAAGATAGAATAAGACAGTTTCTGACACAGAGTAAGACATTGAGACAGAATAAGACAGAAAAAACATACATTAAGACATAGTAAGGTAAAGAGAGCAAGACATTAACTGTAGAAACACGATTCCATCTTCCTTGTGGATTAAAATTAATGTAGAGACAACCAAGAGTAAAAAAATGAGAAAGGTAAGCTAATAAAGACACAAGAGATAATAATGGGAATATATTTTTTACCTTGAGGGGCTCGATGAAGAGGATGGAGGTGAAGAAGGAGATGACGAGGGAGGTGATCCACTTGGTAGCCTTAGAGTTGCCGAACATGACGCCGTACATGAGGAGGAAGAAGCAAGACACCGCGATACAGCCCACAACTAAGAGCCAAGCTACCAGGGCGAACAACCAAGGTAATGTGAACTTTTTCTTCTTCCTGTGTGTGGTTAAAGTGGTGGTGTTAGTTGTGGTGTTAGTTGTGGTGTTAATGGTGGTGATAATGTGTGGTACAAAAATGATCCGAAATACTGAAATGTTGGATGAAGTTTTGTAGGATATGAAGACCTTTTAAAATTGTCTAATGGTCCATCAGGTCAGTGTGGAGGTTATATGGATACAACACTAAATACTGAGCCTTCACTTGATAGACCTCAACCAAGTTCCATAGTGTGTGTTGGTCCACTAGCCATAAACACTATTGGCTACTACGACTAGGTCTTCACTGTTACAGGTTAGGTTAGGTTTGGATGTGATGGGATCTGTTAGGACTGAGGGTTAGGTTTGGTTAGATGAGGCTAGATTAGGTTAGGTTTGGTTAGGTTGAGGCACATTAGGACGGGATAATTTGAAAGGTCACCCAATTTTATACAGTACTTACTGTTTTTTCTCAATTATTTTCTTCGTCGTTATATCAGGGACATCTGCTGAGTCAGGACTATGTGGTGTTTTGTCGGGCGGCTGTTCGGAGTTAATAAGAGAACGAGTGCTGCTGGAACTGCCCGGCCTCTTTGACGTGCCTGTAAATAATGATTAAAAGTAAATTAGAAAAAATAAATAAAAAATTTAAGTGTATTTGAAACAATGAGTAAAATACAGTAGATACAGTTGAGGTAAATAAAGTACTTCACCAAACTACAGTAAATGACTCGGCTGGTGACTGACTCGACTAACTTTACTGTGGTCCATCGGTCACTTACGAGTCCTCTCAACAGCCTGTTCGATGCGTGACTTGCGCAGGACTCTTGGACGAGCATTACGGAACAGGAACACTATGAGGAAGGATGGTGGGAACACGATCAAGTTGCTCATTACTCCAACACCAATCTGTGTAGATAAATTATAGTTAATAATATAACCTCCGTTTCTGTATTAGTTAGTGAATATGATAACAGATAACAGCTCCCAAATGGCCAGCCAGATATTTCAACTAACATTTATCCAAATACTGATGAAATTCGTTAACTAATGTGTAATTTAGTTTCCAGACATGTTGAAGTAGATAGATAGAAAGATACAGATACAGATATTTAGTCAGTAAAAAAAAAATCATACAAGTTTACATTGATTGAACATGTAATCAAAACCAACGAATGTTTATTTCTAAATAAACATTTCATTGAAGTTATGATAAAAAGCAACAACAGAAAGGTTCAGGAGATTGGTCATCAACATGCTGTACTGTACTGTATTGTACTGTACCTGCTCTGGACTCAGGCTGAAGGGACCAATCTTAAGACCTCCTGTTCCGGGCTGTTCAGGAACTCGGTCGTACCACATGGCGTTGACCAACATGGAGAGGAACAAGAGAGCAAAACAAGAGGCCACTCGCTGACACCTGGGGATGAAGGAAACAATTTTTACCCTCACTTTTCAAATACATATCATTTCCACTATGACTAAAACATGTTCATAATATATAAAAATAAATAAATGAGGGAGGAGGAAGGGAATAAGGAAACTGATTGAAATATAAGACACTGAGAAGGGGGCGTAGAGAGAGAGAGAGAGAGAGAGAGAGAAGGGACCCACGGCAGGACATACTGTACTGTACATTAAGAATTAGCCATCATATAACTGCTACCCACAACAAACCATCTCTCATTGGCATAATATTTAACTTGTACATAAGCTTGAACTATTCTCTTAATTTAGTGGATGTTTTATAAGGATGGAAATAATGAGGATCACTACCACACACATACCCTACAGGCCTACAGTAGCTACAGAATGGCATGAGAGGCTTACAGTAGCTACAGAATGGCATGAGAGGCTTACAGTAGCTACAGAATGGCATGAGAATGTTTGTGGTGCTTTTGGATTCGAGTTATCTTCTGTCTTCAGCGTTTTATGGAGTTTTAACCTCGCTTGATTCACCCGATACAAAAGTGGGGAGGGATAAAGATAACAGACTGTGACGATAAGAAAACGTGTAAGACCTTGAGAAACGTGAGCGGGGAGGCCGGAGGAAGACGGAGAACCAGAGGTGACCATCAGCAATGTTCTTGTTACTAGTGTTCTGGAAGAGGTGCTGGAACTCCCTCTTCTGTGCTTTCCCGGCTACTGGAAGAATTCGGTCAATCTGCGGAGGAGGTGAACATTGTTAGTTATACAGTAATGGATACCTTCATTAGATAAGGCTGGGTAATTTGGTTATGTAGAACAATGATCAGATACAGTAGTCTAAGCTACCTTGATGAACCAACTACACAGTAACACTACTACTTTTAAATGGCCTCCAGCCTCCCCCAATAAACACACCTTCGCCGCCATTTTATTACCTTAAAATTATATACCCTAATACATAAGTAGCTCTCCTAGCTGTGTTGAGTTAGTTGAGCCGCATATCAATGCGGCATTCAGTGACTGTTGCCTCATTGTCAATATCTGCGGCTGTTGTTTACTTTGGGGCCGACTACTACTACTACTACTACTACTACTACTACTTATGACCTGGTGCATCTAAAAGACCATCAAACCACAGCAGTAAAACACTGAACCGCTCCACACTGAAGAACTAGATGTGAACCATCAAAACTAAGTGTAGAATTGTAATCAGCTGCATTAGCTAGTAAGAAACATCCAATGTCATTCATGAACCAAATACATTAATAACAATAACAATAATAATAATAATAAAACTAATACTAATACTAATACTAATAACTCACCTGACCGTCATCACTCTCCACAGCCAGCCACTTGTTAGCAATAAACTCGTACTTGTCGCCTGTCTGGACATCCCTGAACACGACATAGCTGAGGTACCAGGAGGCGTTGGGTCCCTTACCGCTGTTGTCATGCCAGACCCTGAGGAACTGTAGTGCTCCCAGAGGTCTGTGAAGGTGGCTATTATTAGTAGAATAAAATACGAGGATATTCTTAGTTTTGACTTACAGACGAGTATTTGTGTTACTATAATAGTGTGGTACTATTGAGTGTTTGTGTTACTATTGAGTATTTATTTTACTATTGAGTATTTGTTACTATTATTTGTGTTACTATAGGGAATTTGTGTTACTATTTCTAACCTACGAAAAGCCTCAACAGGAACATGATGTGGAATTAACTAACTCATCGACTTCCTTGTCCTGTGTTAAAAAAAAGATAAATTAAAACACTCTTAGTTATTGTGATGCCTCGCAAATAAAAGAGAGAGAGAGATCCAACATAGCCCACCTTGGAACAGCCATAACAAAGACATCCACATCAGCCTTGCGAAGAATTTTTCTCTTATCGTCTCCAAGTGTCCGAACATCTGTCTCATCATCGTCACCGGACACTATAAACTGCACGATGGAGTCACTCTGTGCGCCTTTGAGGTTCCCCGTAAAGACTAGGATTTCGTATAAGTATTTGTCTTCTACCTTATTGTCTGGCAGCGGGGCAGCACCGAGCTTAGGGGAGTGGGGGGGGGAGGGAATATTAATTGAGGGGGAAAATAATGATTAAATTATATTAGGTTATGTTATAGGTCAGGATAGGTTAGATAGATTCATGGTCAGGAGGTTAGATAGATTCATGGATGATAGAGAGTGGTAGTAACTCTCGACAAGAGCTGCCATGCACAGGCCAACCGGCCTATTGCAGACTCTTTATTTTCTTATGTTCTTATGTTCATCAGGTCAAAATAAGCTAAGGAGTCTAATCTCCATATGACCCTCATTACTAAACTGTTACTCACTGTCTAAATTATACCCGGGGTCACTTCTCGCTTGTTATTCATGGAGAGACTTTCTTACTGACTAACTAACCTTCTCTACGTCTTTCTTGTCTTTTACACGCGCCCACACGAGGAGAATGAGGAAGATGGAGAGGGAGATGATGAGGGTGAGGTAGATGGTCAGGTTGTCGCTGAATCCCATATTGGCGAACACGTAGTTGAAGTCGATAGTGTTGGGCATGACGAACATCCCCGACCCGAAGCTCGTCAGATGGCTACTGTCCAAATAAGTCAAGGTTTGGGTGGCTTTTGTCACCTGTGGGCAGTAAATAGGTTAGGTTAGTGTTAAATAATGTCAGGTTAAGTTGGGTTAGGTTAGTGTTATGGTGGTTAATCTTCAGGTGAAATAACCTGGGGAGGTTATTCATAATCGTTGGGATGACCGTTTCTGACGAGAAAGATATTTAGATAAATTATATAAAGATACATGCAGTCATTATTTCAAACACGATCACGTAGAATGTTTATCAGAAATCATATATAATGAATAATTGGCTGTTAAACTCGGGTAACAAATTCACGCTTTTGTAGGATGCATTTAATATATACTTATTATTACCCACAATAAGGCATACAAAGACAAATTACATATCACTAATACTACATTATGCAAAAAATAATATTTTAAAATATCAGAATCACACTGGAATATTACAGGCCGTCAGCAGAGGCGGAAAATATGACTGCGATAAAAAAAAATTTCCCGTTTCTGCTGACGGCTCGAATGGCCAAGCTCCCCAGTTTGTCTCACTCTTCCACCAACTTTCAGGGGCCTGTCTCACTCTTCCACCAACTTTCAGGGGCCTCTAGACACTCACAGTCATACCTCTAGACACTCACAGTACTACCTCTAGACACTCACAGTCATACCTCTAGACACTCACAGTCATGCCTCTAGACACTCACAGTCATACCTCTAGACACTCACAGTCATACCTCTAGACTCACAGTCATACCTCTAGACACTCACAGTCATGCCTCTAGACACTCACATTTAGACCTCCAGACTCCCAGTTCAGTGTGGTGAGGTTCATAAATGCCACGCTATTGACAGTGATGCGCAGCAGGAAGTCAGTTGTCATGTTTTTCACCACGTTCATTTTGACTTTTTTCTTGACGGGGTTGGCCATGTGGCTTATCTTGAAATTATCCTCAAACTCTCCAACACCCACGAAATATCGACCAATGCCGGCAAGATCTTTAGCTAGGATGAACACACTATATATACCTGTTGGAAAAAGTCATGTTTTAGGACTGGGTAGGAATATATTACTGTATCCCGATGTTACGGAAAATATTGTGATGATTGGCAACGTCTTTTGTAAATAATGCGAATGAACTGAATATAAGACGCGTAAGAGTATTTGAATTACATACTTTGACTTACCATCATTCAGTGTGAGGTCTTTTACAAAATAGAATCTCATATTATGTTTCAGAGTTGGCAAACGGGGCTTGTCTATCATCAGAAAGAGGCGGTTGGTGACATTATCTGGCAAAATTTCCAAGCTGATGGCGGAGTCACTCTGAAAAAGTGCATAAAAATGTCAAATGTTACGAAAATCAGAGAAAATTTATTGAAAAACACTAAAGAGGCGTAGTGTGCGTTTGTACTGAGGGAGGTGTCCTCAAACATATGGTATAACATGATTGTGGAATGAACTAAGAAGGAATGAAGTTAGTAGAGATTGGATAAAGGTTAGGTTAGGTGAGGTTAGGTTAAAGTAGTTATGCTTACCGTGGTAACGTTGAAGGTAGAATACATCACCGGTATGGTCTTTTTAGCAGATGCTTTAATGGCGTTCACCTTCGTCATTGCTGGCAGAGTAAAGTCACTCATTAGTTGTGGATTAATATAAGTCAATCAATTAATCAATCACAGTACTGTACCGTCATCACATCTGAGGGTTGGCGACCACAGTCCTCCACTCTAATCGTTCTCGGGCTGTTTTTACCAATCCTCTAAGGCAGGGGTCACCAAACTTTTTTCACAGTGGGCCGGATAACTGAAAGAATGATGAGCGCGGGCCGCATAATCATTCTGTTCAATTCTTGCAAGCCAGAACGAAAGCTCTGGTAACGTCAGAGCGTAGGCGGAGCTACCACGAGCCGGGGAAGGACTTGGGATCCGGCCCGCGGGCCGTAGTTTGGTGACCCCTGCTCTAAGGTTTGTATCTCTCTCAGGACCCAGTGTGTTTAATTTCGTTCACCCGTCCCAGTCTCCGCCTTCCCCTGGCCCTCATACCCTCAACTTTATCCATTAATATTACTGTTATTATTCCGTCATCTCTAATTTTATAACCAAAGTATCTCATTTTCTTTTTCTATAAATCTAAAGTATTTTTCTTGAGGTTTTTGCCAGTCTTGATAATTCTTCATTTGTTTTCCTGTTGGTGTAGTTCATTTTTAATATTCAACTACAACACCACATTTCTGGTGTCTGCTGAAAGTGTCCACGCTTCTGACCTATACAACAGTCATTGCCATTTAGTAGCCTTTCAGCAGCCATTTTCTCAAATTGAAGTTAATGTTCCTTTTCATTGGGTCTTTTAGGTTATTAAATGCTAACTTTGCTTGAATTATTCTTGTTTTCATTTCTTCCCTACATCTACCATCACAGCTAATGTTACTTCCCAAATACACAACATTTTCCACTTGTTTAAGTTCCCTGTTGTCTACCATAATTTATATTTTAGGATTTATTTCCAATTTGGAAATAAATAATCATTACTTTAGTCTTTACAAAATTAACTTTCAACCCACATTCTTCACCATTTCCCATTAATCTGTTAACAAACTCTTGTAACGCCTCTTCACTATCTGTGATAAGAGCAGTATCATCTGCATTGCGCTTATTTGATATTACTTTACCATTAACTTTCATTCCTTCATTGTTACATGTAACTTCTCTGAGTTATAATTTTGAATGTACAGTATATTATACAAAGTTGGAGATAGAACACAGCCTTGTCTTACCCCTTGCTTAACTTTGAACCAATTAGTAAGATAATTTTTTACTAATACTGTAGCCTCCTGTTGCCACGTAACACATTTTTTTAGCATTCTAATATCTCCTTCATTAATGCCTATTTATTCCAAGACATTTATAAGGATATTGTGTTTTACTCTATCAAAAGCATTTTCAAGATCAACAAAGTAGGTATACAAATTTATGTGGACCTCTTAAGCCCTTTCCTTCAAACTTCTCAAACCAAGTATACAGTACCGGAAACTTCTCGAGTTCCCTTCTAAATCCATTTTGATCTTCATATAACTCACTGGATATTCTAAATCTTATTCTACTTATAATTACCGACATAATAAGACTTTGAAGACACGACTTATTAAACTAAAATGGGTGCACTTTAAGACTTCTGGCTTTTTAGGTAATACAAGGCAAAAGAAATAACAGTTTTATCCCATTTAAAAGATAAGTGGAAGTAAAATATATACGTACTTTGACAGAATGAAAAAAGAGAAAAGTTGACCCAATAGAAGTATCTATCAATCATAGTGACACTCCACTTCCAGTCGATAATGAAAGGTTCTGTGCATCAATCAGTACCAAGGAAACACTGCAAACATTTTTCATCAAGTGGTTAACTGAGAGGCAGACTCAAGATATGGATTGTATGTCCATAGTTATATACCTTGGAGATTCTAGTGAAGATGACTTATAAATGTCTCAAAATGGTCTCCCAAAGTGTAGCAATCCAAACAATAAGCAAGACAGTTATAGTGATTCATGGTGTAGATCTGTTAGAAATAATGGGGTTGATTTTAGCTTTGTATCCAGCTTTTGGGTGTTATTCTCGTGAAAACTTGACAAATGTTTTCATACTTTGGTAAATTCTAGCCCCTCTCTGATGGAAATTCACTTCATAATGTCCTGCTACATCTTCCCCTGATCAAGTCCTTTAATATGATGAGCATATTTACTATATTCTGGCCATACATGGAGTGACATCTTTTGATTTCAATATTAACAAAACAGAGGCCAGATATGTGACCAAGATTGTTTTGTGTCCAAAGGAACCTTAAACAAGATCTGAGGTCAAAATGCGGGTACATCTCAGTGCACACGGGACCCTACCAGGTTCCATGCCTAATATTGTCGGTTCGAAAATACCGAAAACTGAAATGAGTAATTATTAAACTGATGTCCAAATATTCTCCAAGAAACACCTATGTTAACTACTTAAGTGTCTGTTATTGTGCGTAGATAATTGTGAATACACAGCCAGAGGTGTACTGTACCTGGTAGTGTTGTGTTGCCGTCTTCCCCATACGTCTTGGAAATAGTCACTTTAATTGTCTGGGTAGGAGGGAGGTCCTGGATCACCAGCACCTCCAAGTCACGCGAGTACAGTTCGTAGTCAATAACCTTCGTCCCTTTTGAAAGTTTATCCACTGTTTTCGGGAAGCTCTGTGGCCATGTAAGATAATAATAATAATTAATAATAATAATAATATATAATATATAATATATAAATAGTAAAAAGAAAAAAGAAATAATAAGCAGTAGCAGCAGCAGAAGTAATACTACTACTAGTAATAATAATAATAATAATAATGATAATAATGAAAGTTTATTTAGCCAGAAAAATAAGGATACCGAGTCGATAATAATAACAATATTAACATGGCTGAGCCAGTTGAAAACCTGAGCTCTCTCAATTAATGGCACCAGATATATACTGTACATTTATCTCAAGGAAGTATTATGTAACATTTAGTATCATCTGGAATAGTACACATAGCATAGTGGTAATAAGAATGTATCAGAATGACGCCACGATTATCACTTCGTTATTTATTTATTCATTTTACTTTTTACATTTATATTATCAGTATATACATATATTACAATGGAGAAGAGGTACTTTAATATGATGAGGGGAGAAGCAATACAACATGGGTTGTATTAAGGTGGAACAAGAAGACAGAAACTCCGTATCATGTCTTGACGGCAAATATATAATTACTGCAATCGTAATTTCTATCTATCAGCCTGACAATACATGATATATTATAATGGTTTTGGTGGTACATTCCACACCTTCGCTCCAGGATATTTTACGGAGGTCTGGGACTGAGAGGAGCACATGGGGGTGGGAGGGGGTGGTCTTAGTAGCTCTGGGTGCCTTAAGTTGTATCTCTAATTATTCCGGAACTGGAAATAATTATTGTCAATCAAGTGACTGACAGATTTATAAGCAAATAGGGGGGTAGCCGGTCCACACTAGGGGGGCAGCCCGGCCACACTAGGGTGCAGCCCGGCCACACTAGGGGGGCAGCCCGGCCACACTAGGGTGCAGCCCGGCCACACTAGGGGGGCAGCCCGGCCACACTATGGAGCAGCCCGGCCACACTAGGGTGCCAGACAGATCTTAACCAAATTCCCAACACAATCCTTCAGATCCAGAGTGGTGGTGGAAACCCAATGCTCAGAGGTGAAAATTGTTTACAAACTTATTTTTTTTTTAATTTTATTTTCATTGTACATGTACATTGATTAAAATACTCTTAGTTTTAATTTATATATGTAAAGCCCCGTAAACATTTCTTAGAATAGCATCCTTAATATAGCCTACTGTGTGAACACGAGATAAATTTACTCACATGCAGGATCACTGGCCACTCCCGAATGATAAATCCGAAAGGCATCTCCATTGAACAGTTGAGTTGAGGGCAAAAAGCGTTCTGCAGCCCCACAGAACTGCCTGTTATCCCAATGTCTAATTTAATCAAATCCTTCCTTCGTACTCTGTTTTAGATAAGGAGGAAGAAAGCATACAAAAGTAATTAATAAATAATTTTTTTTTTACTCAATTGAAATTATTACCAAATCCACATAGAAAATCCAGTCTTATTCTACTCATTCCAAGTGTCATTCTTGTCTCTGAACATGTCTGCCCCCCACACCAAAAAAAAAAAAAAATATTAACATTCCTGTGTTGGAGAAACACTTCTTCCTTGTATGCACAGAACAATATAAAGTTTTATCATTTCACTATGAAAATATAAAGATAAAAAAAAACATACAAGATCAGGTTATATTTGTGTTTAATGTAAGTACCTTTCTTATTTAAATAACAGTACTGTACGTCATAAGAAGCGTAGCCTCAAAACATGTCTCCTGAGGCTGATGAAGACATGCCCCCTTTGTTCCACACACTACAGGAGAAGAGAGTCATTCAGTGTGCACCAACAAGACTCTGAGAGGGTAAACAACAGTCAGGACTTACACGCCCATTTTTATGTAGACGCCATTGGATGTTTGGAACTCGTGAGTTTCCCCCACCACGTAACCTCCCATCATCTTCATCGAAACATTGTGTAAGACTTTATCTGAGTCTGGAACCTGGAAAGAAAAGACAGAATAACGAATGGCACCTTGTATAGCTTATTCATGACGGGCTCTTTATAACTCTACCTGTACAGTACATCCCAGGACAGTATTCCACCTAACATGACAGACACTGTATAGAAAATAAGGCAGTGCAAGAAGCTAATGACCTGACCAGGGGAGAAGAGGATAAAATGTTTAGGATATGTAACTTTTTTTTATAAAACTTCAACACAACTATCAAGGGACTCTTATAGGCTCTAATGAACCAAATATCTTGTAATAAAAGTGTGTGTTTTAACTTAATTCTGCCAGTTAGGTTAGGTTAGCGTTAACTTAGCTTAGGTTAGGTTTACATTAGGTTAGAGTTAAGGTTATAGGTTTGAAGTTGTTACTCCTATGGTGAAACAGACTTCGGGGGTACTAATATTAAGTTGAGTTTTTTGTATTTATTTTTCTTTATTTTACATACCATTTTCACAGCTGTTTCCCGCGTGGTGTCCGTGATGTGACATTTAGCAGCAACATCGGGGTCAGCTTCTTGTACCATGTCCACTGTCGGTTAGGTTAGATTAGCTGGGTGTTCTGCGTAACTCTTATATAACGATGAATTTAGCTTAATGTAGCGCTTACCTTTCAATTGATTTAACTCTTACTTCCGCTTACAGACTCTCAATTGACCTAACTCATATAAATATAATTTCAGTCAACAAAATTCTCACATCAGATTAATTCTCATCTGTCTTTAAAAACACAACATAAAAATAGTGATAAAGAAGATAGAGATAAACAAAAAATATGAGACACAAGTAAACAAGGAATAGAGAGAGAAAGAAGGAGTAAGGGAAGATGAGAGGGATGAAAGGATAATAAAAGAGACTGATGAAAGAGTGTAAAAAAACAAATAAAAAATAAATGAAAGATGAGGGAAAATTGTCACAAGGGTTTAGAAGAAATAAATTTACAGAGTGGTATTGTTTGTTTATACTTACAACCAGTAACTTCAGAATTATAATCAAAGCTATCCTTATCTTTGAAATCAGAGGGCACGGCGAAACACCCTTCCTCTGGTTTACTACCGAACGTTGCTTGATTCTGTGTGAGTGCGTGAGAGAGAAATACTGTCTATTAATAATCTTACCTTTGTTATCTTCCACAAATGATATTACGTGAATAAGGACAAAAAATCAATGAAATCTACTGAATAACCTCTTCAGAACAATGACTTAACTTCTTCAGTATGATGACTTAACCCCCTTAGTTGTACTTGTCAACAGTGTGTAAGAGAGAACTACCTGACTGACAACAGACAATCATAGTTACTAAGATAAATAAGTAAGAGGTAGAGACGTAACACATTACAAGCTGAAGTTAACAATATGCTTCAAGACAACAATATTTTACATCTTACCTTCCCCATGGCCATGTTGTTGCCTGCAATAAGGGTCACCAGCTGTACGAGGTCATTTGGTTCTGGTACATCTAACTCCATAATACTGCTGATCGCATCCTTCACGTGAAAAAAGGAAATACCATCAGTACTTTTTATCACTCAATGTTGTTAAGAAATATATTATTTACTCCCTCAGGAAATGACCTAAAAAGTCTTCCTTGTGTCATGACTGGAGTGGCTGACCCTCCTCACTCATATCCAAATCACTAGGGGTCATTATGAGTGCATATGGTCATACATGAAGTCTAATGACATATAATATAGCCAATAAAACTGTTATTGTGTGGAAACCTGCTGTCTATTGAGGTATAACAAACACACACATACAGTATGGCCACGAGGTATCAACAGCAACAGACTCTTCCTGAAGCTGCCTCAGGAGACTTGTAGTATACAGTACTGGGTGGTGTTACTAACAACACCTTGAGATAACAACCATCGTGTTCACTCCTGTTACTACACAACACACCCCAGTAGTACCCCCAACAGCCAGTAATATTTAGTTATTTACATCCCCCCCCCCCAGACAAAACCAGAAAGGCAAACAGAAATAAGAAATAGCAATAAATATTACCTCTGACACATCTAAGACTTTTTCGCGAGCTTTAGTGTCTATGGTCTGGAGAGTATACTGCGTCTGCAGCGAGTAGTCCAAGATGGATGACATGATCCCTGCAGCAATGTTGACAGAGGCCAGAGTGTCGTAGTTAGTGTTCTCTTTTATGGCCGCCAGAGCTACGTTGTTTGCTTCTGCGATTTTTATGATTCGAGCATTCAATTCATCCTCAGGTAAACTTTCATCTAGAGACAGCCACGGTGCCTAAGTAAGTGAAGACATGGCTAATGGGGGGAGTCAGGCTAGGTGAGGTGAGGGTAGGTTAGATCATGATAAACACAGTACAGGACAACTTGCTCAGTTAATTTAGCTCATTACTAATATAATGGTTGGCCCTTAATCTATGATGGTCCATTATTAGTCACCATTCATAGTCCTTCACAATAAACTACAGCTGACCTATACATTATTATCACAATTCAGATAAAACTTCCGACTAACTTGTTTCTCTCTTACAAGCCTCTGCTGTATTATTTCACGTAACTACAACAATAACAATAATAATAACAATAATAATAATAATAATGAATAATATTTACAATGTTTTAGAAAATATAAACAGTACATTAAGCAAGCAGGTAACCAAGTATTAATCAAGAGGTATACTACAGGTAAGTCTTTTTGCCATTACAAGTATTAAAAAAAAACAAGTCAAGAAAGATCCATTTCACGCTGCATAAAAACAACCAAAACGAAAAAAAAAAACCAGGATTAATTGTCTCACCTCCTGAATAACTTTGGACTGAGCATAGAGCACCATGTTCAGCAGCTGTACATCGCCAGCACCTTGTAGCTCTGCGATGTAGGCCTCGATAGCTGCCTGGTCAACTTGGTCTTCATTAGGCATTAATACCTTGGAGAGAGAGAGACCGGGGTTAAGTTTATGTAAGCTGCAGAGAATTTATTAAGTGACATTGTTAGGTTAGGTTAGTTGAGGTTAGATTAAGCAAGGTTTGGGTACGTGCAGTTAGGTTTGGTTAAGAAAGGTTAAGTTAAATTAGGTTAGGTTAGTTTGGTTATAGGTTAAGCAAAGTTCAGTTAGGATAGGTTAAGTTAGGATAGGTTAAGTTAGGTTAGGTTCAGTTAAGCAAGGCTAAGTTAGGTTAGATTAAGTGAGGTCAGGTTAAGCAAGGTTAGGTTAAGTAAAGTAAGGTTAGATTAAGTTAAGGAAGATTAGGTCAAGCTATGCACCTCGAGATCGGCAACGTTGACGACGGTGTAGGCGCCCCACTCATCATACACCTTCACCTCCACCAGCAGTTTACCAGGCGGGAGTACCATGGGCTCCTGCTGAGGGGTGATGGGGAAGTGTTTCATCTCCAGTACTGTGGATCTCGTGCCAAGTTCGTTGATTACTGCAACAAATGTGTCAACATGAATTGCATGTTTATGTGATGTGTTTACAAGATGAATAAATATACACACATTACCAGGTCGTTCACATTAAGCGGCTCGGCATATCCGACCCCACCACTTATCACCCAGCCCTCAAAAAAAAATGTCTGTCGTGAGTTATTTTCATTCCATAGTCCTGACAATAGAGCTTCTCCTATTTTTACAATTAATGCATCATTGTCCATCATTAGTAAAAAAAATGTGTAACCACTCTAAAAATTAAATCTATTTGACATTTTTTCTTTTATAATTTTAATAAGGTCACCATAAATTATTACCTTTAAACTTACAGATTGTTACAATGTAGTTACTTCTCCTGGCGAACCACTGGGGGACACTTACCTTCGATAAAACATAATATTATACTCCTCCCTCATGTTCAACCAGTGTTTGTTCCCGTATATCGCTTGCCACACAGCAGACGAACTTGTTGTTGATATTTTAAATTTAGAAGTCACTGAACCATCTACCTGGCCTAGGGAGTCACCATTCTTCCTTGATCATAAGAAAGGAAATAAGATGAGACCTGTGGTTGATTAGCGCCTGTCTCTTCGGAGGCGTGGGCTCGAATCCCTCCGCCCCCACCACTTGTAAGACATAGAAGATGGTGTAATATAACTGGTCGTATACTGTAGAGTTTATATAACTGTCTGGTAGATTCTCTAGATGCTGTTCTCTTATTTCCTCTTGTCGATACCTCCTTATATCCCATATCTTTGGGAAGTGTGCAGGGGAAAGTCAAAGATATGGTTTAAGAAAATCGGAACTCTTTTGGGAATTGATCATATGCAGGGTCACAAGGAGGACGTCTACCCGATAGTCACGATTCGCCGTTCAAGTCCCTTCCTCCCGTCAATCCATCGTTTAGGAAATCCAAGATCGGAAATATGATCGGGGTATGTGACTACGACTAGCCAACTAACCTAAACTGACTTAATTTAACCTTCTCGTTAAAGTGGGAAGACAAAACTAGCATAAAAATGAATGACCATCCACGTATTGTAAGGTGACACATTGCCCCATCTAATGTTGTCATGTTATCAACGCCTCAAATTAGATCTAAAGTAAAAAATTGTCGAGTTTGTTGATCTACCATTTCAAAATAATGACACTGTAATATACTTCAAAACATAGACAGTATACATAATTAACTTACGATTAACAACGTAGTGAGTGACACCAATGTCCTCTGGGTCTGTCCATTCATCACAGACTAGGGTATATGTGTCAACGAGGGCAAGGCGTGTGGGTGGCTCGATAACCTGACAATAACCGTTCTCTGGTCGCTTATTGACCTTCATGAAGAATGAGGCAAAACCTGAAACAGTTACAGGAAATAAGACCCAAAAATTACAATGAGAAAGATATTGACAGTACAGGTGTAAGAGTGTGGGTTATGGCAATACAGGTGAGGACTTAATGTTGTGGGTAACATTACACTGGACCTGATCATCTCCTCAAACAGTGGTCCCTCAGGCAGGTTCTTGGGTCACAATACATGATACCGTGTGAGCCACTATTGTACGATAATTTATGATGTTTTTGTGTGACATTTTACTATATGGTATTTGTATAATAATTCCAGAAGAGCTATAGTATTTTTAGTGTTGCTTTGTTCCTTATACATTACCCATTCTCTTACCCTAGGCCCCAAGGTAAAGAGGGGGGGGGGGGGTAGTATAATGGTAAATCCAATGCCTGTAATGAATTGGTTTAAATTCTAATGGCTACACAATATTTACAAAACATTACATTATGAAGCTCCAGTTGGGTGTTGCTTATCACCAGAAACTATCATTTAAAATATGTAAGGGGCGTGTTTGTTCCCTGACCTGGAGAGTTGACGTGGTAGTCTCAGAAGTCAAAGTAAGAAAATTTTTTCCCATTTCAAATATGTTTTAGCGGTATAGTTTCTAAGAGCTCCTGGAATGTGTCAACTGACCTTTCCTGTTGAAAGAGTTGACACCAGAGAGGGACAAATGAAAATCTGTCAAGTCTGGATTGTCATCGAAGAACTGAGTGCTGAAGGAGACCTCGTTATTATCAAAACCTGTTGAATAGATGACATTGTTTAATGAGCAAGAACGAGTTTACTGGTAGTAAGTCAAGACAAAAATATTTCAGCTGCTGTACTGAGAATACAGTAATTCATATAAGACTCTGTAAAGAAAATTTAAACCAATGTTTCAATAATAGTCTGAAAGTGAGACTCCTGTGACCCATCTTTGTATCTTCCGCTAAATTTGCTGAGCAGCAAATAAAATATACAACACTTTATATTACCAAGTGGAAAATAGTCTGTGTTTTGGGGGAAGAGATTGCCGTCGACATCTGTAGCTGCCCAGTCGTAGTCGAGAGGCCCATCACAGGCTTCCAGACATTCAGCAATAATGGCCATGCGACTGGAAGGATTCATGTACACTCCATCTCCAAAAGGTTTACACAGTGCTGGTGATGCACATCTGAGAAGACAAAGATTCAAGCCATCATAAATAAGATACTGATGATTTATATCTGCATGTTGGAGATAAATATGGACGGCAAGACTTGTTTTATATACTTCAAGTTAGTTAGAGAGACCAGCAAGAGTGTACATATATTTGTACTTGTTGTATAATTAGTCTTTCCTTGTTAATACCACAATCGTCATACACCATTTTCACTTTATCCCCTGTAATAATAAAGATAAATGATTTTAACTCAGCTTGAAGAATAAACCAAGAAACAGTACGACTAAGTATTACAAACAGCAACACGAGACATAAACACTAAGACTGTCAATGATAACACGAGACATAAACACTAAGACTGTCAATGATAACACGAGACATAAATACTAAGACTGTCAATGATAACACGAGACATAAACACTAAGACTGTCAATGATAACACGAGACATAAACACTAAGACTGTCAATGATAACACGAGACATAAACACTAAGACTGTCAATGATAACACGAAACATAAACACTAAGACTGTCAATGATAACACGAGACATAAACACTAAGACTGTCAATGATAACACGAGACATAAACACTAAGACTGTCAATGATAACACGAGACATAAATACTAAGACTGTCAATGATAACACGAGACATAAACACTAAGACTGTCAATGATAACACGAGACATAAACACTAAGAGCACAGATAAACTAAACTTTAACCAGATGCCAATGAAGATGTTCGGTGTTCCCCTCATTGCCATAAATAACAAGAAAGAGTCCATGTACTCTTTTCCCCTCTTTGAATCATGCTGAGGACAACTGGTGATAATACTAACTGGTGATAATAGTAATGAAGGATGCGTACAGACCTCATAGTCAGGACAGGAGCCACGTAATCTACAATGTGCACTTGGCCAATCACAGCCTCAGTGCGGACATCCTTGGAGACAGTCGCTTGGAACTCGTACACCTGATTAATGGCCACGAACTCATCACCTGCTATCAACAACTCTGTCCCAGCGTAATCAAGCAGACCTGAGAAAGTAAGAAAATGAAGGATAACCGCATCATACGGGATATACAGAATATAGGAACATACAGGTAGACGGTAAATATCAAGGTCACATTATAACTATATCAAGGCCACAGTTTTTTGACACGACGCTTAAGCAGAAGAGTACAGTACAAAGTTATGGGTGTAGTACTGACCTGGCCCATGACCAAAGCAACCACCACCACCTGCGACTGGTGACATCAGCTTTGCTGTGGTGTCAGAAGCAGGCCAAGCCTCCTCTATCTTCCGACACCGCCACTCTACTTTGAAATTCTGAAAATAGAATAAATATTATTTTTATTGGTGGCTCTCCTTGGTGGAATTGCCTTACTGATTATCATTGTCTGTCTACCTGCACTGTCTAAGTATACTGTTTGTATACCTGCACTGTCTAGGTAGTACAATATATACCTGAATCATCTAAGAGGTGGATATTGTCTGCCTGCCTCCTTTATGGTGATTGTATATTTGAAATGTTTATATACTGTAAATGTTTAAATGTGTATTGTATCCGCATCAATATAAATTGTTTGACGATTTTACTACAAATATCAGTTGATCTTTCTATCATTCTACGAAGAGATTCAAGCTTGCAGTATATTATGAGGACTTGTTTATTTTGGTCCCAGTCTAACCCAACCATTAAGATTAGATGCCATGAAGGATAGATACCATGAGGATTAGATACCTGTTTTAGCGGTGCCAACTGTTTTAGTGGTGCCAACTGTTTTAGTGGTGCCAACTGTTTTAGTGGTGCCAACTGTTTTAGTGGTGCCAACTGTTTTAGTGGTGCCAACTGTTTTAGTGGTGCCAACTGTTTTAACGGTGCCAGTTGTTTTAGTGGTGCCATTAATCTTTTTCAACAATACGTTTAAAGTTTCAAGCTTCTTACTGACATAAGAGAAAGTAACGATTATACCGAGAGTCAATTATGTTTATCTTAAATTGTCTCACTAACTGGGACTAAAATGGACATTGATCTTGGAGGAATAAAAATATATATTTCTGTATTGTTTTAAAATATTTCACTTAAAAAATCCAAACATGAAGACTAAAGAACTGGGGTGGTGGAGAGACGATGAACTTTTCCACACCATTGAACAAAATTTTTTAAACGGGCACAAGCGTAAGGAGTATCAGGTATAGTAACTATTATAGGGAGTGAGAAGTCGAGTTATGTAGTCGAAGGAACGACTAACTGTTATGGTCGAGGCACGATGGGGTGAGTACGGTATGACTGGCCCTATTATAAAAGTTAATATTGTACTCTACCTTATTATCAGGATCATCAGGGTCTATAGAGAGAGTACCCGGTTGAAGGAGGAGGTCCTGAGTCACCCCGCGGATGACTTTACTCACAGCATTCTCCATCAGTATGGGTATTAGAGGCGTCTGGCCAATTTCAAAATATGTCATCGTTCGTTTCTGGAATGTCCAACCTGGAGGTATTGCGTCATCTGAAATGAAAATAATCCCAAATAGAAAGTAAATCAAAGATCAAGTCATACGGTATATGCAGTGAATTTAGTTAACCTTCTTTCATCACTTGTTAGCTTACTGGTGCTCTGTGGTACAATGTTGGCTAATACTGGATAAGAATACTCTTTTTTTCAGGTCTTTATATATACCTCTTACATAGGGACGGCAGTCTTATATACACAGGTCAACCGGCCGTTAAACTGAATTTCAGAGACTCCCTCTTCGTAGGACAGGTGTACCCCAAGTTTTAGTCCAAGTTTACTGCTAGTGGGCGTAAGGACTAAGACAGTGGAACTCACCTAAGACAAGTGAGTGAAGTAGTGGTTTTCTAGATCCGGTATTTTATATGGTACAAAATTTTGGGCATAACGGTAAAATATTGTCAAAAAAACATCGGTAGTTAGGATGAATATACAGAGTTCGTCAAAGGTTTTGTTAAGTGGCAGCTAGTAGAAATTTGGTCAGCACTCTGAGGTATAATGCTCAAGGCTGTGTGGTTGACCCAGATAGGCCAGTCGTCAGGGGTTTAACTATTCATCCCACCGCTTGTTGCTTCACTAGGCAGGGGGCTCAGGGGTTGTTTCTCTTATAGTACTTATTTCACATAGATATGATGTACCAGACTACATATAGTACTTAACCCACATACCAGGCTACATACAGCACTAACCCCACATAACGAGCCATATAAAATACTTACCCCACATAGTGATGGTGTACCAGGCCACATACATGTTGTAGTCCAGGTGTAACTTAGGTATTGATAGATGTGCCTTGTTCCAGGAGGGGATGACGTCCATGGTTGGTATGTACGCCTCTAAGTCTCCCGTCCCGTTTGCTCTGTACAGCTGCCAACGTTTTCTGTGGCAGAAGAAACACTCACGATAACAACTCCTGGTAGATCCACTGTTTGGGATTTTAGAACTATAATAACTATCATTTCTTCACAATAATTAAACTAGTGTCCTTTGAGAGGTTACCACTCTTATACAGTAACTAGTATGTGGTGGTCTTTATGAGGTCACCAGTCTTAAACATAGTATGTGGTGGTCGTTATGAGGTCACCAGTCTTAAACATAGTATGTGGTGGTATTTGAAGAGATACCAATAAATCTCTGCTTCTCACTTAGTGGTGCTGGTGAGGTCACAATCCAAGGAGGCGAGTGTGTAAATGTTGGCTGCCTTGCTCTTAACGAAGGACAGGGGCGTCTCGTGGCTGATGGAACCTTGTATAATGGATACAATTGGTGGTTTACACTTGATGTCCGTCACAACGGTCATGAGGCGATGTGAGCAGAAACTGAGATCGTTGAATGCATAGATAGAGACATTGAACAGGGAACGCCACCTGGTGAAAATAAAGACAGGTTTAAATGTGGTGAAAATAAGGTATTGTACATACGAGACAGGTTTAAATATGAAATTAAAATGGTAGAGAAATATGATAGACATTATTGTCATGCATTAAAAACTTCTATTCAACAGTTTTATGTTTACATAGAACTTCCAAGGAATATCTAGTGAAATATGTAAGATGTTAACTAGAAATTCCTTTCATGAACAAATTACTGTAGTTTGTTCCCAGTGAATTCAAGTATCAGAAAAATCAAAGTTAATAATTTTTTAGATACTGTATCAGGTATGGAGAGTACAGCCCAATATATATATATATATATATATATATATATATATATATATATATATATATATATATATATATATATATATATATATATATATATATATATATATATATATATATATATATATATATATAAGTTAGGTTAGGTTAGGGTTGGACTAAAACTGGCTAGGTTAGGTTAGGGTTGCACTAAAACTAGTTAGGGCAGATCAAACTAAGATGGGGGTAGGATTAATTAAGTAAAAATCAGATAAGTTGAGTTAGATTATGACTTTTATGGGTAAGTGGAAATAAGTTATGATAGGTTACTTACGTAAAGGTGTGTGATATATTCATGATCATGTCAAGGAAAGGATCTTCATGGTAGGTGGCGTCGGGGTATTTACCCTGACAGGTGATGTTCTCGCCCCACGTGTCGACCAGAGAGAGGTCGGTGTCACCCCAGTGAATTACGAGACACGTCCCTGCTCCCACACTCTCATAACTCACCATGAACTTCTTCTCCTCAAACTGAAAGGCATCAACTAGTTAAAGAAAGTGGTAGGTAAGAAACAGTGTTTATGTGTATTAGTGAGGACAACGTGATGTGTATGGCCCCTGGAGGACACACACACACACACACACACACACACACACACACACACACACACGCATTGTATAACTACACTGTTTATGTTCACTGTATACTGTAATAACATTGTTTTCCATAAATGCTGAATGAATGTAGACGTGTATGATTATTTTTATATCGATCGACATACTGTATTATCAAGGTGTGGTAATGGTGTAGTAGGAATTATTATGAATAATAAAAAAAAGTGACAAAGTTTACAATATATCCTTAGTTGAAGATTATTGTGTAGTAAAAGATTTATTAGAAACAGCATGAGTAGAAGAGGAACACATTACCTGATCCACGACGTCTGAGAAGTCATCAATCATACAGTTCCTCACTTGCCCGACGATCTCTATAAAGAGCCTCACTGGGACGCTCTGGAAGACGTTTATGGCGTACACCGTCATGTTAACAAACGTTTCCTGGAATGTATATAAGACGAGAAGAGTAACTTTATTGTCAACAAACAAATAAAGTAAGTGAAATTATATACCTTTTTATTGAGCTTTGAGAACTTTCCGCAAAAAAAAAAATATATATATATATTATTGGGACATTAACAGTGGATAGCCTATATAGTAACAGATAGAACGGTTTAACATAGAATACTAATAACGATTACCACTAGAAATGCAACAAATAATATCAATCTATCTTCAAAGTAACATAACAAATATATATGACAATAATGCAAACTTAACGACGTCATACTCACGTAATCAATGTGGAATTTGAAAGGGATTTCTATTGGGTTAAACATATCAATGACGTCGAATGTAAACATCTCTAGAGTGGACGTGTCATTATACGCCACATACTGACTCACAGTCCCTGCAAGGAGGAAAAACAAGTACACATATCAATAGAAATGTCTTAACACCTCCACTACTCTTGTCTGGAATGGAATTTAGGGTAAAGAAACCTCAAACAAACTATGTGGAATAATAAACAGAGGAGGAGGTTATTAGAAGACAAGAGTAGGTAGTGTGAAGGAAGGTAGCACAACACATACTAATACTTCATACTGTTTTATCTATGTCAATATATTAATTTCTCTTCTGATGTACACCAAGTGGGTCAAGGTCCACACTAACCTCAAAGAAAGAGGAGAAACAAGAACAAGAAATGCTGAAGAAATGAGAGAATGACAAAACCATGATACCAAGTAGAAACTGTACACACACGCACACACACACACACACACAGACACACACACACACACACACACATATGAATTTTACGTCCACTCGTTTTATATACACGTCTAACAGATGTATAATGAGGAATCTGTAGCGTGAAGACCAATGAACAAAGATAATGTACACGTATTGATGATACTCAGATGGTCTCACCTGAAACTCTGATGTTGGTTACTATGTAGAGAAAACAGTTTGTGATGGTGGTTGGAGGAAAGAGGTGTTACTGGTTGGGGAGAGAGAGAGAGAGAGAGAGGGGGGTAGAAGAGGAGAGAGGAAGGAGAGTGCTGCGAGGGAGGGGAGACGAGAGAGGGAGGGCGGCCAAAGGATGGAAGTGTGGTGACAAAGGAGACACAAGCGAATTTTGGGGGTTAAACTGTTGACACGTGTTTTCATGTTAATAATGGGTTACGAGGATGGCCAGCTGTAGGGCCACAACACAGCAACAACAACACCCTAAGTTAACAAGTTGCATGACCCAGTGTCAAGAAAATGGAGTTTTCAATCATTACACGCTGGAAATGAAGGAAGAAGATTTCATTCATAACAACCAGGCACAGAAAGAAGACGTTTTCATTCCTCACAAGCTGGTAGTGGACTAACCTTGTGCCATCACTGGGAAAAAAGTTAAATTCTTGTCCAATGGATACTGGTTCTTATATTTGCCGAAGCCGTCTCGAGGAGTTGTCGACGTCTCACTCGGGAAATATTTAACGTATACCTCGAAGTTGATAATTTCCTCCACGATAAGAATCTGTGGAATAATTATATATATGTAGTGAGTTATAGATCATTACACTCCGCGCGGTGTTAGTTTGGTGTTCACCCTATCATGTCCACGAGGGGGGAACAGTATTGCCACATCTCATCAGGAATAGTAGGAACTCCGGCTTATTTCACCTAATAGGGTTAGGTTAGGTTTGGTTAGTTTAGCTTAGGTTAGGTTTGGTTAGTTTAGTTTAGGTTAGGTTGGATTACGCTATGATTATGTTAATTAAAGCTGACAGTGGCAGGGTAGAGTGAGTAATGACGTGTTAACGCTATAATACCAATACCTCACTGAAACTTGAAATTACTGTATATGAAAAGAAATTCGCTGTGTTGAAAACGGAACTACCAACCTGACAAGAGACATTGTATCCTGAGACGACATTGTAGATATAGACGGAGATATTGTAGATGCCGTGATTTGTGTAGTTGTGTTTCAAGATGGGTTGTTTGTCCCCAGAATGTTCGAAAGGTAAGGTCTGTGTTATGCCGTCTCCCCACTCTACGTATGCTGAGGCGTTTGTTGGGAAATTAGCCAAGGTGTCTGAATTGATGAAGATGATTTCACCAACTACATTCAGAAAAAGAAGAGCGTTAGTTTATTACACACAATTATCTCAACAATGAAAATAACATAACTATTTCAATAATGAGTATTAATTAATTGCACATAAACATGAAGTATTTCAATTACAAGTGTTAGTGTATTGCATAACGCTCCTCAACATGAGTATTAGAATATTACATATAAATACCCTGTACTGTACTGTACTGTGTTTCAATAGTGAGCATCAGCTAGGAGTACAGGCAGATAAATACATAACTAATAACTTAGGTACAGAGACGCTCGGAGAGTTTCCAATTAGGCCTAGAATTAAAGATTCAAGACTGAACAATTGCAGGAAAATAACAAATAAATTTTCTAGGATTCATAAAAAAAACCACATAGAAATGTTCTGCTATGACTCACGCTGGGACGGGATCATGAAACCAACAGGATGATTTGGAGCCACAGTCCAGGTGGGCAGCACCGGGTGTTGGACGTACAGGATAGCCGTGTTTGATACTGGCCCTGTTAGATCATTGTGCTGATTGGCCGCGTACACTGTGATGATGTACACGAAGTCATCGGCCATCTGAAGCACCTCTGTTTTGTTGTGGGGTGCAAGGCCAAGTGGGTAGTCCGCTGCAGGTACACAAGACAATTTTTATATAGTAAAACATTATTAGGCTGAGCATAACACATCACAAGACCCCGGCATAACACATCACACATCACAAGATCCCAGCATAACACATCACACATCACAAGACCCCAGCATAACACATCATACATCACAAGATCCCAGCATAACACATCACACATCACAAGATCCCGGCATAACACATCACACATCACAAAACCCCAGCACCTCTCACACACGCACGCACGCAAGACCCCAACACACACACACACACACACACAAGACCCCACCATATACATCCCCATGTGTGTTTCAATAAACCATTCAGTTTACATGCGTCAAGTTAATCATGTCACTTACTTAAATCAACAAAGGTATTATTGAGGCCAATGGGTGGATCATATGCCAAGGTAAAGGTAGTCGGCCCCGCCACGCTGAACACGAATATGAAGTCAGCGTCTGTATTGGACCTGCGAAGATAAATACTCATACAACGGGACGATGATAGACAAATAGATAGATGTTCTAGGTCAGCAAGATAGATAGACAAATAGACAGACAGAACTTTGTGATCTATCAGCCATATTTTCCTTAGGTACATTAGGTCAGGTTAGGTTACATTAAGATAAAGATAAATTAGGTTAGGAGTAAGTTAGGTTAAGTCAGGTTGAATTATATAACATTAAGTAATCGTGCGCTGCTACATCACCATCCAAGCTACTGACTTACCTGATGTAGTAAGGCTCAACGTAGTTTACAGTGGTGTTGAAGAGGTCAGTCTCTATCTGTGATATTACCAGCGCTATGTCAGTGATGTTTCGTTCACAAGAGGTGTGGTTAGCCAGAGCAGCGGCGGTGGCGTCCTGCAACATGTGAGGCAATGGGATGACTTATTTAAGATCCTTATTACGAGTGAGGCAAGAGTCAAGCGTTTATATTATGACCATTGAGATGAGTCTTAAATAATGTGATTAACCCTAAGGCCTAACCTAGCCTAAATTAATCTATGCTAACTTAACCTAACCTAAGCAATACTAATCTAACCTAACCTAGCCAAAGCTATACTAATCTAAACTAATCTAGTCTAAAGAAACATACTGTAATACTGACGTCTACAACATAATACTGACGTCATCTACAACATAATACTGACATCATCTACAACATAATACTGACATCATCTACAACATAATACTGACATCATCTACAACATAATACTGACATCATCTACAACATAATACTGACATCATCTACAACAAAATACTGACATCATCTACAACATAATACTGACATCATCTACAACATAATACTGACATCATCTACAACATAATACTGACGTCATCTACAACATAATACTGACATCATCTACAACATAATACTGACATCATCTACAACATAATACTCACATCATCTACAACATCGAGGGTAACATCTACATTAATAGTGGTACAGATATGAGCTAACTGTATGGGCATCTTCTCCTTAACGACGGCAGCTACGTAGTGATGGGAGGTCGTGGGCACACCGTCGACCACGTCTCCCCACTGTCTCTCCACGGGGCTGTGAAGGAGAGGCTGATGTGTTGGTGGTCACAGTTCAACACACTACATACACTACACATACAGTACATACACATACAGTACATACATACACTACACATACAGTACATACATACACTACACATACAGTACATACATACACTACACATACAGTACATACATACAGTACACATACACTTACCACATAGGTATATTTTTTATTCATCATAAATGTGGGAGAAAATGTGTGTGTGTGTGTGTGTGTGTGTGTGTGTGTGTATTTCTTCTTGTTCCTGACCATCCTATGTTAAGCAGAAAAAAGTCAAATAGAGTGTGAATTATTTGCTTACACCTGGAGACAGTTTAGTAGTGGACCTATGGCCTAAAGCTCTGCCCACTATTGACCTTCTCAGCAACTATTATAATTGATCACAAATGACTGGTCGTTGTGAGGTGTGCTGGGTTGGGACTCACGTGACAGACAACAATGAAACAATGGCTTTATAATCTTTAACGGGTGCCAGTAGTGTGTAAATGGGAGGAGCTCAGATGATAGTAAGTGAATTTCCTGTGTATATTTTGTTGGATGGAAATACCTTTTGCCAACTGGTCCAGTGGCAGAGATAGTATCACCAGGCAGGAGGTCAACAGGAGCAGCCAGCAGTTCACGATAGAAACCTGGCTCTACGAAGGTCATTGTGACGGAAGCACCTGGCACAAACGCCCATGTTGCCGGTGCTGGCAAACAACAGAAAAAAACAGATCATCGATAAAAATAAAAGCATTAAATGGTTTATAACAAGGAATTAGTCCCGGATGTTTATGGTGGAAGTTGAAGCCACACAGCTGTTGTAATGATGGCAAAGTTCTCAGTATGAAGGACCTGCCAGTGTCACCTTGTTCAGGACAAATAAAGTCATTACCGTTCCCTTCTCCATGTACTGTACCGTCAGTCAGAAGGTGACACAGTGACTATGTTAAACAGCTGCGGGTTTAATGAGAATTGTGACCATCCAAATAGCAATCAGTCGTCGTGGTAACCAGCTCTTGCCACATATGAACCCATGTGAAGCAGTATGAACCCGAGCAGCCCCCGGGTCAGTCCGTAGCTGGCAGTCTTAAAGAATGGTAGCAGCTAATCAGTTCTCTCCTGCTCTGTATTTCTTCTAACATAAAACACTTTAGGGGACATGTTATCTAGCCTTACTGTAGATCTGGGATGCAACAGGTAGATAGATACAGTAATCTCCTCCCCTAAGAGTCACTGATTCAAGTAACGTATAGACTAGTCGAGTGTGGCGCCAACACAGCCGTAGTACCTCACTGTCCCACCTGTGTCTCATCTGGGTAAGGGAAAGGTAATGGGTTTCTCTCAGGTGTTAACAGGTTACTTCAGGCTGACACTAGGAGGTCCTGCCTCACGCATTATAACACCTGTCCAATATAATGTTATAGGTCTTGTTCATTATGATGTTATAGGTCCTGTCCAGTGTTATAATACCTGTCCAGTACAGTATTACAAGACCTGTCCAGTCCAGTATTATAAGACCTGTCCAGTGTTATAAGACCTATTTGACTTCAGATAAATGACAGAAAAACCTCCATCTTGCATTAAACAACTGAAGCATAAATATAAAGAAAAATACTGTACACTGACCTCTTCATTCTAGTTACTGTACTGAAAGGGAATACCTGAGTCAGTTTCAGACAAGTGGATGAGATAAATATTTGAGCCTCAACCCTTACAGGACGAGGCTTCAGTGCAAGGGTTAAGTTGCGGTCTCTGGTTGGTTCACCTATTATTCTCAAGGTGTTAAATCATTGTACTTTTATACTTTTTTCCTCAATGGGAAGAAAGAGTTAGACTGGCATAATATAGTTAGAGCTTAATTGATTTCTTTTTACCTTCCTCCACCATTCCAACACCAGCGCCATCCCCACAGGTAGGTTCCTGAGGCCAGAAGGTACCAGTGGCCTCACAGGTGTGGATGAGACCATCGGGGTCATCAGGGGGTAGAGTCATACAGCCTCCCACATCCACAGAATATACTCCACCGGCGCACGTTGGACGGATAATCTACAATAGTACTCTGGATAAATTAACTTTGTATAGGTTAGATTAGATATGGTTAACCTAGATTAAATTAGGTTAGACTTGTTTATTTTAAAGCAATCTAGCAAAATCTTACCTGATCTAACTTAATTTAATGTAATCAAATCTAAACTTCCTCAACCTAAGCTAATCATTCTAATGCTCGTCCTAATTCACGATATACAAATGTCAAGACAGATAGACAGGAAGACACAATCTATTCTAAATGAACACCGAGACTTCTGTTATCTCGGTCAGGTTGTCAAAATCTTTCGTCCTTTGTGTCATATTGTCTAACATAAAATTGTAAAGATATTTATTGTGTGTGTGTGTGTGTGTGTGTGTGTGTGTGTGTACGTACGCCAGCAGTGATGTCGCCCGCAGCATAAGCATAAAAGTCTAGAGCGAGGAGCTGTGATGCCCGGGAGATTGGCACTGCTTTACGGATCTCGTCTATGTCCGAGTATGGAGCGGCGACCTCTAAGCTGATGCCCCTGGGAGGTGGTGTGCCCAGACGGTAGATCTCTGACCCTGTGGGGGTATATGAAGGGTAGTGTGGTCAAGACTGTGGGTAAGGTAAGGTAAGGTAAGGTAAGGTAAGGTTTAACAAGAACTACACTGCAAAGATGAGCTCGGTACTTGATGGCTGACACGTGATAAGTAAATATCTTCATAACTCACCAATGCCAGTGATGGAGAAGGCTGAGAGGTCGTCGCTGAAGGTGGAGGTGTACGAGTCCAGCTCATTCTGCATCGTAACCGAGACATTACAGTAGTATAGTTCATTTGGCTCCCATACCTGCAACACACACACAAGTTACAGTAGTATAGTTCATCTGGCTCCCATACCTGCAACACACACACAAGTTACAGTAGTATAGTTCATCTAGCTCCAACACAGACACACACACACACACACACGTACTCACAATAGGACAGGCGACTTCATCTATCACTGGTATGGCCTCCTGGGTCAGGTTAGTTTCATCATACGAGGACAGCTTCGTCCCCTCTATCATGGCCAGCACTGAAATATGTCAGGAGTGAAAACTTGTGTCAGACCTTAGTGTCAGCTTGTGTCAGATGTGTTAGCATGAGCTTTTGCCAGATGTGTCAGGAGTGTCAGCTTGTGTCAGATGCATTAGTGTGTGTGAAGAGTGGTAGTTTGCGTCAGACGTGTTAGTGTCAGCTTGAATGTATTGAATATTAATAACAGTTAACTTCACACTGGGTAATAACAACAGTCGACCTTTGACCTTGTTTCAGGTATTCCTCACCTTTGACGGTATAGAGTCCAGGCACGAGAAAACCAGGTGTCGAGATGGAGGCGAGGGTGAGGTAGGAGGGCGGGGCTTCTACATCCAGGTCCACGAGGAAAGACGCCCCGAGGGCCTCCGGAGTCAGGTCCACTTGTACGGTGACAGGCTGTTGAGGTGAGGTAACGCTAAGTTAAGTATGGTTACGTTAAGTTAGTTTAGGTTAAGTTAGGTCAAGTTATGTTTGGCTTGGTTAGTTTAGGTTAGTTTAGATTAAGTTTTACTCGTTTGAAAAACAGTTTTATTTGCATCATGTTAACACAGTGTAGTGGGAGTAGAAGTAGTACTAGCAACAGAAGTAGTAATAGAAATAGCAGTTGTAGTAGCAGTCGTAACTTACATCGTTAGTGGCTACCATGGTAAACGCAGGACTTCCACCCCCAGTATCATAGGCCGCGAACACATTGCTATCCTCGGTACCACAAGCCAGACCGTCACAGAGGAAGTCACACAACGGGGCACTCACGGCCGCGGCGGGGTCAACTGTAGGGTAGAAGAAGAATCGTATTGGCCGATTCATTTGGAGAAAGAAGATGGGCACTTGTCACTCTTTGGCTAACCATCTCCAACTCGCAGCTTCGTTTCCCTTAACTAATCTTCCACTCCTCTCTACCAATCTTCCACTCCTCTCTACCAATCTTCCACTCCTCTCTACCAATCTTCCACTCCTCTCTACTAATCTTCCACTCCTCTCTACCAATCTTCCACTCCTCTCTACCAATCTTCCACTCCTCTCTACTAATCTTCCACTCCTCTCTACCAATCTTCCACTCCTCTCTACCAATCTTCCACTCCTCTCTACCAATCTTCCACTCCTCTCTACCAATCTTCCACTCCTTTTGCCTCTTCGACTAATATTTCAATAATGTTGCCCTTCCTCCTAATCTTTCACCCTTTTCTACTAATCGTTCACACTTTCTACCAATCTTTCACATCATTCTAGTCAACAGTACATAAACCATTGAATCAACTTACACAATGCTGAACAGAAGCAGTATGTTCCCTCGCTGATGCCCGCATACTGGTACCCACTTTGTAGGCACGACTGGGAGCACTTTGCCACGATGTCAGTGTCAAACGTGGGACCAAGTGCCATATAATAGAACGCTGGCACCGCAGGAGTGGCCGTTACGCAGTCGATGAACGTTGCAACTGGGGCTGAGTCGAGATGTACAGTAGAGAGTCAGATTATTATATTTTTGTCAAAGATTTTGCTTTAATGATATTTTGTATAATTTATGTGGTGTTGTGTAGTGCGGTGTGGTGTTGTGTAGTGCTGTGTGATGTGGTGTGGTGTTGTGTGGTGTGGTGTGGTGTGATGTTGTGTAGTGCTGTGTGGTGTGGTGTTGTGTGGTGTGGTGTGGTGTTGTGTGGTGTGGTGTGGTGTTGTGTGGTCTTTTGGTGATGCGTAAAATATTGTGGTGTGGTGTGGTGTTGTGTAGTGCTGTGTGGTGTGGTGTTGTGTGGTGTGATGTTGTGTAGTGCTGTGTGGTGTGGTGTTGTGTGGTGTGGTGTGGTGTTGTGTGGTCTTTTGGTGATGCGTAAAATATTGTGGTGTGGTGTGGTGTGGTAACCATGCTACAAGTGGTGGCGTGGGGTGTGCATGTCGCTATTCTCCACAAGTTAAAAGTAATTGAAGTAAGAACAAATTTTAATCTCGTTATTGTAAGTTCCACACACATGCCTTTGGGTCGACGTTGTGTAGGTAGCGTGTACAGGTGACAGTGTTGTGTAGGTAGCGTGTACAGGTGACAGTGTTGGCAACTTTTAAGCATGAATAATATATTTTGATGCATCATGCAACATAAAATTGATCAAGTTTGAATAATGTGAATGTGTTCAACTATGATTTTGTGCAACTGAACTATGACTGTATAAGTGTGAACTATGACTGTACAACTGTTAACTATGACTGTATAAGCGTGAACTATGACTGTATAAGTGTGAACTATGACTGTATAAGTGTGAACTATGACTGTACAACTGTTAACTATGACTGTACAACTGTTAACGATGACTGTACAACTGTTAACGATGACTGTATAACTGTTAACTATGACTGTACAACTGTTAACTATGACTGTATAAGCGTGAACTATGACTGTATAAGTGTGAACTATGACTGTACAACTGTTAACTATGACTGTACAACTGTTAACGATGACTGTACAACTGTTAACGATGACTGTATAACTGTTAACTATGACTGTACAACTGTTAACTATGGCTATAACTGTTAACTATGACTGTACAACTATCTTCTAAGAGTCCTATTCAATATGAAACTGTCAGCTGTAGACTCACGCGCCCAGACAACCTGCAGCACCGCCGTCAGGAGTGTCAGCACTGTCAGCACCTGTACAGAACAAGACACATTTGTTAAAAAAAAAAAAATTATTATTATTATTGTTTTTCTTATTATTATTTTTATCATTATCAGGGTCGACTCTACTGACCCCATAATCTACATTTCACTTACTTTAACTTCTACTTAGACATGTGACCTCCTTCTGTGTGTAGGTGGTAGAGGTAGCCAGCTGTGTGTAGGTGGTAGAGGTAGCCAGCTGTGTGTAGGTGGTAGAGGTAGCCAGCTGTGTGTAGGTGGTAGAGGTAGCCAGCTGTGTGTAGGTGGTAGAGGTAGCCAGCTGTGTGTAGGTGGTAGAGGTAGCCAGCTGTGTGTAGGTGGTAGAGGTAGCCAGCTGTGTGTAGGTGGTAGAGGTAGCCAGCTGTGTGTAGGTGGTAGAGGTAGCCAGCTGTGTGTAGGTGGTAGAGGTAGCCAGCTGTGTGTAGGTGGTAGAGGTAGCCAGCTGTGTGTAGGTGGTAGAGGTAGCCAGCTGTGTGTAGGTGGTGAGGCAGCCAGCTGTGTGTAGGTGGTAGAGGTAGTCCAGCTGTGTGGGTGGTAGGTGTGTGTGTGTGTAGGGTGGTGAGGTGGCCAGCTGTGTGTGTAGGTGGTAGAGGTAATAGCTGTGTGTGGGTGGTAGGGTAGCCAGCTGTGTGTAGCCAGCTGTGTGTGGGTGGTAGCCAGCCAGCTGTGTGTGGGTGGTGAGGTAGCCAGCTGTGTAGGTGGTAGAGGTAGCCAGCTGTGTGTAGGTGGTAGAGGTAGCCAGGCTGTGTAGGTGGTGAGGTAGCCAGCTGTGTGTAGGTGGTAGAGGTAGCAGCTGTGTGTGGGTGGTAGAGGTAGCCAGCTGTGTGTGTGGTAGAGGTAGCCAGCTGTGTGTAGGTGGTAGAGGTAGCTGGTGTAGGTGGTAGAGGTAGCCAGCTGTGTGTAGGTGGTAGAGGTAGCCAGCTGTCACGTTTTCGACTGCATTAACTTTCAAAAGCAAAACTCTCGCTATCTGAATAATTAATACTGAGCACTGACTGTGTGTGTGTGTGTGTGTGTGTGTATGTCGCATTAGTCACAACATAGTTTAAAGCTCCGTCATCCAGAGTAATAAAGGAAATGGGACACTGACGCCATTAAGTCTATGATATATTTAATGACGTACAATGAATTATATTAGTGGTCAGATATCAGGATGGGAGGGGGGGTATATTATAAGGTGGGGGAAGTGGATTAAGTGATTAATATATCGATTATATCCAGGTGTATACAAACGCAGAAAGCACACACACACACACACCTTTATCTGGGTTAAGACCAGCCCCTCTCCAAATACGGTTAAAATTATCACACTCATCATGACAGGGGTTCATTATGGCAGGGGTTCATTATGACAGGGGTTCATTAGTACCTTCGCTCTCTCACTCTCTCTCTCTATCAGTCCATTATACAGATATCATCACCACTGACAGCCGCTAAATGAACGTAAGGTTAGGTTAAAGTTACGTTAGGTTACGTTAAACCTAACCTAACCTAACCTAACCTAACCTAACCTAACCTAACCAAACTTTAACCTGAAAATGTAATCTTTTTCTCTTCAATATAGTTACATGACCATTGCGTTTCACAGACTATCTTTTGCTTCTCCAGGTGTGGGAATTAATCAGAAGCAAAACAGACAAGTTATTATCTTTTAAAATATAAAAATATAAATACCTTAGATCAAATAATAAGGAAGTGTAGTGACTTTTAGAGTGTTTGTCCACCAACTTTGCGACAAACTGACCCTATAGGCTTCAGTTGCAAGGTTCGAGTTAAAAGACAATACTATTATTCAGTTCTTTGATAGTGATTGTCTTCTGAGTGGTCCGTGTATGACAGTAACCGCCTCTCACGCCATCTTATGACTTATTCAGGCGTCGCTTTACCTACCTTGGCATCAATTAATCTGCAACACCACTGGCGGCACCTGAGACAAATTTATAGCCCAGGTCCCTCTTGTGTACATTGCTGACCAACTACTGCGCCCACCCCCCTCTCTCTCTCTCTCTCTCTCTCTCTTTCTTTACACTCGCGTTGTCTCTCCTCCCCCCCTCTCTCTCTCTCTCTCTTTCTTTACACTAGCGTTGTCTCTCCTCCCCCCCTTCTCTCTTGTACACGACCACTAACAACTGCTTCAATTATTAGTCTATAAAATATAACCCCAATATAGCCACGATTTTTAAATGTCACCTTTGCTACCTGATTCTGTTTACACCTGTAACTAATTAACCGATAAATTGATACACAGGGGCTAAGGGAGGTGTACTACCCCTACTTGTACACCCTATTGCACACTTACTGAACCTACACAAGTATATCGTGGGTGTAGTTAAGGGTGTGTGAGGAAGGTGCACAGTACTTAGCATTACATTTAATAGTTATTGAGTTAATGAGGTGTATTGTTATAACGAGCTGCCGTAACCCAACCAAACTTAACCTAACCGGACCAAGTATATAAAATATTGGAACACCTATTATTTAGTGAGACAAACCAAGACATAAAACACAACACAACACAACAGGACAAGACCACACAACACAACAACAATACAGAAGACAACACAACACAGGACAATAAAACACAACACAACAGGACAAGACCACACAACACAACAGGACAAGACCACACAACACAACAGGACAAGACCACACAACACAACACAACACAATACCACACACACACAATATGAAGACAGACACAACACAGGACAAGACCACACAACACAACAGGACAAGACCACACAACACAACAGGACAAGACCACACAACACAACAGGACAAGACCACACAACACGACAGGACAAGACCACACAACACAACAGGACAAGACCACACAACACAACAGGACAAGACCACACAACACAACACAACACAATACCACACACACACACACACACACCATCGCGACACTAACCCTCAGTAAACACCACTATGAATGACCGCGATATATATCCGTCGTACTCCATACAACAATGTGTAAGTGTACTGTGTAGGTGTGTACTGTGTAGGTGTACGTGTACAGTGCATGTGTAATGTGGTGTGTATCTGTGTGTACTGTGTATGTGTGTGTACTGTGTATGTATGTGTGTACTGTGTATGTGTATACGTACAGTGTGTGTGTATACGTACAGTGTGTATACGTACTGTGTACGTGTATGCGTACTATGTATGTATGTGTGTACTGCATATGTATATGCGTACTGTGTATGTACACTGTATATGCTTGACCATTGTGTATGTGTGATGCTGTAACTGTATGAGGCCAAAAGTGTCTAGGGAATATTGTCAGATGGTGTACACACTGAGGAAGGGGAGCCCTGTTTATAGTGAGTGTGTGTAGGGCAGCCTGTGGTGTGATGGTCGGCATGTCCGCCTCGCAAGCGAGTGATCCCCGGGCAGGGTAAAACTATGGGCAAGTTTCTTTACGCCATTTTCCTCTGTCTACCCAGCAGTAATTGGGGACCTGGATGTTAATCGATTTTCAGATCGTGTTCCGGGGTAATGGTTAGCCAGTGCAGTTGGCGAGTTGTCCGGTCTTCTCGGACTATTCCTTGACATTGGGTCATGCAGCTCGTTAACTCAGGGTGTGGTTGTTGTGTTGGCGACAGCTTCTACACCTTAAAAAAATTTACGCCTAGGTGGCCCTTGGGCCGGTCATCCTCGTTACACGAGGGGCAACCGTTATCATTAGTATTATTATGTGTGTTTGTGTGTAATTAAAACCCTGAACTAAATATTTAAGAACACCGAAGCGATTACACACCACTCAACTTTTGAACATATTTATTAAGACACACACACATGTGCACACAAATATGTGCACACACACACACACACACACACACACACACACACACACACACACCAGTCCACAGCAAAAACTCTCAAATCAATAATAGAGTTAAGACCGAGACTCACAACAAGAAAGGAGTTTGATTATATCATGATTTCTTACATGAAATAACAACAACAGGAGCCGGAAACACAAGATATATTGAGGCTGGTGTGTTTTGTGTTGCTTATACAGTAGGTTGTGAATCCGATGAAGCAATTTAAAAGTAGGTGTGTGTTGTGTTGTGTTGTGGTGCTAACAGGTGAGTTACCAAGACAGTCGGTAAGTGTGTGTGTGTGATGGTGCTTCGCTGGTGACCACGACAACACCACAACAATGCTCCTTTACCCAACACTTACCAATACATCCATGAGAAAATTCTTTTACACTGCCCCTGTCACTACACCCATGACAACACCACAACACAGCACAGTCCTCAAGGCATACCCCCCCCCCCACCCCTATCCAGGTACTGGCATGGATGACGAAGGCAGGGTACTACGTTATAGCCCTTGGTCTTGTAAGCTTATTGTTTTCTCTTGACTGGCGCTAAGTGACGGTATCTAGTTAGTGAGTGTCAGAGTAATTCTAACACCACATTGGACGTTGTTTTAAGTACACTAACTAGATTCGTTTTTATCCAAGCAACTGATTGGCTGGCGGAATGAGGGGGCGTTGGGCATGAGCTTTTCAATATTTAATTAACTTTTTTAACATTCTCCAACTGCAATGATATCTGAAACCGGGGAAGTAAACATTAATAGGTGAGACTCACTGATGACGCTAAATTATCAGCGGCGTTTGTTATTATTTCACCACCCTGGGCAGATTCACCTGGTGTGACTCGACCAATCACGAGCGACCTTTGATCTGGCTCTGTCGCAAGCTTGGAGATACGAGAGTACTATAGATACGTTCACTTAGCACCAGTTAGGAGACAAAATTAACACACACACACACACACACACACACATACACACACACTTCAAACAAACACAGACAGACACACAAACAAATACAGACACACACGCACAGATCATGAAGTTAATACGGAAAACAAGTGAAAGGTTCATATAATAGATAATGACGTGAACCAAACAAACTAGGGTCAAGACATTACCTACTTGGAGGCGTAGTTAGTATACATAGTTAGGATACGTAGTTATTATAGACAGGAGGCGTAGTTCTTACACATACTTAAGAGTAAGAGACGCAGTTATTATACACGGTTGAAGACGTTGTTATTATACACGGTTGAAGACGTAGTTATTATACACTGTTGAAGACGTAGTTATTATACACGGTTGAAGACGTAGTTATTATACACGGTTGAAGACGTAGTTATTATACACGGTTGAAGACGTAGTTATTATACACGGTTGAAGACGTAGTTATTATACACGGTTGAAGACGTAGTTATTATACACGGTTGAAGACGTAGTTATTATACACGGTTGAGGACGTAGTTATTATACACGGTTAAAGACGGAGTTATTATACACGGTTGAAGACGTTGTTATTATACACAGAATGATTAAGATGCAAAGAGACAATTGGCTGAAAGATTATCCAAGTTGTATTGACTAAACCTGACAGTACGGGAAAGTACCAGTTACTTAGTATGACCGAAGGAGAACGTACAAGTTAGTTAGTCTGACTGAAGGAAAAAGTACAAGTTACTTACACTAACTGAAGGAGAAAGTACAAGTTACTTACACTGACTGAAGGAGAAAGTACAAGTTACTTACACTGACTGATGGAGAAAGTACAAGTTACTTACACTGACTGAAGGAAAAAGTACAAGTTACTTACACTGACTGAAGGAGAAAGTACAAGTTACTTACACTGACTGAAGGAGAAAGTACAAGTTACTTACACTGACTGATGGAAAAAGTACAAGTTACTTACACTGACTGAAGGAGAAAGTACAAGTTACTTACACTGACTGATGGAGAAAGTACAAGTTACTTACACTGACTGAAGGAAAAAGTACAAGTTACTTACACTGACTGAAGGAGAAAGTACAAGTTACTTACACTGACTGAAGGAAAAAGTACAAGTTACTTACACTGACTGAAGGAGAAAGTACAAGTTACTTACACTGACTGAAGGAGAAAGTACAAGTTACTTACATTGACTGAAGGAGAAAGTACAAGTTACTTACACTGACTGAAGGAGAAAGTACCAGTTACTTAGTCTGACTCAAGGAGAAAGTACCAACTACTTACTCTGAAAGGAGTAGACAGTACCAGTTACTTTCTTACAATAGAAGAAACAGGTCCTTACTTTGATGTTCATGGTTATGTGTGGGGTGTGAGGAAGTATCAATGGAAAGTAGCCATGTGGGTGGAGAAGCGTCAGTGACGAGGGGTGAGAGTCACTGGCACGATTCGGTCGCCAGCAGTGTCCACGCCCCGGCGTCCACAGGCGATCTGATCACCCGCGGGACCATTAGTCTAACCACCTTCCTTCCTCCACCCCCCCCCTCCCTCCACCACCACTACCACCTCCCCTCCACTGTGCAGCAAACATAACTCAACACGGCCAGGATTTAGTTCGTGTGACGTCATAGGCCTGATTAGTGTGGGAGGGGACCTGCGCACTGGCCGACCAGGTGTTTTTAGACCATGGGTTAGCCCCCGTGTTCGAGGATGGCCGGCCACCTAGGCGTGAATTTGTTTACAGTGTAGAAATTGTCGCCAACACAACAACCACACCCTGAGTTAACCACCCGCAGATAGATTTATATCCAGGTAGACAGAGGTGAATGGGGTGAAGAAACTTGCCCATAGTTTTATTCTACTCGGGACTCAGACCCTAGGACCACTGGCTTGTGAGGCGAGTGTGCTGATCATACACACACACACACACACACCTACAACCTGATGTGGTCCTCTATACGTTAAGGTCACTTCTGAAAAATAAATGTTACCTCAGTTACATTCGCTATGGTCAACTTGGTCCACTATCCTATACACCAAACCGCTTAACCTAACCTAACCAAACCAAACCTAACCCCCCCCCCCACAGACATATTTACACACTTTGTAATAACAGTAACGATAATGGCCTTGAATCATCATCATCGTACACACACGTTCTAGGCGTAAACATTAAGGCCATGAACTGGTCTATCAGTATAAACAATTGCCCAGTGCGGTATAGCGGCCCCATTACAACGGGCTTTTGTTCATGTCAAGAATATTAATGTGAGCTATTAGTAGTAAGGTGTTTCTTTGCCCCACCTCAGCTAACACGGTGCTACCACAGCTAAAGTAACAACACGGTGCTACCACAGCTAAAGTAACAACACGGTGCTACCACAGCTAAAGTAACAACACGGTGCTACCACAGCTAAAGTAACAACACGGTGCTACCACAGCTAAAGTAACAACACGGTGCTACCACAACTAAAGTAACATCACGGTGCTACCACAGCTAAAGTAACAACATGGTGCTACCACAGCTAAACAAACAAAGTTAACGTAACAAAGTTAATTTCACTAAAGTTAACAGTTTTATGGAGCTGATGAGCGTTGGTACAGAAGACCATCAAGAGGTAAGCATCATAGTGTAGTGTATTATACAGCTGTAGCCTTCACTGTATCGTCTGATTTATAGTGTATTTATTACAGTGGCCGGGGCAGGGGGGGTGGTGGTGAAACGGTGAGGGATGGGTTAAGGGGTGGGTTAGGGGGTAGGTTAGGGGGTGGGCTGAAGAGTGGGCTGAAGGGTGGGTTGAAGGGTGGGTTGAAGAGTGGATTGAAGGGGTGAGTGAGTATTACACTTGCACTTAAATCTCCCGGCGGTAAATGTGCTCCTGAATATATAATCAATATGGCTGTGTTCCAGGAGATATTTATCACCAAGGTGTGTGTGTGTGTGTGTGTGTGGAAGGGGGTTGTAGAACGAGCTGGTTAGGTTAGGTTAAGGTATTCTACAGGTTAGGTTAGGTTAGGTTAAGTTTGGTTCAGTAACTGCTGTAACGACCAGAGGTAAATAGTGTCCAGAGGCTTATATGTGGTGGATTAATGGCCCTAGAGACGTGTATTGTGGAGTAATGGCCATCTACATCAAGTGGGCAGGAGGGAGGAGGGTAGTGATGGTGTTTATGGCAGCTTTAAAGTGGTCTGCGTGACCATCTGTGAGCCAGCCAATGTTAGGTTCACGCTCATGGTTTATTCATGTCCCCCAAAATACAAGAAAAACCAAGACAACTAATACACACAATAGCCCCCCCCACCCCACCACCACACACACACACACAGATACAAACACAAGCAGTAGAAACACATACACACACACACACATGTATATATTCAGATGTTTTATTTCGTTCGCCCACACAATCATACACCCCCTTCATTGGCACACACAATCATACACCCCCTTCATTGGCCCACACAATCATACACCCCCTTCATTGGCCCACACAATCATACACCCCCTTCATTGGCCCACACAATCATACACCCCCTTCATTGTATGTATGAAGCATGGGTGAGCTATACATCATATACACTAGGTTACACATACACATAATTTACCTTTAATGGCCTCTTAGTGTATCGTTCATACCTGGATTTTTCTTCCCATAAAGGTTGGTACATTCATTTGATTGCCGAAAGTTGGTGCTCAGAGGAAGGAAGTATCTAGTAAATGTATAGTCTCCAGTTTAATTCGGACAGATATATATTGAAAGTCGGATGTTATTACGTTTCCTAGTTATCCTCTTCATCAAATTTATATTTTACTCATAAAAAACATAGTTGGTTATCCTGATATGACGGGGTGTGGGGGGTATTGTATGAGGATATCGAGCGTTTTTTCTACCTTTTTTGTACAAATGTCATGAATATGGCAGCAGAAGACGTACTGGTGACCCCCAAAGGTGTGAATCATCAATACTACAACAATAACATATATAACACACTACTACTACGATAACTTCCACCACACACTACTACTACTACTACGATAACTTACACTATAACACACTACTATTTTGGGTCACTCCATTACAAAGAGAATTAGTATGTTTCAATAATAATAATAATAATAATAATAATAATAATAATAATAATAATAATAATAATAATTATGATGATGACACTATGAATAAAATTACAACTTATGTTATAAATAATCACAATAATAGCAGAATGAATAAAAGTAACTGTATAATTGGAACACTTTATTAAACACTAATAGTCACTTAAGTGTGTGACAGTAAAGTGAGTGGTGGGGAATATACACACACAGGGGAGTATAATATGAGTATATCAACAGCTGAAATGGGTATACTCTGTACAGTATGTTTGGAGAGAGAGAGAGAGAGAGAGAGAGAGAGAGAGAGAGAGAGAGACTTCCATTACACTGTACAGAGGGTAGCAACATATCGCCCCTCTCAGAATAACACGACTACAGACTAAACAATACACTACTTTAAAGATACAATATTAATATTCTTAAACCAGCACATACTGTAGTAACAATGTATACACTATAGTAACAATGTACACACTATAGTAACAATGTACACACTATAGTAACAATGTATACACTATAGTAACAATGATACAATTACGTGATTATTATCTAAGTAAACGATAATATAATTTTATTATTTAAGTCTACTGTGTTAATTATCTTAATAATGTGATAATTTTATGTTAATTATCTTGCTAGAGTTATTATCACGTGGCGTTAATCAGCAAAAGTTAAAATATCCTGGTACTGTATCTTGTTAATGTTAACATAGATAAATAAATAAACTAGCATGATAGAGTGCTCACATTTACGTCACTAATAAACTACAGTAGTCTACATTACCATCACAACACACAACACTACTTCTACACAGCCCTACATATAGTTAGTAGGGAGGATACATGGCTGCTTGGTGAGTGTTAGGACAATCCCAGGTACCGGGAGGCTGTGAAGGAAGAGTGTGATGGTTAGGTACATAATAATAATAATAATAATAATAATAATAATAATAATAATAATAATAATAATAATAATAATAATAATAATAATAATAATAATAATAATAATAATAATAATAATAATAATAATAACCAACGTACGTCATCATCTCTGAATTCCTCTGCTTCATCAAGTCGTCCAAGATTTTCAATTCTCATCTCTATAACAACTCCTTCCTTCGCCTCCGTCACTATCCCAATTTGACTCGCCTTCCTCCCTGCCCCAAGTGCGACTCATCCTGCTGAACTTCGAGTAGTAGGAGGACCTGAGACCCACCTTAGTCTTCAGGTCGAGACTACCATCAAAGTACACGTTGTTGATGTATTCGAGGAACCTGTGGGGGTGTAGGTCAGTTTATTAGTCATCCAGGTGTAGGTAATGTAACATATTTCTAAGTTATATTCCTATTTAGGTCTGACTTTATGCAGCTTAATAATTCATAGTTCATGGGAATAAGTCGGAAAATTCGTATCTTTCAGTAAATTTCAGTCGACCAATCATCATCATCTCTGATTTTATAGTCGCCCCAAATACGTTCCTGACTCACACCGGAAGACTCACCTCCAGCGTTCACACCGAGGAGGTTGATTACCATATGTCATTATCTTCCCGTTAAATATTTCTCTAAGATACCTCATCTACCTGACTTCTGTTGCCATGGTGATAATTGCTGTAGTAGTTGTAGTGGTTGTTGTTGTTGTTGAAATAATTGATAATATAATAGATGCAGAGGTTGTGGGTGTTGTAGTTATTTTTGAGGTGTGGCTGTGGTTTTTGTAGTAGTTGTAGGTTGTTGTTGTGGTAGCTGTACAGGTTGTTGTGGTAGTCGTAGAGATTGTTGTTGTGGTAGTCGTAGATGTAGTTATTATTATTATTGTTGTTGTTTTGAGTGTCAACATGAAACTACAGATGAACACCAAATTGAACACAGAAATAACCTACTTGTCCATTTTCTGCGGTAGTTCTTGGACCTGGCTTGTTGTGGGCGTGGTTGTAGCTGTAAGAGGATCGCCGATGGCAGCAGCCGTGGTGACAGTGACGGGGTCCACCTTACCGCCAGACCCCAGGAACCCCTTGAAGCGACTCCACACAAAATCCACCATCTGGTACTCACCGGGTTGATTCATGATGCTGTGCTTTATCTGTTAGCACACAACAAGTACTCAAGCGGTACACAAACACATAAAAAAGTACTCAAGTTATACCCAAACACATGAAAAATACTTAAGTTATACATAAACACATAAGAAGTACTCAAGCTGTACACAAACAAAAACAAACAAATACTGAAAAAGAGGACCAAGAGGCAGACCTCGACGAAGGAGGTGATGATGACGGTGAGGAGCAGGTTGATGATGACCCAAGAGTTACACACCACGAAGACGAAGAACATGATGGGCACCATGAGGGACGCTTTCTTCATCTCCTCGAACTGGAACTTACCTGTAACGAAGGACTATGTAAGTAAACACACACACACACACACACACACACACACACACACACACACACAGTGGAGGACCAATGAAGCTGGTATACCCACAGTGTCTGGCTCGTGGTTTAGTGAGGTATGGGTAATAAGGTTAACAATAAATTATATATTATTTCCAGAAAAAAGTGCAGGGTTTTGAGTTGCAGCTGATATAGTATATTTCAAAATCATCGGAATCTTTAGTTATATTCTGTATGCTACAGTATTTTTGTGCAATCAGCCAATTTGCAAATAGATAAAAAAAACCTGGTTGTTTTGCATAATGACTGTAAATACCGTAACGCAAGTCAAGGGCCACATACTTGCACATAGTGAGAGTGTATGTGGTCTTTGAATTATCCTTAACACCTGAAGAATGTGTTATGGTTGGTGGATGCAGCTTGACCCTGGCAGTTGATAGTGCCTAAAGCCCCCAAAACCAACCAGCCAGTAGGGCAGGTGTCTGGGGAGGTGTCATATGGACTTAACTTTCCCTTAGTTATCTTTGCCTTTACTCGAGATTTTGAAGAGGAATGCGAGTGAGCTTATGGCAGGTAATGCGTTATTAGGGTTGATAAGACGTCTGGCTTCCGTGAGGGACAGTCCTTGATATGAGAACATAAAAGAGGATGGGCATGGTTTTCTCACCACCAGTAACACTAAACTAGGTTGTTACTTGATCATTATTTATTGATAAACAAAAATAAGAATGAATAGTAAGATAAAATGTGACTTGTCTAACCTGTAATATGTTTGTTAGAGTTGTGAAAATCAATGCGAAGTGATGAAGTGGTGGTGGCAATGGTGTTTGGCTACTACTCACACCCAGCCCAGGATGGATGCTAAAGGACGTCGACTGGCGAGTAACTGGCAAATTATTGGTTTGCGTGTGGCTGGCTATAACGTGGCTGGCTATAACGTGGCTGGCTATAACGTGGCTGGCTATAACGTGGCTGGCTATAACGTGGCTGGCTATAACGTGTCAGAAATTGAAAGGGAGGTTGGGATCACGGTCAGACGTTGGTTAACACACTGAGAGGCGTCTGGAAGCTTGGGAGACCTGCCGTCTTGAGTTAGGAGGTGGAGTGACTGATTACTTTTGACCCTGACTCTACATGTCACCTTACATCATACTAAAGTAATACTCACCTAACATAATGCTGAACCAAAACTCATACTCACCCAGCATCATACTGAAGCAAGACTCATACTCACCCAGCATCATACTGAAGCAAGTCTCATACTCACCCAGCATCATACTGAAGCAAGACTCATACTCACCCAGCATCATACTGAAGCAAGACTCATACTCACCCAGCATCATACTGAAGCAAGACTCATACTCACCCAGCATCATACTGAAGCAAGTCTCGACGGCGGAGATAAAGTTGTAGAAGTCTTCCAGCTGACTACTAAGGAGGAGGTAGAACATCGCGACGAAGGAGAAGAAGCTAAGGAAGAAAGCCACCAAGAACCCCTTCAGGTCTTCCCAGCAATGACGCAACGTGGCCGACAGCGCCCCTGGCATGAACGGAAGTAGAGGAGGTAATGATTAGGGAATGATTGGCGCCCCAGGATGAATTGGAAGAGGGTTAGGAGGGACACGATTAAGGGATTATATCAGCAAGAACCCCCTTCAGATCTCTCTAGTATTGACGGAGGGTCGTTCACAAGGGCAGTAAGTGGGGAGATGAAACACGATAATTGACTCAATCTTTAAAGACGATCCTTCTATAATCTTTTGAAGATCATACCTTAAACCAACGCCTTAGAAGAGCAATACCTTAAATCATCGCCCTTAAAGAGTTAAACCAAAGTCCTTACAGAGTTAAACCATCGTCCTTAAATAGTTAAACCATCGTCCTTAAATAGTTAAACCATCATCTTTAAAGAGTTAAACCATCGTCCTCAAAGAGTTAAGTAAACTTACCCATTCTCTTGTTAAACCTGAGGAGCTTAATAAACTTGAGGGTGCCGACGAAGAGGATGAAGGAGATAAGGTAGAGGTATCCTTCGTTAAGGGACGCCGCGTACTGCAGGTTGACGTAGCCGTTCCCAAGTGTTTTATGGAACACTGCCAGCATCTTGTTCGTGGCCAAGTACCTGGAGGAGTATAATGGTGGGTCATATTAGAGGGGAAGGCGGGTCAATGTATGTGTGTGTGTGTGTGTGTGTGTGTGTGTGTGTAAAGACTTTTATAGTGTGTCTATGAGGCACAGGGAGGATGTACAGTGCCTGAGGGTATAGACGACGATGGCCAAATAGGAGACCAGAATGGTGGCCAATGAATACAGGGAAGACGGAGGACGTACAGTACCTGAGGGTATAGACGACGATGGCCACGTAGGAGACCAGGATGATAGCTATCTCAGCGTAGGACCAGTAGTTGTTGAAGTAGCTCCATTTCGTCTTACAGAAGAGGTACATCTCCCTCACGGTGTAGTAGACAACGAACATAATGAACAGTATCTCACACGCGATAGTGAAGCCCCCGAAGTTGTCGTGGTGCTGGAGGAGACGGAACCCTTCAAACCTGTGGTGGGGTAAGGGGGGGGTGAGCTGTGGATGAACGACTTCTTTAGTTGTGAAGATAAATATATACTAATCATACCTAATCTAACCTATCACTACCTAATCTAACGTAACATTAAGCTAATATAACTCTAACTTAACCTGACCTAATGTAACATAACTAACCCCAACACTATCCTAATCTAATGCTAACATAATCTAATTTAACGTAACGTAACCTATCGCTGACCAAGTCAAACCTGTAATAGCCTCTGTCTACAGATACACAAGTAGTGTTTATTTAATTATGTGCTAATTACACGGATTCACCAACACGGGCACAGATTCATATACCTTTATAACCTGTTAAGTTCCATACAGGGATTCATAACTTAACTCCTCATTTCCTGACATGTTGCAGATGACATTCGGGTCACCTCTACGGCCCAGAAATCCTGTTAACTAAGCAGGTAAGTTACCGGCTCATAGAGAGTTGAAGACTGTAGAGCATACTGCCTAGACGTGTGAATGCTGCGTTATAGCCGTGTGTCTGCTGCGTTATAGCCGTGTGTCTGCTGAGTTATAGCCGTATGTCTGCTGGGTCATAGCCATGTGTTGGTTAATCCATAAATATACCCAACAGATTGTGATGTGTTATAACTATATTTTTTTATAATAAATAGAACAGGTGCTATGTGTTTAATTTGAACATTAACCCTCTTGAGATAAACTCCAGACATATTACTTGTTACTCCCCCATAAAACTGACAGGAAATAATGTATCTATAAAGAACAGAACCAAGTATGCAGTGACCAGCCACACTCTAGGTCAAGTGAAGATTATTTACTCATATAATTCTGCACCACAAAGTTACGTTAAAATGTTCCCAAGTGGATAACCAATTACCCATGTCTGGAACAAGCCAACCTATCCTAACCAAACATAGCATAATATTAAAAAATATAATAAAATAAAACCTAACTTAACATATAAAATAACAATATAACCTAACCTGAAGGTAGGGTCGATGCCGCCCCCTGGGGTAAATTCCACCATGAGCCGTGACATACCGAACAGGTTCACCTGAGGGAGTGACAACACACATGTTATTACTGTCATTAGTGGGAGAGTGACACACACACACACACACACACACACACACACACACACACACACTGTAGTTATGCAATATGTATTAGATTCAGAAAAAACATGAAATTGACCATCAAGAGATACAGTATAGAACTAAACCATATATTTAGACAATTTCTGGAAACTGATATACAGAAGAAAGCATTAAATAGCTCCCTGGCTGACAACAACTAACCTCTGTGCGAGTGTTAGTGACATTGGGGCGGTACAGTAGTTCTTCTTTACCTAAGATTGCCGGCAACAAAGGGTGACCCAAACACTGAAAACTTTATGACATCTAGAGCCAAAATCTTGGTTGTCATACCCGATGGTGTACCTGGCCATCGGGTACCATACACTTGTGTGGGGTGAGGTCATTCAAGAACGTGTTTCGAGTAATACAATGGGTACAGTTTATGTATGTATGTATGTATGGTTCCCACAAACACAGGAAGTAACGTACATTAGCATTATAAGACGAGAACTCGACAATAACAGCTCTGGTCAAGGAGTCGATCCAGTGGTTGGCCTGAAGGAACGAAAACTCCTTCTGTAGGTCACCAGAGCTGCCCCTCAGAGAGACACTGTAGCCGCCTCCACCATACCAGTCCTGACGACCCCAGATTGGCAGCGTCTCCAACTGTGCCGCTGACGTGTACCTGTGTAGCAAGATGTTCACGTGAGACACAGGTGATAAAACAAATGAAACACAGGTACTAGTACATTTGCCTCCTCCTCCAACTGTGCTACCTACGTGTACCTGTACTAAGAGGTGTACAGATCCGACAGAGATGACAGTGTTATGTACTGGACGTCAATAACTAAGCTGACGTGTATTTACTTGTGACGTAACCTGAACACAATTAACAAAACCTGAGCTGAAATTTCGTGAATGGTTTTAAAATAGTCACCATCAACTGACCTGAACTGAGGATGGCGACAGTCGGAGGTGTTGGCTGTGAGGGGTGCAGGGGAGGCCCAGCCCAGGCAGTAGTGGCGGTTGTCCTCTAAGGAAATACCCGAGTACCCGCTACACTTTAAATCTATCTTACGGAACCACGATGCCACTCTGAAAAATAACACACTGTCACTCTAGTCTCTCAGTCAGTTAGTCAGTAGGTCAATCAAATTAGTAGGTATTCAACTCAGCAGCTTAGTCATGGTAATGAGAGAGAGAGAGAGAGAGAGAGAGAGAGAGAGAGAGAGAGAGAGAGAGAGAGACTCACCTGCAAGACGCGTTCATCACTCTTATCTGTCTTATGATAGCATATCCCATAATCCTGTTGTTGTGGTCACCCAGGAAGCCTCGTAGTAAGTAAGGAGGTTTGCCGTTGTACAGAACGTCTGCACGGAGACGGTGTAGAAAACCCTTATGGAGGTAGTTCCAGAACATGTCTGCGTTGGTCACCTACGGGAGTAAAGTGATTACCTGAGTATATGAGATATTTACACGATCCATGAAGGCCGTATATGTATAGATAAGTACTTTGCGACGTACAGTACACGTGTATGTGTGTGTGTGTGGGAGGGGGGACAAGTAAAACACGTGGATCTCACCTTAAGAAAGTCAGTCCCATCTTTTGCTCCCTCGTTCACGAAGGCTTCCCTCAGTGTCCGCTGCAGGAAGTAGGCGTTGGGGTCCCTGAAGCGATGTATAAAGTTAAATCTCCTTCAAGGGGTATATAACGTTAATCTTCCTGAAGTGAAATATTAAATTGGGTTAAACTCTTCAGGTCAGAGAGAGAGAGAGAGAGAGAGAGAGAGAGAGAGAGAGAGAGAGAGAGAGAGAGAGAGACACTGACTTCACCCACCTGTTACCGTGAGAGAGAATCAACACGATCCAGATGAAAATACTATAAGACATAATCTCCATCAGAATAGAATGCATCTCCACCTCCTTCTTCCGTCTCTCCCTCACTATGTTGAGTCTCTCCTCATCCAGGATTGACGGTCTCTCCAGCTTCCTCTTGTCTCTCCCTGTAAGTGAATCATCTTCGTTACAATCACCCAAAGTTCAAGGATCAGTCATTCCCCATCTACAGGCGTGTATATAATTCCCAGCCACAGGCAGCTTTATAATTATCTAATATCAACTGATTACCTATTACCCATCTACGAGCATTTCCACAACCAGTAAAACCTAGGAAATTATAATTGTCTAAGAGGAAGAGGAAACAGCAGGAGAAGGAGGAAACAGCACCAATAGCAAGAGGAGGAGGAGGAAGAGGAAGAACACGTGAGTCACCAGGGTGGGGGTGGAGCCAAGCCTCGTCCTGCTGTAGTCTGGGATCCTCCTCATCTTCCTCGACATCATCCTCGTCCAGGTTAGGAGACTTGAAGATGGCGCTCATCAACATGGCCAGGATGAAGACCTTAGGGAGGAGGAGGAGGAGGAGATGGTGTCATACGATCATATACAAACACCTTCACACACACACACACACACACACACACACACACACACACACACACACACGGGTATATAAATGATTTCATACATTCATATACACAGAAGTTAGGCCGTAAATATGACCACGTTGGGGAGGTTTTAAGAGAACACGATTTTACCTTGAGGGGCTCGACGAAGAGGATGGAGGTGAAGAAGGAGATGACGAGGGAGGTGATCCACTTGGTAGCCTTAGAGTTGCCGAACATGACGCCGTACATGAGGAGGAAGAAGCAAGACACCGCGATACAGGCCACAACTAAGAGCCAAGCTACCAGGGCGAACCACCAAGGTAATGTGAACTTTTTCTTCTTCCTGTGTGTGGTTAACGTGGTGGTGTTAGTTGTGGTGTTAGTGGTGGTATTAGTGGAGGTGATAGTGGCGGTGATAATGGTGTTAAAGGGTTTAGTGGTGATAGTGATGGTGTTAATAGGGAGAGTGGTGTTGTTGGACAGCAACACGCGGACTATCGTATACAAGCAGTACCTCACTCGTCGAGAATCGAATCCACTATCTCTGCATATGAATAGGGGTCATTACCACTGTGCCAGAGGACATCAAAGGCAATCCTAAGCTTTGTTTTATATCACACATAGCCTTATTCGTCTTATTTTTAAGCAGCGATCCCTGTTCACACGTAGAGGTCCAGGATTCGATTCCCGACTAGTGAGGTATAAACATGTACGGTAACTAAAACAACTATCTGTGCAGGTGGGGGTCGATATGCCCCGACGTGTGACTAGTGACAGCCCTCATATACCCAAATTATCGTCCATGGTCTCATATTGTTTCCCACAAAGTATGGACAGATGGTTCATAATCCTAGCCATCTGGTGGTGAATATAGACACTTTCTTTGGTCAATAACTTTGTAATTAACCTCAATATCTTACTCCTTTTTCTCGATGATTTTGGAGGAGCCTTTTGAGTCTGATGTGCGTGCTTGGTCTAGCTGGTTCTTCTCCAGGTCCTTCTTCTCTTCAGTAGCGAGGTGTTGGGCCTTCTCACCTGTGGATTAGAAGCTCATTAACTCACCCTCAGCACATGTTTGTTTATCTATTCAAGAATCTATTTTTGCCTTTATCCATCTCCCCCTTTCTCACTATATAACCTTGTATCCTTATCTCTCTCCAACTCTCTTTATATGTCTCTATTCTTCTATCTTTTCTCTCTATGTCTCTCTATGTCTATTTATCTACCCTTATCTTTATAGACATTTTTACCTATGTATCTATTTATTTATTTATACTTCTGTTCATCTGCCTATTAATATTTTTACCTATCTACTAATCATGGGGTTCTAGAGACCGCCCTCAGTACTCACGGGTTCTAGAGACCGCCCTCAGTACTCACGGGTTCCAGGAGACCGCCTCAGTACTCACGGGTTCTAGAGACCGCCCTCAGCACCACGGGTTCTAGAGACCGCCCCAGCACTCACGGTTCTAGAGACCGCCCCTCAGTACTCACGGAGTTCTAGAGACCGACTTCCGCCCTAACGAGACCGCCTCACTCAGAGACCGCCCTCAGGGGTTCTAGAGACCGCCCTCAGTACTCACGGGTTCTAGAGACCGCCCTCAGCACTCACGGGTTCTAGAGACCGCCCTCAGTACTCACGGGTTCTAGAGACCGCCCTCAGCACTCACGGGTTCTAGAGACCGCCCTCAGTACTCACGGGTTCTAGGGAGACCGCCCTCCCAGGCTCTCTCACGGGTTCTAGAGACCGCCCTCAGTACTCACGGGTTCTAGAGACCGCCTCCAGGACTCAGAGAGTACTCACGCTCCGCCCTCAGTACTCACGGGTTCTAGAGACCGCCCTCAGTACTCACGGGTTCTAGAGACCGCCCTCAGTACTCACGGGTTCTGGAGAGCGCCAGTTCTATGCGGGACTTGCGAAGTCTCCTGGGTCGGGACTTCCTGAAGATGAATACGATGAGGACAGACGGCAGGAACACGATGATGTTACTCACCATTCCCACACCCATCTATAGTGAGTAACAGGTTGTAAACTCATCCAATAAACTGATCAATTACACATCTCTTAATCATCCACATACTTGTAAATGATCATACACATGAAATCATATGTAGGTCTGTTAAATCATCCACACGAGTCTATCATTCTTACGTCTGTTTAATCATCCACCTATGTCTGATATATCATCCATATGTACGTTAAATCCTCCTCCACATGAGTCTGTTGAATCATACACCTATGGGACAGTACACATACATGTCTGTTAACTCATGCATAGGTTTCTACACATCACGTTATTCATCTTAAAACTTGTAGATGTTATTTAACTCCTAAGTCTTCTTTAAATCACCCAGACGTGTGTTAAATCACGGATCATCTGATGATTAGACACCCCTCAACTTATCCCATCTGAAGATTAACCATTTAACGCTGACCTAACCTAACCTAATCCAAACCTAATCTATCCTAACCTAACGCTACTGGATGGGTTAGGTTAGGTCAACTTAGGTTAGCGTTAGATTAGATTAGATTAATTAGGTTAGATTAGCGTTAGGGGTGGTTATTTTTCAGGTGCTCTGACTGATCTGCCCAGGGTTAAGACTGACCTTCTGAGGGTTATTAAACTGACCTGCTCAATGCTAAGACTGAAGGGCCCTAATTTAAGACCTCCTGCTCCGGGTTGTTCAGGGACACGCTCGTACCACATGGCGTTGACCAGCATGGAGAGGAACAGGAGGGCGAAGCATGACCCTACACGCTGACACCTGTGGGAGATAATTCTACTTGATCTCTCTTCTATCTCTACCTAAGACATCTGTTTATCTCTACACCTGTCTCTCTTAACCTTAGATACCTCCTCTATCAGTACCTGGTGAACCGAGACCGTGGTGGCCTGAGGAAGACGGAGAACCATAGGTGGCTGTCCGTCAGGTTCTTGTTGGAGGCCGTGTCGAAGAGGTGACGGAACTGCTTCTTCTGGTCACCACTGGCTACTGGTAACATGCGCTCGATCTGTCCAGGGGAGGGAAACTCAGCCTAAGGTTTTGTTTTGTTTATATTAGGATGGATTTACACTGTTTTAATTCTGGTCTAAGTCTGTCGAGAAATGTACATGTTTATAACAGGATGGATTTACCCTTTCAATTAAATCTGTCCATTGAGGGAAAAATCTGTCTTGAACTAGAGGAGACTTTTTAACATTAAGGATTCAGAATTATTTAAAAGTTCAACCCCAAGTCATTGTATGAGCATCATCATCATTTTCATCATCATCATCGTCATCATGATCACTGTTTTACGGCCATTGTCAGTATCGTGGACTCTACACTGTCAGTACACCTTGCCGATCAGAACGCTCACTACACTCTGAGTAGCACCCTCCCCACAGCAAGCACTCTAACTCAGGTCCCTGAGTACATCTACCAAACAATTGGCTTATGTACTCTAAAGTTAGGTAAGGTTAGTAATGTGGAACTTTAATACATGTAAACTGAATATCTATCTATCTATCAACTCAACGCTACAGGTGATTGCTTGAGCTTCACCTGGGCGTCACTCACACAGTTGTCACTCACCTGGCCGTCACTCCACTCCACACCCAGCCAGTCATTAGCAATAAACTGGTACTTGTCGCCCGTCTGTACGTCCCTCAACACGATGTAACTCAGGTACCAGGAGGCGTTGGGTCCCTTACCACTGTTGTCATGCCAGACACGTAAGTACAGCAGAGGCCCCAGTGGTCTGAAACAGCAGGTGGTGTTAGTGGTGTGAAATAACAGGTGGTGTTAGTGGTGCTTAAGAGTAAGTGGGATTGTGGCCCTAGTTATTTGAAACAGGAGTGCGGGGTCTTGATACAACAGGGGGCAGGTGGTAGTGGAGGCCCTCACCTGGGCACGGCCAAGAGGAAAACGTCGACACTGGCCTTCCTGAACACCTTCCTCTGCTGGTCGTCGGCGAGACACCTGACGGGGGTGTCCTCGTTTTCCCCCGTCAGGATGAAGCTCACGTTAGAGTCCGTCTGCGCCTCCTTCTTGTTGCCGGTGAAGACCAACATCTCGTACAGGTACTTGTCTTCCACTTTGTTGTCTGGCAGCGGTGACACGCCCAGCTGTGACGATATGTTACTTAAGATGATGTTTGGTTAGGTTAGGTTAGGTTAGGTTTGGTTAGGTTAGGCCAAGTTATGTTGGGTGAGGTTAAGTTACATTTAGCTAGATTAGGTTAAGTTACATTCAGCTAAGCTAGGTTTGGTTATGTTACGTTAGATTAGGTTAGGTTAGGTTTTACATACCTTTGTTACGTCCTTCTTGTCATTGATTCTGGCCCACACGAGGAGAATGAGGAAGAGGGAGAGGGAGATGATGAGGGTGAGGTAGATGGTCAGGTTGTCGTCAAAGGCCATATTGGCGAACACGTAGTTGAAGTCGATAGTGTTGGGCATGACGAACATCCCCGACCCGAAGCTCGTCAGGTGGTTGGTCTCGCAGTTGGTGAGCTTGTGGTCTGAGTAAATCACCTGACCGGGAAAAAAACACAGATAATTTGTGTGTTTACATCGTTGTACAGCTGGTGGTCTGACTACATCGCCTGTGTGTGTGTGTGTGTGTGTGTGTGTGTGTGTAATACGTTCATAGTGTGTTATTAAGGGCGAAAGATCAGTGACAATATCAATTTAAACATGTGGAATTATCTAAGAGAGAGAGAGAGAGAGAGAGAGCTACCTCACCTTTACATTACTATCACCCTCCCATTTTTTCTTCTCCGAACTGAAGTAGTAGCAGCCAGAGGTCAACACCCTGACGGAGTAGTCAAAGGGTAACAGCTGGACGTCCTTCAAGGTGACGTTGTTGGCGGCGGGATCCTCCATCCTGGCCATGTCGAATACCGGCTTGAAATCCCCGATGCCCAGGTAGTACGAGCCTAGGTCACTCACCTCCGACGTCTCCAGGAACCAGTCGTATGTGTCTGAGGGAGAGTAGGTCAGGTCAGGTTAGGTTAGGTTAGTCTACTATAACCAGTAGTACAACTAATCACCACTACAGTTCTGAAGTCTTACCCTTACTACCACTACTACTACTACTACTACGACTACCACAACTCACTCACCATTGCGCCTGATGGGAATATCTTTAACCATGATGAACAAGCTGTGGTTAATGAGTGATGGCATAAAGGAGTTGCCGATAAGCAGGAACATACGATGGTCCTCCTCACTCGGCGTGATCTCTATATTCACTGATGAGTAGTTCTGTAGCCAGGGATAAAAAACACAGATATTACAATCAACTAATCAAGGTGTATCGTAAAGTTGATTAAACAAGGTATTATGGATTGTTTGTGCCGTATGTGGTATCAGTAAACTCCACTCAATATTACGTTGTCTGTTTGTGTCACTGCTTTAGTCTCAAGAGGGTAGGTGCGGCACTCTAGGTAGTATAGCTTGGGACTGTGTGCGCCGGGGTGGTTGTTTGCCAGTTGACAGGTGCTATGTGTTAAGTTTCACGTGGGATTGGTGGTAAGGACTAGGGGTACAATGCCTGGCAACGTTACCTCAGCCAGCGTCACAGTCTAATGCTCACACAAAGGACATAAGAACACACGTGAACACACCCTGATAACGAAGAACAATAATATGAACACAGAACACACGTGAACACACCCTGGTAACGAAGAACAATAATATGAACACAGAACACACGTGAACACACCCTGATAACGAAGAACAATAATATGAACACAGAACACACGTGAACACACCCTGGTAACGAAGAACAATAATATGAACACAAAACACACGTGAACACACCCTGGTAACGAAGAACAATAATATGAACACAGAACACACGTGAACACACCCTGGTAATATTAAATAGGACGTAGGTTATAGGAATAACCTTCCCGGAGGTCGAGCTGCCATTAACAACCATCGGTTCTGAAAACATTACAAAAGTTACAACGATCCACAACATGAACTATATACTGTAGTTAGGGTGACAAATATATTACAGTACAGCCGCCATATAAGTATAAAGTACACTAGAAGCACATTAGTGTTAAGAGATTATGTATACAATATATTTTCACACTTTGGGAATTTGGAGACAATTAGTACACAAAGAAAATGGAATGTACTACAACTTACTTACAACTACAAGAACAACGAAAATGGGAAATACTAAAGTACAAAAATACCCAACAATTAGTACAGTCACCCACAAGTATTCTCACACACCTATGGGTCTTCTATGGGTCAAATTATCTGGTAGAACTTTCCTGTAGAGAAGTATCAGGATTCCAAAATAACCCGTTATTTAAGTGTCATTCTTACACATATGTTGTGGACACATGTGTTTATGAATCCTATGAGTTATTTGCTGACTGGTGCTGTAGTTGGCCCTCTCTCCCCTCCCCAACATGGGTCATAGAAAGTACTACTCATTAAAGAACACCACCATAGTGAGACTCCAGCTCGGTCCCCTCTGTCACCCCAGATTATGTGAGAGTTTATATAAAAAGTGTAGACCTGTAGCACAAGCTGGGGCCACCCCCCTAATGTGCAGTAATTCTAAGCATAATTTGTGATTTATCCTATTCATTTATATCCTTGTAATTGCACAAGTAACTCCTTAAACCTCTCCCATCCCCCACCACCTGCTCACACCACGGCCACCTTTCCCCCTCACTCGTGAAGGCGTCTGATTCACGACTCGATGTTCTCATGGTTCACACCTCATGGAGAGGGTGGATTGACAACGCTGAGTGTACCAGTCGGAAAGGTTCCAAATAGACTGAATAAATTATTATCACCTGGTAGTTTCTGGACGCCCATCCTGTCTATAGTCCTGGGGATGGTGATCCTGATGGGGCTGGGTAGATCCTTAATATCAACTATCTCCAGAGCTTCGTTCATAATGTCCATGTCTAGGACCTTCGTGCCTCGGGCCAGGTTATGCACGCTGTTCGGGTACGACTGTTGAGTGAAGGTTACAGTTAAGAAGTGGTACAGATGGTCAGGGTATGTTAAAGGGAGATATACAACAGGTGGTTATAGAGGGTTAAATGTGGAGGAATAGGTGGACATGAAGGAATAAAAGTGGACGACGTGGGACATGATTAAAAGAGAAGGTTCAAGTTGTCATGGAAGGATAATGTGGAGGTATTGGACATTGGTGATCATGAAGAGAAAAAATGTTGCTGCAATGGAGGTCATTGAGGAATAACTGTAGAGGCATTTATCTAGTGGCCACCCACTAGAGGTGGACATGCCTATGGAAGGAGGCCATTGGCCTGTTTAGGATACCGCCATTGTTCTTGATAATTTTATCAAAGAATATTTTGATGGCTAATACTGTTTGTGATTCCACTGGTAGACAGTGCCATAGGTCTATCAACCTCTGTCTGAAGAAGAATTTCCCAAAGTTCGTTCTGCATGATAACTTGGCGAGTTTGTAGTTATGACCTCTCGTGTTGGAGGAGCCTGACGTCACAAACAAATATCCCAGGTTCACATTTTCCATCCCTGTCAGCATTTTGAATGTTTCAATGATATCTGCCTTATTGTGCCTTGTCTGAAGGGTTGTTAGTCCTAAGGCCCTCAGTCCACTTGGATAATTAGGATGACATAGTTCTGGAATCATCTTAGTTTCACACTGTGTTGCACCTTGTCAAGGGATGTTAGCTCTTTCTGTAGGTAGGGTCTCCATGCCTGTATACAGTAATCTAGACTGGGACGTATTTGAGATTTGTACAGTTGAAGGATCATTTTCCTCTCTTTGTATTTTAATAATTCCCAAATGTCGATCTGCTGTCCTCACTGCCGCACTCCCTTCAGTAAATGATCTATCACAACACCTAGATCTTTCTACTTATCGACAGTTTCCAAGAAAGTTTTATTAACAGAATACTGTAGTTGTGTTTAGGGTTATTGTATCGTATGTATAAAATGATATTAAAGATCATTTGCCAGTCTCGAGATCATTATAAAGCTGAGGCAGGTGTTTCTGTACTGTTACCACCACATCGTCTTGGTCTGATACCTTCCCAAATATCTTCGTGTCGTCCGCAAACTTGACAATGTGACTCGATATGTTTTCGTCTATGTCGCTTATATAGATCACAAACAAGGTGGGTCCAAGGATAGAGCCTTGTGGTACTCTACTGAGAACCTTTTCCTATTAAGAATGTACTCCATTTATGACCACCTTTTGTTGCCTGTCTTCGAGCCAGTTGTTAATCCACTTCAAAAATCTTGCCTGTGATGCCATGTGCCTGGATCTTAGTCGTGCATGTGGCTGGCTTATTATCAGGGCCAGAGATGCATTTGAAAGCTTAAGGTACCTCATCAGTTATTCTTAAGCATCCCTAATGGTAATCTAGCTCGCAATTATGGCGTGTAAGGACCCCAGATTTGTGGCTTGAGAGCTCATTGCCGTAAGTGGACAGGGGACACAATAATAGGAATATATGAATAAAAATGGAAGTCTAAGTCATCATAGAAGGATAATGTGGAGTCATAGGTGGTTATGGAGGAGTAAATGTGGAGTAATAGGTGGTTAATGGAGGAGTAAATGTGGAGTAATAGGTGGTTATGGAGGAGTAAATGTGGAGTAATAGGTGGTTAATGGAGGAGTAAATGTGGAGTAATAGGTAGTTAATGGAGGAGTAAATGTGGAGTAATAGGTAGTTAATGGAGGAGTAAATGTGGAGTAATAGGTGGTTAATGGAGGAGTAAATGTGGAGTAATAGGTAGTTAATGGAGGAGTAAATGTGGAGTAATAGGTAGTTAATGGAGGAGTAAATGTGGAGTAATAGGTGGTTAATGGAGGAGTAAATGTGGAGTAATAGGTAGTTAATGGAGGAGTAAATGTGGAGTAATAGGTAGTTAATGGAGGAGTAAATGTGGAGTAATAGGTAGTTAATGGAGGAGTAAATGTGGAGATATTTATGGTTGACGGAGGAATAAAAGTGAATGTGAAGAAATACAATAAAGCATATGTAAATAAATGTGGAACTACTGCAGGAATAGTTACGTGAGTGATGTAAGGCCAGAGGGTGGCGGTGTAGGTGAAAGTGCCGTTACAGTAGTCGATGGGGCAGAAATCTTCAGGGAGGACGATGGCTGCCCCGTTCCCTCCTAACTCGATCTCCATACTCGTCCCGTTCAGCTGCGTTCTGTTGAAGGGGGAGAGTGAGTTACGTTCACCTGTGTTCTGTTGAAGGTTAGGTTAGGTTATGTTAGGTTAGAGACAACCCCCTCAGGCTGGGGTTAAGAAGGTCAATGGATGAACTTTGAACATACTAGCATCGGTAGGTTAGGTTAGGTTAGGATAAGTCGGCCGTGTTGAGGACTGACCTAGACTGCATGGCGAAGGTGATGCAAAACTGATAATTAATATTAGAGGCAATACTGTACACTTACAGACGACAGAAAACATTCTTAAAAAGACAGGAAGAGGCATACACGTAGAGACAGAAAGAAAGATACACATAGAGACAGAAGGAGAGATACATAGAGAGAGAGGAAGAGAGACTCACCGGGCAGCTTTAGCCAAGAGACCATTACGACCGTCCAGCTCATTAACCTCCCCAGTCACGCTATTCTTCAGCATGGTCTTAAGTACACTGTCAAACACTCCCTCCATCACGGGCAGCTGTCGTGTTTAAGAAAAAAATCTTTAGTTCTATTCTTATCTATCCACCCATCTATCAATCTATCCATTTATCTTAACTAGATGTCCATTTATCTAGCTAGTTATTCATCTTCCTAGTTACCCATCTATCTAGCTAGTTAATTGTCCGTCATTATATCTATCTATCCATCTATCTATCTAAGTTGTTGTTCATCTATCTCTTCAACTATTTTCTAATCTGTTCCTTCATCTTTCTCTACACTTACCTATTTTTTTCTATCCACCAATTTCATATTTTTTTATCTACCCCTTTCTATAATAATAATAATAACAATAATAATAATAATAATAATAATAATAATAATAATAATAATAATAATAATAATAATAATAATAATAATAATAATAACAATAATAATAATAATAATAATAATAATAATAATAATAATAATAATAATAATAATAATAATAATAATAATAATAATAATAATAATAATAATAATAATAATAATAATAATAATAATAATAATAATAATAATAATAATAATAATAATAATAATAATAATAATAATAATAACAACAGCACCAACACACACACCTGTTCCGCCGCCCTCGCCTTTGTCACGTCCCGTATGTTGCAGGACACTATCTTGAGCATGCTTGACGGCACTTCCATGTGGACTATGCCCCAGGGAGATAGTGGTGGTTAGTGGTGATTAGTGGCAAAAAGATGTTGGTTAATGATTGTGAATTAAATATGCTTATATAGAAACAGACAAATAAACCTTAATATGGACAATTAAATCTACATTTTTATAGAATTAAACAAAAAACGGGAGGAGAACAAATTAACTACAAACTCACTGTCTGTGCCGATGTCTGTGTCAAAGGGTATAGTATCTGAGTTGGCCAGGTCACCGGGAGGGGCGCTGCTGCAGTCCTCGTCTGCGATAATCTCACCGATATTCTGTAAGTGTTTGTGAGTGAGACAGAGACAGACAGAAGGCCTCCCTCCCACAACCCCTTCAGTTACTTCTCTCACGGGCCACTGCTAACATAAGCTAACTCTCTTGTGTATTTACTTCTTTTGAGTCTAGGAACGTGAGTCTAGGAACGTGAGTCTAGAACGTGAGTCTAGGAACGTGAGTCTAGGAACGTGAGTCTAGGAACGTGAGTCTAGGAACGTGAGTCTAGGAACGTGAGTCTAGGAACGTGAGTCTAGGAACGTGAGTCTAGGAACAGGAGTCTAGGAACAGGAGTCTAGGAACGTGAGTCTAGGAACGTGAGTCTAGGAACGTGAGTCTAGGAACAGGAGTCGAGGAATGTGAACTATAAATGAGCCAACTGTTACTGTCACCTGTAAACATGATTCAGTCAGCTGGTGTTATTGTCAGCTGTAAACACGAGTCACTCAGTCAGCTGGTGTTACTGTCAGCTGTAAACATGAGTCACTCAGTCAGCTGGTGTTACTGTCAGCTGTAAACATGAGTCACTCAGTCAGCTGGTGTTACTGTCAGCTGTAAACATGAGTCACTCAGTCAACTGGTGTTACTGTCAGCTGTAAACATGAGTCACTCAGTCAGCTGGTGTTACTGTCAGCTGTAAACACGAGTCACTCAGTCAGCTGGTGTTACTGTCAGCTGTAAACATGAGTCACTCAGTCAGCTGGTGTTACTGTCAGCTGTAAACATTAGCATAAACATGAGTTGTTCAATAGCAGGTACAGTGAAGGACACACCACCACAGCAGGTACAGTGAAGGACACACCACTACAGCAGATACAGTGAAGGACACAAACACTCACCAACATAAGGTTACTGACGATGCTGGCCACGTTGTCACCGAACCTCTGTAACTGACCTGGTGCTATTATAGGTTCATCCTCTACCTCTGCCACCATCCTCTGGTAAGGTAGATAGATAGGTAAGTGGATGGGCGGACAGGCAGAAAGACATATTAATAGTTAGATGAATGGATGTATGAATAGATGGATGGATAGATGGATAGATGGTTAGATTGGAAGGACAAATGGAAGGAATGGAATGCTTCTCCAGTAATTGTATGTCAGATACTGCCAAGTGTCCAGGGAATTCTGTCTGCAACTGTACATTGATATCATACATGTAGTAGGTATATGTATTAATAAGTTTACTACAATGGTGACACACACACACACACACACACACACACACACACACACACCTGCACAGAACTCAGGACGGAATCTTTAGCGTCCATATCCACACTGCGGGAAAGGTCCAGGTCAGAGGTACAGTCCTCCAGCAGCTTGGCGATACTGTTGGCGGCTACGTCAATGGCGGGGAAGCGAGTGAAGTCTGTGTTGCTGCTGATTGACTGTACTGCTGTGTTGACCTGATCTGACAGTTTCTTTAGTGCCTTATCTTGCTCAACCTTGCTTACGCCCTTCACCTTAATATACCCGGGCTGTGTCATAAGAATAAATCATCATAAGTTTACAAAGAATTCTGAAATTATCTAAGAGTAACTTCACACACCTGACGAACACACATTTAATCATTATTTGTCGACACAGAAATCGGAGTTATTTAGGGGGGGTCTCAGTTCACGCTGTGGCACACATATACTGTATAAATAACAATGTAACACAGACAAAAACAATGCTTACACAGAGACCTAAGACAGATAAATACTGACTTGGAAGGTAAGAATATTCCGAGCCGTCACCACCATCGTCAACATCTCCGAGCTGCAGGCACCCGTCAGTTGGTTTATAGTGTCGTCAACGTCCGCCTCCTCCAACTCCTCCAGGGTCGGCTGTACAACCTGTTGGAGAATAATAAAAATACCTGTAATGACAATAATAATAATGTAAGCAGATTTTCTTCGTAGTATTATTATTAATTACTTTAAAATATATATCATCGCCACCATTCGAATAAAATAAGATTATATTATCAACACTAAAGAAAACAGTAAACTCATAACGCTGATACAACAGAAAATGGGCCAGCAACACTGAGAAGAAACGTACCAACATTAATAAGAGAAAACGTACCGTCAAATTAGATACGACGGTAACTATGGTAAAGCTGTCCCACTTATCCGTGATGGTCACCTTGAGCTCGTAGGTGCCAGGGGGGAGCACAAGAGGATTCACTTGATCCCCCAAGTTTGGCAGGTGTGTGACCAGGAGGATAGACGGCTCTCCTGGGGGGTACACTGTATGGGGAGGGACAGCTGTGTAGAGGTGTGTTATCCATTATACACAGAGGGAGAATACAGGGTGTATCACGCCACCTCCTGTATGGACGTGAGTAAAACTCTGAGTTGCCAATTACTCTTGTTTTGGTTCTATTATTAATGCATTCTATACAATAGTGACATCTCGAAACAACATATGTTATTACAATACTTTTTTCACAATCCACTACATTATCTATCTAAAGTAAACTATATTTTATACTTTAAACATCTAGTGAAGTTAATGTAACTGTTTAAATTAATGTTATTTTCTAATGTTACTATAAGTTTACCTTTTATAAATAAATTTTAATTTTATTTTACTTTGTCGCCAGCATTTCCTTTGGCTTAATGAAGTGGGCTTCCTCTTAAGATAAAATAAAAGAACTGGCGAGCATTCATAAAGATCTGTGATCTCTGAAATAACCTTACATGATTAAACCCTCGACAGAGAGAGACAGACCTACTTTTTTATTACCCAACCATTGGGTCTGTCTGTCTGTCTCTCTTCATACACATATGAGGAGCTCAGGATCATAACCTGCTAAGAGCCATGTATCGCTGAAACGTGTTATGTATTGCATTGTATTCTCCAACCTCTCCTCTGTCCCCTGGGAAAGTCAGAGAGCTAATTTGGAAGCTGTACACGTGGGTGAGAGTCCTCTGAAAAGACTATTGTATGTCACACATCTCTACCTGAGCATTTTCCTCCATTTTCTATTTTGTCACTTTGCAGATCATGGTCCGGAGCTCCTCATATGTGTATAACTTCTTAGTGTAAAGTGATGCAAAAATTATGAAATAGTTTGTGGGTTTCCTGCTGACAATAATGGGGTTGACTGACTGACAATCTGGAGTTTGACTGACTGACTGTAGGGGTTAATTGACTGACTCTAAGAGTTGACCGACTGACTGACTCTTGTAGGTTGATTGACTCACAGGTAATGAAGTAATAAGCGATGCCAACACCTTCGGGATCGACCCAGCCCCGACAGGTGAGGGTGAAGATATCCAACGGCTCGACGTTTAGATGGCGAGGCGAGCGAGCACGAGCCTCCCTCTGGTGGTCGGTTCTTTTTCATGAAGAACGTCGACGCTCCTACAGGAAGAGAGATGTGAGGGAGGTAGGTGGTTAGGTTATGTTAGCATTAGGTTAAGTTTGGATGGGTTGGGTTAGCATGATATTGTTTTAAATCAGGTGAAATAAGCTGGGCTGTGTAATATTCACATGTCCCATTTTTGGGTGAAGTAAAAGCGGCACTCACCTGTCTTGCCCTGCCCGTTTGTCACCTGAGCTGTGAAGTGCATCGTGTTATCCCTTAGCTGTTCCTCGTAAAATAATGTGGACACCGTTACCTCTTTGTACTTGTGACCTGGAAAGAACACGGCTTGTTATAATGATGTGAACCAAGAACACCGTTGTTATAGTGGTGTGAGTGAAGAATATTTTGTTGTTTAGGTGAATGATGAACAGAATGTTATTGTTGGTGTGAATGGAGAATATATCTTGCTGGTGGTATTGTTGAGTGAAGTATAGCTTAAACATTAAGACACACACACACACACACACACACACACACACACACACACACACACACACACACACACATACACACACACACACACACACACACACACACACACACACACACACACACACATACAAAACCTTCCTTTCCACTCACTCATACACCTACATGACCACCAAGAAGCCACTCCAAACACACACACACACACACACACACACACACACACACACACACACACACACCACTCACCCACAGGTAGGTAGTCGACAGTGTAGGGATACGGGTGTCCTGCTTCGTCCGTCAGCTGCCATCTGTAGGTGACCGGGGCGTGGCAGTTCTCCACACACTGGCTAGCGAACGCCCCACGGTACGATGGATTCACGTACATACCGTCTCTGAATGGTCGACACATATTGTTTCCAACACACCTGAGAGGTAGATATTTACATACATAACTAAGTAGATATACAATAAACGGATTCAACATGTGTATAGAAAAAGATAGATAGACTAAATTGAGAGAGACAGACAGACAGACAGACGCCCACTCTCTCTAACACATACTTGACTGAGACGATGGGGACTTCCTTGTCAACGGTGTGAACCTGAGCACGTCCCAGGGCGGTGCGGTCATCGGCGGGATTTTGTGTAGTGATCAAAGCCTCTATCTCATATATGGTATTCACGGCTATGAAGTCCGCGAATAACAAAACTCCGAGCTGTTGAGAATTATTCGACCTGTGAGGGAAGAGGAAGAAGCTGTCAGGGTAGGTCAAAGGTTAAGCTGTCAGGGTAGGTCAAAGGTTAAATCATGTGTACAGAATAATATTAACTGATGGCATGTAAGATAAGCGTAAGATAATGGTGGTCTCTGGAGCTCATTCACCCCCCCCCCACAAAAAAAAGTAATAATAATAAGATAAAAACATGAGATAATCTCCTCACCTCAGCCACCGATCTTGGCAAAGTAGCTCACCTGGGCCGTAGCCGAAGCAGCCGGTGGTGAGAGGTCCTAGAGGGCTGACAGGATGAGGTATGTCTTCTTGAGGTAGTGGCCATTCCTCTCCTAGCTGCCGACACCTCCAGTGCCCCACCTGGAACACCTGCAGTAAGGACACACAGGTGAGAGGCAGAGATTGATGTATGGAGACACTGAGAGAGAGAGAAAAAGAAGGAGTTTATCTTCTGTTTCTTTCTTTCGTATTTTACCTGACCTCGCTAAGGGTAAGGTTACGGCAAATTAGCGCCTGGGTTGGGTGTAAATGGGACTTCTTAGTGTGGGCCATTGTAGTTCCCTCCATTCTAATACTCTCTCTCTCTCTCTCTCTCTCTCTCTCTCTCTCTCTCTCTCTCTCTCTCTCTTTCTACAGTACATATCAGTGTTGCTCGTTTTAGATAATCCAAGGGTTCAGAGGTTCACCTGGGAAAAGAGTAGAAAGAGAGAGAAAAAAGACCCACCTCTTCCACCTGTGTCTCACCTATGAAGAAAGAAAGTGAAAAAAGAAAGCAAGAGAAAGAAAGAGAGATCGACTCACTTGATCAGTTACATCAGGATCGACAGAGTGTACAAGAGGTTGGAAGGACACCATCTGGGCAGGACCTCTACTGACGCGGTTGACGCCGTCCTTCAGCAATATGGCCGTCAGGGGAGATCCCACCACCCGGATGTGTGTGTATGCTTTTTCTCGAAGGCAGATCCGGCCCTAACACCTCGGGGTCTGGAATTACGCACAGATACTTGAAACAGAAACTTGTGATGTGGGATTAAGATAAATGCAGAGACACTGAAGCTTAATGAGAGAAAAGACAACATCATGATGGAGAATTGCTGAGAGATGACAAGAGAGACAGAGATAACAGGAGACATAACCAGAGACACACTTGAGAGATAACCAGAGAGACAAAGAGAGATAGAAAGATAAGAGACATCATTACCCCACATGGTGATAAGGAAGACCAGCTTGTAGTAGCCATAAGGAAGAAACCTGGCTGGGATGGTGAACTGAGATATGTTCCAGGAAGGCACCACCTCTCTCACCGTCAGTTCCCTCAACGTCTCTCCCATCAAGCTGTCTACCTCCATCACCCTCCACCACATCCTGAAGCACAGAGAGATGATGAGGGAACACAGACAGACAGACAGACACAGAGAGATGGGGTCATACACACATGTTTTTTGTGTTTGTTTAATTGGGATAATAAGGTGAGGAAGCCAGGTGAATTAGTGGGTATGGTAAGTCTGGTCACAGGTAGGCCAGGTGACTTAGTGGGTACGGTGGGTCAAGTGACTCACCGGGTACGGTAGGTGAGTTCACAGTTGATGGATGCCCTGGCCTGAAGGGTGTTGTCTTCTGCCCGCTTCACCTTGTGAGCGTTGGCGAAGAAGAGGACTTGGTCAACGAGGGTGAGCCTGGGTGGGGCACAAGGCACACTGGTCACCACGAACTTGAGGAAATCCTGCACCGAGTTTATCTTGTTTTTGGCGATCATGATGACGGTGTAGGTGCCGTACGACCTGTGGGGGGAGGCTGCCAGTTTACGACACATCAATATACCAACATAAACTTAACTTGAGGTATGATATTGTCTGGGGTATGATCAACCTTCACCTTCCTTAAATTCAAGCAACCATTCACAGTTGGGTGGCTTACAGGTGCCTAAGGTTCAAACCAGTGATCCTCAAGACAGGAGTCGAGTCCTGCATCCACTCAGCCCTTAACAATTTAACCTAATGTAACTTTAACTGTACAGTACTAATCCTCTCTCTCTATCCCTTGCTCTCTCTCTCTATCTCTTTATCTCTCTCTTCAATCTATATTTCTATCTATCTCTCCCCCTCTCTCTCACCCGTAAGTGTGTGTTATGTTCATCACTATGTCGATCTTGCTGTGGACGTGGTTGCCCCAGGAAAAGTGTGTGGTGCAGTCCTCAGGGGCGCCGTAGGTCGCCAGGTCACTGTCATCATTCCAGTGGACCGCTATACACGTCCCTCCACCCAGGGACTCGAAGGATACCTGGAAGTGCTTCAGCTCGTCCTGTGAACCAGTTGTCGTGTTAGAGAGACAGACAGACACACACACACACACACACACACACACACACACACACACACACACACACACACACACAACACCCACCTTGTCAGTAACGATGGAAAAGTCGTCGATTATAGGACCCCGGATCATACCAACGATCTCTATGGTAAAGTTAAAGGGCACGGCCTCAAACTGGTTAATGGCCAACATCGTCATCTCCAGCACGGCTTCCTGCGGCCACACACAAACACGTCAGGGCAACTACTAACCTTTACTTAGCCTAACCTAACTTAACCAAAATTAACCTAACTAAAACTAAATAAATCTAACCTAACCTAACCTAATCTAGCCTAACCTAACCTAACCTAACCTAACCTAATCTAGCCTAACCTAACTAAACCTAAATTAATCTAACCTAACTAAAACTAAGTGAATCTAATCTAACCTAACCTAACTTAACCAAAACTGACCTAAATAAACCTAACCTAGCTCAAACAAAGTTAACCTAACCACACCAGACCTAACCTAACCTAACCTAACCTAACCTAACCTAACCTAACCAGACCTACCTCGCCATGGAAGAAGTTGAAAGACTTGGTTGTCGGATTCAACTTATCTTCCACAAGGTAGGTGAGAATTTCTTCGCCAGTGGTGGCATTCATCAATATGTACTTATCCACCGTACCTGAAGAGCAAACAAGTTGAAAGTCACTTACTGAATCTAACTCGTTAATTAAGACAAGCAAACATGAAAGTTACACTCTACCTTAACTAGATACGTTCACTTAACACCAGATACTATTAACTATGAGAACCAGAGATTAATTTAACACAAGAGTAAAGGAAATTGGTCTTGAGGAAAATTAGAGTACAGGGACTTACCATGGATGACACTGACCACCAGACATAACAGGGAAGAAAGTGGCACTGACCACCAGACATAACAGGGAAGAAAGTGGCACTGACCACCAGACATAACAGGGAAGAAAGTGGCACTGACCGCTAGACATAACAGGAAGAAAATGGCCGACCGCTGACATGACAGGGAAGAAAGTGGCACTGACCACCAGACATAACAGGGAAGAAAGTGGCACTGAACACCAGACATAACAGGGAAGAAAGTGACGCTGAACACCAGACATAACAGGGAAGAAAGTGGCACTGAACACCAGACATAACAGGGAAGAAAGTGACACTGACCGCTAGACATGACAGGGAAGAAAGTGACGTTCTTGTCGAGGGGAAACATGTTCCTAAGTTCCCCATATCCGTCTCTGGTCTCGTCCGAATCTTGTCTCATGTAGAACTTTAACTCGATCTCAAAATCTTTTATTTCTTGGATTATCTCTATCTGTAAGGCCGGGGAGAAGTGAGAGACCATGACACACACACACACACACACACACACACACACACACACACACACACACACAGACACACACACACACAGTATAAGGTAGTGAGGTAGTCTCTTGGTGCAGGTGTGTGATTTAAATAATTTTACAAGGTATTTATGTGGATTTTAACTAACCTAATTAAATCGTATAAAATTTGTACACCTTTAGATACGAGTAGTTGTCATTGGGATCACCTGATGATTAGCCACCTTACCGGTTAACCCTTTGAGTGGTGGAGGATTAAGACGTCATCCTCAAAGGGTTAAAGGTAGGTTAAGTTAGATTACACATTGTTACCTTTGATTACATTACGTTAGATTGTGTCGGGTTAGGTTAGGTTAGGTTAGAGCAAGTTATGTTGGGTAATGTTATACAAGCTGAGGTTTAGGTTAGATTTGATGGAATTAGGTTAGGTTTGGTTAGTTTAGGTCATGCTAGGTTATGCATATTAGGGTGTTTAATCAGGTGAAATAAACAGGGACGCCTAATCTTCATGTGACCGTATTCGTGGTAAGACTCTTTAGTTTGGAGAGAGAGAGAGAGAGAGAGAGAGAGAGAGAGACCCTTGGATCCACAACTCACCACCACGACTGACCTCACTAGTAAAGTTGTGGTCAGACACGTGGTTAAAAACGAAGGCTGAGAACTGGTATGTGCCGGCGTTGACGTAGGTGTGGTTGAAGACGGGCTGGAAGTCGCCGTTCGGGTGGATGAAGGGCAGCGACTCCACTACCCCGTCCCCCCAGATCACCTCAGCCATCGCGTTGGTCGGGAAGTCCACAGGTGTAGCGTATTGGAAGATTACCCGAGGTACTGTGTGAGGCAAGAACACCTGTATGGTTAAATCCTCTCTCTCAACACCTGGTTAAGTAAGCTCATTAAGGTAGGTGTTATAGCCTTACCGGTAGAGGGGACGAGGAAGGCGAGAATAGGAGGGATGGACCACGAATCAAGGACAGGGTGATGGAGCAATAAGGTACAGGAGGCGAACACAGGGTCAGTCACCTCGTTGTGTTGGTTACTCGCCTCCGCCTTCACCGTGTACACACCATCCCTTGCCACCAGCACCTCCTTCGTCAGGGAGTGTGGACCTGACACCGCCGGGTAGTCTCCTGGAGATGGTGGAACGTGAAGTGTAAGACGCACGCGCAGATAGACGTTTACCATATACAAATGTTTATGTGTGAAAATGTAACACAGCCGACACACCAGCTCCATCTCTAGGACAAGCGTCCAACTAATAAAAACTGAATTACTCCCGTATGACTAATATTTCCTTGTCCGGGAGTATTTACGTCCATGGTAGGAGAAGGAATTCTGGGTAATTTCACGGCAGCAACGTCTTGATTGGCTGTCGTCCGTCCCAGTTGCCATTCTCTCACCTGATTGGTGCAAGTACACTGCGTCTGTTAAACCACGCTCCATGGCCGTCATGGTTTCTTCACCAGTAGTTAGGCATGAAGGGGAGGAGGAGGTGCCTCATGTTGAAGCACATTGATGTAAGATGCAAGTTATATCTATCTATCCACCATCAACAGCACCTTCACCTACAACAACCATACTACCACCTACCAGAACCAAAATAACTACAACTCTCCTCTCTCCCACCTACCACACTCACCTGTATCCACCAAGGTGTCAAACTGGCCAAAATCAGGTGAATAGGTGAAGTTGACGGTGATGGGTCCAGCCACAGTGAAGGTGACGGTATAGGTGAAGCTGTAGTCTGACCTGCAATGTAGAGTGTCACCTATAATGATCACTTACTACTCTACTACTTTATTTAAACGTGGCCTCCAGCCTCCCCCAATAGCCACACCTTCGCCGCCATTTTATTACCTTAAAATTAAATATCCTAATACATAAGTAGCTACCCATACCTGTGAGTTAATTAAGCCACAGATCTATGCAACATACCTGACATAGAAGGGAGAGCGAAGGTTAAGGTTGCTGTTAAAGGTGTCTGTTACTGGCTGGGGCGCTCACAGCCACGTCTGTTATGTTCCTCTCACACGCTGTCTGGTCAGAGGCTTGGACGCTTGAGACTGGGTACTGGCGGGAGGTACAGCTGTTAGTGGCGGTGTGGTGCACTGATGGCCTATGAACCATACAGGTGCAGTACAAGTATGGTACACGTAGAACACAGGTGTGATAGTATGATGCAGAGTTGGTAGAGGTGTGGTGTGTCTGTGTACAGGTGTGGTGTGTTTGTGTACAGGTATGGTGTGTTTGTATACAGGTGTGGTGTATCTGTGCGGGCTTGGTACACTCACCTGGTCAGCCACCTGCAGCTCGGTGTCGACAAGTATCTCTGTACAGGTGTGGAAGAGGTTGAAGTACACCTTCTCTCTCACCACCACAGAGATGTAGTAGTGGTGGCTGGTGAGGACCCCGTCTACCTGGTCTCCCCCTGGTCCCTCATACAACCTGTCATAATAATAATAACCATCGCCATCATTATTACCAGTTCTCATCATCACCATCATAATCATTATCACTACCACCACCACCATCCTTACCTCCTGCCAACGGGTCCCTCCACAGCGAACACATCACCTGGCAGCACCTCGATGTCGGCCAGCTCGATAAACTGATAACCCACAGAGACCACCACCGCCCCGACCTCCTCGTAGTACGGTACTGCAGGCCAGGTATGGGCGGCTGTAAGGAGAACTACTTGTTACAGGATATAACTACTGTATATCTCCCCGAGTGTTTGAGAGAAACATTAGCTCCCCCCCCCATGCTAACCTAACCTAGCCTAGTGCTAACCAAAGCGAACTTAGACTAGCATAACCTAACCTAATGATAACCTAACCCAACATAACAATAACTTCACCTAACCTAACATAATGATAATTTAACCTAACCTAGTGCTAACCTAACCTAATCTGTCTTACTGGTAACTTAACCCAGCCTAATCCCCAAGTAGCATTAGTGTTTAATCACGAGGTGAAATAAGTTGAGGGCTATAGATTTCAGATGACCTAAGTCTCAGCGTCTCATATACAGAAGAGGTATGAGGCGCCCCACCCACCCTACCAGTGGGGCCAGAATAGTTATTTGTACCACTATATTCCCCCCATCTTCCCCGTGGGTAAATCAGGTGAGTATTGGGAAAGTTCGTCAAAAGGTTATTATTCATCTGTATATATGATTTCTGTTGATTATTCCACTTGCTATAAAAATATTGTTAAGGGAAACTACTGAAGCTTCTGGTACACAGGACAAATATGTTGTTTCGTTTCTCTTGTAGTTAAATACTGTACAAGTGAGTTTTGAACTTTTCTAGGATTATTATGTATCTTTTATCTTCAAAACCACATACCCATCATCAATTTAATTACGATAATGTGATATTCTACATAAAATTAGAGATGCTTTACTACATTAAACAAAACAATACTATCACATATCGTTATTGGTTCCAAACTTCTTATAATATCCGAGCAGGATAGGACTCGGAGCAACGGATTCAAGTTGGATAAGTTTAGGTTTAGGAGGGAGATAGGAAGGAACTGGTTCACAAATAGGGTGGTGGACGAGTGGAACAAGCTTAGCAACTTTGTAGTAAATGCGGGAACTCTGGAAAGTTTCAAAAGGAGGCTGGATAGATTCATGGATGATAGAGAGTGGTAGTAACTCTCGACAGGAGCTGCCATGCACAGGCCAACCGGCCTATTGCAGACTCCTTATTTTCTTATGTTCCTATGTTTGGCGCTCGGCAGCTTCTAGTAAGATTAGGACGACGGTGATGATGCAAATTGGCTTCATGGGCTACACAAATGACCCCACTACACTATACCATGAGGACCTACACCTCCACTACACTATACCACGAGGACCTGCCTACACCTCCACTACACTATACCATGAGGACCTTCCTACACCTCCACAACACAAACATCAGATGACCCAGCACACTACCTTGAGGTCCTACACATTCTCCCACGATGTCGTTTTCGGCACACATTCCATTGAGTGTACACAAGAGCTCCGAGGAGGGGCAAGAGTACACACTGTCCTCTCGTGTGTAAGGGCAGCTGTCCGTACACCCGTTAAGCTCAAGACAGAACTCCCCTGTTGTGCACTCTGGTCTGTATATCTGAGGAAGAGGACACAATGATAGTGTTTTAACAATGGTACAGTTTTATATTTTAACATTACTAATGAAATATTGACCACTTATAGTATGTTACATTTATGAGGTGAAGACATCATTGTGGGAGAGGAAGGTGTCAGCCATTGTCTGGTTGAGAAAAATTAACAATACGTAAGAAAAATAACAGAGAATCGTGTCCACAAACCTTAAAGACGAAGGAATCTATCTGCGTGATGTATACTTCGAGAGCCCTGACGTAGCCGATCACAGTGATGGGGGAGTTGATCTTGACTATCTCCTGGACGTCGGTCACTGATACTAAGTCTATAGCCCCGTAGTCCTGTGGTGGGACGTCACCGACCTTGGTGAACTCTGCCACGGCTGTCACCATCATCACAGGTCAGGTTACGTTAAGGATGGGTATAGCTTAGTTAGGTCTAGGTTCCCTTTTATAATTGATTTGTTTATGAATCTTGAAAAATAATAATAATAATAATAATAATAATAAGTGATCCTCGTCCCGGATAATGACCTTAGACGCTACAAAGATAAGTCTTAAGATAAATTGAAGAATTAAAGTGTAATAAGGAGATATGAAGATAATTTAGAACATAAGTACATATTAAAGGTGTACAGTATTAAGGAAATGAAACAAAACAAGATAAAACTAAAAAAATAAGAAGAAACCAGAGTAAAGACAGAATAAGAGTGTAAAGACAATTTTTTTTACCTGTGGGCGTGAAAGTAAACCAATCAGTGAAGGACGCTGACATGATCCTTCCCGTCGGTGCCGTCACAGACACGTTGCAGTAGTACTCGACGTCTGGTTCAGCCACCTACAGTACACATATTGTGTTCCTATTATTGAAATCAAGTATTATTTAAATTATTATACGGCTGAGATCTTGTTGTGATGTCGGAGTTATTATTGAACAAAGAAGAAGTGCTGCTGTAATAGTTACGCCCATTTGCTCCTACTGTTGAGCCTATTGGCATTATCATTATTCATCACTACTCATAACTACTATCATTCATCACCACTCACCACCACTACTCACCAGGGGACACAGCACCTCCAGCAGCAGGTCACCGGTGTAGGTAACATTCAGGCTGGTCACCTCTGTGTGTACGTGCGGGGCTCCGGTCACCCATGAGGTCACTGGAACACACACACACACACCGATCATTATCAAATGTTAATGAGATGTGTAGGTGTGTCTGTCGGGAGGTAGACACACACACCCGACAGCTATAAGGAAGACACACACCTGACAGTTATAAGGTAAACACACACCCGACAGTTATAGCACACACCTGACAGAAGGAATGAGCCAGGTATGAGGTAGTTCTCCAGCACTAGGGAGGTGGTAAGGGTTCCAGGTGCCACGTTGAAGGCGGGACTGAGGCCAACTAGGTGCACCTGGTACGTGGCCACAGGGGTCAGGCCAACCAGGGACACGTCGATGGCCTTGTCCTGAAGAAAACGGGATGCTGTGATTTATTGTACGTACGTGTGTGTGTGTGTGTGTGTGTGTGTGTGTTTTATTCGTTTTATTGTGAATTATATTATTTTTGTGGGTGAACTCAAGTGTTTTATTTATTGTTACTGTGTATAAGATAACGTGGATGAACAACATCAGAAGGCACAGAGACAGCCAAAGACACAGACAGAAACTATCTCTCTCTCACCTGTACAGTAGCGGTGAGGGAGAAGGTAACGTCACCCCCTGCCTGGTAAACACTGTGGTGTATGGGGTCCTCTCCACCACACCCCTGGCCGTCCACACACGCCTTACTACACGACGAGCTCACAGACGACCCCTTGTTGTCTGTACGAGGAGGTAAGGCAGAGAGGTACACACACACGTTATTATTACTTCTACTACTACTACTATAGTCTCAAACTCAAATTACACAGGTACACACATGCATATATATACACAGCCACAGACAGGCAGGCAGACAGACACAGACAGACAGACAGACAGACAGAACTCACCTCCACAGAGACACAGATAACCTTCGGCCACCCCAGCGTAGATAAAGCCATCAAAGAGACAAGCGTCCTGACACTTCTTAGCGCTGGGTGAGGTCAGGTCAAAGTTGATGGTCGTGTGGGTCATGGCCGGGGTCAGCAAGTCGTCTTCGTAGCAGCCCAGTGATTGACCCTCCACTGTTGAGATGACCGGATGTAGATATATAATTAATAGACATAACAATTGATAATGGTAGAAATAATAGACTCCTTTTATTTATTGGATTTTTAATCGTCTTTGTATTTGATATATTTTGAAAAAATAAATAAATTATTTTTTAATGTAGCATTATTTTTCAAAATGTCTATATGTAAAGTTTAAAACAATTTTATGCCCAAAAAGTGAACACAATGTTTTTAAATTCTATTTGGAAGTAATAAAAGCTTCTATAACCCAAATCACATAATAATGATTGACAATACAATATTCTTAAAATTTATATATTAAAAAATGGTCTAATTTCAACTAAAATTCTAAGAATGTCAGGAAATGTCATGACAAATTAATAATGATAATTTGATGTAAACTAAATGCAGGATTAGTGGGGACCGTGAAGAAATTATATTACTGAATAAGCAACTCGACTACAACGAGGGCTGCCACAAGATTCCCAGGTCAAATTTTCTTCATGATTTAAGCAAATATACGAACATTTGGAAACTTCTCATGATCTAAAAAACAATGAATAGTTTATTATTATAATAAATCTACCTTTAGTTTGTTTAATATTTATCCTGACAGTGATACAGCCGGAAACAGATCCACCAATCATAATCACCTGTACACACAACCACCAAGTGATGCGAGACCACAAAGAACCAAGCCTTCACGGTGCCTGCAAGCACTCATAGGAGGGTCAGTGGATGTTCCCCAAGTTCAAAGTGCCGAGGACTATTACCGTGTCACGATATATTTTCGAAGCCTTGACAGAGTTATTGGGGAGATGGGTCTCAGTTTGACAGTAATGACCAGGAGGTTGTGTGCGCTCTTAGTGATGTTAATATTGAGCTCATCGCCTTCCCCATCAGCCTTGGTATTATCTTCACATTCTACTCATTAGATAAAGATATTTTTGCTACTTAAAAGAGATATTTATTAATTTCCTGCTTGAAAACCTATTGGAATCAAACATAAGAAATTCTGCCACGCTACCGGTGTAGAATTTAATTACCAAAACGAATTGAATGACTCCATGCCACAGGTGTACTTAACGTGTGTTCTGTTTACTGTATTGCATCATAATTACATTTTAATTTTTAGTCAATAAACTCAATCTATATTAATTACTTCATATGTGATGATGTTTTTAATGTATCACTACGCTTCAACAAAGAAGGTCATTAACACCTTCACTACACGACACCACCTTTGACATTTAGTTAAGGTCAACAAACAGGTGAGCTGGACAGGTGTGGTGAACAGAGTACCTTTTAACGAACATTATAATTAAGAGCACCTGCCCTGACTCACTCCAGGGACGTGATATTGAATGTAAACACTTTCTGCTGTAATTGACGTCCAAGAAGCGAGAATATACAGAGATATAAATATACAATTGAAAAATACTGCTACTCGCACACAGTACTGGCGCGTGTGTGTGTAATTATAACAAATTGCCTGACTCTGTTCATGAATCTGATATTAAAAATCAACAAACGGGGTTCATTTATTTTACTGCAAAATAATGACGTCTAGTAAGAAGAATGTGTAGCAATGTATTTTTACTAACACGATATTGTCACTCCCACATACAATATTGGAACCTTCCCCCACATACAATATTGGAACCTTCCCCCACATACAATATTGGAACCTTCCCCCACATACAATATTGGAACCTCCCCACACAATATTGGAACCTCCCCACACAATATTAGAACCTCCCCACACAATATTGGAGCCTCCCTCACTCTTTAAACAAGTTATTAACATTACTATAAGCAGTCCACGCTCGGTTACCTCACCGCTACCGTACAGTAAGGTCGCACTTAACCTGAAGCTCTGTCCATGTTAGAACACTGCCCGGCCACGGGGCGCGCTACTTTATCTGATAATGTTTTATATCTATAAAACCCCGTGACGTCATCAAAAAGTCCTAGGCTGGATTACTCAAATTGTGTACATCTAAAACTAAAAGTACTGTGTGAGGAGAGATACTATGTGTATGTAAGGATATAACAGTGTAAATTGCGGAGACTAGATGTAACGTACACCACATAGTCATATTAGTAATAATAAAAAAAAACCTTCGTAGGTACAAAATATATATGAAGTGACGAGGGTTATCATGCACTAGTGTTTCCTTCTTCTCAACACAAACTTTTGTAATTAACCAAAGTGTTCCGTATTGATACTTCTTTAAACTTTACTACAATTTTATATATATATATATATATATATATATATATATATATATATATATATATATATATATATATATATATATATATATATATATATATATATTGGCCTGATTCAATGTAGCCAAAACTTGTACAGACGTTAGTTAAGAAGTTGTGGACAGTGTTAGTGGCTACAATGATTTTTTTGTGAAATAAACAAGAGAGACGAGGGGCCGCATTGTTGTGCCTTAGCTATACCTTTAGTACAGTAGGGCGTAGACGATTATCAACCATTCTTCATAAATACTGTATAAATACAAGTAGGGCCAATAAATACAGGTATAAAGTACAGGTACAGTAATTCCCAGGTGACGACAGAATCATACAGGGTGCGCTGTAACATATATTATGATGGATGGCAAACTACCAAACACTTAAACCAGTCATATAAACTGTAATGTAACGAGCCTGCTTCCTCATCACCACGAGAGCAAACTATAGTAAACTCATCAACCAAAGAACAACTTACCAACAGCATCGTGGCAGGTGAACAGCAGCAGCACAAGCAACCCTCGGGCGCCCTGAGGAAGAGACAACACAGGAGCTGGTAAGACGGCTCTCTCTCTCTCTCTCTCTCTCTCTCTCTCTCTCTCTCTCTCTCTACACACACACATATTAAATAACGAATAAATATTTTTCACAGACTTCTATACATGTTTCACCACTATCAGGAATATCTAGAAATAATTACAGCAGGTAACCAACAATGCACTTATCACAGCGCTAAGTTAACATTACCTGACACAAACCTTATTTACTTTTATTTCACTCCTTTATTTAACCTACCTAACAAGGCCTAACACAGCCTTTATAAAACTTGACCTAATAAGACCTAACATACCTTTTATCTGACCTTACCTAACAAGGCCTAACACAGCCTTTATAAGACTTGACCTAATGCTACTCTTATTCAACCTCATCTAACCTAATAAAACCCTATTTATCCCAACCTAACATTCACGACCTAACACAACCTCTAACCTAACCTTATCCTGCCTAATCTAAGCCCTTAAGTTATCTCACCTATTCTACCATGGGGTCATAACCTAACCTAAACTTGATTTCACCTAACCTACATCTCATAATCTAATATATTATAGGACTAGCCGTGTGTCTGTCAGTGTGTGTATCTGTTCTGGGCAGCCGAAACAGCACAATCGTTTTTCTTCAAACTTGATGGAAAAATGGTAAAAAATTCGTAGAGTGGAACAAACCTGGTCCCATGTCAATGTTTTCTTTAGAAAGGCATTAATTAAAAATTTTATTTACACTGGAAAACGATGCAAGTTTCGGACTTGGCGCACCCTAATTAACCATGCAAGTCTACGGACTTGGCGCACCCTCATTCGCTGTACGCTAGCCAAGAACGAGCATTCAAACTTTCACCGGGCACGAAGGTGACCGCGATCACTTGTAAGAATTAAATATACAGTTGTAGTCATAAGTCATCCTCAGGTTTAATATTAAAGTGTGAATAACGAAAACTGTTAACAAAGTAAGACAAATATAATGGAAAACGTGACACAACGAACGAAAGATTACGAGTGACTACGTACAGTACATGTACGTTCAGTTTCGTGCAGCGTGGGATCCCTGTGTGTCTTTACATTAGGCAGAAGGAAACTCGCAATAGTATACACACTATGGAATCAAATTAAAACAAAATTAACACAAATATCACATTGTAATGATTTGTGGAATGTTTATATGACAAGCCCCTGTAAACGTACGAGTGAAATTGCGAGATATGTCAGTGAGTTAATGGTGAAATAGTGAGCAGAAACAGTTGATTATGTTGAGTAAAAATATAACACAGGTATAAGTGAAATAACATGAAATAAAAGTACAAACAAGTGATATAAAATGGGAAAACAGTAACACAGGTGATATAACGAAGTGACAGTAGAATAATAGTGATATAAAATGAAAAACACTAAATCGAGTTATATAATTTCAAAAAATACTCAGACAGTTTTTCCAAATGCCATGTTTCTCAGACTTACGGTGTTGAGCCTCGCCATGGCGGCCTTAGCGTCAATTTTCTTGGATTTTCTCGATGCAGTGTTCCTGAGCTCCTCGACTGAATATTATAAATTTAAGTTGCCTTCAGGAGGACAGAGTCTTCAGTGGACCAGCAGACTCACACACCGCCACAGTCGTGTCCGGTGGTGTTCTGAGGGAGTGTCTGGATCAGTCAGGAAGAGAAGAGCCAGGGAACTATTTACTTTAGCCAACACGCACTTCTGTAGTCTTAATTCCTTGCTGCGCGGAGTCCTCTCATCATGACCTCCAGCCACGCCACGCACCTCTATAGATTTGCATTTTTTTATATCACTAATTCTTATTGTACATGTTTTTTTGTATGTATCACTAAGGTCAAAAGTTATATACAGGATATATGTAAATTTTTATAGTTTAGTGTAGTATATCCAAGGGTTTTCATCGGATGATCGAAATATATATTGTATCATCCACGCTCTAGTGCTAATTATCTGTAGAGTTTAGGTCTGGGGGGTATTCACTAATATTCATAGTTACCTTTTAACGCAAACAATAGCCCAACCCATATCTTTCCTAGAAATACTTAATACCAAATAATCACAGTAATAGAATGGTACTGAAATGATTGAATTAGATATGCCTCATTCTTCCCGATCCTAAGTATATCAGATTTGCTTACCTATGGAAAGTTAATCCTTTCTCTTTTATTTCACGTTGATCTTGGTTTGTTGAGTCAGGCATTTAGCAGCAGGTCCGCAATCAATCGTCTGGAGTACAATGAAGGGTGGGATATCTCTAGCATCTGAAGTGTATGGGAAACAAATGAGATCCAATATGGCCGCTGAGATGTTTCCGGCAGCTTCACCACTGAGCCATCCATCCAGTTAAGATTCATATCAGTACTTGAACTTGATCAACCCACAGAACTTATCGTCTTTTGTTTTCATCACAGCTGCTTCAAGTTCTTTTGTCTAATCTTTGGTTCCTCCAATTACTCATTATCATTATGCTGTTCTACACAATCTGTTTTTTATTCTTTTATTTCATTTGACTTAAACAGGAGATAATTATTACCATCTATGTCGTCGTTTTCTCATTGATTTTATTATCTTTTTCTACATTTCCCTGCAGTTTAGTCATCATCCATTTTCTTACATTTCTTCTTTGGAGTAAACTTTTTTAACCCGTCTACATTCTTCCTTTTTTTATCTTTTATGTCAAGTTCTGTGTCTCCTATTTTTTTTAATGTACAGTTTTTCCAAATGCCATGTTTCTCTGCTTGACAATCCCTATGTAAATTATTAATATATTGAATACAGGTACATCTAAGTGTACATTTTGAGAGGGTAAGTCGTGTTAATAAGAAGCCATTGGGTTATATGTATGTATGTATAATTAACAAAACATATGTATAGTTTTTATACAATAATACACACTTGATGTAGTATTCTGCGTCATGGGTAACTATACACATTATTAACAAACTGTCAACAACGTCTAAAAAAAGTATTGGCACATTTTATAATATTGTACATTATTTATCATGTATATTTATAAGTAAAACATATTAGTTTGGATAGAACTATGTGGTCTAGTTATTATGTAAATGATTTTTTTATACAAGGTAAATTAAGTGGTTGAATGTGGGTGCGCCAAGTCCGTAGAGTTGCTAGTGATTTATAAAAGTCGCCCAGGGTCGCTGGTTCTAACTCAGCAATAAAATATTTGATACAAGTCAACAATATATTGTATACCTTAAACGTACAAACAAGAAACATTTCATACTTCACAAAACAAAACCTTTTCGGTGAGTGTACTCCTCTGGCCTGTATGTTAGATATTATTTATTTTCCTCAGTTTATAATCAGCATTTTGTGGTGAAACTTAAGTTAAAAATCTCATTCACACAAAATTATAACTTAAAATACATTTGTCAGTTAATAACAGTTTTTAAAGGGAATAGTTGACTGAATGTAATAGAGATCTAAAATAACTATAGGCCTATTAATGATCCTAAAAACTTCTCAAAATGATTTGGTATTTGTGTACAGAAGACTGAGGCGGTGCTAAGTGGAGACTCTTAATAACCCTGGCAGTTGAACTCATAAATATAAAACAAAAATTTTCATTATCTTGAATACAATATTACTTGTCGGTTGTAGAAACTGTATACCACACGAGGTTAATAACCTTGGCAGTTATAATAAAGAGAAATAAAAAAAGCCTTAAAATGTTTGTGTTGTATTAGGCAAACTTTGCTCCTTGGTGAATATGTGAGTCAGAACTTAGTCCTGTATAGTTTCTTCACTTCACACAGTAGCTTGACGCTCACACCACCACACAAGGAGTTTTGAACTGAATCTAAAGTACACATTCTCAACATAAAACAAATATAACAATTTATGTGATTCTATAGATGCAATTATTTATCTAAAGTGTATTTATCCAAAATTAAACTTTATGTATACACGAAAAATACTAACGTGTATAGTTGTATAAAAATTTTCCGCTAACTCGACATTAACTAGAAAAGATCACTTAACAACTGTTGCCAGATATGATAAACAAACAGAATCTTTTGGAATTTGTTTTGTTAATTTTGTCTCCTACCTGGTATAAGTGAATGTGTCTAGTTAAGGTATAGAAAGACCGTATACTTTTGATAGTTGTGTATGTAATTTGTGAATGTGTGTTTTAGATGAAGTGAATTAGCACATTCTTCATACAACTCCGTACGAACCCTTATGAATCCAGCTCAGTGTAAAGTGGTATGAGATGATAGCGTATATAGTATATCCTTCCTGACGTTTATGATCTTCTTGAGTTAAACAGCTCTTGATCCTCTAGAAGACAGCTGGTGTTATAGTAGAATAATTAATAGGAGAGTCTGCCCTGGGTGGTGAGACGGGAAAGTGTTTTGCTGGTCGACGATGAAGATTACACGCTGGCGTATGACTCAACAAACACTGTAGTTCTGTTCTCTAAATTATACTGTAATTACCATCCATATCTCACTTACTCTTTCGCTTTCTTTATTTATTTTTTGACCTCTGACCTGACCATTTATAATAAGTAGTTCAACATATATACTGGTGAATAGTTTGGCTGTTTGGTTAATAAATAGGACGAACCCATGAGCAAGTTATTTTATTATTGTTTATTTTCTTACAATATTTCTATCAGTGAGTTCTGTATGATAATCATATATTGTGGAAATTGTTCGTCTCATATATAATTAGCCGCCTAGGAGCGGTAATGAGGCCGTGCTAGGCTGAGGGTCTTTACCCGCGCCCGGGGCAGTTTGTGAATTTAGGGGTAAAGACAAAGAGGCTCTTCAATTGTTTAAAGCTCACGACATTGTTATTTTACATAGAGACTGTTTATTTTCTTCCATTATTTTAATCAGTGAGTTCTGATATGATGATCATTTATTGTGGAACCCGTCGCCCGGGCTCTTTAGCGATGATGCGGCCACATCATCTCACGTCCAGAAATGCCTCAAATTTCACCATATCAGAGTAAGTTCTTTCAGTTTAATATACCGGGGGTTCTGGTAACGTTTATTTTTAAAATATAAAATTTTTAACATATTCCCACAAGCTACAACAGTGTCTACTATAATATATTAGTGAAAATTCGGTGTTTATATTTTTTTTCAATCAATTTCGCTCATTGGTTAGTCTTATATAATTACCAGCTGTTTAAGTAATGTTGTAAAAACTTGAAGAACAATAAAGATGTAATTCGGACAAGCGGTCATAGCAACACAAGACTAGTATAGTGTTGATGAGTTGTTGACGTATTAATGTTTAGAATTATCTCAAGTGAGGAAATTCCTACATTGTCAGGTGAGGGAAGTGTCTACATAGTTATCTCTCACGTGAGGGAAGTGTCTACATAGTTATCTCTCACGTGAGGGAAGTGTCTACATAGTTATCTCTCACGTGAGGGAAGTGTCTACATAGTTAACACACACCTGGCATCCTCTTGTGTTTACCTATATCTGCAACAGAACAAAAAGTTATCGTTAGTTTAAAAAAGCCATAAATTAAGCTAAAATAAAGTACTGGAAACTGAAATTATTATTGATATAAGAAAAGCATTTTTATATTTGTTAATAAAATCAAATAAAAAGTTAGATAAATAATATGGATGAGGTTGGACTGGTTATAAATAGTCAGACTAGTTATGCAAATATCAGACTTAAACCTCAGACTCATGCATGAATAAGATATGAAGAAATTAAATCAATTATATAAAAATAATATTAATACAATTAAAAAACAAATGTATATAAAAGAAGGTTACAAGAAGCAGACGTATAGAGTATTGAGACAAAAACGGGAACAAAAAGAAGCGGGAAGTAAATGAATAAAAGGTTAACAAAATCAGAAGCAGCAGAAGTTCAGTAACTGGCCAAGATACTAAATCCATAAAAAAAAACAGTAAACACAACGTAATGAATTGAAGTCCCATGTATAACCCCCAAAATAATAATACGTTCATGTTGACACTGATCATGGTATATATTTTTTATTATTTATCCATGTTAATGATTCCCAAATACTGTCAAGTTTCCTAAAATAAATAAAAGTATTGAAACGGTGTTGTTTGTTGTCTACCATTATTATAATCTATCTCGTCTACTGATGACTTGCCATATGTACTTATATTTCTTACTAATATTATCTATATAACACAGAGCAGATGTGATTATTTCAGGTGAACTACACACATAATATCTATAGTTGTGTCTTAGCAATATAATTGGGAAGTAAATCAGTTATATCTTATGTCTATAAGTCTTACCCAACAAGTATTAACCTCAGTCACCCCTACACACTTTTATTACAGCCTCATGTTAAGTGTAAATGATAGAAAGTCAACCATGCAACAGTCGGTCGTGTGTTAACTGGAGAATGAAAGCTCTTTGCCATGTTGTATATATTTATACAAGACGTAAGAACAAGGTTGACCTGACAGTCCTTCCTCACAAACAAATAATTCACAGACATTAATGACTTACTACATAACAAATTTAGATGATACAGTAAATTATTGGTGTATATATGATGATAAAAAAACTTTAACCACATTTGTGAGAGTAACTTGATTAATGAGAATAAAACAGGTCTAGAGGTTTAGTGTATTAGTGAGAACATTGCTCTTGATATTGTGGAGAACAAATTACTTTAATTGTGAACCTTTTTTTTTACAAGTGGCAACAGCCAATGTGATGTAACCTAGTCATGGCTTTCAAATAAACGAATAGGTCACTTGTGTCAGCCAGTTACCCAATGTTAATAAAATAAGACCAAATGCATCAGCTGTACTTTACGTCGCCACACTAATGGATGTGACATGCTGTATCTAACCATTGACAATAAAACTGTTCATGGTATTGTACGAATAATATCGTCTTCTGACATTTCCACTAAATTGTCATGATTTATGTTTCCCTTTACTAATCAAATTTACCGGAAAAGTTTGTATATATACACGGTCGTTAAGACAATAGATTACTGGACTTGACTTAAAACTCTTAAAACACTTGTGATTCATCCCACACTGACAGTGTTAAGTATAAATATTCATAAAGTTACTGTTGATATGTGATATATTGTGAAATAATTAAAACTTAACCCTTGGAAAATATCTTAGTAATAAGTAGTCACTTACATTTAAACTCAGCGTTAAACTCACAAACTTTGCCATCTACTGAGCTGTAGCAGAAGTTATTTATGTAAACACAAACAATAACTAGATAAATTAAGTTTCTACAGTATTACAGAGACCACAAGTTAACTGTTGATGTTCCGATCACTACCGGTATACATCCTGGCCTAAACTAACATAAATAATGAATAAAACTATGAATAACTGCACGTAAACAGTGGGCAGTGAAGAAAATCATCGCTTTTAACTTTCCCTTTTACTAGACAACAAGAACCAAATTCCAACCTTAGTGAATTATTAATGATTGCCTATATTTGTTTACCCTAGTTATATTTTCTCTGCCTCTAAATAAGCATAAACCTATCCATAAACATATATAATGGCGGGAAAATTACCCTAAAGTCCATTGACTTCGCATAACTGTACCGTCTTTAAATTATCTGAAATATCTATAATTTGTAAGTCTTTTGTTTTGTGAAATAGTTAAAAAATAAAGAACAGGTGTGTGAGTTTAACCGAGGCGGGACCCATACGTGTACAAGAAAAGACAAAGTTCATTTACACAGCAAGGGAAGAAGGTCGTCATTACTCGGGAAGAAAGTCACCATTGTAGGGGAAGAAAATTACAATTGTTAGGGAAAAGTCATCATCACTGCTAGGGTAGAAAGTCATCACTGCTAGGGAAGAAAATTACTATACATGAAGGGAAAAGTCGCCATTATTATGGGAATTAAATGCCAGAGGAAAAAAATAACATGAAAAGAAAGATTAGCCAATGTCTTAACGTTTGTACAAGTGGTATATAATAATATCATCATTATCACGTTTCTAAGTTAACGAACGCGACAGATCAATGTGAGTAGCTAAGATGACCCACTGTCGCCTCCGTCACTTTCACCGTCACCCTTACCTCTCCCTCCGTCACTATCCCACTTGCTCCTGCTATTCTCGGCGGAGGAGTACTTCCCTGCTGTGACTGGCGACGAAGCACGAGTAGAAGTTGTAGAAGAACCATATCTGTTGGTTCTACTGGTTGGACATAGATCACAGTCTTTCCCACTCGTCGAGGTTCTCAGAGAGCTTAAAGTGCTTCCTGAACCATACTTGGCGCCAGAATCACTACCCGGGCCAGAAGAACCGTATCTGGTAATTAGGCCAGTACTGCTAGTAGGAGTAGGAGAACTGTACCTGCTAGTTGTGGGAGCAGGAGAACTGTACCTGCTAGTTGTGGGAGCAGGAGAACTGTACTTGCTTGTTGTAGGGCCTGGGGAACCATATCTACTGCTACCACCTAGTGTACTAGAACCGCCCGCAGGGGCTGAGAGACCGTACTTGCTGCTATAACTACTGGATGAGCCACTAGTAGGAGCAGGTGAACCATACCTGCTTGATGTGGGAGCTGGTGAACCATATCTACCAGTAGCGGAGGATGAATCATACTTAGTACTACCCAACACGCTACCTGAACCACTGGTAGATGTAGTTGAACCATACCTATTAGGACCACTTGTAGAGGAAGACAGTGAACCATACCTGGCGCTAGAGCCATTCGAGGTATCGCTAGAACCAGAAGTACCGTATCTACTGCTTACTCCACTTGATGTATTAGAAGAACCAGCAGAAGGACTGTATTTAGCGCTAAGAGCAGCTAAGTTACTGCCAGAACCCGAGGTGGAAGTACCGTACCTACTGATGCCACTTGAGGTACTGGTAGAACCAGCGGAAGAACCGTACTTAGCGCTAAGCGCAGCTAACTTACTGCTAGAACCCAAGGTAGATGTACCGTACCTGACTGGCTCCCTGATGGGTACTGATGAGGTGTACCTAACTGGCTCCTTGGCGGCTGCTGGTATGGTGTACCTGCTTGTAACTCCGCTTAAACCACTTCCAGACGAAGCAGAGGAGTCATACCTACTGCTGTACCCGCCTGGGGGAGCTGACGAGGAGCTGTACCTTCTACTGTAACTACTAGAGCTAGTAGACTGAGCTCCGGTGGATGGAGTAGTCGTGTACTTACTAACACTACTATCAGAGCTATTTGTATCTGTTCCGCCTGCTGAGGTAGCAGGTTCATACCTGCTGCTGAGGTAACTGCTACCGCTGGAGCCTCCGTAACGGGAGAGGGACGTATCACGCGTCCGGGACAGGGGGGTGTCTCGAGCAGACCCGTAACGGGAGAACAGGGTGGAGGACCCGGTGGAACGGAGTGAGGGAGAACTAATACTGTCGCTGGAACGGAGGAACCTGCTACGTGATGTTGTGTCTGTCGAGGGCTTATCTTCCTTGGCAGCGATGGAGTTGGTTGCGGACGACCCCCATCTGCTCCTGCTGTAAGCGCTGCCTGTCGTCGTTTTCGTCTCCTCCGACTGCGACGGTCGTGGACGGAGGTAGAAGGGTATTTCTGCGTTCGTGTCCTTGGACTCGCGTCGTCGCATGAACGGGTGTGTGACTGTCGATTCATCAGATTTGGAGTATCTCCGCACACCAAACGGCGTGTCTTTCTTCTCCTCCTGTGGTTTACTTCTCCATCTATCAGTCTCCGGCTTGGTTTCCTCAGTAGACGCCTTACGGCTGACGTCGAGAGTCTTTTTAGTATCGGTGCCTTCCTCTTTGCTTCTCGTCCTCCATCTGTTGGAGGTGAAGCTTTCAGGTTTATATTCTTCCGTCGTTTTCTTCTGGCTGGTGTAAGACGAGGTGTCGGAGGTTGTCTTCTCGGTGCCTGTCTTGTCCTCCTTCGGTCTGGAGATCCACCTGTTAGTGGAGAAGCTTGAAGGTTTGTACTCCTCCACCGGCGACTTCTTGTATTCGGTCTCGGTCTCCCTGGTCCTCGTTCTCCACCTGTTAGTGGAGAAACTCTCCGGCTTGTACTCTTCCGCTGAGGTCTTCCTGGAGGACGTCTCGGTGCTCTCGCGTCTCCTGCATAGTGGTGGAGCTTCTGGGGTCTTCTGATCATCAGCTGGAGGAGACCTTTTCCTCACATAGGGGATCTCCGGCACCTTTAGAGAGGCCTCCGCTCCCGTACGCCTCCTCATGGGGGAGCTCTGTACTGGCTTCTGCTCTTCTGGAGGCTCTGGGCGGCGTCGACGTGGGGAAGAACTCTCCTCGACCTCCTCTACTTCAGAAGGTGGTCGTCGCCGTCTGGGAGCCCCGGTGGTAGGTGTGGTGTTCTCCCCGGTGTCCATCTGGTAGAGCAGCTCAGTGATGATGCCGGGTTTAGTGTCGCCGTCACTCTCCTCCACGCTAGTGTTGGGGTCCACCGCCGCCTTGATGAAGTGGAACGCGGCGTCCTCCGTCTCCACACAGTAGAGTCCACCAGTGCCGCCCCACAACTCCACCTCAGAGCTCCCCTGACTCATCCTCACCGTCTTCACCATAACCTGCAACAACACCTCAGTCAAGTATAACAACAACACCTGGAGGTCGACCGCTCTTATATCGTCAACACCTGGGGCAAGAATTTTTTACTTTCAACCATAAACTTATAATAAAAAGTTTAGCAAATAAATAAAGTTTTATGTTTTAATAAGTGAATAAAAGATAAACAATAAAACACAAAAATCTACAAGAGTTAACACAGTGACGTCAGCATCTACAATATTAAACACAGTGTCGTCAGAATCTAGAGGAGTAAACAAAGTGACGTCAAAATCTACAAGAGTATGCAAGGTGACGTCAACATCAACTAGAGTAAACAATATAGTGACGTCAGCATCTACAAGATTAAACAAAGTGATGTCCAATTTTACAAGAGTAACCAACAATGACGTCAGCATCTACAACAGTGAAAAAAGTGATGTCAAAATGTGCAAGAGTAAACAGTGACGTCAGCATCTTCAGTAGTAAACAACATAGGGACGTCAGTAGCCTTACCTTGTAGCTCTGGTTAGCTTCTATCCTGACTGGGTGGAAGAACATCAGCCGCACGTCAGCCGTCTCTTGTTTCTCTCCTGACACTCGGCAGTAAGACTGTAAGAGCCACCATACACACAGCCACCACGTACACACAGTCACGTACAACAGTCACGGACAGCCGCCACGTACAGAAGCCACGGATCAACATCACGTACACGGACCATGGCCATCAACAAACCGTACGTTTATAACCAAAATATGGAAAAAAAAATGTTCGATTAATATTACAGTACTTAAGAAAATAATATACCAATTTCTTCTACTTATTACGATATTTCTAGTAATTCATCTATACAAATAATATTAATAAATCTAGAAAATATAATAAAGGAAATATTTAATTTAATAAAAACACAAACATTTACAATCTATAACCAAATAAAACAATAATTATGTTATGTAGATATATAATTACTCTATAATTCAAATGGCTGGCAGAGCCTTAAAAATAAAGTTATATATTTTTTATATAATTATTTAAGGAAATTAAGGAATAGCAAAAAATATTGATGATAATAATACCCTTTTTTCACTTTACTCTGATGTTAATGTTGACGTTAATAATAATTTGTGTTGATGGTGCAGACGTACTGTACTGTACCTGGGCGATGTCGGTCCACTGGCGGGTCTCCCAAGGTCCCTGACAGTGTACGCTGATGCCCATGTCTGTACAGCTGAAGAGAAACCCGAACCCGACGCCTAGTAACTTGATGTTCTTGTCTACCCGGAACCTCAGCTCTTGTTCCTGGTAGATCTGTAGGGTAGATGGTAGATAGTAATGGTGCACAATGAAAAAGTGCCATGCAGTGTTAGAGGTGTCTTGAAGTTTTTTAAGGTGTCAAAGTCTCCTAAAGTGTCAGTTTTCTAAAGTGCTGTAAAAATGCATATAGTTTCATGGTGTCATAAAATATCATATAGTGTCATAAAATCTCTAACAGTTATACAGTGTCCAAGTAACATATAATAGTGTCATACTGTGTTGAAAAGTGTTATACGGTGCTGTGAAGTCTCTGAAAGTGTCTTGAAGTGCTATTGATGTCTAAAAGTGTCAATAAAGTGCCATTAATACTTGCAAAATGTCGTAAAGTGCTGCAAAGTGTCTTTAATCATCGCAAGGTGTAAAGTGTGCCAAGGATTACAGCAAGGTGTCGTCAAGTGCCATGAGGTGTCAAAAGTATCAAGACGGTGCCAGTGGGTGACCCAGTATGGTGCCAGGGTTCGAGCGACCACCAGCACAAGGTAACTACTAATAATACTACTGTTGTGTTCTTGACATAGTGAACAAGTTCTCGTAGTAATGGCATAAACTACTGCTTAAGATCATTGGTTGTTGTTACTGTAAGTTAAGTGTGAATATTCATATAGGTGTTTGTGTGTGTGATAGACGGCAGATAATCCTAACTGAATTATCCTTTTCTTTATCCAGGTAAGTGTGAGTTACAACAGGTTAGCTGGTGTATGTGTGTGTGTGTGTGTGTGTGTGTGTGTGTGAATTTGGATTTCTAAAGTGAACATGAATGAATCTAATGTTCATGTAATTAGACTCATCTTGTGACTTGGAGGATAACTTTACGATAATGACTCTGGTGGTGAAGAGTGTGTGTGTCTGAGGTAATGAAAACACAGTAATAAGTGGACAAAAAGCATATACTAATGAAAGAACAATAACTTAATCCATGCTGACGTGTTCGGGGGGTAACGTTGACTTTACACTACCTTGGAGGTCGGGAGGGATACACCCAGTGAAGTTAGGGGACTGTACACTCTCACTCACAACTGTACACTCTGACTCACAACTGTACACTCTCACTCACAACTGTACACTCTCACTCACAACTGTACACTCTCACTCACAACTGTACACTCTGACTCACAACTGTACACTCTGACTCATACTTGTACACATCGACTCATAAATAACACCTGTAGCATGACTCACCTCTTTTTGTGGACACCTGTAGCCTTTCCTGAAGCGGCACACCTTGTTGAACTCCAGCACTGAGCCGTTCTGAGTCAGCGAACAGATCTGTGGGCGGGGGTGGGGGGGCGGGTTAGAGAGAGAACGTCAGCCACTGTTTATACTAAGAGTGTCTAAAAGTGGTAAGTTAGGTTAGATTTTGCTCTCTATCTCTCTCCACCTAGACAATCTATTAGTCATCATAAGTAAAGTAGATTCAAGTCATTACTCAGCACGCTCACACACACACCCACACACACACACACACACACACAATGAACTACTTCGTGTTTTCTGAAGAATTTGGTCATTACATCTCACTACAGGTATCTACACCATACTTAACGACTCATTAAGTTACTTTACATACTTAACGTCTACTTACATAAACCTAAACATTCACAAGTGACACTCTTGGTTCTTATTGTTATTACAACGCCAGTACGAGCGTTTGATAGCGCCAGGCGATCTGTCTTGTCCAAGAAATTTTGATTCATTATTCATTCCTAATCATTATTACAACACAGGTACAGTTGCAGAGGTGTGTTCCTGTGGTGACCCGCGTCTCTACGGCCAGCCTATATGACCTATATCAAACCTATCCACCAATCATGTCCGCCATTACTAGACCATTCTCCAGTCATTCATAAACAGTGATACTACTACTGCGACGTTGCCACTTGGAGACACTTGTTACCACAGGGGCATAGGAACACATTTCTGCAACTGTACCAGTACAGTACAGGTATAACTACAGTTTCAAGTATAGGTACAGGAGCAAATAACCAGATTACCACAGTTCGTAAAGCCAGACGCCCGTTCGCCAGTCATGTACTCGCTGTGGCGTTATTTTAATAGCAGAACCTGCCTGGTAACACTAAACTAAGGGCTTCCTAGCGCCTCCCTGAAGCCTTGGCGAGGTAAAACAGCCCTAAGAGGGACAGTCTCCCTGGCAGGAGAAAGGCAGCCCTCATGAGATAGGGCTGCCGTGAGGGGAGAGATACAAGTCTTAGCAATGATAGAGTTGCCCTGCTAGGAGAAATAGGGACGCCGCTCTGGCAAGGTAAGGGCTCCCTGGTAGTTTAAGGGCTGCCCTCAGAGAAGCACTCGCTTTCCTGTACGTACTTTGGATAAGGTCTCATTGACAGTAGCCAGGCTGGAGAGCTTGTTGGAGGACTTCTTGCTGGTGCTGCTGCAGGAAGAAGGTGAGGGAGGTCCTCGTGTCGACGGCTTCCCCTCCATGTCTGAGGTGGCACAGAACCACAGCCAAAAGGGAAGCTACAGGGGGGAAGGGGGGTGACCACAGGGGGAGGGGGGGGGAACGTGGACGAAATAACGGGAGGGGAAGACGTAGACACCCAGGGGGAAGAAGAAGAAGACAAACAACAAGAAATAAACACGTTGAAAACAAAGACATCAATAACACAGGTTGGAAGACACGGGGATGGTAGAGAACAAGGTAGGTAGGCACACGAGGCGGTAGAAGGGAACAATAGAAACAAGACGAATAAACGTAAAGAGGAAAGAGATAAACGAGGAAAATAGTGATGGAAGTGAGAAGGAGAAGATGATGAGGGAAATGGAACAAGAAGAGAGAGAGGGGTGAACGAGAAGAAACACACACACACATACACAAAGTAAACACGGAAAGACGAATGGTTGGAGGCAAGACACAGGGGAGAGGATTGAGGAGAGAGAGAAAGAAAGATAGAACGAAAGAAAGAGAGAGAGAGAGAGAGAGAGAGAACACAGGTTTAGCATAAGATCCAGAGTTGTCTTAAAGATGTGGATTCAATACACCCAAAAAATTTATTAGAGAAACAAATAAGGAAAATATAAAAAAAAATAGTCATAAAAAAATTAGCTCACATAAAAACTTGGTAAAACTATAACTAATATTAAATAACTAAACATATAACTAACCACAAAGATATATTCTGTCATCTCAAGAAGAATTAAAGATGTTCTACAAACTATTATTGCAACTTGTTTATAAATGCATTAATGGGGGGGAGGGGGGGGCTTTAAGTACAGTATTATAACAGTGTGGCCAATTCCTATCACTCATGCATTGCAACATTACATCTAGACAAAAAATAGAAAGCTAAAACATCATTGAGCTAATTGCACTGAGCTGCTTGTTGCACTGTGGTATTGCAAGGATAAGGTGACGACACATCGATTGGGAATTTGATTAAATAATTCTAGAGGAATTCTGTGATGCTCTGACTATAGTCTGTTCACGCTAACTCTGCCAATGGGAACTAGAGCCCTTTGTAACAAGATAGTTGATTGGCTGATAAATAAACATCGAAGGGTAATCCGCCAATGGGAACTAGAGCCCTTTGTAACAAGATAGTTGATTGGCTGATAAATAAACATCGAAGGGTAATCCGCCAATGGGAACTAGAGCCCTTTGTAACAAGATAGTTGATTGGCTGATAAATAAACATCGAAGGGTAATCCCACCGAACTTTAGAATTTAATTTATCTTACATATATTCTGTAATTTTAATCACTAACAACTATTCATTGTAGACCTCTGATAATTTTCGCAAGTGAAATTTTACTAACATGAACACTTATTATTACTTATCGTCACTAACACAAGCCAAGTCTCACAGTGGTACCGTAGCTGCAGGCACCACTGGAAAAGTCTGGGTTATGTTGTATGACGCTCAGAACCAATGTATTAATAAACCAAGTGTAAACCAATACCAGACGATTGATTGTTAACTTAAGAGGCACGCAACTATCCATGGTGGTGCCTGACCCTGGGTACCACTGTTTACGTCCCGGACTACACTATCAGCACCAAGTAAGACTATCACAGAACCAACTAGAACCATCCTAGTGGTACAGAACTAGCTAGAAACATACTAGTGACAGAACCATCCTACTGGCACAGAACCAGTTAGAGCCATCCTAGGGTATAAGACCATCATAGTACCAGAGACCTGTTTATTGTTGTTGAAGTCCAGGTTCCTGGGGATCTCCAGCCCATGTGTCATGAAGAAGGCGATCACCTCCGCCTTGCCCAGACACTCGGACGTCAACACGGTGTTGATAAAGTCAGCGTCAGAGATCCGGTCAAAGTCGATGACCTTAATGAGTTCCTCCACCACATTGCCCAGATGGGTCAGCTTGAGATTGTGATTTTGGATGTAACGGAGACCCCAATCCCTGATAGCCTCGAAGAGCTTAAGCTGGTTCTCGAACTTGATATCTTTGTGGCAGATGACCTTCTTGGCCATGACCTGGCTCAGGTTGAGGTAACCTTCACATGGGATGACCTCGGTGGCGTGTTTGACTAAGATCTGCCAACATTTCTCACTCATCTCGTTCAGGGTCTCCTCAGACAGCACCAAGAGCTCAAAGAGGTTAGTGTTGACGTCATCCGTCTTGGGTTCGAAGTTATCGACAAATTCTTCGAGGTATGTGAGGGACTTGATGCCCAGGCCGGCCAGACCCCACTTCCTGCTGGCTCTCAGGAGTTCGAACGCCACACTGATTTTCTTACAGTCGATGTGATCTGTGTAGATGTACCTGTAACGTAGAACACCTGTTATCACTGCTACCTGTAACGTGAAGCTCCTGTTATTAACCACTAACTGTACCGGGGACGCCTGTTATTAACCACAGTCCCAAGTAACTAAATGAAGCAACTTAATAAAGTAAATGAGTAAACTAAATGAAAGAAACAACCGAATAAAGCAACTAAGTGAAACACCCGAGTAAAATAAACGAATGAAGCAACTAAGTGAAGCAAAATAAGTTAACCATGACTCACTTAAGGATATGCTCGAAGTCCTTAGGGTTCATATCGGTGACCCTGATGGTGGTGACCTCATTAGGGCCAGGGTTCGGACACACCTGGTACACGAGACGATAAAGTGGCTGACTCGCCGTGGCCAGCAGGAGCCGGTGTGCCTGACGGAGACGCAGGCGGAGGGGCAAGTTAATTGGTGTTATTAGACTGTAGTAACTGTTGTAGTGTGACAGTTGTTGTTATCAGACTGTAGTAACTGTTGTAGTGTGACAGTTGTTGTTATTAGACTGTAGTAACTGTTGTAGTGTGACAGTTGTTGTTATTAGACTGTAGTAACTGTTGTAGTGTGACAGTTGTTGTTATCAGACTATAGTAACTGTTGAGGTGTGACAGTTGTTGTTATTAGACTGTAGTAACTGTTGTAGATATATTTGGTCTTTTCTAACAGTAACTTTTCTGACCTGACCTGACCTTGTGACACTGAAAATAAGTCTTTAAGGTCAATGGTTATCAATCTTGACCTGACCTTGAGAATGTAGTCTTTATATATTTGTTTACGCTAACAACATGCATGATGTGTTCTCAAGTAATAATTTATATTCAATGTGATGAAACAAAAATAATAAAAACAACAAATAGAACAGGAGGTTACACACACACACACACACACACACACACACACCTACCTTGAAGACAGTCACGTTCTGGCCCTGACCGACCCTGATGTTGACGTCAGCAAACTGCCCCGTGTCCAGCAGGTACCGTAGCCGCTCCACCACTGTCATCTCGCCAGTGCCAGCCAACTGCGAATCTGTGAACACCTGTTCCTGTAGACCTGTACTGACTGACACCTGTACTGACTGACACCTGTACTGATAACTTAACTTTCCTTGAGTACCTTTGTTATAACACCTTTGTTTAACCCTGACTTCCATTTATACACCTCAATCATATCGCCCCTCACTCTACGACTCTCGAGGGAGTGCAAATTAAGATGCTTTAACCTGTCTCTGTACTCAAGGTTCCTAATGCCCGGGATTAGTCTTATCATCCTCCTTTGAGTGCTTTCTACGGATTCTATATCCATTCTGTAGTACGGTGAACAAAACCGAACTGCATAATCCAAGGCTTAATGTGGTCTCACGTACACGAGATATGCCTTAACACCTGTAAACTCAGCACCAGCGCCTGAACGAATCACTAACACCTGTAAGCTTTCATCACTATGCTGGTAATAATAATAAGTGTGATGAAACGCCAAGAATATAATACCACACGAACTATATATCGTTACCTTCCCGTTACGTCATCAAAAATAAACATCCCTCACTCACATACACAATCCTTCCGACAGGTCAGGTGAGCCAGAAATATACAAATATTCCTCTCTCTCTCTCTCTCTCTCTCTCTCTCTCTCTGTTGATGTAGTTATCTCTTTAACACATTCAAAATTAACCGAACCATTCATTTATCACCACACACACACAACAACAACAACAACTGTAAGCACCTTATTTTAGTGAGTGTTACAGCTGTTTACGAGATCTTGTGCCAAGTGAGCCACCGAGACTTGCTCAAGTCCCGCTCAAGGTCAACCACACCACCACAAGGTCAACCACATCATTATGAGGTTACTCATACCACCACAAAGTCAACCACACCACCACAAGGTTAACCACACCACCACAAAGTCAACCACACCACCACAAGGTAAAGTCTCAGCACATAATCAACAAGAGCTGCCATGCACAGGCCAACCGGCCTATTGCAGACTCCTTATTTTCTTATGTTCTTATTGGGTAACTCAGGTGTAAACACTGAGTCAACCTGACAAATGGCTTCACTTGTGAGCTTGTGTGACTCCCAGGAGGTGACCCACACACAAACTGGGTCACTAAGGGTCAAGTGACCTTACCCAATAGCTGACACTCTCTGTGAAGATCTTATTTGTAATACAGGAAATGATCCACTCATGTCATTGGAGATCAGGAACAAGTTCAAACTCCAGTTGTTGACCTTGTGAAGACTCCAGGATAGTTACCCCACTCAATCATTAAGTCACTAAAGGTCAGCTAATGATCACCTGGTATGACGCCTAGAAGATAACCTATATAAAACTTGGTCACACAAGGTCAAATAGGTTGTCACACATCATCTGATGAAGAAACTGACCCAATATAACCTCCCTTAAGCATAAACAAGGTCACAGGTGCTGGCAACAATAGTGACCTCTCCATCACTCACTTTGTTGTTGTTGTTTTTATTGTTGTTGTCGTGTTTTAATGATTTAATGATAAAAATTAGATAGATATTAATCTGGGTCAGGTGTGTGTGTGTGTGTATGTGTGCGCGCGTGTGTGTGTGTGTGTGTGTGTGTGTGTGTGTGTGTGTGTGTGTGTGTGTGTGTGAACGCAACTTAATTTTGTTGTACATATTTAAGTTAGTGTGACACTGATTTTTAGCTCAATTGGCACACTATAAAAGTCATATTTAGACACGCACACACACACAGTATACAAAATGAATCTTTAATAAAATCATTGTACTAAGTGACAGCAAAGTGCTAAGACAACAGGGTGAAATATCTCCACATACTTGATCACAACAAGCAAAGTCTTCAGTCACCTCAAGTTAAACCAGAGCCTCAAAGTCACTCGGGGCAAGAAAATGTCTGGCAAGGAGGACCACCAATAAATATTAATATTTATGGACACAAGAACTATAAGATAAAGACATGTACCAAAGTAATAAATAAACAAAGGGAGAAGATTACTGTAGAATGTGAGGATAGAGCAGTGAACGGTGCCAGCTGTCTTGATAATAAGAGTAGTGGTAAGGTTAGAGCAGTGAAAGCTGTCTTGATGATACTGTAGAGCAGTGAACGGTGCCAGCTGTCTTGATAATAAGAGTAGTGGTAAGGTTAGAGCAGTGAACGGTGCCAGCTGTCTTGATGATCTTGATAATAAGAGTAGTGGTAAGGTTAGAGCAGTGAACGGTGCCAGCTGTCTAGAGCAGTGAACGGTGCCAGCTGTCTTGAAGAGTAGTGGTAGTAGTAATAATAAAGATTTTGTTATATAAATAGGCTTCTTTCTCCCAACCACCCTCCCTCCCTATACCTCTCTCTACCCTCACCCTCCCTCCCGGTCCCCTCCCTCCCTCACCCCCTCCCTAAACCTCTCTCCACCCTCACCCTCCCTCCTGGTCCCCTCCCTCCCTCACTCCCTCCCTATACCTCTCTCCACCCTCACCTCCCCTCCCTTCTACACCGCCCCTTCCCGCTCACCCTCACACATCAACACAATTTTTTTACTAGCAGTACTTAGTGAGTTTCTTAAGGTGCGAGGAATGTGATGCCCCTCACCTGACCACACCTGTTGATGCCCAATGTGATGCCCCTCACCTGACCACACGTGTTTAACTAGTGAGATCCGTCAACCAGCATGGTGACGGGAGGGGGGGGGGTGCTTGACCTGACTCCATATGGTGACAGCACAACTGAGATGATGCCTGACTTTTCTGTTCCTACAATGACCTGACCTAAGAAAGCCCAGGTACATACTACACCCTCAGTGACATCACAGCTGACCCCCCTTATTCCTGACCTGAATATCTGCATAAAGGTTTCCACTGATCGCTGTTAGTAGAGTTGTGATGCAAATTGAAGTGAAAATATCAACATAATAAGAAGCAAGGAAAATGTAGCAGGTTCTTGAAGCAACAGTGGATGGAGAAGGGTGAGGGTAAAAGGCATATCTAGTGATCTGTCAGTTGATAAACGCAACAAACTTGAATGTTTTAATATTTTTATTTAACATTTCTCATAAAAAAATCGAGCACACAAATTTCCTCCCAAATTTGTCTGGTGGGCAAAAGTAAATTCCAAAATAATTTTCCCAGGACAAGAAAATGTTCCCCTTAAGCTGCTCAGCCTGGTGTGGTTTATACACAATATATACCCAATAACCACGGCCTGCCCCCCCACACACATAGGTTGCCAGATGTATTTTTATTACATATTACCTCCCAGGGTTGCGCCTGTTTTTACCCCATTTCTTAAGCCTCCTCACCTGTTTGATGCCAGGTGTTGACAGGCGTGGCAGCCTCCGCGCCAGGTATGTTAATTTTACTAATGAGATGGACTGGTCGTGTGTGTGTGTGTGCGTGCTCATCACCATTATATCTACAGTATCATCATCATCGCCATGATCCTCATTATCACCACTACCATCATCATCATTACCTTCATCACCACTATACGTTCACCGCGTCCTCAGGATCACAACACTAACAACACATCACTATTACTTCTACAACACTCTACAACACTATAACCAAACTACAACACTTCCTGAAACCTACTGCAAAACTCTCTCTCTCTCTCAATAATTAACTATAAACTCTATGGCCTATTGACTAAGTTCCCCCCCTGTCCTTACAAGTGGGAGTTAATGATCAATGATGTGTGACCTACCAACCAGCAACCAGATAACTCATGCTGCTGAGCAAGGGCCGGAGGTTAGGTGAGAAGTTAGTTACCTGTAATCACTGTCTTTCCCTCCTTCTCTCTCTCTTTAATTATTATATAGAGATATTAACAAATAGTCCACATCAGTAGGTTGTGACTATACAAAGCTATATAACTCTAGTGGTAAAATTAGTAGTATATCTAGATGGGAAAAAATAGAGATGTTCCCAAAATACTTCAGACATCTTGGCTTCTCATGCACTGGACTAACCCTAGACAAAAATGCCGTCGACTGAAGTGTTTTTGTTTTCTTCTATTTCTTACTAATCTCACAAATATTGTACAAGTAATAACACTGTTCATTCCTTTACATCATCACCGTAGCATGAAGCGCGCTGCCAATTTATAGACAAGGAAAGAAAATAAACATTTAGGCCTCTACTTGAAAATATAGAAACATAATTTTGTATATAAATCCGGGTGCATCATTCACTTTCGAGAAGCGGGTAAACACATCCAGCCTTAGCACGCCTCCAATAGAGAAAATAATAATAATAATAATAATAAATTTAAGGAACGGTCTTGCCTGGCTTGGGACAGCAATGGATAGCTGCGTTCGTGTTTGCTCAGCTGGGAATCCTGAGAGATACGCTTCCATAATTGTGAATGGAGCATCATGACATCACAGCGTCCATAGTTATTGGCCGCTGGAACGTCAATAAGTGCTATTGGAGCAGCATGACGTCACACTTGATAACACGAAAGCAGCTTTTGTGTTAATCTGTAAGTGTTTTTGTAAGTGTGTGAGCAGTGTTAGTGCATTAATGTTCTTTTTGTTGCAAACTTCACCGCTGTTATCACTTATCAATAACAAAACAAAAGAATAAAACAAACAAATCAAAAATAAATATAAATCAGATTAATTTATTATTTAGGAACTCGAAGCACCAATCTTGATTATTAATTTAGTAATCTTTTAATATTGTTATTACTGAAAGTGTTCATTAAATCCAGAACAAAATGGTATATAAGATTATATATTATGTTGTTCTAAATATTATAGAAAGATAACATCTGTATGTATAATAGTTCAAGTATAATGTCTTAATTAGCCTTCACAAATGTAAACACTTAAAGTACGTATTTTTCTGTTCATTAATTACTGTGACTTTTACTGTGTAAGTACGTAATGCTTGGTGGCGTACATCACGGCTCTGAGCTGTGGCATCCATCTCTTGACCTCACGTTGCATAAGAGCAAAACCCACGTGTAAGAGGGCATGACGTGCTCTGATTGGTGGTTGACCCTCAGCAGGTTTGGTCAAGTCAAGAGGGAGGTAGTGGTCAGATTTGGAGCAGATTTAGTTAAATCTTGGGGTGGGTGAACAGCCAGCCAGCGACATTGAGAATGATGCTCACCTGAGGGTTGTGTGTGTGTGTGTGTGTGTGTGTGTGTGTGTGTGTGCAGCCTACCCAGCCAGTCATCGTAGCCACTATCGTCCAGGTCATCGTCAAAGTCATCATCAGAGTCACCACCGGTCATGTGGGCGGGAGGATGGGAGGGATTGGCGACCCAGGAGGGAGACATTGGAGGTGTGCTGGGCGTGCTGCTAGGTGCTGCTGCCCCTAGGGGAGAGCTAGGTGATGCTAGGGACGAGCTAGGTGATTCTAGAGGTGAGCCAGGGCCCCAGATGGTCTCTGTACCCCGAACAGCTGGCCTAGTGGTCCACGTTGCCATCTTGACCACCGAGTCTGTTGAGGGTGAGAGGATGAAGTTAGACACAGGTATAGTATAACAGGAAGGCACCTTGTAAACTTATTGAATCATAAGAATAAATGTATTTCCTCCCGACCATTCAGCACACACATCCTCTCTCTCTCTCTCTCTCTCTCTCTCTCTCTCTCTCTCTCTCTCTCTCTCTCTCAACAGGACCACCACTACACAGGTACAGTAAGTGCCCCGCCAGAGAGCTTGGCACAGATCACTGACCATCTTCTGGCCTTGCACTGTGACGTATGCTTGTTATTATTTATGAGTCTAGATCACCAGGTCTCCTCACCAGGTCATCAGGTCTCCTCACCAGGTCACCAAGTCTCCTCACCAGGTCACCAGGTCTCCTCAACAGGTCACCAGGTCTCCTCACCAGGTCACCAGGTCTACTCAGCAGGTCACCAGGTCTCCTCACCAGGTCTCTCAGCAGGTCACCACAGGTCTCCTCACCAGGTCTCCTCACCAGGTCACCAGGTCTCCTCAACAGGTCACCAGGTCTCCTCAGCAGGTCACCAGGTCACCACAATGCACTAAATACTTCACGCGCTATACCACCATTAAACTGCCTCCACCGCCCGCCCCTTCCCCAGCTGTAAATCAGGCAACCTATCGCAGTTGGGTCGATTGGGGGTGCCTTGGATGGTGAACTGGTGACCCCAAGGAGAGTGTGTGTGTGTGTGTGTGTGTGTGTTTGTGTGTGTGTGTGTGTGTGTGTATAGTGTGTGTGTGTGTGTGTGTGTGTGTGTGTGTGTGTGTGTGTGTGTGTGTGTGTGTGTAAATACCCAAGGTGTGCTGAGGCGGAAATGTGTCCATGTAAATATATCTCTCACTCTCCCTCACCTCTCACTTGTTCCTCACTTGTTTCTCCCTCACCTCTCGCTTGTTTCTCACTTTTTCTCCTTCATCTCTCTCTCTCTCTCTGTGTGTTTCGCCTCACTTCTCACCTCCCTCTATTTATCGTCTCTCTTGAGTTATTCTTAGTTGGGTCCATATCCTGTTTACCATTACTTGTTTATCTACACTGTCTTATAAACTCAACGTAGAGACTTATGTATGTATCTACTCGTCTGTCTATCTGTCTGTCTGTCTGTGTCTGTCTGTCTGTCTTTATATATCTACCTTCTATTCAAAGTCTCTCTCTCTCTCTCTCTCTCTCTCACCTGCTGTCACATAAACAGCTCTAGGGGTAATCAGACGGAACACATTGCATGGCTAATAAGTCACTTTAGCGAGAGGTGAATTACTTGCCTTTAGCCTTTAATTAATTACTTCCTTATTTATTACCTTTACTTCATCACCTGATATATTAAACCTCTTGGGATATTATTGGGGGATTTTAAACCACTTAAGACACACCTGTGGTTGTAGGTGATAGCGTTTTATACCTCTCTTATCGTCTTGAGTACGAGGCTAACCTGCTTGAGTACAACGCGAACACCCTGAGTACAACGCGAACACCCTGAGTACAACGCGAACACCCTGAGTACAACGCTAACACCCTTAGTACAACGCGAACACCCTGAGTACAACGCGAACACCCTGAGTACAACGCCAATATCCTTAGTGCAGCATAAATCCCTTGAGTACAGTTAAGTGCGAGGACTAAACACTTGAGTACTAGAACTTAACTCCTGAGTACGAAGACTTTTATTATATTGAGTACAATGTCTTTTATTATCTTGATTACAGTGACTTTTATGACTTTCAGTACAATGAATTTATATCTTGAGTACAATTAATGTCTCGAGTCTAATTAATATTTTGAGTACATATCTTGAGTACGTTTATAGCGTGACTTTGAACCTACAAAGCAAGTCACGTTATCTGAACTTAGACGAGTACGAGTAGAAAAGTGTTTTAGAAGACCATTATTAATGTTTGTCCACACACACACACACACACACACACACACACACGCTCAAGTACAAGTTATGGTACAGGTGTAAGAACTTAATTGAGTGTGTGTGTGTGTGTGTATGTGTGTGTGACAGATTTGCGATGTCTTGCTGAGAAAGATAGATAGAGAGAGAGAGGGGGAGAAGGGAGGAAGGAGTGAAGGGCGGGAATGTCACCCACTGAGATACACGCGTTCCCCCTCCCTAACCTCCCTCTTTTACCTTTCTCCCTCACCTCACCCTCCCTCACCTCTTCCCCCCTCACCCTCCCTTGCATACCATCATCATCTTGGCACCTACGACACAACACCATAAACAGTGCCACACGCAACCACACACAACACGCACTACTACCACTACCACCATTACCACCATCCCCGCTCACTACTACCACCACTGCCACTACTACTACCACTACCACCATTACCACCATCCCTGCCCACTACTACCACCACTGCCACTACTACTACCCACTACCACACCACACACCCCACACCACACCACCACGCCCACCACCACCACCACCACCACCACCACCACCACCACACACCACCACCACACCACCACACACCACACCACCCACCACACCACACCACCACACCACCACCACACCACCACACCACCACCACCACACCACCCACACCACCACCACACGCCACCACACCACCACCACCACACCACCCACCACCACCACACCACACCACCACCACCACCACCCACCACCACCACACGCCACCACACCACCACACACCACCACCACCACCCGCCACCACACCACACACCACCACACCACCACCACCACCACACCACCACCACCACACATAGCCTGCACCTGCACAGTAACACTTTAAGACAATACCCCAAAACGGTGCCAACTCGGGCAAACACTAACGTCTGGGGGTCCTCTCCACCCTAAAGTTACATCCTCATAGCAGCTACGCCAGACGAATATACCTTAAGAACATATCGCCAGCAAGAGCAATCATCACTATTAGGCGTTATAGCCGACCCCACAATGACATCCTCATAGTATAGCGACGCCAGACGGACGATCGCCAGTGTTCTGCCTCTATAAGTCGTCACATGTTGAGGAACACCTAACTTTACAACAGGTGTGACAGTGAAGCAATCAATATTTATACAGGTACCCGACCTTTGATGTGTAGCAGGTAATAGTTGAGTCTTGGTATATTACTGACGCCATGTTGAATGTCTCTCTCTCTCTCTCTCTCTCTCTCTCTCTCTCTCTCTCTCTCTCTCTCTCTCTCTCTCCCGAAGAAGGTTTTAGAAGACCGTAGTGAACCTTCTGGGTAACGAGGACACACGTGGGTCAATAATGCGTGCCAACGTGGTGCAATGTATACATGTGTACCTCTTTGATGTACACACACACACACACACACAAGAAGAAGTAGAAGCAGAAGAAGAGGAGGAAAAACGACAGGAAGAAGAGAAGAAGAAGGAAGAGAGGGAGGAGGAGGAGGAGGAGGAAAAAGTGTAGAAAGAAGAAAAGGAAGAAGAAGAAGAAGCAAAGGAAGAGAATGAACAGGAGGAACAGACGAACAACAATAATAACTAAAAGAAGAATAATAATAAGAAGATGCAAGAGGAGGAAGAGGAAGGTGTATGTGTCAATAATCATGTTTACACACAGCCCGGGGCCACATAAATACTTGTGTATATGTGTCACCAACACTATCCACCTGAGGCACCTACCCGCACCCCGTTTTCTTTAAGCACAGCAGGAAAATATTGTCCTTGTTAACAAATACCATAATAGTTCTACTACTACTACTATTACTACTATTTTTTTATCATTAAACATACAGACTATACCATACATAATATACTGTACCTACCATACTCTACTAAACCAGGCACACCATACCTCACCATCAATCCGTACCTACAACATCACACCTATCACACCATATCTGCTATACTGTACAGCCTCTTCCACTTCCAACTGGTACAATCAGCTTAGTCAATGTGCCCTCTCTGTGTGGTGTGAACCCCGACGTCTGAACCCGAAGCATTGAGGAGCGAGGGAGGACTGTGTGGTCGGGTTGAGGAGGGTCGGGGAGGCTTGAGAGTTAAGCAGTTACCTGAACAGTTACAACGATGGATATATTAAGTCAGGATATAAATACGTAGGACAAAACACAGTAGAATGTGTCACCGCACATTAGGGCAGTATTCCCCGCTGTGGTGAAGGTCTCAACCATATATCCTTATTTAATGTACTGAATTAACGAGATCATCGGTCACTGTGATAACCCCCCCCACACAGGCATCGGTCCTGCAGTATTCCTCCATGTCCTTCCCTCCTGCTGCTGACACTGTCTCTTACTCCAGGGGTGATAGGAGGATGGCCTCTACACATGGTCACCGTTTACGACGGGGTTGTATTTATGACCCAATGAATAACGGATGTATAGTAATTTAACAGCATCATAGTAATAGTGTAGTGAACAATAAAACACACCCAGGAAGTTGTCAAACACAATAATAATACCATGAAAATAACACACCAGTGAGCAAAAGTTCCCTCTGTATTTTGTGTTATTTTTCAATACAGATTATTATGTCTGTTGTCTACTGGACGGTGAGGTGAGGTGAGGTGAGGTAGAGGGGGTGTCAGCGCCTGACACAGTTAGGGCACAGGTGCACCGTGTTTAATAAGTAATCCTCATTATGGTGTGACCATACCAGCCACACCATACCTGCCATACCTGCCACATCATACCTGCCACATCATACCTGCCATACCAGCCACACCATACCTGCCATATCAGCCACACCATACCTGCCATATCTACCACACCATACCTCCAGCTGAGTAGCATCAAACTTATTCACACATGTGACATCACTGGCCACAAATGTCTCACACATGTGCCAAGATATCAGGAGGTTGGCCAGTTGTGTTACACCTTAGGCCCCGACCACACACACACACACATGTTACGGACCACCATATCTTTCACTATACTCTGTGTTTCTCATCACCATAAGCTTCGGACACTGGAGTATGTGTAAGTTTAGACCCCTCCCCTCATGTGTTTCCAGCCCCAACATATTTCGAA